TAAACTAATCTTAGGATAAGCTAATTACTATACTATTAATATATAGTTTATTCTCTATTGTTATATACTATATTAGCTAGTTAGCTACTTTTCCTTTAAATAAGATTAGGTCTAGTAATTATATCTTTAGGTAATATATAGATTCTAATTATAGGGGTTCTAGGGTTAATTTAATTATAGTTTATACTAGAGTTAGTTCTCTTATTATTATTGTTAATTATAAGACTAATTACTCTATTATAGTCTCTAGGCGATAGATTTATTTATCTTAAGTAATATACTCTTGGTCGTATTATTATATTAATTCCTTCTATATTATATATTCTATATTAATTTATTTATTCTATTTATTTTATATAGCTTATGACTATACTATTTATTATAGTAGTGTCTATACCTATAATAGTGGGCTTATAGACTTTTATATCTTTTACTTAGGGGTTATATTACTGAATTACTCTTGATTCAGGGATAATTTATATATGGTTTTAGATTTTTATAATATCTAATTAGAAGCTTTTTATTTGTGAAGGGCTAAAGTAGAATTTATATTCAATTAAGCTAGGCCACGTATTATATATAAAAAGCTTAAAGAGAGAATTACTAAGTAGGTGTTTTATGTATTAGGTTATTATAGTTATGTATACTACATGATCTTATACCGGACATTGGCCTGTGATACAAAGTATTAGTAGGATAAAGTCCCTAGATTATTATAACTGCTTCTAATCTCTCTTTATCTAGGTGAATATCTCTTAATAGATTTCTGATCCTTCCCTAAGAATAAATATAGATATAATATAGTTTTAGTGTTTATTAATTATCTATTGAAGTGATAAGTATTGATTTTATACTATAAAACTACTAATATAAAAGAGATAGTGTATCTATTTATCTAAGGGATTCTCCCTTAGTTAGATATTCTAGATATAATTATATTAGATTAGGGACCTTAGTTTATATCTGAATTCTAGATAGAATTAATATATATTCTAAGTATTAAAAGGAAGCTATCGATAGCTTACTATACTTAGATAGATAGCTAGAGTAAAATTGTGAATAAATAGATGGCTTAATAGTTATAGGCCTATATAAACTTTTATTAAGATAATTAGTCTAAATATCTCTTACTAATAGACTATACTATTACTATACTCCCCTAGGCTAGCATAGGATAATTACCTTTCTTTATAGAATATAGATTTAATCCTAGGATAACCTTTAATTAGGTATTGGATACCCCAGCTATCTTCTCTAAGGATATATAATAGATAAGAGATGTTACTAATAATATAAAGAATATATAGGATAATACTTAGGAAGCGATAGGAGTTGTGTAAGTAAGCTAGAAAAGATATATAGATATACAATACTATAAGGATAAATTTGGAGTTAGTTAGTTAGTTTTTGTTACTATATATATCTAGAAGATAGGAAGATAGAGTAGGAAGCTATTTAATTAGTAACATAGACTGTTTAAAATTGTGAAAAAAGAGGGCAATTCGTAGTGTTTAAAGCTGTTAGACTCTATAAAGATATACCCTATCTTCTTGCTAGATAAGCTATATCCTATAGTGTATATAGAGCCTCTCGTCGGATAGATCCTGGATATAATATTACTAATTATTATTAATAAGGAGGAGGCTTACAAGATTAATAAGATTAAAGATTCTTATATATACTATTAATGTCTATAATATTGAGTATCTTAGATCGGAAATGAGAATACTAAATAGTATCTTGTAGACGACTTTAAGAATGTACTAGAGAAATTAAAAGAATTCTATATTTAATACCTTAATAAGCTAGGGCCTTCTATATACCTACCTATATAGCTTAAGGCGGTAGAGGAGGATGAATTTATTAATAATAATAAAAACAATGATATTCTAATAGCTAAAGCCTAGAGGCTAGGCTTTTTTTAGAGGGGGGGTAATATAATAAACTAATACTAAGTTAATACTAATATTGAGGTTACGAGGTTGTGGGATTATATAATAGATTATATAATCCTATATCTGTCTAATTCTCCTGTATAATAATGTATAGGAGCCTAACTCCCCTCTTTCCTTTTTTCTTATTTTTAATATTTTAGTTAAATCATACGAAAGTTCTTCTGTTTTCTGGTTCTTATATAAGATTGAAGATCAAGAAGCTGCCAAAATAATAATATAGGAGACTTGTCTAATATTTTATGATAAATATCCGCCGCCTAAATTAAATCCCTAGATAATTCTATAAGTAATTCCAGAGTCAATATAAACGCGGATATTTAATAAACTCTAATCTTAAGGCTTATCTGGAGACTTTAAATATGTAGATGATATATATATTTATTCTATATAGTAGAATTAGTCATATATAAGCTTAATTGGGCTAATATTTGTTATGTGTAAGCTTAATTAGGATAGTCTAAAATATTGACGATAATTATTATTGGCGATATTATCGGTTGATAAATTTATCGTGAATAGCTCTAAGACCATCTAATATGGTAGAATTAGACGGAAGGTCTAATGGTTTATTGTTATTTTCTGCTTTTGGTGTGTCTGGCCCTATATATATATATATTATCCGAACCTTCTATTTCTATTTCCGGCGCATTATTTTCGTCCAAAGGGTTTACGAATTCCTTAAATGATATGATATTTGTCTTATTACCTGACTTTTTAATTGCCTTATGATATAAATCCTTTAATTCTGTCGCTAAATGTGGCCCTTTAGGTCTATTAAGCTTACTAGGCTTATTAGATTTATTAGGTTTATTAGGCTTTAGATGAATTAATGTGCTTTTGTTATGATATGGATGTCTAGATCTTGTGGTAACTATGCCCTAACGTTAACTAACTACCGCAATATCCGCTAAATGACTGCTAATTTACTCTGAATTAGTGAGGAAGCACTATTGTAAGGCTAGGTGAGATAGAGGAGAACTTGTAGGGATCCTCAAGAATTATTTTTGATAATCCTATACACCTTATTGTGATCATTCTTTTTGCCTAGCTACTATATTATTCTTAATAATTCTAAAGTAAATAGATAGCCTCTTATCTAAGTATTAGCTTTATCTGTTAACAAGAAACTCACTAATCTTAAAGATTATAACTATAATTACTATTTGTAATCTCTTTCTAAAGGTATTATATATAGAATATTTAAATAGTTAAGATCGATAAGATACTATTATAGTAAAATATATATTGTATATACTAACATTCTTAGTTAAATCTAGAAGATACTAACAAAGAAATAAGGATAATAATATAGAATCAGACTTAGAAATATAAAATACCTAAAGATAATATATGTTGAAAATTAGCTTAAAAGTATTGAATAGCTTCTAAATTAACTTAGACTATAAAGTCAATATATTCGAGGAAACTTTCTGGGCCTCTAGCTGGGTAGTTAGGGCATTTGGTATAGATTGTATATACCCCTGAATTGCTATGATTGCCTGTTACTAGATTTTCTATCTCTTGTGATATTTTGCTTCTTTGTACTTGTACGTGTTGTGCTTATTGTTCTAATGGCTATATCGCGAGTTTGAGCAAGAATAAACTGCCCTGAACTTGTGGTCATTTTGGATATTACCACTATTCGGAAGTTCTCTAGTCCTAATTTAGAGTCTGTTTTATGCTTTTATATTAGCTGTATACCCTTCTTTCTTCCTAACCATTATGGGTAATATCCTTTGAATGTAACTGGATGTTAATGACTTGCTGAGGAGTTTGGGGTGTATTTGCCATCACCTGTGAGCTGCTGGGGAGATTTGAATATATTATAGCACCAAAGCTCTATATTTGTTGCTATAAATAAACACTATAAACTGTTCCTTGAAGCTGTGGCTTGATAAATATACTCCTTTGGGGGTCCTTACTTATGGATTTAATATCTATTTATAGAAGAGTCACGAACTTGATCGGTACGTATGTGGTATTGTGGTGCCATCCATAGGCGCTTAGGCTGAGCGCTTACTGATAGGTGCTTAACCCTTAGTTATTATACGTTAAATTAGAACGAATTATGATTGACTGTACTCTCTGGTCTGGAAGATTTAATACTAAGAGCCCGGCGATCTTTTTCAGCGAACATAAAGAGAAAACTCCCGCCAATAGTACCTTTCCTCTTGCCGCTGCGGCGTTTCAGCTCTTTCTCCTAAAAAATTTCATTTTAATTATTGTCTATGCTTATACATGTTATCTCTATAACTTGGGGTTCGTTTGCATGGGAACTGTTAGATCAAACGCCTGTGTTCGAATACTAAGTTATAGCTATGGTTATATATTGGGGGTATACTTCTGAACCTACTGATGAAAGCCATCAGAGCCCTGATTATCCACTATATATTATACTATCTGAAGATTAAATTCCCACCTATGCTAGAGTCAGTTTGTATTCCCCTCTTAACAAACTCAAAGATTATGCTGGCTTGTGTTCTCTCGACATGATTCTTGCAATACTTGAAGGCACCATATTAACCAGTTTCTTGATGTAGCGCATTGAGATGTTTTCCTTTCCTTTGGTAACTATATACGTCAAATGGTTAGCGCTTCCACAGGTGCGCTTTTGTGTATTCTTCTTTCTATGTAGAAGCACGTCCTGTGTAATGCTAAGCACTAGAGAACAAACAGGTAGTCGGATCACCATCATGCCTATCTCCTTAAGAGCTTGTTCGAAGGTTTGTGGAATCGCTGTATTTTTTCGACAATAATATATTTTGCTGTTTGTTGGGAAACAAAGGGTTACGAATGAAGTTTTCCTCCACAAACGACGATGTCGTCGTGCAGAGCGACTGGGATTTCGTTTCGTTTGCGGGTTAAGGCAAATCTCGATTTTCGGTTAAAGCCAATTATGGTCCAGTAGAAAAGCGTCCCCTCGCGTTTAGCCGTCCGATTCTGTAAATATAGAGAACAATATTATTGTTCCTTTTCGATGTAGAACTTGATCGCATCGTTCGCTTTGAGTTCAACTTCTGCGCAGCCGACGAAAACAGTCGCGCGCTATTCAATTTCCCAACTTTGATAAAAACAGGCAAAGTCAAGGCGTGCTTTCCGAGCCTCCACTGTCAACCATAGCCCATGAAATCCCATACTTTTGCAATAGCCTTCATTTGTCACACTATTTTGCAAAGTTTGCAAGTGGACATCATCAATGCCAAATTCACGTGCCAGTTCCTCCCAAGAGCTAGCTTTGAGCTCCTCAAATGCATTAACAATTCTGTCAATTTGGGCCTGATCCAGTTTCTTGGGCCTTCCTCGCCTCGAATGAACCGTTTTCACTCTTCGCAGACTAGAAACCATGGCGTCGGTGATGTGGGTATCGTATAAGAATTTGTTAATGTAGTGAACAAACTAGAGAGATGGATAAACATAACAGAGCATTCCACTGCCCTAGGGGTATGTGTGATAACCACATCGACCCTCGAAACCTATAACAGGAATGCTTTTTGATTTGTTCCCAGTTAATAGTGCTATTATAGTAGCATTCCGTTGGCTGTTTGCTCTTTTCTTACTTAGCTGAATGGTGTTACCAATTCAAATATTTGGGACTAACCTTAGCTTCGGACTTTTGCTCCTTCAGACTGAGATGTGGTGATGAACACGAAAATGTGTTATGCGATACTTATGGGTTAAGCGGGCTAGCTACCCTTTCTATTATCGCTTTGGACTACGAACACCAGGACCTAAACATCGTCGCAAGTGCTTAAACGTTTAAGAAAATTATAACCCCCAGCTTTTCTTATAACTGTCTGCGGACCTCTTGAGGGTGGTACTTAGACTAAGTCGCCTATTATTAACTGCTAGGGCATAAAGAAGTAAAATTAATTCAGTATACAATAAGTATAGTGCCCAGGTCTCTTCTACGGAAGCAGAGAATGCGCCTGAGGCAAAACATCTTGCCCGATTCCGTCGTAGTGACCCCAGCATGGGGAGGGTGCAGGATGTTCAGGGTGCAAAATAGTGGGCTTCAGGGCGGCAAGAGGGGATTTCCCGACGAATCACAAAAAACGGGTGAACAAAAAACATACAACAGTCAGGATTCGCATGTGGTCACCCACCATACTACTAACTGACCGGCGTGTAGCTTAAGTACGGCTGAGCGGACGGGAAGCCCTGTTCTCCACACCCTGTGGTCGTATGTACCAATTGAGTATCAACTTGGAATATATAGATTGAGTATTCTATGAGTTTATTGTCGGGCGAGAAATGAGTGAGTGCTGCTTTAGGACTGTGTGACTAGAATGAGATAGGGTGATTGTGCAATAGACAGGGTGAGGATCCGGGTGAGAGCGGGTGAGAATCATCCTATGTCGTGCGACCTCGCACTAACCCTTTCAGCTGAGCAGGCACGGGATATCATTGGGCCAAATACCTGTCCCTGAAACAACGGATCTCTTAGCATCTGCACTTCGCCCCAATTCGAAGCGATATATCATGAAGCAACTGGGTTTGCCCAAGAGCTCTACAATTGGAGCATAGATTATCTAAATGAGGAGACACAGATTTTTTCCTACAGATACTCAGAAAAGTACAACCAGGAATTTTGGGCGGGAGGGGATTTGGTGACCACATGGGAATCCTGACTGTTGTATGTTTTTGTTCACCCGTTTTTTTGGATTCGTTGGGTCTAGTGCCCTTGCCGCCCTACTCTTCAGTCAATTAAGCCCCTTCACCTGAATGCCCTGAACGCCACTATTTTACACCTGAACCTCCTGCACGTGCCTGAAGCGCTGACGTAGCCTTACTCTTCCCATACTCATTTCTATCCAATCTCTACAATCTAGTCTGGGCTCGGGTACTCTTTTCCGTCGGTCGCAGTAAGGATTCTCTATACATCTGGATCACCGCGCTGATCAATTTATTTCAAACATTCAAGGAAAGGTGTAGTGGACTATCTATAGAAATCCTATTCCCACTCTTATCGTCTCCTTACTGATTCAGAAATTTTACGCATGAATCGGGATGGAATAATCGTGAATCTGATATGCCTAGATAGAGTTGGGTTCTAATAAAGACCGAAACACTAGAAATGAGTATTGCGCTCTTATGGCCAATTCTTGACGCTGCTCCTGGCCTAGAAACTTTATGTTGCATCACTAACACATACGAACGCTCAATGATAAAAAATAGACACCCAGTTACGTATGAGACCCCGTGGTTTCGACGCTGCCGCCCAACATCACACGCTAGAAGGGGCTTAGCGACGGCGGTTAACATGAGCATCAGGCATCATGATTCGATGTTCAAGGTTTCCATATGTACTTTTTTACACTGTCACACCCACAGTCTGCCCCACCGAGGCTATGACAACTTTCTCAACGTACGGCGCGGGAGACGGGCGTTCCCACTAGAATAAGGTTCGCCCCGTGTGGAGATGATTTGTATTTTTGTATTTTTTTTTGCACTCTAATTACGCCTTAACACGACTTACGGTCCAACTTTTACTTGTGAAAAGTACGACTTTGACCAAATGATGGACAATCACTTGAAGAATATAAGACGCTTGGCGCTTTGCGATCGAAAACGATGTATTAAGAAGATTTTCCGCAGAAATGGCATGGTATGTGTTGTATTTGGCTTCTTCCACAACTTCCTTCTATCCATGGTTGTGACTAATAGAAATCATAGTTCCAGGTGCAGAGCAAGAATCTGGCAATCGGAAATACAGGTGACCATGAAAAACAGTGAGCACTATTCTAAGCAACTGGAAGAATGTCAAAGCTCTCGAAGACCTTGCCAGTGCTCTTATTCGAAGAATTTATATGACTTGTGGGCATTCTCCTGTCGCACGATTGGTACTATCGACCTTCCGCTGACATACTTTCCCTTCTACTAGTTACGAAACTAGAACGATTAGACTGTTCGAAGACCGAGCCGAGGAATTTGTCATTTATGATGATATCCTGCGATCGCAACTCGAGAAGCAGGGCCCGGACCGTGTGTATGGATTGAAGAACACAGGGAATTTTGATTCTCTTCTCTCCAGCTCAGCCCCGCCGGAACTTGCAAATGAACCAGGCGATACTATCGGAGACATAATCAAACACAAACCATTTGATTCCGATACAGATCCTCTGCTTTTTCCATTCTTACTTCTGGAGGCAAAATCCGAGTCCAGCAATAATGGATTCGATGACATTCAAATTCAATCCGCTTTTCCGATCCGAGCACTTTTGAAGTTACAAGGAGATTTGCAAGCTAGTTCTTCCATACCTGATCCTTGTATGGCCCCTTTAGTCTGGTTCCTTGCATGTCGAGGTGATGCGTGGAAGTATACGGCTGTTATACAGTCCCAGGTGAAGAGGGACTCCCCACTAAATTTGTGAGCTGGTTCAGACCTGTCACCCAGTCCAAAGCTAATATTATAAAGGAAATGACAATACTGTGGTCTGGCTCCCTGATGCATAAGGATCAGGCTTTGCAACTTGTTCTGATTGTTGATTATATTATGTACTGGGCCCGCGACATATATCGCATTGAAATTCTAACGCATCTCCGATCAATTGTCACCGGTAAACTCTCAGACGAAATTACTTACAGAGACAGTGATATGTTCTCAACATATGGAACCATCTTTAACTGGATCCCACCCGCAAGAAGCATCGTGACCGAGGAAAAGAAAAACTCACGCTCTGCTGTAACTGCCGATGAACCTGAAACGAGTCTGTCAGACTTTACAACAGGACGGTTCAGCCACCAAAAGATCCTCAATACCACAATTTCAAACACAAGGCTTGGATCAGTTCGCTCAGCAATGATTTCACATTTTAATTTCGATTGCCTCTACATCACATCCGATCTGATCCCTAGTCTATTTGAATTGATTGGAGGTAAACATCAGAGCAAAGATCGCATTGAGTCCGCAGCGAGAAGTTTCGTAAACTTCTTCACGCAAATTGATGAGACATTGGTAATGTCTGGAAAGAGCCTGGAGCTGTTTGAATCACTATGGACTGGATCTAGCCGTTCCAGTTTGGAAGCTTACCCAGAGGAGCTTTTTGTCACCATGGAGGCAAGTTGGTATTTTAACACTTCTTGGGATATTAAGCGCAAAATATCATGTCTGGCAATATCTCGAACAGCATTTGATATGCTGACAAAAGCTGCCAACTTTCTAGTCAAACATAGAGGGGTCCAAAACCTTGAAAATACTGAGAGAATTTGCCATGAAGACAAAATCCGACTTTTGGTACAGTGTCTCGCTTCTGGGCCCCCCTGGCAGGTACTTCTTGCCACAATATCGTCAACTTTGCTTACTTTGTACCCTTTCCCTTTACGGGAAAGACATGATTTTACACCCCCATTAGAAGCCATTGGATTTGGCTATATTTGAGAGGCAAGCGCTGGTCCTTTCATCCAAACGATTCTACGTCAATAGATGTGGGCACCTACCAAGCGTATGACTGTCTCAGACGCCGAAATGAGAGCTGCCCACCGTATGGGCATGACCATTAATAATGTTCGTAATTCCAAGCGCAAAAAAGGAAAAAGACATCCCGGACACGAGGATTGGTCATTTAAACGTATCTTGGAGTGTCAAAAACAGATAAGACAGCCGAAGCACATTTTTCTGACCACTGCGCCCGATGCCTCCTCAGCCAGGAACACAATGTCTCATCCTCGGATTATCGAATATTCTCGGGTTCCAAGATTTTGTGCAATATAAGGCAAGATTTCGAAGTATTATTTTTGAGTATAGTCCCCTACTCCAAACCCTCGAGTTCTTTGTACATAGGTCAGAATAGGCATTGGCGAGGCCATACGTTTTATCAGACTCGAAGAAGATTCTTCTTTCCAATAATTATTTTTTCATTTACAGGTTTAATTTTTACGGCTATACTAACCTTGGAACATTCAAGCATGGACTTTGAATTGAACTCGCTCACGCTGCCTGCTCGTGGCGTAACAATTTTTTTAAATTGAGAGTGGATTCATCTCGGAGAATTTTCTGTTTTATACCTCCACGCGTCTGCCCTCTGGGAGTAACCGACTCTATCTCTCAGATGGATGGATCTGTTTGGGTACATAGAGCTCCTCCAAGTAACGTATCTCCTCTTCTGTTAGCTGAACGCTGATGGCAGCCACAGCTTCATCTATGCGATCTTGACTGTTCAGACTGAGAATGGGGTTCTCGTTAGGATGAGCCAAGCACCAAACAATCGCAACCTGGGCCATAGTGATGCCTTTACCTTTTGCAACTTCCTCTACTATATCAATAATCGCCTTGTCGCCTGCCGATTCTCGATCACGGATAATGCTTTTAAGACTGCCATCAGTAGACTCGCGGATACTCGAGCGAGAATCCCACGCCCTGGCAAGCACACCACGAGCTATGGGGGACCATGGAGTAAGTCCGATCTCTGTGTCCAAGCAATATGGAATCATCTCGCGCTCCTCCTGGCGCGCAATGAGATTGCGAAGGCTTTGCATGGAAACAAACCGATGCCATCCGTTCTGTGCGGCTATATTCTGGAGAGTCTGAAAATCCTACGCAGCCATCTGGGCGTGGTGCATATTCATTAGGTCTTATATCAGGGAAGGCTCTTTTTCTGAACACGAAATGACTGACAGAGCTAGCACCGATGTATCGAACTTTCCCACCGTCAATGACATCGTTCAAGGCCTTCATAATTTCCTCTCTGGGGGTTCCACGATCCAAACGATGAATCTGTAGCACATCGATATGAGTCCCCAGTCGCCTCACACTTGCTGCGACTGCGTCAAAAATATGCTTCCTTGACAGTCCAACGCGGTTTACCCGTTCTTTTCCATCATTATAGGCGGTAGCTCGATTTATCGGTTGTCGGCCTTGGTCGTCCACGCCGAATAACACTTTGTCATAATGACAACGCGATCGCGTGGTATTTTCTTCTGTTCCAGAAACTTCCCAATAATCTCTTCGGAACGACCGTGGGAATAGATATCCGCCTGGTTCAGTATCATGTCAGAAATTTTGGGTATTGAAAAAAGCAGCTTTTTGTGTTTTGACTAGGACACAGACTGTATCCCAGGTATTAGTGCCTTTATTGTAGGCATGCTCGAGAAGGAGGAAAGCTTTTTCCTCATTGAGGACCCATCCCTGCCACTCGCTGCTGCCATAGGACATAATCCCGAGAACAATTTTGGAAATCTTGAGTCCGGAGTTGCCTAGCCTGATGATTGTTGGAAGTGCGTTAGATCCATCTGATTTGGCTTTCACCAAGAGGAAGATAATAGAAAAAGCAATATCGAACATATTCCATCTTGCCTTCCATATTCATCATTGAAGTAAAGTAATTCCTAGGTAGTTGTGAGCAACAAGCCTGTTTTCAGTCAGCAAAGTGAGGAAAATTAATGCAGCACGAAAGGATGGCAAGCAAAATATCTTATGAGGATGGAAGTTCTCTGGAGATATGAGAACGCCGCTTAAAGTCCGAGGGATGACACGTCGGGAAAACGGTAGGTTCAACCTTAGAACCTATTAAGGTTGAAAGTTTAATGAGCTTCTATAATTACAAGTATGACGGACGTCTGCTCGTTCTACTGAGCTTACTCCTTCAAGGCTTGCCTCGGAAAGGCACATCGGTTAGGTTCAAAGGTACCGTAATATTACCGTATCGTTCGGCTTGGTTCACGCATGGTTATAGATAAAGAGCAGGGCCCTCTCTTATCGCCCCGAGAGCTTTCCACATTGGTTCAAACCTCAGTGCAAAAATGATGGACAGAAAGTTTGTTCTTATCACTGGTGGAAGCAGAGGTGAGTGCCTAGCCTTCAAGGTATCGTTTCGTTTGCTTCAATTGCTGATCAATATCGTCACACAAGGGATTGGCAAAAGTCTGCTTTCGACATATCTTTCAAGGCCGAACTACACTGCCATTGCTGCTCTCCGTGATCCAAACACTTCATCATCGAAAGAACTAGAAACTCTCCCTTGTGGAAAAAATAGTGAGCTTATTTTGGTAAAACTCGACAGCTCCTCGGAAGATGATGCATGCGCCGCGGTCAAAACCTTCGTGTCCGAGCATCATATACAAAAGCTCGACATAGTGGTTGCTAATGCAGGAATTTCAGCTTATTTGGGTAAAGCGACCGTTACGCCAGTCCACGAGATATTCGAACATTTCGAGGTCAATACTGTGACTCCTTTACTGCTATTTCAATCTACGAATTTCCTGCTAAACGCTGCCTCGATCCCAAAATTTGTGATCATATCATCTGGTGCTGGAAGTCTGAGTGGAGTAGAGAATCTACCAGTGGAGAACACTGCCTATGGCACATCAAAGGCTGGCGTCAACTTTGTCATGAGAAGGATTCACTATGAAAATCCGAATTTGATTGCCTTCTCCATCAATCTTGGGTGGTTTCAGACAGATGTGTGTCACTCTCCTGACCAACTTCTTTTTCCGAATGCTGATTTCTCTAGTTGGGCAACCACACTGCCATAGGAATTGGAATGGTTGTAGCTCCTGTCCCTATCCAAGACGGAGTGAACGGTGTCATCGAGCAAATTGGTGTGCCTACCTGAGAGAAAAGTTCGGGAAAATTTCTTAATTATGATGGAAATTTGATCCCTTGGTGAAGAACCCAAGATTATCAGAACTACTGATTTGGGTCAATATCATTATAGAGCTTCCATAGTGTCCGTGAAAAGAGATATGAAAATTGGCTATGAGGAATCTGAGTAGGTAGTATTACTCAAATAGTGATATTCACTCCTGGAAATGTAATTTCCATGATATAGTTATCGAAATCCTACACGTACTACACCATAATTTGCAAAATTATGTCGCTGGGACTAGAAATATCGAGTGGGTTTGTTTTTTTCAAGTCACTTGCCGCCTCAGGAGCGGAATAATCAGTTTCAAAGAACAAATAGCTTACCAGTGAGAATACTAGTATCATCGCTCATGATCCTAGCGTCGAAATATCCCAAATTTCCTTTTGTGGGATTTGCTCGTACATTTTAACCTACCTGTAACTTCGCAGTAAGTCCGACCGAGTGGGTTGCGTTGATGACCGTGCGTAAGTTAGGCATTTCCACTAGGGCCGCTCGCTGACGCAAGTGGCATCAGCGATGTAATTCTTACCACTGTAATACCACTATGCTGAGACCATATCCAAGATGCCAGTCATTCAAAGAGTAACCGGAATTCTAAGCTATAGGATGTATAGACCCCACCACCCGAGCGTGTGATGGAATTGTCAAATCACAATTGACATATGTTGAAAACGAGTCTGTATCTCTATCCACGATTCGTTTATTATCACCGAATAGCATGAACTTCAGAATTCGATCAAATTGCCCAGTGAATCTTTAAAGCCTTGATTTTTTTCGGGCCTTGGTAAATCGATCTAAGTATCCATCTCTTGCTGAGATCTATTAAATGGCATTCTCAAAGCTTGCCCTTTTTGGCTATATTCCTCTTCAGTCACAGCTTCGTGCCATACAGTGCTCCCAATTTCAATAACGAAGTGAGTCATAATGCTCCCATAATCCGCTCCATGCCAGTGGGTAGTTCCAGCTGGAGCCCAAACAACATCACCAGTCTTCAGGCGCTGTGGAACGCCGCCCTTATCGCAGATCCAGCCGCTACCAGCGATAACTTTTATCATTTGTCCCTTTTCATGAGTGTGCCAATGGGTTCGGGCACAAGGTGCAAATGTGGCATTGGCAATGCCTGCATCTTGGTCGATATGGATCGGATCCAGAAAAACGTCACCGCTGAAGGTTTCAGTGGGCTTCACACACTTAACGTCCTATCTGAAGCCATTCGGGATGACAAGTGATTTAGGCATGATCGCATACGATGTGCTCTAAATAAATAGGAGTTGGGTTTAGCTAATTCTCATGGAGTAGATCAAAACGGAGCCATACCCTGAAATTCCTCTTTTTGAAAGATGGTGAGATGAAACGATTGAAATCAGTCCGGAGTCAAAACAGCTTTTTGGAGGTAAAGACCTTACATCACTATTTAAAGATCCAAATTTTACCCTGTAGTCACCAAGCGATGCAGAGCTTTTTTCAGTCTTCTGCGGCAAAAGCTCAGCAGAGTCAGCAATCAGCAGATTTCACTGATGTGCCAAGAAGTTCCACTAAATCCCACCTTTAAGTCCGATTTGCTTACATCGGCACTTCCCTACCGACGAGGCATTTCCAAAATCCAAGGCATATTGCGGCATTACAACAATCATTTGATGAATCGTCTGTGGAGTACAATACAATCTGACTGGAATTACTAGCTAATGGCTAAATTAAGACTAGCGTGTTTCGAAGCAGGGTTCGCGAATGAATGTCTAATTTCGAATATTACTGTAACCCATAGATGATCTCAAACTCTCCCACCATGACGCCGGGATGATGGAGTACACGCCGACCCACATTTAGTTTATACCAAACATTCTCTTCCAAACCAGTGGCTTCTCACCTCTTCGCAAACGAACTGTAGGTGATAAGCCTGGAGATGGTGCAAGTTTTCAAGTCAAAGCTGAAAAAAAAAGTGAGAGAAAAAGAGAAGGTTGTTTCTGAATTTTTGAATATTTCACAAGCGACCTGTTTACAGTTTCGATTCTTTGGGACTACACATCTCTTTGATCAGATTTCATGCCATAATCTTCAGCAAGGTGTCGCCGATCACTGCAGCACTTCGTGGGTTTTGTCCTGTCACTAAATTCCCTCCATTCCCGCTAACAACCACTTTTACCTCAAATAAGCCATCAGCGCTCTCAAACTTTGCTCCGCGTTTTCGAAGCTCCGATTCCAAAAGAAATGGCATGTCTCTTGTGAACTGCATATATTCCTCCTCCGCGTCAGACAAGCCCGTCACAGTCTGATTTGAAACAAGATACGTTCCGTTGGATAGTTTCACATTGACAAGAGCAGCAGGGCCATGGCACACAGCTGAGACAACTTTGGAGGACTCATAGAATTCGCGAATCAAAGCCTGGGAAACAAGATCGGTTGCGAGGTCAAACATCGCTTTAAATTATGTGTCAGAATTCCATTGTGTGCAGTATATCGTGAAAACAACGGGGTTCAACTCACGACCATGACCACCAACGTAAAATATGCCCGCAAACTCAGCCGATCTTCCAAGGAACGAGGACAACTTCTCGGTTTCTTTCCACAAATTCTCATTTTCTTCTAAAAAAGCCTGACAATCAGAGTCGTCTTTGGTAGCTTCAATAGAGTAAGGATCCAGTGGTGCCTCTCCGCCAGCTGGAGAAGAGATGACGATGTTGAAATGGGGCGCAAGCTTATTGTAGGGGTGGACAAGTTCAGGCAGGTACCAGCCAGTAGGGGTCCCCCGACTAGGCAGAGTTGCCTGGGAAGAAAGTACGAAGAGGAAGTTGGGCTTTTCGATCATATTGAAAATAGTAGAGGCGTGGCCGGGTGACGTGTATGGGTTATTCATGAGACAACAGCAATATAACTCCCGGTACGTTGAAGATCTACGTTCCTAATGGTCACATCCTTTGCTTTATAGTTGAAAGCCCAGTGACTGTCACTCCAGAGTCGAGACATGCACGGGCCAAGGTTCACCCGGTATTAAAAATATGACCACATGAACTTTAGCTGAGGGAAATTCGACGGACTTGTGCTAAATCCGCTGCAAACCCCGCTCTTGCTCAAGTAACAACGAGAATTTTATCAATCGCATTCCAGAGAGTATCATTTTTGCTTACCTACATATATCCCCACTCGGTGGGACTCTTCGGATTTACAGGCTTAAATCCTTGCTACACCTCCGTTATAGCCGATCTTCCATACTTCTTTCTCGCAATCCTGCATACACATCATTATGCCCTACACCATCACTGTTCTTTTCCCCAACGAACCAGATGCCAAGTATGACATCGAATACTATGTCGCGCACCATATGCCACTCATACAACAACATTGGAAGAAGTACGGGGTCCAGAGCTGGTCCGTTACCACGTTCGGTCCTGGTCCGATGGGGCACAGCCTCCCTATACATTCGGAAGTATTGTCGTTTGGGAAAGCAAAAAAGGTGTCGAGAAAGCCTTCGAAAGTATTGAGGTCACGGAGATCATGAGTGATGTTCCCAACTTTAGCAATAAGCAACCGCTGTTCTTGTTTGGTTCGCATGTTGGGGAAGCAAATTAAATATCTCACGACAATCCAATCAAGATCCATTGAAATCAGGTATGTTCACATTTGACTTATTTCTGACTATTATATCTAATTTGAAAAGTAGTTAATTAACTAGATGTCGTCTACGTGGTTAGTAAGTTATACCGTCCAGGGTGACTTTCTTTTGTACATTGTCATTTACTTAGATAGCTCTGAGAGCGGCATAAGTAACCTTGGAAGCAACCTGATAATTCTTGATTAGTCTTTTACTTTAAGAACTCCATTTTGTAACAGTATCGAGTTGATGCTCTTCCATATGATATTTGGCTTTGTATATTTGTATATGTTTTGGGACCATGGCTGCATCCTAGTTGTTACAGTTCAATAGATTTGGCAGTGGGAGTGCCTCTTCATGGGTATATTCTTTAGCTCTACCTAGGTGAATACTGGCCAGGTCCACTCCGCTATGTGTATACCCCATGGTTCCAGTGATAGTCACCTAATCGATTGTATCTATCTCCGAGACCGACAAGAGACGCGTCAGGACTGGAAAATGTCAGTTTGAGAGGCCTGCACTCACGCCCAAACAGAGAAGCCCTTCGAAACTAGCGTCTTCAAGTTTCGCTCACCCGTCGCTGATGTTGCGGCGTCCTCCAATGCCTACAGGACTGTAACGTGACATGCGCTACATCAATGTTTGTACCAACTCTGTAGAATCCTCAATATATTCGCAGGAAATTCGGAGCAGTGTACTCCCAAGTATTCTGTATGAAAGTTAGCTCCGCTGTAATTCATCGGCTATGATGTTCCAGTCCTTCCCCAGAATACACAGTCCAGGCGAGTTCGCCATCCTATGGACTGCTTGTCTCGATTTATCGCATGGATAGGCAATCCACATTGCTTGGTAATCGAACAAAATAAGGGTGTATAGTGATTAATCATTGACCGAGCTCAGATTCCTACAGTCTGCACGAAATATCTTCTAGAACAGGATTTTATGATGGATATGCAAATGATGGCTATGACTCAGACAAGAAAAACATTCAAAAATCACAAAGTATCAAAACTATAGGATATCTACGAATCATTGATCCATAAAATACCGGAAAACAAGACAGGCCTAGCAGATCAGATCGACAGCCGATGTGATATTTGATGAAACGGAATGAGGTGTCCGATTCTCGATTCGGAATTTTCTCAACAATCATCGCCGTAGTCATAGTCAAAATCGGAGTCATACGCCCCGGTAACATCAAACGGAATAGTGATAGACCCGCTAAGCAGATATTAGCAAATTGTGATCTCAAAAATATCGAAAACACATACCATGCGTGTTCATTACAATAAGTCACTGGCATGCCCCCTTCTTCTGGGTTATCCGAGTAATCATAGTTCAGGGAGAACCCATCGATGCAGTCTTCTCAACAGATTAATATAATTGAAGATAGTGGTTTGAAGGATCTATCATATTAAACATACCAAGGTCATTATCCCCAGGGAGTGTACCGCCCTGGCATGTTTCGGTTTCCTCACCGGTCACATCATCGGTTACAGTCATTTGCCCGTTTGTTCTTCCTTTAAAATTCACGCAAGCCAAAGTGGAAGAAGAAAAGCCAACAGCTACAATAACTGTTGCCACGATCTTCGAGCTAATCATTTTGATAAAATAAGATAAAGAGATATCTAGAAATCGAAGGCTGAAGATTGAAAATTGAAGAGTGCTTTGCTGGAGAATGATGCGATACTGTTGATAGTTGTCTTTGAGAAGGTGTGATATAGTCCCTTTTATAGAGACCATGAGCAAGCTTGGAATATACGTATAGTTCACTGTCTATTAGTAGTATAGGGGCCAAACAAAGGTGCAATATATATTGTTACCGTCTTCAGCAGTGATGCCCAGGAAATCTTGGAGTCATTTTCTATACTTGTTTGAAAAGAGGCCATTGGAGGACGGTGATGTCACGCTTTCATGCTGAGCTGTGCCTTTTCCGGACCCAATACAGGTGTAGATGAATCTGATGGAGATAGATTTGCAAACTTGAAAGCTATACAGGAAAGGATGATCAGAGCTGGGGAAAGGTCGGGCAAAATGGGGCGGGTCCAAACATCAAATCGGTCTTGGCGTGCCGCTCCGCGGCTGTCGCCAAGACCGCATTCAAGGTTTAAAACCTCAATTTTTGGAATTATTGCCAAGAGGAGTTCTCACCCAGGCAGCCCCCGGGGCCAGAAAGATAGCCACTGAGGTCATGGTCATAACCTATCCAGGTACAATCGAAGGGAGCTGTGAGTAGACAAGGAACCCCGAGGTCTAAACAAGACCAGGGTGTCGGATAAATTGTATTTCTATTAATAATAGGTATAGACTTTGCCTAATAAAGACTTTGCCTACCTAGGTAACATTGATTCAATACCTCGGACTCTCACTTCGGCTTGATGTATATCTTTTTCTCTCTGCACCGGGTGGGCATCATCTTTATCATCTCGGAGGTATGAATTCGATACGTCCTTTACGCTCACTACCTTGTGCCTCTGTTTCTCCCTTCAAACATCGATATATAAATTTCCAGGTCTTAATTTAGATATAGATAGATCTATAAGCTATAAAGAGAAGGATAATCAGAGATAGATAAAGTTAGGCTAAACAAGACGGACCCAATTTTCAAATATGATTTAGCGTGCTACTGCGAAGTACCCACCAAAATCTTATTCAAATACGAGACTCTGAAGCCATTGCCAAGGGGGCCATTATGTAGGCCCCCGGGGCCCTAAAGCTAGACTAGGGAGTCGAATTATGAACATTTCTATCAATCTCATAGATACAAATGACGTAGAGGGTATACCTAGCAAAGAAAACATGAGCCAGAAACCTGGTCCTTTTGATGTCATACCCAGCATCATCATCATCATCATCATCGTTGGATGAACATCTCTCTCTCTCTCTCTTAGTGGTGTAGAGGGGAATTGCTCCAGTTCAATGCAGCTTTCCCTGAAACCATAGAAAAGAGGGATTGTCAAGGCCATCGAAGTTAAATTTAGATCAGAGATCTAATTTACGCGATCATAGTTGTTTTATATTACCCTAGAGATAATTGTGCAAAAAGGAGTAAGAGGAATAGTAAGTGGAATAACAGAGGCTAAGATATGAATCATTCCAAGGTTATAATATGTAGTCTCTCTAGATAATTCAAATTCTCCTGCTAGGAGCCACCACCACCAATTGGGACGAAAGATTCTCTAGTCTCAGCCCGGCTGGTCTTCTTGGTCCGGTTGGCTTTCGCTACTGTATAACGTAGCACCAATTTTATCTTTCTTCCCGTCCTTATCTTATGAGGATAGAAAATTATATAAAGGAATGAAATGAAGAGTCGTGAAGACAGTGCAACCCCCCCGGGGGTGTTGAAGGAAGATCAGCGACTCTCTAATAATATACGTGCGAGCTGAGATAGTGGGGACTTTTGAATTGTATACATAACTTTGCACAGCCTCGTATTTGATGAAGTATATTGGCAGAAGATCGATACGTGATGTTTTGATATATTGAGAATACAGTAGAAGCGTGGAAAGGCGTTTTTGGTCGCTCCTAACTTGCTGTATGCTGTAGTATAACTACATAGAGGAAGACTCGGGATAGGTATGTTTGCACTGTTTGTACGTTTATGTCGGATAGGGGCGAATGCGTATGAACTAGTATAACTGGATACTATTTAGAGAGGGTTGTTCTATCTAGGTGCTCGATCGAGTTGAGCGATCTTACCTGATTCGTATAGGCTAGTTATATAGCCTATATGTACGCTTATGTGCGCTTTATATACAAAAATAGTAATATAGGATCTAAGCCTGCGCTGAATTATCAATCTGTAATAGGAAAGGTGGTAATCTTCTCTTGCGGAGTTCGATATACTCCTCTAGTGTGTGCGGTATTCTCTGTTCGCTTCTATTTAGGTTGGACTAATTAATCTAGTAGGTCCTTAATGTCCTCAATTCTAAGCTGACGGATGAAATTGGTGTGTTTCTGATGTGGTAGGAGCTTAGTGAGGCTGTCTGCGATTATCTTGTTCGTTCTTGTCTATTGAATAATAATATTTTCTGCCTGTACTTCTTGGTGAAGCTAATGGTGATAAATATCTATGTGTTGTAACTTTGTATATAGTTGAGGCTGTTTTTTGTGAGTAATCCAACTGTTTATTGATTATTGTATTTAATCGATAGTAGGTGATTAGGGTTAAATTTGATAGCTGTAAAGAGATATTTCTATATCTATATTGTCTTTATATTCTTAGAGATAGTAAGGAGTTCGGCTTTAGTTGTGCTGGTTGTGACTGTATGTTGCTTTCTAGCTCTCTATTTAACTAGTCCTCCGAAAATTATATATATATATCCTTCTGAGCTCTTCCGGTCTAGATTGTCGGTAAAGGAGATGTTAGTAAAGAAGGAAACGGCTTTGATTTTATTAGATTATTGGGGATAGTAGGTGATTGTATATGATTGTATATAGTAAAGGTAAGTAATCATTCTATTAATTGTATCTAAATACTTAGGTCCTGGATTCTTTAGGAACTATATAAGGACGGTAGTATATTTAGTAATATCTGGTTATATTATTATAATAGTATATAGAGTTGATCTAATCTTTTATTAATACTTATAGATCTATTTAGATATTACTTTATTGTTAAACTTCTGAAAGGATATATTCGGTAATAGTATTGCTATTTGTTGAAGATAGGTAAGATAGTATTGGCTAGTTATTAAAGAGATATATAAGTCTTAATAGAGCTAGAGAACCTTATAGTTATGATCTTAGATAATTTAAATCCTAAGGAACTAGGTGGTCTTACTAATATCTCTTAACTTCTATTTATTTATAAGCTGTTATCTAAGCTTTTATACTTATTTGGTTTAGGAAGGGTAGTTAATAATAATAATATTATTAATATAAAAGAAGATAATAATTCTATTATTTATAAATAGATAAAGATCTTCTTGTACTACTTGAAATCCTAGTTTTATTAATATCTTTATAGCTTCTTTTTACTATAGATATAGGGATTTTTATAGGCTATATAATATTTTTATAAGCTTCTAGTATTGTCTAGATTATTAATAATCTTCTAGTAACTTTATTATTACTTCTTTATTAAGTATATTATTAAGAAAGGTATTAATAGTATTAAATTAGTAAGTATTAAGATTAAATACTATTACTAAGATAAAGATAGCTCTTATTATTTATACTACTAATATAGCTAAATATTTCTTTTTGGTTATGATCTTTTATAGATTGTCTTATATATAGATTCTTACTTTTAGTTTAATTAAGAAGTTATTACTATTAAATTTATATATATATATCTAATAAAGTAGAAAGATCTAGGTACTTTAATTATTTAGTTGGTGAATAACCTAGTATATTTCCTTTTATTTAAGTGTTTTTAGTTTAAGTACTAATACTTTTAGAAAGCCTTCTTAGTAAGGATATTTTATTATCTTTTACTAGTTCTCTAAGATAGATAGAAGATTATTCTTATAGGCTTTTATATATAAATAAGTATTATTTAGTCTTATTGTAAAGATAGAGAGAGTTCTATCTTTATAATTACTATTAGTATAAAAGCTGAATTCTTTTAGCTTTTGTATATAACTCCCTATAACGATATTATATTTGTCTATATCTCTATTAATATCTCTTAGTATATATAGTATAATTATAGTTATAAGCTTATCTTAGAGTTAATTAGTAGGATCTTATTTATTCTAAATTATTCTATTAGATATTAGGAATAGTAATAAAAGCTACTGATCCCTTTCTTTTAGTTATTATTTATGATTACTAGTTAATTAATTTAAAGATTTAAGCTATATATATAAACTAATTGAAGGTTATTTATTGGTTAGATCTCTTTCTATATCTAACTCTAATTTATTATTTATCTAAGGTATTGCTTCTATATTATTTCTGATCTATTTGATTATAATATCTTATAGGTTAAAGAATCTATTCTTATTAAAGATTATATCTTAGATCTCTTAGACTATTATTTATTATAGAAACTAAATCTTCTAGATATTTAAGGCTTTATATCTAATAAGATAACTTATTTCTATATATGTTTATATCTTATTAGTATTTAGAATATTTTGTTTTCTTATATATATATAATAGTTATATACTTTTAGGTTTATAAAGTTAATAGATATTAGTAAAGAGTTTAATACTAATATTAGTACTTCCTGATATAGGATAATCTACTTCTTATCTAGTATCTTTATAGATAATCTATTTAGAATCTATACTACTATTTAGATAGCTTTAGGCTAAAGAGCTTTTAGTAAGCCTAAATCTATTATTAAGCTTTTATTAACTATAATTATTACTCCTCTAGATCTTTCTATAAAAGAATTCTATTCTAGAGTACTAATAATATTATATTCTACTATAAAGCCTTATTTAGCTATAAAATCTTTAATTATATAGCTAGTTAATTGCTTATTATTGTAATAGAATACCTTAATTAGTAGATTCTACTAATTTCTTATATATATAATAAATTCTCTAACAATATTCTAATAGCTATTTTTTTATTTATATATAAAGATAATATATAAGTATATTCCTACTATATAAAAATAGATAATCTAATAATATCTATTATAGCCTAGATCTATTTAGATTAAATTAAAGTAAATATATCTAAATTAACTAAATCTTCTTATATTTAGTTATTAGGATATCTACTACTTTATTTTAGTAAGCTAATAGACTTTATATTTTTTTGAATAATTTTATTTATCTTTATTCGATTCTTTAGTAATTTATATACCCTTAACTATCTTTTAAATCCTTGAAAGGTTTTGTTTAGCTATATATCCTAGGTATTAATACTATCTTTTTATAGATACTTCTAATATTAAGGGTTTCTCTAAGTAATAAATAAAGAATACTAAATATATTAGTATAGAGTCTATAGTATTAATAATATATAAACTATTTTATCTTTTTACTACTAATATTAGTTTATTTATGTCTTTCTAGATGATTATACTTCTATTTAGATCCTAATAGAACCTACTATACTCTATTTAGTTATATAAGATTATATTTATATAGAATCCTAGTATATACTATATATTTTTAAAATATAAACAAACTAGAAGTTTTATATAAGGATTATTACTTATTATTATAATTTCTTTAGTTCTAAGGATTTCTATATATATATCTCTAGTTTTAATCTTATTAGATTATAGTAATAAATATTTAAATATTATATAATTATTATAGATATAGACTAAGGCTCTAGAGTTAATAATCTAGTTTAATTATAGAGGGCTTATCTACTTAATTAGGAAATAAGATATTATAAATACTATCTCTTCTTAAGTATATGATTTTGTATTAACCGGCCCCACAATTTTTCTTTCACAAAAATAATGAACCCTCGCTTACGAGGGTCCGCCACCCATATGGAACAGATCACCCATATGGAACATTTTTTCTAAATCTTACCACAACCACTATTATCATCTACCACACCACCAACAATGCCTAAAACCAATAAAGATATAGAGAACCAGATTCAGCTGGCAATAGAGTCTCTCTCTGAGCAATCTAAGCCTAATATTAGGAAGACTGCGCGAGAATTCGCGGTTCCTGAAGGCCGTCTTCGTCGGCGCTGGCAAGGTGGAAAATCGCTTTTCCAACGACAACCTAATGGCCGGAAGCTTAGTATTGCACAGGAGAAGGCTTTATGTGAATATATTGATTATTTTGATGCGGTCGGAGCATCAATAAATCGCCGTCAAATTGCTATTGCTGCCGATTCAATTCTGGAAGAAGATCATACCGACACCACCACAGATCCCCCACAAATTGGCGACCATTGGCTAAAGCGTTTTCTTAAACGGTATCCTGAGTACTATATACGACGTCGGCGAGCTCTTGATGTTGAAAGAGCTACTGCACTGGATAAATCCGTTATAGAGAGATGGTTTCAAGACTATCAACGTATAGTGGCTAAATATGGCATCTGTCAACAAGATATCTACAATTTTGACGAAACTGGCTTCCAAATTGGCGTCGGTCGCGATCAATTTATTATCACAAGACATCCAAAAAAGAAGCTATTTAATGGCTCAGTTACCAATCGCGAGTCTGTCACTGTTTTAGAGGCTGTTTCGGCTGATGGCTTTACATGCCCACCGCTGATTATTCTAAGCGCTAAACAAGCATTACTACGTTGGTTTGATAAAATTGAAGACGACGAGCATCTTGCTATAACTGATACTGGCTATATCAATGATACATTAGCATATCAATGGATTCAGCTGTTTCATAAATGGACAATTTCTCGTACCATTGGGAAAAAGAGGCTAGTTTTATGCGATCGTTTTGGATCACATTTAACGCGTCAATTTGTTGAATTTTGTGAGAAGAATGATATCATTCTATTCTTCTTACTCTCACATACTAGCCATATACTACAACCTCTCGATGTTGGAGTGTTTAGTGTATATAAACACTGGCATAGTGAGGCAGTTGAGGCGGCTACAATGACTGGATGCCGTAAATTTTCAAAGGATGAATTCCTACATTCAATCAGTGAAATCAGACGCAAAACCTTCCGGCCACATACAATCAAGCTTGGGTTTAGATTAACTGGCCTTTGGCCAATTAATTCTAAGCTTATTACCGATGAATTGGATTCGTACGATCCATATTATGATAATATATCCCGGGAAGATACACCATCAGTTAACTCACAAAATACTGAGTTTAGCACCCCAAAAACCGCTGAGAGAGTTCGAAGAATTAGCGATCGTATTAATCAATATGATCCTACTACTCAACGTTTTAAAGAAGGGCTAGCAAAGCTTGTAAAGGGTGCTGAGACTCAGGCAATGTTGGCTGTCCAACTGCAACGGGAATTCGATTCTACACAAGCTATTATGGGAGCACGTCACGCTAGATATGATGCTTCTCGCCGTTATACGCAAATCACTGGTATTATCAATTCAAGCCAGATCAAAGAAATGAAGCTAAAAGAATATAAATTGACTGAAAAAGCCGATCAAGAAAAGACGAAGCGGAAGTGGAAGAAGATATTGGTTGAAATTAGGAAGCATGGAAGAGCCAAAAAACGCCGGGGAAATTAACTTGATTTTGTATTCTAATATTAAAATGGCTGATTGATTTGTTTATTATTTTTAGTTAATTAATTAACTATATGGTGGTGTGGTAAATAGTAGTTGTAGTACGATTTAGCAAAAATGTTCCATATGGGTGATCTGTTCCATATGGGTGGCGGACCCTCGTAAGCGAGGGTTCATTATTTTTGTGAAAGAAAAATTGTGGGGCCGGTTACTCTTTTTCTTTTTCTATTATATCTTTTTAATTTAATTATAATCTAATTAGCTTATCTTTTTAATATTCTCTTATACTTTCTTAACTATATTCTTATAAAGTTCCTATTCCTCTAGATAAATAGTTTTATTAAGATAGAAGTACTTTAAGAAATAATATCTTAGTAATCTATATAGATATCTTTATTTCTTATCTAATTACTTTAGCTCTAAAGCTTTTACTTCTAGCTAATTATTTAGTATTATAAATACTATCTTTAATATTAATCTTTAGGATATTATAGATAGGTTAGTACAATAGTATTAATAGTCTATTATTACTTTATAGAATTTAATCTTATCTAGATATTTACTTAACTCTTATTTCTAGTCTATATAGAAAGTATTATCTATATTCTATATAATATTAAGAAAGTCTCTAATAACAAATATATCTCTAAATAAGTAATCAGGAATCTTTATAACCTTCTCTTCTTTAAATAGGGAATCCTATTAAGTAATCTACTAATTAATATTAACTAATTAGTTAAGTAATTAAATTATTACTCTCTACACTTATTAAAGCTTTTATTAACAGTTTTCTAACTTTAAGTAGAATATTTTAGCTAGTTTTAAAAGTTTCTTTCTTAGTAAGTCTTTATCTATAATTAGATAGTAATATTTAATAGCTAATAATTAAATAATAAGACTATTTAGATATATTATTATCTTTAAGAGCTTTATATATTTTGATTTAGATCTCTTATAGATCCTTATCTTTAAATCCTATACTTAGATCTTATCTTCGAATAGGTCTTTAAGATCTTTCAGTTATCTATAATTATTTTTAGGGACTTCCGGCTTTAATAGAGCTATAGGAATCTCTAAGATCTTATTATTAGATCTATTAAGATTAATATAATCCTATATTTCTTCTAAATTTACTACTAACCTAATATATCCTATCTAGACTCTCTAGTATACTTTTAACTAAAGCTTCTAGTTAACCGGAATTATTATAAACTTCTCTTTATCTAAACTAACTATTATAATCTATATATTTTCTATCTTAGTTTAATTTAATTTAACTAGGATATATAGGTAGCTAACAAATTTCGTTTATAGCAATCACTTTACAAATTTAAGAATAATCTAACCCGTTTATTTAACTATAGCCTATCTAAATTGTATAGGGGTATATAGTTAAAAACTATTCTAAATATCTAATTCTATACAATAATACCGGACTTATAACTATCGGATAGGGACGAACATATATAAACTAGTACAACTAGATACTATTCAGAGAGGGTTATTCTATCTAGATGCTCGATCGAGTTAAGCGATCTTACCTAATTTGTATAGGCTAGTTGTATAGCCCATACGTACACTTATATACGCTTTATATACAAAAACAGTAATATAGGATCTAAGCCTGCGCTGAATCATCAATCTATAATAGGAAAGGTGGTAATCTTCTCCTGCGGAGTTCGACAGTTTATGTAGTTTAACCCACTTTCAGATGCAAACTAATTAGATGATTAGTCTAGAGAGTAGGTATCCGCTTATATATATAAAGTATAGCTCTCTCTTCTTTTCCTTTCCTTAATATTATTATTTATTATTCTTTGTACTCTCCTCTATTCTAGTAGATTATAGGTACCTCGTCACACTTAGTGGAATTGGAAGGAAGTCTATATCTCTTAGAGATGAGACTATAGGAATTTTGTTAGTAATCGTTGAAGTGAACAATTCATGAGGGGCAGAAAATAGATAACGTGAGAAGGCGAGAATGTATTAGACGGAATGACAGAGGCAAAAGGGCGGAGGGGCCTCAGAAGACGCAGAGAAGGCCATCTAATGTAGATATAGACTTACCCCCAGTTAAGATTAGCTGTACAGGCAAACTTGCAACCATCGATGAAGTTATTTAGGTTAGCTGCCAACTTCTCATCGCCAGTGTGCATATCGAGCACCTTGTCGGCGATTTGATCAAATTCAGCAACAGAAGATGACACAGTCTCGACTGCCACGTCAATAGCCTTTTGCAGTGACCTATACCGGAGAAATAGTAGTGGAATGAGAGAGTCCGTTTGTTCTTGCATCTGAATAGCTGAGTGTTAGATCATAAGATTATCGAAATTTGAGGTGCTGCGGTCACGTAAGATTTCCTTCTTGAGAGATATTATATCATTTGTACTATATTGATAAAATTGTATCAATTAGTAAGGTAGAAGGAGCTTATAAAATAGAAAATACGAAGCATCTACTCACACGGAGATAATGACGTTTGTCAGATGCCACAGTCGGCGAATGAGCCTTTCATTCATGACGGAATCTGGAATGTCCATTTCGTATACATAGCTTGGAATCCGTGAGCTAGGGAAGCAGAAAAGGATGATTGCGCTCAAAGAAGACGTACTTCGTCAAAGCCAAACATACTCCCACCGCACTAGACCCCATTCTACGGTGCATGTACTCCTCAGGTGTCGGGAGGTGAGTGCTGCATTGCACTTGCTGCTCTAGGTCCGTCATATCAATGAATAGGTTGATCTCTTTCAAAAATCGATCCAAGTCCTCTTCATAAATACGTATTCAGTGAGATGTACAGCCTCGTAGAGGAGATAATTGCCTTGATCGAAACGATACCTCTGTTGCACGATTCCGCTATTGCCTGGCCCACGATGTCAAAATTAGCAATTAGAGGATCCTTTGACCCGGGGAGATCTAAAATCTCCGCTTCTCCAATTGAGACTGAGGTTGAGTAGTGTATAAAGTCTTTTGTCTGTTGTCGGAAAATAGCACCCTGGTTATGGTGACGAACCATATCGGATATCTCAATGGAGTCGGATTCTGAACAATCTCTATATCAGAGCGAGCTCGCTTTGATGATAAAAAGCTCGTAATTGAAAGGAGGTCAACTTACCATCATCCCAAGCGAAGAGCTGTATTGATTATGGTATTAGTCGCGTAATTCCATAGGTAGGAAGATGATTGAGAGGAGGAGGGGACCCACCCAGAGTGAGAGGTATGTCGCAATGCATAGTCGGTCCAAAGAGGCGCACGGCCACCAAGCTGCTCCAAACTCTGCAACCTTTGTTTCTTTCGTCTTCCTAGCAATTTTACCCTTTGGGAAGAATCTAAGTCTGTCGTAAGCCAATGTATTCAAAGACACCGATTTAATGAAGGCTACTCCAACCTACTGGGTAAGCCTTTGATCGACCGCTACCGTAAGATCTTTGAGGCATGGATTTATGCCTTGAGGCCAATGGGAAAATGTAGCTTGAAGATCTGGTATGGTGAAAGCGATACCCCTTAGGGACGCGAGGAGCGATGGTCGAGGATCTGGAGTGAATGCCGAGAGAATAACTGAGAAAATGGCTCCCATCTTGAGGAATGTAAAATTTGAAAGGGTGTTGTTACATTTTTGGGACGAAGGGACTTTTTAAAGCCTTATGCTTAGAGCTCAAAAGTGGAATCTGAATGTTTGCCATGCTAGCGCGACCTTGGAAGCAGATGACGTGTTGCAGATGTTGTCCATCAACATGGCCCCCACTATCATTTGAACCGAGATTAGCGGACTGGGGCCTTTTATCCTACCGCTTACGGTTTATGTTTGCGTCCTATGTACGGAGTAAAGATAGCCAACATCCATCTGGGTCTTGATTTATGGCGGACTCGGATCGTCTCATCGATAAAGGCGAAGCATCCCTCGACCCACTCGCGATGTGGACTGGGAGCCGCATGGGGCGCCATGGGGCGGGATGCTAAGGCCTTCTGCTGCAGCTAAGTGCCCAGTGCGGCATCTATGCTCGCTCGGGCATAAATGTACCTAACCTTGGAACCTTGAAAATTACCTAGATACTGTTCTTTGCGTTTTGTGACAATAGTGATGCAACCCCCTGCTCCACCAGGGCTCCAAGAGCTCCACCAGCGGTGGAGCGGGGCACATGCATCTAGTACAGAAGGCCAACGGGGCACCTTCCAATTTGGCGCACAGGGTAGCCTAGAGCCCGCCGGCATCAGGATGTCTACGTCATAAAAAGCCCTAACTTTGCGAACCCTTGTCCCTCCTTTGCCGACAGAAGAGAGTGCCATTTCAAGGACAAACCGATCGCCCACTTTCTGCAGTTTCTCATTGCTTCCATTTAAACATTACCGTTTCAGCATCCTAACTTTTCGCTATACCATGCCTTCCAGCAAGCCAACGATCGTCATTGTTCAAGGCTCATTCCAGACACCTTTGGTATATGAGGCTCTTGAGGCTGGGCTCAAAAATGCTGGGTATCCGGTTGTTCATCCGCTGCTTCCAAGTTGCACTGATGTCGAGGCTGATGATTTTCCCTCCCGAACCCTGGTGGATGATGCCTCAGCTGTTACGAAAGCCATTAAAAGACTTGTGGTTGACGAGGAAAAACTGGTTATCGTCGTAATGCACTCCTATGGTGGAATTGTCGGAAGTGAGGCTGTCCAAGAGAGCCTTAGCTATTCACAACGCCAAGCTGAAGGTGAAAAGGGTGGAGTTGTTCATCTTTTCTACTATTCTGCATTCATCCTAGGGAAAGGGCAGTCAGTTCTTAGTACATTTGGTGAATCGCCGAATAATAATGTTAAGGTTTGTGGCACATCGTGGTTTCAATCTAAATGACCCCCTAAAAGAAAATCTCTGATGTTTGGGTACTAGTCTGATGGGCGATTCTGTATCAAAAATGGCGCCCCTACCCTCTACAATGATCTTCCGGATGATCAGGCTAGACTTTGGGAATCACGTCTAATTCCCCAATCATACAAAGTTCAAACGACACTTGTCGAAAATACGGCATACGAGGAAATTCCGTCCACATATCTCATCTGCGAAAATGATAAAGCGGCCCCGCCACAATACCAGGAGATGTTCGCTAAGATCTCCAGGTCAGAGACTCAACATTGCCAAGCAGGACATTCTCCCATGCTGAGCCAGCCTGAGATGTTAGTCGAAAGGATTTCAAGTATAGCCGAGAGCTCAACCACTGCAGTTTAGACACTAAATTAGGAAATTACTTTGAGCGACCTGCTTCCAGTCTTAAAGAGGTCTGAACAATGGATCTCCTACAGGGAATATCTGAGCATTGCTTCAAGCACTACCAGGTAGAATTTGCCTTGCTGTGATGTTTTACTTGCAAAGAATGGAACATCCTTTTAAGATTTTGGAAGCCCCAATGAACCGTATAATTATGTAGTAAATGTTTTGGGCCCAATTGAGAGTCCAATGTTTGAATACATGTGTACAATTTCTTTTTTTAAATTCCTCGAGAATGAATGAGCTTCAAGGTATTTGTCGTTACGCATGAACATGTTTCAAATATTCGCCCACGTGACAGGGATGGTTGTGTAGAGCTACTATAAGTTACTACCAGGTTCATTTTCATTAATTTCTGAAAGATGGGGGAGGGGAAGTGGAATTTCGAGATGTAATTGAAGAAGCCCATGATTCGATCGTACCCAGGCAAGACATCCGCCTATATAGGAAGCTTATAACGAACGGGAAGAACAATTGTATGTAGAAAATTATTAAACCTTAAACCACAAGCTCAGTTCGCTTACGCTGCGCCACCATGGGTCTTGATTGCAAGACCGCGTGCCAAGTTCAATCAAGAGATCGCACGCATGTCTTCCGCGATCTTTTCAGCCAAAGCGTCTACGCAAAAGGGTTAGATTGTTTGAGTTATGATTTGAGGTTCTAAACTTACAAACTGTAGCTGATGGTTGGCCGGGTGGAAGGAAGGGGAAGGCGGAGGCATCAACTACCCGCAGCGATTGAACACCAATGACTCTGCACCGACTGTCAACAACAGCCCATGGGTCACTCTTTCTGCCCATACGATTGGTGCCAACTGCATTATAGACCGAATTAGCGCTCTCGCGTATAATCTCCAAAATATGCGAGTCGGATGTGTAGTTGGCACCCGGAAATGCTTCAGAAACGACAACTGGGTTCATCGAGGCAGTTTGAAAAAGCTGTCGCCCACGGCGAAAGGCTGCTATAGCAACTTCTTGATCTCGAGGATCGGCAAGCCAGTTTGGACTGATAACTGGATTCTCACGTACGTCTGCGGAAGTTATTGTCACATTGCCACGGGAGAACGTAGCGACAAGCCCGACGGATGCGGCTACGTATTGCCTCATGTCCTTGAGGCCAGAGCTGCTGTCGGTTCCTGAGCCAAAGTACTCATCCAAAACAAGGTACTGAATATGTGGCCAATCCTCTGGGAATGATTCGTTGAGGGCACGCATCGTCGATACGCTAATCATATCTAGTGGAAGTTTTTCGAATGCTAAGTAAGGGTTGTCAGCAGCTACACTAGAGATGGAAAGACAAAGCAAGAATGGGGTTAATTACCAGAAACGTCGCCGCCAACGTTTGTCAACATTCCGGTTCTGTTGATGTTATACTGATTGATGGAATCGGCCAGGAATGCTGGATCAGCGAGGCTGTTATGGGTAGTCACCTCTACTTGATAGGTAGGACCCACCAGCACATTGTCCTGAAGAATCGTAAGCAAAAGTATTTGGAGAGGTCGAAAGCTATATCTGCTTGGGGTCCATGGTATTGATTGACATACCGAGAGGTTTTGACCAACGCCTGGCCGGTCGGCAATCACATCAACCCCGTAAGCCCTGAGAGTGGCGCTTGGTCCAATCCCGGATACCATTAACAGTTGGGGAGATCGCATCTAGCATCAGATTTAGCATTATAATACATATAAAAGCAAGTCCGAGCAACAGGAGGGGGCTTAACTTACCACACCGGCAGAAACCACCACCTCCTTCTTTGCAGTGATGTGATACTTCTCCCCGCCACTTTCGACCATCACACCTATGGCTTTTTTCTCTTTGAATATGACCTTCTTTGCCATAGTAGATTTGTACAAGACCACATTATTGGATTCCACCAGTGCTTCTTTAAAGTACTCCAATGAAGAGCTCCGAGTCTGTGTATTTGAGTCCAAAGTCTGTGACAGCCATGACCATCCAAGCAAGTTTCCACTCAGAAGGGACGGTATTTCTTTTATGCCAAGCTCAGTGAATCCCCGTCCCAGCCAGGCCGAGATCGGGTTCACCCAAGATGGAAACCCTATCTGAATTGGACCCCCATTGACACTCTAATCCGAGCTATTGAACGTTGCACTCGCATTTGAGGGACGCTTATGTTCATCAGGGGGATTGAATTTGGCGAATCGCTTGAAGAATGGCAAGAACGAATTGTATTGATAGCTATCATCTGAGACTTCGTGTGCCCACTTTTCAAACGTACCATAGGTTCCACTAAAATCATCCGTCAATAAAAGCAAAAATAAAGGTGTAGACAATGATGTTCGTCTATACAAATTTTGGGGGCATAGATTGAACCCACCGAAGTTGCCACAGAAAGTTCCTTCCACTGCTTCCACTGATCATCTTCCCGGAATCGAATAATGCTTTTCGTCCGCCAATTTGCTGTATATTAAGAGGGCCCTATTGTTAGCCCGACCTCTTTGCTTCGCCTTCTGTCACTTCTCAATGTATTGGAAGGGGGTAGTTCTGATTCACCTACCGTTTGGGGCGTCGTATACATATACCAATCGAGATAGGGATTTTTCTCGGTCGGATTGTTCCCTGTAAACTCAGATGCATATGCGGGAACCTCCGAGTAATTGCCATTGCTAAATTGTGGGAAGTCACCAGCTTCGATGACGGCGACAGTTACAGAAGAATTCTCGGCAAGGCGACGGGCAACCGCTAGGCCGGCTGTACCCCCTCCGATAATCACGAAGTCATATGTAGCGTTGAGCCCCGGGATGCCGAAATGAGAGCCAAGGAGTCCCACCGCCTTAATTGATTCTACGCCAGCCGAAAAAGAATAGCAGTATTGAAAAAACGCGAAGAAAATCGCGGCAAGAATGATATGGTCGCGCATTTTATGGTGAATTTGCATAAACCTAGGCGTTTTGTCGCCGATTACTGGACCAAAATCGAGAAAGACTGAAGATAATATTCAAGACGAGCCAATTTATATCAATATTTACGTGTTCTCATGTTGTCTCCAAATACAACGTAATACTCTGCCCTAGAAAAACTTGTACGAACGGGTACATATTTCGGAGCTCACGACGGCCCAAGTACCTCCAGCCATCGATATACTATTCCAAGTTTCTCAGGTGAGATTTGATGTGTTTTCCTAGCCGCGGGCTGTAAAGATGGACCCGCTGATCTTCTGCGGGCTCTGCGAATGTGTAATTTATTTGGTACGAGGGACGCATGATCGGGTAGCTGAATACAGCCCGGCAGGTGCCCACCTGGGCGTGGGAATTGATGTCGAAAGGTTCCACACGGGTTAATTCAGCCCCCAAGTACATACCCCCAGGCTTTGTGAGGCGGTTTTTCTATGTGGGACCTAGAAAACACACTCGCAGGAGCCCTGGAGGCAACCTTGGAGCCTTGGAAAGTGTGGCCTGTTGGAATAGCCAAGGCTTAAGCTCCTCCTTAGCAACGGGATCCCCACTCGCTCGGGCTTAAAGAATTATCCCGCCAACTTGAATGTGACGTATGCAGTGCTTGAATTTGAGAACCCCATTGCTGAAGAAATATACACAATAATGCAGATGTACGACAACACTCTGTATTGTTGTCTCGGTCTCAAAACTCAGATTGTATCGGGAGCTCATGCTATGTACCGAGAACAAGGCGCAGCTAATGGCCCTACATTATTTTTGGAACTCATGTGCAGAATGATGTCATCAGTACTGGAAAATCCCACTCTCTTGATTCGCGTACGTAATACGGCAAATGATTGCATAGCCCATTACAGTATGCACCTGCCTTTAGTTATGTTTATTTGTAAGGATCAAGAAACTACACTATAAGGGATCCCGGCCCGTACCGCATTAGCGCGAAGGAATGCCGTGCTAATTGGACCCGCAGAGTGGATCCCTAGCAAATGCAACACGTACACCCTTGCTATCAGGAGACACCTCCCCAATGAAGCAGTCTCGGATGGTGTCGATGCCTCGACCTCGGTGGGTATCGTAGAGCTCTAAGTCCAATTCCCGCAAAAGATAGCCGAGGCACATGTAGAGTTCCGCGAGCGCGAAGCTGTTCAAAGTTACAAAGTTAGTTCCAAGACGAATACAGCGATAAGATAGGATATGGGCACTCACTTCATGCCTATGCACATTCTGGAGCCTCGTCCAAATGGTACATACGCGTGTTCCATTTCTGATGTCGAGTGAAACCAGCGCTCAGGAAAAAAGGACTGAGGATCGGGGAAAATTGTTGGATCAAGCAAAACATCGCGGAGTGTCATGCTAACAGGCGTCTATCGAGGCTTTGATAAGCTTAATTCCTTGCGAAGTAACATTGGTTATACTCACGCCAGGGGGTATAGTCCATTTGTAACACAAAGCCTTATCAGGGGATACCAGAGGGAGTCGAGATGTGACAAGGGCGGTCAGACGAAGAGATTCCTTTATCACAGCGGTCTGACTGACAGTGAGAAAATGCTGGAATGAAGAAGCGTATTTGGGGAACTCACCAGCCATGGAAGCCTTTCGAGAGATTTTAAATCATAATCAGATCTATACAGTAGTCTTTTGCCCTAGCAACAAAGATCTCTGGAGGACAAATGTCACCTTTGACGTCAACATTGCTCCAAAATTCGCGCAATTAACAGCGGCATCACCATCACCATAGGGTGGGCATTAAGGCAGTGGTGGCGTTTTTGTGTCAATGCGAGTTTCCTGTGCAAGTTCCTACATAACATTTTGATTCATCTAGTCTACCTGCAAGAATAATATGAAAATACTGGTGGTGCTATCATCTTGGTGATACCCGTATTCATTATTCGGTCCACTTTTCTTAACTTAAAGACAGCTTTACGAAGCTGCTATTTAATCAAAACACCATATATAGCATTTCAAGTAGTTTACATTATACAATAAGATTAGTGACTTTAGCTCTTCACCCTTTTCGGCAATCTCTTGTTCAACATTGACCTCTGTCTCGGCGAAGTGGCGCACAGGGACTTTTCTTTCGAAAAGAATTTCCATCTCCGCTTCAGTTCTGCCTTTGGTCTCAGGAACACAGAATTAAGCAAAGATGCAAGCTATAAGGCAGCCTCTACCCCAGAAAGTACAGTCTTAGCTCACCAGTTCCACAAAGTCGCGGTACGTTGGTAAGTCGTAAGAACACCCGAAGCAATTTCAACAGCGGAAAAAGATGTTTGTGAGAAGTCCCATAGAGGCATTATAAAGGAACGAGGAAATGATAAGGAGAGCCCCAACTGCCCATAGGTAGGAATCTTCTTGGTGATCCGCCAAAGGCACACCAGTGGCATCGATGCTGATCATCATCAGCAACATGAGGACCAGACTCCAGAAATAAATCGATTGACGACCGAAGACAGGTAAAAGGAACCACTAGAATTAAAAACCACGCTTGTTGGCCAAAGCCCATAAGCGGGATGAACGGGCCTCTTACCGAGGTGGAAATCCTAGAGAACGCTACTGGCCATGTCAAAATTGGCTGGCCAATTCCCTGGACATAATTACAAAAAATGGTGAAAGACGACGTTGGAGGTTACGCTTGAGTGGCCTGTTCTCGAACTCAAAGGATCAGTAAGAGATGCAATAGAAGCTACAGTGGTCGCAACTCAGCCAATTACCTCCAACAATGGCCCCCTGGTATATGGATTGGAGGACAAAAAGATTATACCTCATCTCGTAGAGCTATTCATCGAAGAGGTACACACGAAAAACCCGATCCTGGATATTCCACAGATTCAACAAGATACCGCGCGTGTCTTATCTGAAGGGTTTGGCTACGACAAGGAATCCTGTTTTGTTGTGAGTAGAAGAAATCTCACAGATTTTTTCAAATTCCGACGCGTTTAATGAAGCTTCTGTATTGTGCACTGGGGTCAATATCCTGCAATTTCTCTCCATCTTCATTACACATATTTACTGGGGACTGCAACACCGCATTGAGATATGAAAACCATGCTGATTATTTCGCCGCGGCTCAAGAGCGGGTTGGCACGCTTTGGAGAAACTCAAGGCTGAGGCATGCCCAAAGTCTTTTCCTAGCGGGAGTCTATCTCATGTACGACCTAAAACCATGGCAGGCATTATAACCCTTTCGAATGGCCAGCAATTCATGCTACTGTCATATGATGGCAGTGCGGACCGCAAGGAAATCCGATAGAAACGTACGGAAACTTAGTTCTTTTTGAGCTGTTACCAATGGTGCTAATGAGGTTTACACAGAGTTAGCCTACAAATATGGGTTGGAGAAATCATCATTGACGCAGCTAGCGAATCCCCCATCGCTGCCGACACCACCGGACTCACTCACAATTGACAAGATCTTCGCGTCGAGATTCATCACGGCAGGTCCGGACTCCAAACTTTCCTATGTGCAAGAGAACAGTTGGTACTACTACCTCACCAGGATCACGCTTCGAAAACTGGAGATCCAAATCCATGCCTCATCTGAGCGTTTAAACGACGAGAACTGGCATACTCTCATTGAAACAATGTCCGATACGGAGAAACCTCATCTACAAGATTTCCTCCAATGCATTACAAGCGGTATCTCGGAATTTGAAACCCAGCTCCAGAGCTGCTGGGAGCGATTGGGCTCGGCGATGGATATCAACTTGGACAATGTCACAGTCGGATGTCTCGATGAGCTGGTAGAGTATTTGTGGATCAAGTTCTTTTGGATAAGGCATGATTTGTTGCGCATTGCATTGACCATGGTTCTGTGCTTTGAATCTGAAGCTAAGGAGTCGAGCGCGCTCACAGAGTTTCCGATGGTAGCGGAGACGTTTGTTCGGGATGGCCAATCGTGGTTTGGCAGCCTATGTGGCTGTTATGATAGTTGCTTTGAATACGCACCGAAATCATGGCTCCTGGTTTGGGCCTAGAATTGCTGTCATGTGTGCGCTTGAGGTTCTGGCGGCGCAAAAGCTGGGGAATCCGGATCTAAAGGTACCAGAGGAATTTGAAGATGCGGCGAGGAGACTTGTTGACGGGCTGAGGTGGTGGAGACCGGGTATTTTAGACGCTGGCGATTACTTGAAAATTTTGGCGTCTCTTGATCCTGTTTTTGAAGATGTGTATTGATAAATTGTGACTTTATACTATCAAATCTATTCTATTCAACACCCAGGTACTTCAAATAATCGCTATATTTTTCGTCTTGTTGCGTCCCCTTGCCCACCAATCCCGCAATCTCAGTTATAATCCGTCACGGAGCTGTTCAAAGCCCCGGACAGGAGATATTCAATGGAAACATTTTTCCGTGGCACCAAAGTACCCTCAACATCAGGAATATACCCCGGAAACCCACCATACATTTGCTGAAGCACAGCCTACGAAGCCTGAGAATCAGAGTCATAAGTCTCTGACTTGTCGAAAGAAGTAGTATCAAGACTGTGATAAAGCATAGGATGATCTTCGAAGCTCGCATTGGCACTAATAGAAGCCACGACCTGAGCAAGCGGGCTGCTAACGAAGCTATGCCCAACAGCTGCAACGAAGCTATAGGCACCAGCCAGATTCGAGTAGAGACCAACTGCTCCACTATTCGCCTCTGCTTCCTCCCACCACAGGTAATTGTCATCACCCCGGTCGCCCATGTATGGGAAGGGGCCCAGATGGAAATTCTCGACGTGTGCTTGCATGGGGAATGTCATACTGGGATACCAGTTCTCACCACACTCTAGCATTCCGACTCGAACGTAGGCAGAAGTGATCACCTTGAGCTGGTCCATTGTGCCATCACTGAAAATGTCCCGCTCGACTCCCGATGGGCGGAGTTTGTGTCGGAAGATCAATTCGTCGCCCAAAGGGGAGATAAGGGCTTGAGCCATGTAGAGGTTATCGCCGATCCTTTGAGCAAAGTTGATACCGGCGTAGAGCTTGGTTTCTTGAACGGTAGATACGAGGCGTTTCCATTCTGGGCCGCCGACGACCATCGTGTTCTCGATGTAGGTGGGAAGGTGTGTTTTGGTCCAGTTGTTGTACCCCGACCCCTTGGGGAACCTGGTGGACAATGCGAGGTTAGCATGCAGTGAGATTATTTCAACATAGATGGGGGTTGGAGAAAGTAAATACCCAGGAAACCAGAGTTCAGGAAACAGAATTCAATTGGCGTCGTTTTCTTTGGCTTCATGCATGTACTTGATACCCTGGTCGATCGAAGAGTTCAAGTTGGGGCTTGATGTCGGCCCAGTCATAACTGTACACTGGCAAAGGCCAAGCAGGGGGTGGTGCTCTGACAAGAGCAACTGTGAGGTTGGCATCCTTGCCGGCGGCTTTGGTAAAGCCGGCTTGGAGGGCAATTGAAGCAAGAAAAGTAAAGCTCAGATGCATCTTGGTAGAGATCTTGAAGGTTGGCCTAGTTCCTTACACGCAGGTACATGTCTTGAATTTATAATAAAAAGTGATATCTAATGAATCGCATATCTATCAATGTAGTTCTTATCATTCAATTGAGTTGATTTCTGTCTTAGATGTCGGGAGCCGATCGGCACCCGCTGCTACAATACTACTGCCGATCGGCCCGACACTGATAAGTTCCTGCCTCAATTCGATGCGCAATCAATGCCCTTACTCTATTCCAGGGACGTTATACCTGGGTAGGTTCCATGGGCTTCTTTGGAACCTGATTTTTGGCCTTAGAAGTTGCTCAGTCGCCCTGGAATTGGTACAGTCTTATTTAACCAAATATTCTATAAACTATGAAAGTTTCAGCCTGATCGGACGAATGGTGGTGGAGAAATTAATTCATGACAAATTTTTGATGGGGTGCGACCGGCGGATATCAATACGGTATCACGCAACGGCATCTTAACTATGGTAGTAGTAGTGGAATAGAGTACTGAGTACGGTCATTAATACGGGTGTATTATTGGACTGGGTCATTTGAGGTAACGTGCCAGTACTGTCGAGGTACTACAGACGAGGGCCTTCCTGTCTTAAAGTGCGCTGTAAAGTGCGAGGCAGAGAGAGGAAAGTGTGGACAGCCGTACCACTCAGATACCCAGTGATAATTCGATCAACCTCTGCCCAAAGCATGTCAAGATGACTTTCAGCTTTGCGCAGAGCCTCGACATTTTCTTTAGTACGACGCTTCTCAAAGGGGTAAGTGAACTTTCCATTGGAAGGCTCACCAAGGTATGTACAAAAAGTATTTGACCAGTTGAAACATTTGTTAGATATCCATCACTGCATCTTTAAAACAAGGGAATCTCTGTTACATTGACATAATCAATATTGTCTTTGTGCCCTTCTATACGAGGGATAGACGTGTTAAATAGCCGATCCCATACTAGAGTCTGTTTACCATAGTTATGACTGTTCTTCCAACCTTTGCGATGATGAAGATCATGATCCTCAATTACAAGCTGCATATCGAAAAGCTTCAGCAGCCAGCCCCACGGACTCACAGCAGGGCCCATCATGCGCAAGCCGCTATGCCCCATAACTTCAGTGAACACCACATACGCCTGACAGATCCACCATTCGTAGAAGCCCATCGGAAAGCCCATCAGCTTCATTGACCCGTACGCGAGAAGAGGTGTGGCGATAATATCGAAGAACTCCTGAACCATATCCGCGTAGGCAGTCAGGAGTGGGTTCGGGTGCTTGGTTAGATGGTGGGTTCGGTGAAACCTCCACAGGTACTCAGATTCGTGCGCACATCGGTGGAAGATATAGTACCAAAAGTCGATCATGAGGGGGTATATGCCGGATTCAAAGATTAACCATCCCCATCGAATGGATGATGGGGCTTCACTTGCTCGATAGGCGACGATAATCGAATACATTGGTCTGAACGTGATGACTGATACGAGAGATTGCGCCGTCTTCCTCACTCCCACATCAGGTACACCATCTCGAGCATGTTTGTCACCGTCGAAGTATCCAGTCTTCTCGCCGATTCGGCGGAAAATGTGGATCTCGTGCACGGCCGTGAACTTCAGGGCTAGACTATAGAAGAGAAACACCAGCACACCCGATGGTCGGCCGATGTAGTTGATATAGAGTTCGTGAAGAATGAGCGGGATGGCTGCGTGGGCTAGGATCCAAATGTGGAACTGTATCTCGGGTACATGGGGGACTTTGTCTGTCTTCTGATGAACTGGGACCTCTTTATCTGAGGAGAGGGGATGAACATCCAGGATCTCGATCAGCCAGTGACCCGCATTCCAGCGTGAGCGATCCCACGAACGCCAGGTGGACGTCATGGAATCCATCGGGTTGCGCATAGGAGCAGACATAGCCAGTGAACATGTGGTAGGGTACTGCGAAAAAGACTGGCAAATGTGTTTTTCATTCCTTGCGCGTCGGTTTGGTGGGCGTCATCTATATTTGTATCGAACTTCAATTGTTGGGAAGACATGTGAAGAGTGGGATGAGCGGGTCAACCTAGTCCATAAAGAAGTTGAGAACCGAGGTGTGGGGAACGCTGATCCATCGTGAAGTCGGACTGTTTTTGTTGCAGCCTACAGCTTGGGATAATTATCACCAGCCAAGTGGATGAGGCAATGATTGTAGGAGGAGGCATATCATTTGAGGATGTTTTTCATCCAGTGACCCATTGTCGAAAAATTAACATGATCAATAGATAGCAATCTTCACGCATATTGCCGAGGTGGTGATTTGGTGGATTACGCTATCAACAAATTCCGGCGCCTTTTTCCAATAACGGGATAGTTCATTGGGGTCGGTGGGCCTGAACCTTATCCCAAGTTTGCGCCGCATTCAAGGCGACTAAGTTCATATGAAAAGCAATGGGTTTTGTCGGAAGCCTTGGAATATCTGGGAAAGGCTATGGGAGATCAACGGTGCGTCGATGATGATAATGATGTATGCATGTAGAGGTTAAGATAAGGAGAGAGAGATGTCGAGAATGTTGGTGCCTGACGCAACCAGACCCACTAGTTAGTTAACTAACTAGTTATCCGATCTCCAGAACATGGACAAGCTCTCACATTCTTGCGAGTTGAAGCCAGAAGTAGACATTGATGGCCAGATCTAACAAAATACTCCCACTATACTAACGCCCTATCAGGATCTCCTGCGCCATGGACGGAGCCGGAGCGTGTTAGTTTCTCTCTCAAAAATCTGAAAGGATAGATGACTTACACTTGGAAGGCAGGGCCTTTGCTTGTTCAAGCTTTTCCTTCGCAACTAACCACTACATTACATAATCAAATTAGCTCATAATTTTGAACCACTCAGTAGAAAAGACTCAATACTTGTACGAGTGATTGGGAGGTCTTCTGTTCGCTCTTTACACTGCCATCGTGATGATTCTGATTCGGTCTATTTACCGTGTTATCGAATACGCCCAAGGAAACAGTGGCTACGTCATCAGCCATGAGGTTTTCATTTATGTTTTTGATGCTACAATGATGTTCTTGGTTATGATTGTGATGAATGACTTCCACCCGTCTGTTGTTCTAAAAGGAAACCCGCCCGTTCACTCCAAGGAGCAAAGGGGCGAGCACAATGAAACTGAACTGGAGGAGGCGCGCGTCTAGTTTGTTATGACGCGTGAATTCTTGATCGGACGAGCACTAACACTTTTATTGAACGTGGCACGATTGGCGTATACGGATGCATTTATCATAATTTGGTTTATTTTTAACCCCTGGTTCCTTCAACTTTGTACATCATAAACATGTTTATATTTTAGATCTCATATATCAAATGTTACTGGTTCAAATTATATTTCTTGACTTTAATACAACCATTTTTCTTTCTGCCTAGGCGTAAAGTACTTGATTTGAGAAAGATGCAAAGTGTGTAATTCTGCTGCTATATGAAAAATAAGTCCTCGACAGCGCTGTATGTAAATATGAATTAACATGTACCCCCGAGAGCAGAGAAAGAGATTCCGATGTTGACTAAAGCACGTCACGATTGTCTGGAGTATATCGATCCATAAGCTTGTATCCTCGTGGTGGACAGACTCTGGGGAGATGGGTGAGAGCGGGTGATTCCATCGACAACCTTTTCAGCACTTACGTCTAAGTACGCCTTCACGAAGGAGAAGCATGGTAACAGATGCCAGCGCCACTATTGAAGGACTGCGCGCATTTAGCCAAAGCCAACGTGATTGAAGATTAGACAGAATCTTCGCTCTCCGTCCCCCACGAAGACTGATTGCCATACAGAGAACAAGGAGGATGAGATTCCTATCATCTATAAATATTTGTCGAACCCCAATAAATATGGCTCGTTGGCGACAAGCCTGGTCTCATTCAATAACCAGAAGATCCTGAAGAAGGTCTTAGTGCGACAATTTGAGAACCCCATAGTCGACTCTATGTGACATACGTGTGATGGAGAGATTCGGGTTATCTTAGTATATGAATATATAAACTGAATATCAGAGAGCCAGAGTGTGTTGTTTCTACTAGCTAAGTCCAATACCAAGAATACTTGAACCTTGGAAGCTTTTCCAAGTCACTGCATGTATCTAAAAGAACTTGAAGTTTTTTTTTTTTACAAAGTTTATCATAATGGAAGGGACAACAGTGAGTATTAGTTTTCGATGGATTTGATGTTGAATATGTAAAAGTTGAAAGTCGAAAGTTTTGTTCGTCGTGGATACAAAGCGAAATATTTATTGAATGAAGTTCAAGACCTCCGAGTCAAACAGGCCACTCGGACTCGGAGGCGAGGGCAGAAGCGATGGGTAAGATTATTGTGGTGAAAGATTCAGATGTAGTGAAAAATATTCAGTGTTTACTCCTTGGCAACGCACTTTCCAGTGACCTTTTCAAGACTATTGAGGCCAGATTTAACCTTTGTTCCAAGGTTAGTAATCTCAGTCTCGGTCAGATCACGGCGGATTTTGGCCGCCTTTGAAGCCTTAGAAACGGAAGTCAAAGATCCAAGGTCGAAGACAATGTTCATGATATCCAAAGCAGCGTTGCCGGGGTGCTTGACGATATCCTCAACGCCCAAGCCGATATCTGCGGCAGTTCCGGCGATACTGAGAACCGTAGCCATATCAGCCAATCCCTCAACACTACCCAGAACCTCACCAGCGACAGGAATCAAGAACAGGATAGCAGCGATGAAACCACCAATGATTTCCTCTTCTTTCATTTTCTTTTCCTCTGCGCTGATCTTCTCTGCGACACTCTCTACCTTTGCCATTTGCTCCACAGCTGAGGAGATCATAAGGATAGGAACTGAAATGGCATCAATGACATCGGCTCCACTTCCGGTGAAAGTGTCGGTGTTGATTCCGAACAAAATATCCTGGACCTGTGGATGGAGATTTCCGGACCGAGTAAGACCCTTCTTGGCTGTATCCTTGGGATTGTCGACATCAGATGAATCGTATCCGCTGGCTTTAGGGATGTTGAAATCGCGACCGGTCTTATAACAAGGATCGTCATCTTCAACATCACCGCTGCAGTCATCTTGGAAGATATATGTACCAAACGAGATATACTTTTTGGCTATACCAGTTGTGGTGTAAAGATCGGAGTAAAAATCAGCGGACTTGTCGTCCACGAGTGTCCAGTGTATGCTCTCGTATTGATTGTTCTCACCCGTTCGTTGGAATCGCTGCGAGTTGTCTGGTGGACATGGCTCAGAGATTGTCTGCCATTGGCGCCTTGTCTTTTTTTGTCCGAATTCGTGATCCATTTCGCAGCCGAGACTGTCGCAGCTCTCGGTACAGCTCCCGGTGAAATACTTGCAAAGGTCGCAGTTGTACAATTTGTCGGAGCATTTATCAGCGCACATGAGGTCTTCATCCACCTTGCAGGTGAAGTACTTATTGCCGTTCTTGTAGACATAGTCATGGACCGAGGCGCCAGCGTTGCTTGAAACACTGTCCGCGTAGATCTTGAACTTCTTGTCGTATCCATCATTCATAAGGTCGGTGTAGTTGGACATCGCATCACTCAATACGGTCGACAAAGTGTTCAACATGTATTGAGTCTGGCAGTGTTCTGGAATCGAGTCGGCGGCATCTTCAAGTTCATCCAAAGTGTCATAGCTTGCAGTGCAGTCAGACAAGTCGGGCACATCAGGGCCAGTCCAGTCAGTCTCGGGATTTCCATCATCTCCACTGAACTCAATCAGGTCAATGGCCCAGTCAATGGTTCCGCCAAAGTTGAAACTCTTGTAGTAGCCCTGGCGACTTGCCATAGTATCGCTAGACATGTACGCAGCCCATGTGTCGTTCCACACAATAATATTCGAATTAGATCCCTCGTCATACCACGCTTTGGTCGACTCGTTGAGATTGATCATCTCCTCAATTTCAGCCTGGGCAATAATCCCGGCAGTCTTTGTGCAACGACCTTCCTCAGCGGTAGAATGAAGTCTATTTCCGGTGTAGTGGCAGTTAGGGCCAGTGCAGTCTTTATCCGCCATGCCAAACGAGCGGCCATAGCTTGGAACTCCCACCATGATCTTAGTAGAGTCGACACCAGCCTTGGTAACTAAATGAATCGTGAGTATGCAGACCTGTAGTAACGGTATGTATTAAAGAGAGAAGTCGCTTACTCATTGCTAGGGCGTAATTAGTCTCGGTCAGATTCACTTGACTGCGCAGACAGTTTCCATTAGAACATCCTTCCTGGGTCCACTCCTTGCCGTAATCCCATTGACCTAAATTGAGAACACATGTCAGCTATGCAAACAAAGTCAGAGTGGAGACTTGATACTTGCCGTGCAAATCGTAGGTCATGTAGACGATATAGTCCAAGGTTTTAGACATCTCCTCAATAGGGAAGTTCTTCAGATACCAGTAGGAGGCTGGAGCGGCAATTGAAACGGTCTTATCGAAGGGAAAATTGAGCTTCATGTTCTTGAGGAATGCTAGGTAATTAGCACCATCAGAGGTAAGACCCTTCGGGATGCCAGGAATGTCTTGTTCCTACATGAAATGCATTAGTATGTTATCCAGCAACCGAAGACGAAATTTTCGATGTACTCACTCCAGGATACTCCCAGTCAAAGTCGACTCCGTCCAAACCGTTGGCATCAATAAAGGTGTAGACATTTTCCACGAAGGTATCGACGTTTTTTGGATCCATAGCCTCTCGAAGCTTATCGTAAGTTGAGGTGCTGGTAGAGAAGCCCCATCCACCGAAAGATAAAATCTTCTTTGACCCATAGATATTTTTGAACCCGTCCCATTGACCATATGTATCGTTGATGGTGACATTGAAATCGTCACTAATACCAGCAAAGCCCCAGTGAATATGGGTGTACGTATCGGCATCGATATCGGAAGCACGAAGGTTCAGACAGGGACGGTCATAATTCCAGGACTCGTAATATCCGACCCTGAACTGTTCGGCCGGAGCAGATTCAGATTTCTTTATCTCTGTGCCACAGTTGGAGATACAGCCATTCTTGTTTTTGGGTGCTGTTCCTGGGTTACCAGTTGAGCCTGTGACATTGGTACAGTACTCAGGAGTGATACCACACTGACCCCAGATGTCGCAGCATGACTTCAGCGGACACTGGTTGAGATCAGCAAGTGCGGTACCATTGGTTGGTTTCTTTGTTCCAGTGACTTGAGGACCACACTGTGCATTTGAGAGTGCTGCTGGCATTGGCGGGTCGCCCTTGCTCAAGCAGATATAGCTACCAACTTGAAGGTTGTTGCAGCCGAACCAGCCCCAGGTAGTGCCGTCATTGAAGTCACTGATATCAGAGGCCTTGATTCCATTTGCAGCCGCGATTGTGCTGCATTTGTCATTTGACTGGACCTTGTACGAGTGGCAGGAGCCATCCTTGTTTGCCTTGGGGGCGATGTCTGGAAGGGTTCCCGCATCACAGCACAAACGTGTACCAACGGGTAGATTATTGCAGTCCACATCGTTATCGGTATTGTACTTCTTAAAATCGGCCAAGGAAACACCACAAGCCTTTGCCATGCTTGTACAGGTATCTCCCCCGCCCACTGAGGTAACTTTGCAATCGCCGCGTTTAGACAGCTGGTGATCGGAAACCGTGCTGTTGCTGTTAGTGGCGGACTGAGAAGGTGTCTCAGAGATCTTGACAGCGTCGATGGTAGTGCTGGTCCCAACGGCCTCAGCACATTGACCTGCATGCCATGATGCCACAGACTTTTGCACTGAAACTAAGTTTCCAGTCGTATCAAATGCAACACCGACAATAGATTTCGCATTGGAAACATCATTGCAGCGCTGCATGGTCATGCTCTCAACATCCTTGGCGCCCGAAGATTGTTGGCGCATATGCTCAAACACAGATGAGACGGTTTTTTTATTGTTAACGGCAGACCCCAGGTATACTCCCACTGCAACACCCTTGTAGTAGCCAAACACATGTCGAGTATCACAATCCGCATAATTCACAAAGCTATCTTCGGTATGCTTGAGGATAGCTTGGAATGTACTGTCAGAAGTGGAAGAATTTCCTGTAACAGTGCTCAAATCCAATGATATGGTTCGCTTTTCACCCGAAGGGCAAGAATCAGAGTCTCTGGTGTGGAAACGCCTATGGGAGATTCCGTGATGGCCTTTGGTAGAGGAATGGCTAGTTGAAATAGTTGAGGTACTTTCGCTGTCGGCTGTGCTGTTTGCAGTGCAGACAAGGAGTTTGGTAATGCCTTTTTCTGCCTCGAGGTCTGTGTGAAGTGGAATGTTTAGCAGCATAGGCTCGGTGCAGTACCGGATGCGGTCGACTGAGGAGTAGACAGTCCATTCATCGGAATCGGTGGTGCAGGGAGCTGGGCAAGGTTGCAACGAAGATTGAAAGGCATTTGACATGGAAGCAACAGACATCAATGCCAAGCCAATTGCTGGCGTGCCCTTGGGCAGCAGCATTTTTGCAAAAGTCCAACTAAAAACAAAAAGAAAAAAGACCTGGTGATAAGGGAATGAATAGGTCGTCGGAATCAAAGAAATTGAGAAGAAAGAAGGATATACATCCAAAAGAGTGTAATGTATGAACGAGAGAATCCGAAAATGCTGGGTTGAATGAAATTCCAAGAAGGCGTAGAGACTCGCCTACATATAGGAAATCAGAAGCTACTCTACTTTCAAACTACAGAACCGACTTCTCCTGTACGAAGCAGCCATTTCTCCTGCACTAAGTCCCGGCTTTCCGGTGAGACGACTATGGGATCCGCATATCGAAAGTTCGAGGGCTCCATTTGGGGCCAAAGACCACGCTCCGTCCATTGTTAGCACGGACAGCTGTCAAAGATTTCTGGTGATATCCAGTTTTTTCTTGAGCTAAGCTGTCGATCCCAATACAAACCGCGCGCAACAACAAAAAACACCCCCCACTCATTTGATCCACCTGTAAATATCTGTAATGCTCTGTCGCGGGTAGTAACAATCCAAGGCCGATGGCAGCATACCTGTAAGGCTCCAGATAGGACAGGCCAAGAATGGAAAACCTGCAACATAGTAATAATATCCGTAGAAATTTGTAGTAAATTTTGAGCGGAGATGTACTATTTTGACACACGGACTTCTCCACTAAGTCTCAGTGATTTCCTAAAAATTGAATATATGTGATAAGCAATGCTACAAATGCAAGTGGAGTGCATCTCTCTGTATGTTGAACCCTTTGCGGCTGTATATTAAGCTCAAAACAGAGTTTGCAGCATGTAGGTAATGGTGCCGCTGTCTGACTAAATGCCGAAGATCTTCAGTTCGGTAGAACACCGGGGGCTGAGGATTGGTCTACTCATTGCGGAGCATTTTTTTCATCGCACAAAATGCCCAAAATGAACCCTGATCGCTATCGCTTGGCCCCAAGCGAGCCGTCAGTATCCACAAGGGGGCCGTGATCTGCACAGGGTAACCAGCTGCCAAGAACGGGATGATCAAGCTTCTTCAACACAATCCGTCAAGCCTTTTATGAAAGCTTGGCGGATTTGATACTGTATGTATCGCAACTGTAAGATCAATGTTCTAGGCAACCATTCGCTTCTTTTTTTTATCAAAAGAAATGGGTTTAAAAACCGGCCTCACCTTTTCCCCTTATCATTCCCCGAGCTATATGGGCCCAACCCCTACCATGGTCCAACTCGTCCGGTGGTTTGACCCCTGCCAAGACTAAGTCCGCGCACTAACTGACCCCATCCTGCGCGCTAAATTAGTACCTCGCATTCTACAGTATCGATTCCCATAGCTCCCAAACACTAATTCTGGTGCAGCATTACAAGCTTTCCGAAAATATTTCAGAGTATAGAGGGTGTTTGGCCATTCCATTACAACAAATGAACCCCCCACTCCGTTATTTACAAATTTGGGGGCCATAAGACCCTTTCCCGTTCTATCTGACTATAGTAAAATGAATAGGGGTAGCGCCAATTCCCGCCAATGCAATTTTCAACATGTTCTTATGCATAAGAACATGGTAGCACTGCCGACTTTGTCTAAAACTTTGTCTCGAGTGCGGTTCTTCATCCTTATGTCGCAATAAGGACTTCCCTTCATTTCCAACTGTCGTCAATCATTCAATCTCTTCAACTTTTTCCAATCGTTACATTCCTTTTGTCAACATCAGCAAGATGAAGTTCTTTACACTTCATCTTGTACTGTTACTGGGTACCTTCCTAGGCCCAGTAGCCGCGTACGACAAACGCGGTACCATTGAAAAGTAAGACTATACCAAACTCGCAAGATTGTTCTGGTGGGGTTACATCAAGCTAATTGATACCTCAAAGTATGTCATATTATTATATGTATCTACTTGAAAGTCTGGATGGAAAGACCAGTGATACACGATCTGTTGCGCCGGGTTGCGCAGCAAAGATGATCGGAGAGGACCAAAAGGACGGAAAGTGTGACCTTAAGCAATTTCTAAAGTACATTTGGTACCCAAGAATAGGCGCAGGGAAGTTTCCAAAAGATCCGTCTGATAAAAACTCGGAAAAGGTCACAAAGACGGTCTATGGCATAAACGGGAAAGACATTCTAGATGCCGATGGCCAGCCAGCGAGCCTTGAGGTTGCTCTGAGCAAACGTAAAGATTTGGACGAATTCGCCCCTTCACTGGATAAACTTTCGAAGCAGCAGATCAACTGGGAGAACAAAGGCGCCCTAATCAAGCTATTCGGCAATTTATATAAGGCTGGATACACCGACGGTGCCGATTCAGCGCGACTTGTTCGCGGCGCCACCAGCTACACCGAAGCTCGAAGCCAAGTTACGAAGTTTCTCCCCCATATCGCTTCCAAATATCCAATGGTTGAGAAACTAAGCTCAAAGCCCAAAGATTACAGAAATGGGGCCAAATTGGTTGAAGCAGCTCAAAACTGTGTCGAGTCCGCTTACAAGACACGACTCTGGGATTACGAGACCTTCCGTATCGGCCAAAACGGTCTCAAGAAGCGGCTTGATACAAAACATCCAGAGCTGAACGTCCAGATCAAAACCAAAAAGATCAATACTGGTCTGGGATTTCCTGATTTTAACGCACTTGATGCCGATGCCACTCTTTCTGCCAATCCAGATTTGACTAAGGATCAGTTAGTTACAGCTTGCAAGGAGCAACGCACTCGCGGTGGCACAGACAAGGAGCATTGGACAGCCTTGCAAGCTGCGGTAGGCTCAGTCTATAATGGCCAGTGTGAGCGGGTCAATGTCAAACTTTGATCACATTTTTCGACTGTCTCGATATTCTGCTCCGTTGGCAAATAGTTGGAACAATTTGTGTGTCTTGTATCTATTTGCATTTCGACCTAAAAACGAGGTATCAAGTTGCGGCGGACTTTTCTATGTCCGTCTCATATTTCAGATACGTGGTATAAATGCCATATAATTACTCTTTATTCTCTTGATATTTCTCCCGATCTGATGGCTTGGTCTATTTCCTTTTTCTGTCCCCGTTTTGTGGACAATTCGAATGGCCGGAGTATCGCATACATACACAATGTAACCTTGGAAGGAGTGGGGCACTAACCCCTATCCCTGTGCTCCATATATAGACCCACTGTGCCAAAAATTTATTCCTGTAGACTGCCGATCAAGGGTGTATGTAATTAATCAGAAAGTTCTGTTAACCCTGGGCCGGGCAATTATTGGACCGCACAGCGTGTAGACGTGTGGGGTGGGGGTACGCTCCTTCTCCTAAGACTAGACACTTCTCTTCCGGCGTTTTCCTTCCTTCTCCCTTCCCGCTGCACCCCACATACTTGAAAATAATTGACAGACAAGCAATATGCGAGTACGAATCCGGGATTTCGCTGTTCTCGAGCTTTGTCGAGCTGCAGGTAACCAGAATATTAGACTCGTCGAGGATCTGTTGGCTTCAGGTGTCGATCCAAATGCACGTTTCGATGACTTAGAATCCGTGCTCTCCGGTGTGGAAGAGGGCTGGGCTAGCGGCGAGAAGAATGCTCTACCGCCCAGATTTTATGAAGATGAAAGTGAGGAACCGCCTCTTTATGGGGCCACCAGGCGTGGTGGCAGGGATAAGACTTGTATCACTCGTCTGATGAAAGCCCTACTCAAACATGGCGCAGACCCTTATGCTCTATTCCGTCAACCCATAATCCTCCACCAAGAGCAACCTCTCTTTCCAGGGAGTTCCGTTGATCTGGAAGAGGTGAGTGATGAAACGTTAGATCTCGACTATGGCTTTTTTGCCCGGCGCGGAATCATCGACGAAGCGCGTAAGTCGGAATTTGAACGCCTCAGTCTTGATCCAAATTCAGATCCGAACGCTATCTTTGATTCTTATGAATTTGTTGGTAGCCCCTTCGGCAATAATGATATGGGAGACTGGATCGACTATGAGGATCGTTTCCCGCATCCATACGGTGTACGCAGCGTGCTTCATTCTTTACTTGAGATGGGTGTATTTGTGCAGCCTATACTCGACTTCCTAGGAGACCAAATTGACGTTGAACGACGAGATCCCCAAGGTCGCACATTATTCCTGGCCGCTTGTCTAAGCAGGCTCGGCTTAGATGGCGCGGTTGATGGAATCTATACCACTGTCAGTGATGCTAGAAGTGACAAAGGAATGGCTGAAAACCCATTCCCACAACCCGATAATGCATGGAGATCATTTGAGCGCCCCTCTACTACACGAAGCATTGGGCCATCTCTACTTGATTTTTTTATTTCCCATGGATCAAACCTATTGGCCGTGGATAACTACGGGAGAAATGCCTTTCATCTAATTTTTGACGAAGAAAAGCATGTAACGGATCTGCCTTCCATCAACGATATAGCGATCAAATATCTAGTCAAAAGCTGCCCCAGTCTTGTCAACAAACCTGATAAGGCCGGGTTCTATCCCCTTCATATGGCGATACGATGGATGGGCATCGGTGGCCACTCTGGCTGGACTCCCGTATACGCCCCTGAGTCACTTTATCAAGTCGAAGTCCCTGTCAATGAGCTCCTTTCTGCCGGCGCCGACCCACTAGTCCGTGATAGTCGAGGAAATACTGTCCTTCATTATCTTGCGGCGAGTAAATTGGGAGAGAAAAATCATCGCGTGGGTCACAAACAAAAGCGTTTGCTTCAGGTATTCCTCGACCGAGGGGTAGACCCCAAGACGCGCAATGCGGATGGCCGCACAGCATTAGAACTCTTTTTTACGACCGGGAATGACGATCAAGTTCATCATGACCAGTTAGACGATCAGGAAGGCTACCGCATTCTCTGTGAAGAGGTTCTTGGCATTTTTGTGAAAGGGGGCTATGACATTGAAGAGAGAAATGAAGAAGGGCAGACACTGCTTCATCTGGTAGGCACCCTGGCTTCTGAGAGGGCAGCCGCGTGGTTCAAAGTTCTCCAGGCTAGGGGGCTCGACCCTTTGGCAGAAGACAAAGAGGGAAATACGCCTCTGGGATTGGCGAAGAAGAATGATGAGCTGGAGCGGTTCATGGTCAATGACAGAATTGAGTAGACGAAAAAACATACTTATACTATCTTGAACCTCATTTTACTAATCAATGAATCTGAGGGTACTACCCATTTGAGCTTGTATCTATCTTTTGATCTGTTCTACTGTGTGGTCAATAAGGTTGATGAGAACTTAATACAATTCACAATGCTCGCCCGGATAGGTGGAACCGTATTGTAAATTAACAGAGCTGATATAGCACTAACCTCAAACAACAACCCACCCACTATTTACTTCATTGCCCATTTCCTTTCGAGCGTAAGCACCCCGAAACCCAACTCTTATCATCTTCCACCTTCTATTCTTGATGGCCAGTGCAGGCGTACTAACCATCGATTCGAAATGGAATCGACGAATTATGGCAACCAGCATCTAACCAACCTCCAGTGATATTCTTCACTGTCGTGCCATTTCCAAATTCCAGGACGATTCCACCATCGGAAGCACTGGCATTGAAGGCAGGCCAGCCAAGAGTGGAAAACGTGCTGCTATTCTTCATATATGCTAGGAAAAAGTCCTGCATAGTCCTAGAGGTATCAACCTCTAGCTGGCTGACCTCACCTACATCCAAGTGGTAGGTACCGAATATCATAAAAAGATCTGTCCAGTGGAAGGCTCCCAACCAAGGGACTGGACTGATGTTGGTGAAGTTTCCTGGTATATGTCAGTCTATAGTCATCTTAATGTGGATATAGTAGATATTGACCGGCCCAGTAATAGCGGTAGGTGTCAAGACCAATTGACTCCCGCCGTTCAGAGTCTAACAGAGCACGGCAATCCGATACTCCCTCATTCATGCTCACGTCCGTAGCATTGGTGCTCGGATCTTCCCTAGCTGTGTCGGATCTGATCGAGGGGCCTGGGGCAACCTTCCCTTCGGCATATCGACTCGCCTGGTCGGAGAAAATATATCTCTCGTCGGCTGGAGACGTTAGTAACTTCCTTATTCAGAATTTGTCTCCGCGGGCAACAAGAAACTTGAACTTACGAAGGTACTCTGCGAAAGAAATTGACGGGGTACCATTGTAGCGATTTATATATTCTTCGATCTGAACCCAGGATATTTGACGCATGCATTCCAGCTCTGCGTCTGCATCATCCCCGTAGTTGCATCCAAGCCCTTTCGCGACGATATCGAAGTCTTGATAGACATCTCCGGCAGTGGTGATATTAATTGAATCCGACGCTCCTTGGGATATGACGCCAAACTTTACTGCAATAGGGTCGTCCGGAAAGGCAAGAGTGTACAGATGAGTGAGAAGTGCTCCTTGACTTTGCCCCCACAACTGTTTATAAGTTAGACAATGAAATGGCACGCAAAGGGGAAACCAACGAAGATATTGTTCTTATCGCCACCAAAGGCTTCGATATTCTCATACACCCACTCAACCGCAGCCCTAACGTCAAGAAGACTAAGCGAAGTTTCATTCAGTGCCCTCGACTTGGGATCTAGCAAATAATCAATTTTGGTGCGAATTCGTATTCAGGAAGTAGTATTGTCTTACTGCCAAAAATATTCACGCGATAGTTTATAGAGATTGCGATATGTTCCTGAGTACGCGAGACCCAGGGTGTGGGTATCTGAGAAGCAATGTCTATTCCACCTGTAATTCCACCGCCACCGGTAATAAACAGCGACACTGGCAACGTGGATGTTTTATTAGCATATGCAGGGGTCCACACCGCAAGCGATAGACAGTCTTCGGCGGTCGACCAAGCTGTAGAGCTCTGATTCAAGTTTTCGCCAATACTGATCAGCAGGTTCGCAGGCTGATACGCATTCCATATACTCCATGCCGAAGGAACGTATTGTGGACAAGCTAAACAAAGTGTCAGCTTTTGAATCGTGAATGGGCTTGAATTCAAAGGCTTCACGACTAATAGCTTACCAGGACCAAAGAATGTAGAGTCAATTTTCTTCGATGATCTCTCCTGCTTGTTTGGGGGCATCCAGCGAAGATCACTAATTGGAGGCTATATCAAGATGTCAGCTAGTTGACAGCAGATTCCGCTCATGGCCTCGTGGCACTCACCTTGGCGAAGGGGACTCTGAGAAATTGTCGGACGTTGGGGTAGGTATCGTTCAACATGCCAATGAATGTCCCTGTTTGTGTTTCCACGGTGAGATTCGACCAGTTTGACAGTGTGCGAGGAGCCTCCCATGTCAAGTTTGCGTAATAAGGCTGGTCTTGATAGCCTAACACCAGACCGACGAGGCCTAGTAGACCAAGGCTGGATATTCTCATTTCGCTGGATGAAGTATTTCCGTATAACAAGCGACCAGTAATTGTGTGGCGGGGTTTGAGAGTGATCTCAATTTATTCTCTCCGGGGTGTTTATAAATCCCAACCGGATCACTGCATCTTCTTGTTCCCCACGCAATTTGACGATATCCACCCTTCTCCCGAAGTCGGCCCATGAGGATTAGAGGGGTTCAAGGCCAAGAGGAACCATGGCCAACCATGGCGGAGAGTGTTTCTTGATTCCCCACTGAGAACGTACTGGGGTGCGGGGAGAATCCTTTAGCGTGGGAGCGGAGTCTGGAGAAGCTTGGAAAGCCTTTGGCAAGCAATGAGCCATCCGCATATTTCCATCCATGAGTTAACCCTCTTTGGCAACAAAAGCCGGATCGACATCTTACGCCCGATTGTTTCGGCTTCACGGGCGGAGGTTCCGCCACAACCTCTCTACTGATTCATAACTCTGTTGCCAGTTCCCTCACTTCAAATCGGCTAATTCTTTTTCCTATCTCTTTTGTCTCTTTTTTCTTGCGAGCATGCTAGTTCAAATGCTTGGAATACGTAAAATGGGAACGGAGTTAAATGAATTTATTTCACCCTTCTAGCCAATGATTTTATCTACCCCACGGGGGTGGGAGAAGCAGACCCCAATGAATTCAATTTTTCTCCAGCTTCAAAAATAAATAAATGATAACTCTCCTAGTCTTCTTATTTTTTTCGGGCCTCACTATGGATGTTTCGAAAAGTCAATTTTTCAGCAATAGTCCGAGGGGGAAAAGGGAGCGAGGGAAACTTGCACTACTTACTGGTCAAAGGAACTTTATTCCGGGAAGGAGTAGTAGTGCGGGAATTGAAGGAGGAAAGACAAAGGAGAAGATACATTTAGCTACGAAACCGAGCCTAATTTTGCAGTTACGTTCTGCTTCTTAGGCTGCTTAGTAGAAAAAAAAGATGAAAGAAAATGTCAAAGGTTTCCACGCACTCGGTTTTGAATTGAGGTTTAAATCTCTTCTCAGGCCCGCCTTGAAATTATAAGCTAGATATGGGCGATTTAGCATCAGGAAAAGGATAAGGACTTCTTTCCGGCTTTCTTCATGTGACTTTATTGGGGGAAAGATCAACTCGTCTAATGAGGTGTCCAAACCTGCGAAATGAATCATATTTTTAACCACGCGGCTCTAACGTTTCTCCAAGGAGAAGATTGCAAATCGTAATAGGAGAGTTAGGCCAAAGAACATTATAGCTCATCTTAGACCACATCTTGTAATCAAACCTCACAAAACCTGAAACCACTATTCAGACAGTCCATTAATTGAGTTCAACTTTCCCCCAACCGACTAATCTCTGTGTCAAACCCCCGACCTCGAACATTTACGAAAGAATACATATCAGTCGAACAGATGGCTAAAATTTTACGTCGTTCGAAGGATGATTACTTGGCCTCAGAGCTGGCCTGAGACAGCATGTCAAAAGTTGTTAAGAAAAGGACACACACCAAAATGAATTTTCCCATGCACAATATAGATGGGGTGTTACAGATAGAAGATGGCGTCAGAATGGGTGCAAGTTGGACAAGACAAACGAAGAGCCTGAGACTGATATTAAGTAAGTTTTTATGGGCCTGCGGCCTTGAGCTAAATGAAGTGCCCCATGATGATAGAATGTAAGTGAAATGCGCTTTTGAATTCATTGAATTGGGCACATCATATAATGTAGTGCGCTGAGAGAAAAATGGCCTACAGTATCGGACGAGGAAGCACAACGGTTAGAATTTTTGCACGGCCTGAAAAACCAACTTCGTGAAAAGGGTGATCCGCATAATGTACTCCCTAATATAAGAGCTGTTTTGAGGGCCTACAAAGCCAGAAGGCTTGAGCGGACTCCGCCAGAATATGTCACATACTGGTCAGGTGGGAGACAACTTACCAGGCCACAGAGATTTGATTGGAATGGATTTTAAATTTGGAACACGAATAATCAAGGGTGGGAAGGCTTTTGGGTTGAAGGGATATGAAAGTGCACATTTTCTAGCTCAGGCTCAGAGAGACACTAATACAAACTGCCTTCTCTAGCCTCGTGACACCACACTGACCCGTAGGTTCTGGAACGCAGAATTTGTTGGCCGGCAAGATATAATTATCTAGGTGGAAATCCACCTGCCTGTGTCAAGGTATGAATACCGATCGGAAGTCTTTGAATATAATCTTGCCATATGTCTCGATCCCATGACCTCTTCGGTCTGTGCCTTTGTCTTGAATATTCCCTGATGATGTTTGATATACGATAGGTTCCAACGGCGCTTCAATTGATTCGACCACCAGATGATTTGACAGCTCCGAGCCCTAATACGAATATGGATCCTGCTCTCCCCAAACTGGCCAACCCTAGATGGGCCAGTACTGTTCCGCGGCAGTCAGTAGATGCTATGCAGTTTCTGGTTGGGTTTTAAGACGAGCCTTGGGACCAAACAGTAACTCCAGGGCCACAGTCACAGTCACCATATGATGTAAATAACCCATACAAGCATCTCGTTCTCTGGATGAACGATGATACTGGAGCTGACATTTGCACTATCACCGAAAGCGACGTAAATGCCTTGACAGCCGCCGCTCAAACCGCAAGTGCATCCCGTATCACACAGCCACTTCTGCTTGGTTACATCGGGGTGCAAACCTCTGATGGGCGTGTCAACTTTGAACCGGTCATAGCACTGAAAATGAATTGCCGGGGTCTTAATGGGAACTACTTTTGAAAGATGCCAAATAGGATATAATATAAGTTGCTATAGCGCCTGATTTGGCTGATCCTGCCGTGGAACCGATACGGTTATTAGGCCCGTGGCTAAGACATAGGTTCTATACAGCGACTAGTCTGAATGGTATCAATCGTTTATATATCGTCAAAAAGAGACGGAGGTTGCGACACGTGAACGGTGTTCCTAACGGATACTCTGGCTTACTTCCAGGTAAGGAAGCACGGCAAAACGTCGACGCTAATGGCAATGACAGTGGTGAGAATGGTGACGATGATGGCACCAAAACCAGTCCCAATACCACTGTCAGTTCTCCTCAATCCAATAGCAATAGACCGAAGCCCCATTCGATCTAGAAGGCACCGAAGGAATTGAAATGGACGAGGTCGTAGTCCTGGGGTGGCAAAGATGGCAACGGGAGTTGAGAAGTATAGTCTAATTTCAATTTCATTGTTTTGATCCTACGTAATGAGTATGTAGATAATTGCTTGACAATGCCCTGGGTCGCAATTTCCTGTTGTCAGGTGTTCAATTTTTGTCTGTTTGGCTGTTTGACTGTTGTATGTTATTCTTATTTGTCCTCAATCTGGGCCTCTGCCCGAACTGTCTGTGGGATGCGTTCTTTTTCGCTCAGCTCCATTTTAAACAAGTAGCAAATTCTATTCATGTAAAACATAAAATTTCCCCAACTTGCTTTCGTTTTCTAAATACCCAATCTGCCCAATTTTAAGCCAATCAAACGTACAACACAACACATTCAGATGATAAGGAAAGGTTGCTTGGTACGAATGGGTTCAATAAAATGACATGTCAAATGTCAACGCAATTGTTCCAAACTCAACTCTGGTAGCATGGCTTCGACTTCAGCGTCAAAATGCGTCAAAAAGTCCTCCAATCCTCGCGAGGTATTCCAACCCAATTGATTGCGGCCAAAGTCAGCACGAGCTCGCGAACTGCATCATAGATATCAGTATGCCAATCTGAAGTTCAGGGAAGGAGTATTATACTTGGAAGCAAGAGATATCTCAGCCAGACTCTCATTCCCTTTCGTGATCTCCGCTGCTGCCTCCTTCAGGCTAACCGATTCAACCTGGTTTGTGGCCAGCAATCCACTTTTGTACATGGCGTCTGCAATACCCTGGCTGACCTGAAGCCATGTATGCTCGCCACTTTCAACAAAGAAAATAGCCTTCGGGCCAGATGGAAGCCATGCTGGCTGCTCCCTCACTGCCCGAAAGAGTCGAAGGTAGAAAACAGACAGGTCGGACATGTGCACATGATTCCAGGTCTGTCATTATTTGTTGAATCAGTATCAATTTTTATAATATATAATTTCACTGTCGTCATGATGGTCTTACGGCCTTTCCTGTCTCGATTACAGCAGCAGATCCACGCTTTTTTGCCATGCGTGCAAGGTTGGGAATCTGCTGGCTCAGAGTTGCAAATGGACCAGATCCCATTCCGTCTGTCAACTAATATCAGTACGGGACCTCCTTTTCTGGAATCTAATTGACGCACATATGGTTGGAGGGACGACGATGTAGGTTTTAACGCCAACACTCAGTCCTATCTCAACAACCGCAACATCGGTAATACGTTGGCCATATCGTTCAGGGTGTTGCTTTTCCATTTCATAGATGTCATCTTTCTCATCGGACCAGATCTTGTGATCTGATGATGCCGTGCGAGTGTAGGGATGATCTCCTAAAATCGACGTTCCGGACGTCTGAATTGATGTCAGGATCTGAGAGGATGATTCTCATTTGAGCATACTGTCTCACATGGATGAAATATGCATTCCTCCCCGTATTCTTCTGTCTCAGGGCAAGGCCTTCGATCAGAGCTTTAGCAGAAGTATCATGAGATGCCGAGGCAGCATTGATTACAACTATAGTAAGATCGTCAGCAAGGAATATATTGAAGGGCCAGAGTGTGACCGGTGTACCATCATGCTGAGAAGCTGCATCCCTGCAAGCATTCAGATCATCCAGGCCTTGAAATGGAAGCGAGGCAACACCCAGCGATTCAAACGTCTTTGCCTGCTCTGAGCGACGAATCAAGACGGAAATGGCGAGTGTAGAACTATCTGGCGATTTCAGGAGCTCAGAAAGAATCGATCCTCCACTATTGTGAATTCAGTAAACCTTTATGATAATTATGGCGTCACTCGTCACCCTCGCAGATGCACATACATGTATCCGGTGGCGCCAACGATAAGAACCTGGGTTTTGATTGAGACCATTTTGAAAACGAGGTTCAAACGATCAGCCTAAATACTTTTGTATAATTCAAGTTATCGACGGACATAGGTCAAAGGGACAGACAAACTATTTATCTCTTGAGTTGCCGACCGTTCTTCGTGGTATCAAGTATGCACTGGCACAGTGACTAATTCGACCGAAGATCGAACTAAGAGTTAAAAACTCTCCGGATTACAAATTCATTGTCGACGTTATGTATTTCAAGTTGATGACCCTTAGTTCCAGCGGGTTGGACCTTCCTCGCTTCATAGAATTAAGGTTTTGACATATATCGGATTGCTAATCACAGGTGGATACGCATACGTGCAGGCCCGTACAGGGGGGAATTAACTCCCAGCTCATTAGTGAGAAGCGCGGAATGGCTGAATCGGCCTCTCACTCGACATTTGATCAAAGGAAACCGTTAGTAGTCATGATGATATGCAGGCCTCTGGCGGTACGGGGGTTGCATCTCTGCTGCAGGGAACTTCTTTGGCTCAAGCCAGTGAAGTTGTCACTGAATTCTTTGCCCAGAAGCTTTCAAAGGCGTTGGGTATCACCATTGCCGATAATGATGCAAACAAGCCCCTGCACCAATATGGTGTCGACTCACTTGTCGCGGTAGAGCTACGTGGTTGGCTTACCAAGGAGCTACAGGCGGAGCTGGGAGTCTTTAATCTTGGGAGGGGCCACCTTATCTTCGGTGACACAGGTGGCCACGAGGAAAAGCAAGCTGGTCAAGGCATCTTAGGCGAAGCGGTATTTCTCATGCTATCTTTTTTTTTTTTTTTCCAATGTTGTGTTATACATAATACAGCAAGCGGGACGCGCTGGAAGGCGGTAAAGAGCATAGTCGATTATATGGGCAGCATTAAAGGCGGTGTCCTGTTTGGGAGGCGGTCATATAGGCGGTGGCCCCTCTGCCCAATTTTTCTGCCGATCATTCTCCACTCAAACTAGGCCATTCCTGTCATTAGCTTAACGTAATGCGATTACATTCGATATATTACCAAGGGTCAAGACCACCAGTTTGTATGCTGATTTATAATACGCCACGGTTTGTAACTGTTTTAATTACAAGCATAGTTTTAGCGTGGATGTGGGGTGACGCATCGAGGGGTACCAAACTTTTTTTTTTCTCTCTTCAATATCTTCAACATTCTGCCTTTACGATCACCCCCAATCCTTTCTATACGCCGCTAAAATCACGACCATAATGACTACCAGCCTCGAGGCCGAAGCGCCTCACAACAACTTCGACGTACGTGCTACTACCCTTCTAACAAGACTTGGAATAGTGACCTTGGACACTTATCTTCGCCTTCCGCAACTTGCGATTAATCACCCCCGCAATGGATTCATAGATCCAAGATGAACGATTTGACTGACTTTTTGACTTTTCAGACTATCCTCGTTCTCGACTTTGGCGTACGTCAATTCCAATGCCGCTCCCTTCCTTCATTACATCCAGAACTCCGATCTTGAATCGCAAACACTGACTCATGTTGAAGTCCCAAACAAGCCATCTCATCCTGCGCCGTCTTCGATCTCTCGGTGTCTTCGCTGAGCTGCTTCCCTGCACCACCAAGATCGCTGATCTGTCATGGAAGCCTAAGGGAATTGTTTTCTCTGGAGGTAGGAGACCTCTCGATACATAGTCCATGATTCATGACGATATCTGACTGAGCTACTAGGTCCCGCTTCTGTTTACGATGAGGGCTCACCCCGTAAGGTGTTCAACTTCCAAATTGCCTATTTTCTATACTTATATCTCTAGATGTTGATCCCGCTGTGTTTGATCTCAATGTGCCTATTCTGTGAGTCTTTCCTCTGTACAGCACTTGTGTTTCTGAATGTAGGCTAATACAGGAGGTATAGGGGTATTTGGTATGACTCATCTCAAAATCAGATCAATACAGCTCTAAAATTAACACAATTCACTCAGCTATGGTTGCCAGGAGATCGCTTGGCGCATTGACTCAAAGAACGTTGCCCGCGGCGAGGCACGGGGTTAGTGAATCATAAAAGTCCACATGGAGATCGTATCTGACCTTTTGCGCACAGAGTACGGCCACGCCGACGTCAAGGTCACCAAGGTTAACGCTCATGCCGACCGACTCTTCGCTGGCTTGGGAGATGAGGTTCCTGTCTTCATGTCTCACTTCGATAAGCTGATTAACCTGCCTGAGGTGAGTTAACTACGGTGGTCTCTGGAGATATGTTGCTGATCCCAGTGTAATAGGGATTTGCCATTATTGCTGCCACCAAGAACTCTGAGTTCGCTGGTATCGCTCATACTGAGAAGCCCATTTTTGGTTTGTTTCTCCCCAGGCTGTCTTTGCGCCCCCATAAATACAGATACTAATACAATGTCACTAGGTGTCCAATTCCATCCTGAGCTCGAGCACGTTCGTTTTCCCTATCAAACCCCACTTTAATTTCCTCCGATTTTATCTAATATTCAAATTTAGACACCTTGCGGAACTGATATCCTCCGCAACTTCAGTGTCGATATCTGCGGTGCGCAAGCAAGCTGGAAAATGGGCGACTTCTGCGAGCTTGAAATCGCTCGCATTCGTGAGCTTGTCGGTGACCGTGCGTTAGTTCTTGGCGCTGTTAGCGGTGGAGTTGATAGCACTGTCGGAGCTGCCCTCATGCGTGAGGCTATTGGAGATCGCTTCCACGCCATCCTCATCAACAACGGATGCATGCGTCTCAATGAGTGCGAGCAGGTCAAGGCTAATCTGGGAGAACACCTTGGCATTAACCTCACCGTTGTCGAAGCTAGCGACTTGTTCCTGGACCGTCTTGCTGGAGTTTCCGATCCTGAGAAGAAGCGAAAGATCATTGGGTCCACTTGTGAGTTTTTCAGCTATATGAGATGAAAACCCAAGTACTAACTACATCGAAGTCATCGATATGTTCGAGCAGGAAGCTATTAGAGTAAGCTTTACATCTGAAGGATTCGTGTGCCTGGCTAACAAACTTGCCAGATCGAGAAGGAGGCAGAGCACACCCCCAACAGCGGAAAGGTCGAATGGTTCTTGCAAGGAACCTTGTACCCTGATGTGTAAGTTGTTTAATTCAGTTGTATAGAGGCCAAGCTAAGCCGACGGCGTTTTAGTATCGAGTCCCTGAGCTGGCGTGGTCCGTCGGCCACCATCAAGAGTAAGCAACCCAAAGAAGTCACGGGCGCAGAATCCTGCTCTATGCCGTACCATGGGATTTACTGACAGTAAAAACAGCTCATCACAACGTCGGTGGTCTACCTGAGGTAAGCAATACAACCCCCCAAACACGAAATTATCAAACTAATCAGCATATAGCGTATGATGAATGGCGTAAGTTGAGTTGATCTTGCATCATTTGATTTATTTACTAATTGAAATGACTTTTTTAGCAAGGTTTGCGTGTAAGTATCATTATTATCTCTCCATCAAAAGACCAAAAACTGACGTGACTGCCTACAGCTTATCGAGCCCCTTAGACTCTTGTTCAAGGATGAAGTCAGGGTAAGTTAAACTTTGTAGGCGCGAACACCGTCATGGATTGTACTAAATTGTGCAGGCAATTGGCCGTAAACTCGGCATTCACGAGTCTCTCGTAAACCGACACCCCTTCCCCGGTCCTGGTATTGCCATTCGCATTCTCGGCGACGTCACCAAAGAGCGAGTAGAGATCGCTCGTCAGGCTGATAACATCTTCATCACCAAGATCAAGGAGGCCGGTCTTTACGATCAGGTGAGTCTTGTCACGCAATTCGGGACGAGTGCAAGCTAACTCTCCTCTCTCAGATCTCTCAAGCCTTTGCTGGCCTTGATACTAACCGTAGCGTTGGTGTTTTCGGTGACCAGCGTGTTTGGGGTTACATCATTATCCTCCGTGCTGTCCGTACCAGTGACTTCATGAGCGCGGAGGTGTTCAACTTTGACAACTCTTTCCTCGCTGTAAGTCACATCTTCAAGAGATTTTACCTCGGCTGTCCCTTCCCTTATGACCCGATGCCATTAATTTTGTTATTTTTACTAATCTGCTCACCTCAGGATGTTTCACGCACTATTTGCAACCAGGTCGAGGGCGTGGCCCGTGTTGTCTATGATTTGTAAGTCATAGTGCTGCCCTCAATCTCGACGCTTGAGCTAACATTTTCTCCACAGGACCTCCAAGCCACCCGGTACTATTGAGCTGGAATAAGCGATATATAGAGGGAAGAATGGCAGACAAACATTGGATAGATCATCTGTCGGCGTCAACTATGAACAAAAATAGGACTTCAATTTTATGGCGTTAGAGACTCTACTAGAAAGGCATATATAGTGAGAATAATGCAAAGACATGCAACTGGTAAACGCTGCATGTTTGTTTTTCGTTTGACACTTTATAAGCCCCTTACTCTATCTACTATGTCTTAACAGGATTGGACTAATTTACATTGTCTTTGTTTTCCTTCAATGTTGTATAGTTCTCTGTCAGCATGCGTGGATCGATTATGTCATGATCGGCCCCCAGAAAATAACATGTGATGCCGCGGAGTTTCGATTATTGATCACAATTCAGAATTCGAGTTGACCGACACTCACAAGCTCCTGATTACATTATGAAATAAATACTCCAAGTAGTCACCTAATTTTCCCACGCAGCTAGAGCCGCCCATTCCTCCATCACAACCCGGGTATCTATCATGACTACCCTCTTCACGGTCCCGATCACCTCCACTGGGGGCTCTATCGTGTGCACCAACCCAGCCCCAGACCAGCAAACAATCTATCTTTTGACGTTCACATCACCCCCAGATAACCGGCTGACCCCAACATTCATTGATGCCTTCATTCTCGCTCTCGACATTATCGAGCATCGCTACCCCAAGGGTGTTGTGGTTACAACGAGCGGAATCCCCAAGTTCTACAGTAACGGATTGGATCTTGACGTTGTGGCGAGCACTGAAGGATTCTGCGAAAAATGGCTATGGCGACTTTTCCGCCGACTTTTGACGTTTGTCCTGGATCTTAAATGAAATTAAAAAAAAAAATCATCGCTAATCAATTCGATTCAGATACCCCATGCCAACTGTGTGCCTGCTGAATGGACACGCATTTGCGGGCGGATTCATGCTAGCCATGTATCATGATTACCGCATTCAGAACCCGACGAAAGGCTTCCTATGTGTAAATGAGTTGGAGTTCGGTGTGCCACTCCAAACACCTATGATGTCTATTTTCAGGGAGAAGTTGGTTCCTACCACTTTCCGGAATGTGGTGCTTGAGGCGCGCCGCTTTGGAGCGAAGGATGCTTTGCCGGCGGGGATTATTGATGGGGTCGGTGGTTTAGATGAGGTTCTGGGGCTTGTTAATGATCGGAAGCTTCTTACTAAGGCTGCGACTGGTATTTATGGTACTATGAAGGAGGAGATGTATTCGAGGGTATTGAATGGTTTGGATGATGAGCCTGGGAATCTTGCGTGGAGAGAGAAGGTTGAGGAGAAGAAAGATGAAGTGCAGAGTCGTGGTCTACGGGATGTGGAAGAATGGGAGAAGAAGGGGAAAGCGAAGCTTTGAGTTCATATGTTCTATCGTTCTGTTCAATGTTGGCATATGCCTAGTAGTAGCAACAGTCGAGGCGCTACTATCACCCTCAGGTTATCATCCTTTCTCGTTTAGAGCTCAATGCACACGTACATTACTATGGAAACAATTTGTATATATCACTACATGTGTATCCATATAAATGCCAGTGGAGATATGATATGGATACTATATTTTATTCCTGCCAGTGCATCGTTCGGTGAAATACTAGCAGGAGAATTGAAAAGCAACGTTCAGAGCATTCAGAATAGAAGCCTTGGAACTTTCGACGTTATTTTTCATTATGTCCAGATACTAGTAGCTTCAGACCAGGAAATAGTGGCTTGATTTAATATTAGCCGGTATGTTTAGGCCAACAGGTCCCAAACTTGATGCCTTCTAGAAAGACTCCTAGGTTTATACTGGGGATCCTGAGTCGTCATCAATGCAATCGTTTGATCTACGCTCACCATCAAATTTGGTGGGCTTTTCAAATATTACTGATGACAATGATGACAGGATAGTTTTGAATTGGAATATACTTGTTTACGTACAGGATTTGGCACAAGTATAGTCTAACGTTCTTTGTTTTTTGTGACAAAATACTGATGAATTTCTTGAGGACTGCGGGATGGTATAGTTGGGAATCTGCGCCGTATTCCTCAGCAGATGAACGCAACCATGGTGAATCATCATCTAAAAAATTAACAGTATGCCTCATATAGAATTCGGTATAACTAATCGCATAGTTGCTTACTTTCACGCTTACTTTCAATATAGTCGGTTTGCTGGCCCTTGCCTGCTACCTTGCTGCTACATTACCAGTTGCTAGCTAAATAGATCTGACAGATTGTGATCCGTTAAAACGAAATGCAGCTCAAATGTTATATTTTGAGAAGCCCAGGAGAAATCTTCAGATTAAGTTTTCAAGTAGCCAAGGGCTGCTCGTCTCGCATGGACACCTGGAGCCACGCTCCACGCGGCCCTGTCACATAACAAGGATACGAACTCCACGGACTCTCGATGCATTTATGTCCAGTCTAGTCTGTCTATCAATGAGAAAAGCAATATATATGTATTATGTAGTTCGGCATGGAAGGCCTGCTGGAGATTACAATCCTGGCGATCCAGCCCACGATATGACTGGCTTGTACTCCGATGATCTCCGACTCTAGTCAAGACATACTCGCCGAGATTATGAGCTGAATTCAGCACAGCGGTTTTCAAGATGTGAGATCTAATTTTGAGAAGAATATAAAATGGGATGTTCGCGCTGATTTATTGCTTTTCAGATCTACAAGCCTTACAGTTCCTCGGTTGATCCCTCTTGCCTCTTCTCTCACTCGCTCAATTGCACTTTGCTTCATTTGAAGTATTTTTCAGGTACGATATTTGAATTATTGTTGCGTTGCTTTTTTGCTAAACTCGTGCTTACGGCGTTGAACTTGGCTAGGTCTACTATCCCAACATGCGTTTCAACTACATCTTTGCCCTCCTTTCCCTTGGAGGTGTTGCTATTGCGGCTCCTGTTGCCGCCGAGGCCGGTTCGTTCCTTCCATCCCTTCTCATTGAGCTTCGTCTAACAAATTGACTCTATAGAAGCCGCTGCAGCTGAGGGTGGTATCGGTTCTGGAAGTGGTTTTGGTCTCGGAATTGGTAGTGGCAGCGGCGGCGGTGGCGGTCTTGGTGCCGGCTATGGAAGTGGAGGTGGACTCGGTGCCGGTGCTGGTAGCGGCTATGGCAGTGGAAGTGGAATTGGTGCTGGAGGCGGTTCGGGTTCAGGCTTCGGCTTGGGCGCTGGTGGCGGTGGTGGCATTGGCATCGGCATTGGAGAGGGCTCTGGGGAAGGTGGTGGTGCTGGCTACGGAGAAGGGTCTGGAGCTGGCTTTCGCAAGTAAACCATAGATCTAAACATGGATTCTTTTGATCCATCTTGAAGAGATTGATTCGATGTGAGAAATCACATCAAATATCAAATGGCATTGGCATTGGCATATATTCGAGGACACCTCTCTAATTGCTTCATAATAAAATACATCATGTCGTAAGGTGTAGCATCGCTGTCATCAATATAAAATTTCATCGTAATCATGACTTTTTAGTCTTGCTTGGACGGCCCAGCCGTACAGGTGTGTCTAACTGGTCAACCAGTGGACGATATGGCGAGGCTAATACGTGTTCTGGTGCAGGGTCTCGTCTTAGTTCGCCGGTATTTGGTCGACGTAGCTGTTCTTCATGCATGCGATCAAGGGGTTCCCCGACCACTTTGTACTTGGCCCAGTTTATTGGAGGCATTCGTACAACATTTTGGGGCGGGGGGATGCGACCGAACGCGGAGGGGCTATCGGCGCTTTTTGTTGTCGGGTTTTCTTTGTTATCATCGTCATCATCGTTGTCGTCGTCCAGATCCATATCCATATCATCAGAGAACTGAATCACAGTACCGCGATCTTCGGTGCGCAACCGACCCTCTGCCAACTCGCGCGCAAACCCTTCTGGGTCCGCAGCAGCAGAAACCTTCATGCGATCGAGAGTTTTTAAATCGCGTAGACTCTGTTGTTTCTGCATCTGCAGTATGGACAAGGCTGAGCGCAGTGCGATCGCATCGGGGTTCTCACTCTCCGAGATCGGGACTGGCGGTGGCTCTGGTTTGAATACGGGCGGATTTGCAGGAGGTGGCAACGGTCGATATGTTGTTTGTGGAGGAAAATACTGGCTTGTAGGGGAAGGCGACAAGGGTGGTGGTACAATAGTCGCATTCTTCGCTGCTTCTGGTTCCAGCTGACGGAGCACAGGCGTTACTGGGGAATATGGCGGGCGGGGTGGAGTACAACGTCCATATTCCGGTATCTCGGCCTCATTCGCTTCATTCCCCGTTGGTTCAGGAACAGGTTGCATGGTTAGCGAATAACGGCGCACCCTGCACCCAGTTCAAATTTGATGTGTTTTATAAAGGGTATCCAGGGGGGGTGTGAGGGGGGAGAAATGAAAAACTCGAATTGGATCCGACGGCTGCAGGGTGTTTCCAGTGGTTTCTGGGTCCACGGGAAGTGACGACACCGGCGCTGCCTGGCGCGAAGGGGATTCAGTCAAATGAGGCCACCCAAATCTTTGGGGTCGACTGCTGGAAACTCTGTGGATCTATTCAAAGAATATAAAGTTGAAAAGAAAATTGACACACACACACACACACACAGAGAGAGAGAGAGAGAGAGAGAGAGAGAAAGGGATTCAACATTGATCGGTGTTAAAGCTATTGTGTCGATCACTTTAGAGTGAGGCGAATCTTCAAGTCCCAGCGAATGAGAGAATGAGGCTTTGTTCCAATAGAATCAATGCCATAGAACAAAGATCGGAACTCTGAAAAAGTCCGAAGTCACGGTAGATATGTTCAAGCACATGGGGTCAAATATACCCTGCTTGATAGGTATAGGCTCAAAGCTTCAAGACTCAAATGTTGACGAGACCAATCCTGGCTTGACCGCCCCAGTTGACGGATCGTTCACCGCCCGCAAAAATTTATTGATCAGGCCATTGATCGTCCCCTCAGTGTTGCTTGTCTGGAGATCGCGACATTTTTCAAACAATCATGAAGCGCAAGACAGATGAAACAGGCTCTCATGCCAATGGACTTCCAGAGTCCAAGAAGCGTGCCCTCTCAAGTGAGGAAGCTACTGCACGCTTTCGTGAAGGCTTGTTCAACTCCGCGGAGCAACAGAAGTACACCGATCAATACGCCAAGTCAAACCCGTACGTTCAATGTTACTCCCAATGCGTGAATGAACGAGACTCTAACTAGCTACCTCAATCCAGATACTATCATGGTGTAATTCACTCCTTAATCGAGCCGTCATTACTCCAATCCGTCCGCGAAGAGATCCAAGAACAAGTCGACTTCACCGAGAAAGAAACCGATATCTATAAGATCTTCCAATCCGGTGATCTGGCCAATTTGGATGGTCTTGACGATTCTTCTTTGTCAAAACTACCCTCCCTCCTGAAGCTCCGTGATGCGATGTACTCGGCCCGATTCCGCGAATTCTTGTCTGGTGTGACCGGCTCAGGCAAGCTGAGCGGTCGCAAGACAGACATGGCTATCAATGTTTATACGGAAGGTTGTCACCTACTGTGCCATGACGACGTTATCGGTAGTCGTCGTGTTAGCTACATCCTTTATTTGACCGACCCAGATACCCCATGGCAAGAAGAGTGGGGTGGTGCGCTGCGTCTCTACCCTACTAGAACCGAGAAGGATGCGAATGGTGATGATGTCAAGATCCCCAGTCCAGACTTCAGTCTCTCTATTCCTCCTGCTTTCAACCAGCTTAGCTTCTTCACCGTCCAGCCTGGTGAGAGCTTCCACGACGTTGAGGAGGTCTATCATTTCCGCGAGGGTGAGGACAAATCCAAGAAGCGCGTGCGTATGGCTATTAGTGGATGGTTCCATATTCCTCAGGAAGGCGAAGATGGATATGAGGAAGGTCTTGAAGAGAAGCTAGCAGAGCGAAGCAGTTTGGCTCAGCTCCAAGGCCGTGGCGATATCTACGATCTGCCCCAAGCACAACCTGTCTCTTGGGAAGAGCCCGAGGTGGAGGGCAAGGGTAAAGGCAAAATGGAAGAACAGTCCGAAGGCACTGAGTTCAATGCAAGCGATCTTGAATTCCTGGTACAGTATCTTGCACCCACATACTTGACCCCCGATATTGCAGAGGAAATGTCCGAGGCATTCGAGAACGAGTCATCGCTAAGCCTTGAACGCTTCCTTAATGAAAAGTTTGCCTCTCGTATCAGTGCATACATTGAGGATCAAGAACGACAAACCCTGCCTGCCTCGTCTGAAGAGATCAAAACTGAAACAGAATGGACTGTGGCTTGCCCACCGCACAAGCACCGCTACCTCTACCAGCACACCGCGCCCGGTGATACATCAAATCCTATCAAGGAGCTGTTGAACGTGGTGTTCCCTTCACAAGCGTTCCGGAAATGGCTGGCTCTGATCACAGGTGTTGACCATCTGAAGAGTCACAATTTCCTCGCTCGTCGCTTCCGTCGCGGCGGTGACTATACTTTGGCTAATAGCTACAATGGTGAAGAGCCACGTTTGGAGTTCACTCTTGGACTTACGCCGACAACTGGGTGGGAGAAGGAAGTGGATGAGGAAGATGATGAGGAGGAGGCCGACGGTGAAGAAAATGCAGAGGCAGAGTCATCCTCGTCCAAGCCTAAGCCTAAAGAAAAGACTGAAGAGGAGACCGCTGAGCATCCTTCGGTGGGTGGTTACGAGATCTACATGGCTGGTGATGAAGATGAGGAGGATGCGGAGGACGGCAAGAAGAAGGCCGACCCTGCAATCTACCGATCTGCCGGTGCTGACGAGGATGATGGAATTCTCTTCAGTACCCAGGCTGGATGGAACCGACTCAGCATCGTGCTCCGCGACAGCGGTACCTTGAAATTTGTCAAGTATGTCAGTGCGGCAGCTAAGGGTGATCGGTGGGATATCACTGCTGATATCGATGTTGAATTTGATGATGACGACGAGGACGATGATGATGAAGAGATGGAAGAAGATGATGATGAGTAGGCGGGATATTGTTCCTTCTCAGCAACATTGAACAGCTATTTTGAAAGAGAAAAAAGGCAATTCGCAACAATTTGTAGATACATTATACCATTTCATATAAAATCTTTTATTTATACTTACTTCAATCCATGAAATGAATGAAGAGAACTGCGCACTTCTAATTCAGCATTTCTAATAACTAACCTGCAGACAACCACTCTACCACTCTACCCATCTACTGATACCCGGTCGAGTGTGAAATCTCCTCAGCTTCCTTCAAATTCTGCTGCATCCCATCGATTTTCGCCTGAAAGCGCCGATAACAGTCCGAACCAAGCGGTAATCGAAACAAATTCTCCTTCCCAACACCCATGCCAGTGCCTGTCACAACTTCCACAATCCTCTGGGCCGTTTTAAAAGGATCTCCCGGGTGATTGCTCTCCTTAGATCCAAACTTCTTCAGGACATCTTCCAATGGCGTACCGGCATAGTCCTTGTTCATTCCCGCGGCGGGCGAGACGAACGATGTCCAGAATGGGGTACGGAGCGATCCAGGCTCAACTAGAAGCACGCGGATCCCGAACGGTGCTAGCTCTTTTGACAGACTTTCGGACATACCTGTAGATTAATTAGCTTTGGTTTGTTTTGTTTTGGTAATTTGTTTATGTGTTTCGGTTTTTGGTTTGTAGGAACAGTAGGTAAGTTACCTTCTAACGCGAATTTTGAACCCGCATACATCGCACATGTAGGCACTCCGTCTATTCCTGCACTGCTGCTGATATTCACTACTGTACCGCTTTTCTGGGCTCGCATGAATGGTAAAGCGCCCTTTAATACCCGTACGGGTCCGTAGAGGTTTGTGTTGAATTGATTCTCGATCTCCGTCTCACTCATATCCTCGATGCTGCCGAGTAGCGAGTACCCCGCGTTATTGACTATCACGTCAATTTGGCCGTTCACTTCACGGACCGCATCTTCCACTTTCTTGGTGGTTTCTTTGGATGTGACGTCGAGCTGGATCCAGGTTCCGCCCAGCTTCTCGATGTGGGGGTGTTGTTCTTTTGCTTTTGTGGGATCGCGAGCTGTGCAAATCACTTTATGGCCTTCTTTGAGGGCGAGTTCGGCCATTATAACTCCTAGACCCGAGGAGGCGCCTGTGATCAGCCATTGTTGAGTTGTCATCTTTATTATTTGTTGGATTGGGTTATTGGGATCGAGTTCTTATAGCCTTGGTAGTTCGATGTAGGTTTATGATTCTCATTTGTGGCGGGGCTCTGCCTTCTTATATGGCATATATATCAGTAGATTATTACATAATTTAATTAAGCTTGCCAAAATCCTGTCTGGGCCATATCGGTGATTGTATGTATGATTGGATAATTCTATAGTATCTTCTTGCGAGCCTTGCACGTTGGCATTTGAAGTCGGAGATAGCCGGGCCTAGCGGAGTTAAGTATACGAATACTAGGCTTTATATCTGATAAGGAAACAATGGCGAGTAAATTAAGCCCGTAGACAATAAACATTTCGTGTTCATTTCAAGGTTCAGACATTCCACTGCCCATCCATGGATGGGGTTTTGGATTTCAAGTTCAAGTTCGAAAATGGGAGTCTTTCAGTCCACGGTTGAAATATACTACTACAACGGTGGGTGTATATATCTAAGTTCACGCGGATGCGTTCCAAGGTTACTATTTCGCGTCCATTAACTTTGGAAGTAAACTAAACAAATTTGAAACGTTACCTGCCCGTAATCCAGCAGTCTATGAAGAAATGTACTATATAAGATCAAGCGACACGCATCAGGTTATAGATACTCGCTAATGATTATAAGTTGTTTGGTGCACATCATGATGTGCCTAGCGGTTGTTAAGCCAGCGGTGGAGCGTGAAAAGCTACATACCTCCACATATTGGAACCGGTCGTTGTCATTATGAAATACAAGGCTTAGAACTTGAACAATAGAACATAGAACATCTATCAAGTACAGGCGAGGCTCTACTACTTAATTTCACCTCGAACGCCCAAAGCGATAATCTGCTAGTACATCCTCGGCAGATTCCCAACAAATTCCCCATCTACAGTACATGTCTGTCAATTACATCCATGCCTATGCTTACTTCTAATCGGAAAGTCCTCAAACCTCAAGCCCCACAGCCCTATGGGACCCTCTCCCCCAAAACTTGAATCTGCAGAACCAAGAGTAGAAAAAGCCCCGGTCGCAAATCGTCATCAAAGGTTCGTGGAGGTTCTAGATGAATTTGGCCCCATCATCTGAGAAGCCGATCCAATCCTTTTGATGACACGCAAAGACGATCTTCTTAACTAAATGGATTAATGATGTAATTTAGGGCCGCAACCAGAGATAGCGGTCAATCTTATTATTATTATTATCTGTATGATATCTCCTATTTAGGATTCTCGTGAAGTCTTACAGGCGGTTATTTGGTGGATCTGTGGAATTGCTGGCAACTCGAAACGAAACTTGAAACAATCGCTCCACTTCAGCGCTAAACAACGGGTGGGTTTTGGGGTTTTGGCTTTTTCAGTCTGTTAGCTTTGTTTAGGGTATTATTAGCCTTCGACGTAATTCTTCAGCGCGGCGGTAGTTGAAACGATGCAGGTGGTTCCTGTTCCTGTTCCTGTTCCTGTTTATTTTGGGTTCATGCCCCTTTTGGTAGTGTTTTGGATTATTTTAGATGGATCGGTGTATACTTCCTTACTTTGTGTATATCTATGCTTACACTTTTACATGCTACGGGTTGAGTGAAACAATTCCTCCTCGTTATGAGATCATTGCTACCATTAGTCTAGTTATTGTTTAGATTTAGACCGCGCGGTTGGATTGATCGACAAGCGGTATGGGATATAATCAATTATTGGCGTCAGTGGCTCTTCTCTTCTCCCCTCCCTTGTACAATCATTACCATGTTGTACCGCTGTACCTAGTACACATGGGTTACCCGACAGTGGATGAGACATGGCCAGTGAGAATGGCCATGGAATTTGGGGCGTGTTTTCCGCGGTATCTCAAACATATTTCTCGCGCTCTGGTCCGACCCTGCGAGCCTGGTCAAGGTACACATACACGCGAGAAAATGGAAATAAATCAGAAAAGTAATAGTAATGAAAAGCAGGGGCAATACTGTCTATCGTGCCTTTGTACATTAACATTACCAATGTATCCACTTGCATGTGGGACATTTGAGATCTCGGCATTTGCATTCCTGTTTGTATCTACTAGCAAGGGGTTGGTTGCTTTTTGCACGCCATGAGACATGACAATGTCAAGGAAGAAATGGAAATGGTCCTTTCCCGGTAAGCATGGAATGATCTACCCATGTCTGAACCAGAGTGCTGGTCCCTCAGCTTCGGGGAGGAGGGTCCGACGTTATGATCGACGTGCACGGAGTCTTTCTCCGCTGTTTATGTCTCGCTGGGATTACTGAGGTGCACGCCGTGTACAAAACGGGTTACAATACGGGATGTATTCTGCTTACCTTGTCTGTTTACCACTATAGTTGTTTCTTGGATAGCTTCTAGCTGTCGTTCTGTTTTGTGGTAGATTATCCTTTTTTTTTCTGTGTTTCTCTGTCGGATCTTGGGGGAACACGCGCTCACTACTACGTGATACCTCGCGTGTCATAGCGAACAAACTATTGGGACGCGGCAGTAAGGAAGTGGGCCGCAGTTTCTATTATTATTATTATTTTACATTATTCTATTTTATTTTATCACCCAATCTTCTTGTTCTCCCCGTGGGTTGACTGGAATCGGAATGGGGGCAGTTGCGTCTGGCAGCACAAGGTCCGTGGGCCACACTATTTGGTCTTGTTAACTCTATCGGTGCCAGGTGGATGCCATCCCTTGAGGCTGAAGCTTCTGGAGGGGGCAAAGGCGAAGCTATGACCTTCTCAGATGGCAGACTAGTGGAGTGGAGAAAGTGTACTGATGGGGATTAAAAAAAATAAAACTAAAACAGAATTAATTTGAAGACGATGGGTTTAGCCTCAAGGGAGCTAGCTACCTACCTACAAAGCCTGCAGAATACAGTAGCAGAGTCGCATTGGAAATTCCCACGGGTCTGGAGAAGCTTTGATGGGTCGGTCTCCGGAATGGAAGATTGCTACCGTGTCAAATGGAAGAGAAGTGAGCATGGTACTGCAGTGACGATCGGTGGCGATCTTAGTGAGAAACATTCTGCAAGGCTACGACGCCATGTGGCTGACTCTCTGAACTTGGTGATGATTGTCGTTTTTCCCTTCTCTGTTCCAATCATGGGTACGAAGTACGAAGGTCCGTTTCTAAGGTTTCTTTCTTTCTTTCAAGTTCTTTGGTTGGTCTCGAACGGGCCAAGGAGTAATGAAATCAAGGAGAAATGCATAAATGCATACATGAGGAGTATGGTTCAAATGTTATTATCCTTGGCAATGCTGAGATTTAGGCTGAAACGGTTTTACAACCTAGCAAGCCACCGAGTCCACTTCAGCTAATCCTTGTTATTTATGTTTAAAAAAAATGATAAAAAAATAAAAATTGGTGGCTTCGCTCATCTGGCCGTTGACTGGGATATGATCAGACTCGGCAAGTATCTTGCTGCCTACTCTCATCGCGTCAATCACACCTGTTTATTCCAAGGTTTTTTTGCGGCGCCACAGAAAACCTTTGCCAGCCCTTTTCGGACTCCCCACATTTCTATAGCTCGAGTACTAAGTAATAAGTACTAAGCACTAAACTAAATTAGAGTGGTCCGGGATCTAGATGTTTGGAGAAATCTCCTCCGACTCGACTGTATGACCGGTACCTTGGGGAGGCGATGAAAGCCGAGGAACAGGATCAAATTGACACATCCATCAGGTGTTAGATACCAGCCAGCCACGGAGAATTTACAATCCTGCGCAAACAAGAAAAACGAGAAGAAGCAAAATACTCGATGCACATTCCCTAGATTACATTTTTTTCCCTTTTCTTCTCTTTCATCCGGAACTTGGTGGCTTATGCTCGTGATCTGGATGCTGGACTCGGGGGTTTGTCCTCACGCTACACCGAGATTAGGCTCGGCAGCTCGGGCAGCAAAAACCCTAGGTGAAAAACCCCGAATGCTACAGCGATTAAGGATCAGATCTAGTCTTGCGCCAAGTGCCGTTCCGGTCGCACAGACGTGAAATCCCTGAGACTTCGAGTAAGCAGGGTTGGTTCAAGTTATGTGGGAGTGGGAGTGTGCCCGGGCAGGAAAAATACACATCAAGATTGGAGAATACTAAGTTCAAGTTTTGGATCATTTGTAGCGATGAGTATCTGAGCACTTTCTAACCTTGGTGATCTATCTTGTACATGTATGTAGCACTTGAGCCTTCAAGATGAGGTGCATCTTAGGTGAAAATAGCCGCGCATGAGTCTAAGACTGAGCAGGATTAACCGGTGACCCGTGTTTTGTATTTTTTTTTACCTCTATTTACCACCTGGGTAGGTGCCCAAGTGGTAAATGTTGCTGCGCGTAACCAGTCACCAGTCACCCTCGATAACGACTAGAGTGGCATTCGGGCGGCAGCGGGTCTGCACCGACCCGCCCCAGTCCCCTACGATCGAAATTGTCAAGCTTTGAACGTGAACGGAGTCACTCCAAACACGCGGCTCGGACTGAGCGCGTAGTGTTACGACTTGGCACCGGCGATTTAGTTCTACGCGAATCTGCCGGTTACCGTGTAGGACAGACAGAAAAGAACAGAGAGGAGGAATGAAAATAAAAAAGCAAAGAAGCTATGGATCCATAGGATGTATACGGAGTACCGACAGTGCTGGAGGGGTTTCTGCATAAGACTCCCAGGGCCATGGTACAGTCGGGTATAGTTTAGCGAGGAGATAGGTTAGTTTTTGATATACCAGGCTAGAAGTTACTCGTCTTTTTCTAAGTATTTATTTGTTTTTGAAAAGTAAAATAAAAAGCCACTCTCTCGTACCTGTCTTGGACAAGACTAATGCAAGTTGACTTGGTTCTAGCGTGGTCGTTATTTTGCAGAGTGATTTGCCATGTGTGTGGGACACGATGTGCAGCTTGAGCGTGGCGTGGGTTGGACAGGTCGTCCAGGGGGGTAGATAGGTATTCGGTACCCATGTTGGGCCGCGAGGTGCGGATGTTGGGGGCGTATGAGTGACAATCGTATCCCTGTCGAACATATGCCATGTGTCCAACGTTTGATGGGGATTAGCGTGTGGTCGGCATGCAGCCACTGCTTCCCCCCCCGGTCAGGAATGCAGTTTGACACCTCTTTTTTTGAATTATTTTATTTTTTGTTTTCTGTATTTTAAACTTGGGGAAGAGTATTTTATTATTTCCGCTCGTTCTTTCTTTTCTTCCGCTGGACCCTGGGGATCTCCCAATTTGAATTTTACCTGGTTATAGATTCTGTTGAGGAAGCAAAGGATTCTGTAAGGAGCTCAGCGTGCCATGTCCTTTTTTAGTTTTAGTTTTATTTATTTATTTTTTATTTATATTATTTTTTACCATATGTACTCCGTATTCAATGTTACCACGTCCCTCGCTAAGGGCGATCACTGCACTTGCCACGTGAAAAATCAAACATGATCTCAGAAAATCGTGGGTGATATGTAGGTTGTAAGATGGTGGATGAAAATGGACCCAGTATTAGGCAAACGCATATCAATTCCCAGAAGGATCTACCTGCTATACCTTTTCGGAGTACAACGGAACATGGGCATAGTACATTGCCCAGTATGTATAAATAGCGAAAGGGTGGGGAAAGGCTTATGCTTATGCTTGAATTTTGGGTTGAATCCTTCTTCCTCTTTTTATCTCAGCCAAAATAAAGAACAAGAGATCTGCTCCACTCCACTTAGTGTATAGTAGTCCATGGGTTGCGCGGGTCGTACAGAAAGTCAACCACGTTCAAACGTTGTGACGTGAAGACTGACGGTCATGATGTAATAAGGGAGTGCATTCTGCTGGGAAAAAGTTTTTATTTTCAATGTTACCGGCAGAAGTCAACTGTACATACACAAGGTTGGAATAATAAAACGTGTCCTCCTTGCGTGGGTCTGTTCTTCAAGGGAGCCCAACGATGAATGGGAAATGGCCCATGTCCGGCATTTGGGGACTGGGGAATCTGGAGGACCACGGGGATTGGAGAATGTGAACAGAGACATAATGCAGAATGGGGTTATCATATTTCTTTTTGTATTTTATTTTATTTTATTTTATTTTTTGGCCCCTTCTTTCTCCCCGGTCAGATGTACAGAGTGGGATCAACTTGAAGGACTTTTGATCAATTCCACAGGGAATTTGGGTTCGACGGGCCGTGGTTCCTATGTACATACATTTGTCGCTTCATAGAAGGATTACCAAAATGCGGAATTGGTCTGTTCCTGTCAACTGTGCTCTCCACGGATCCAAATACATGTATACTGTCGTTCTTTCCGCAGTCTTTCAGGGTGACTGCGTCGGCGGATACGGATGGTTCGATTTGCAACCTGCCAGTCCTTCCTGAACTATGGGAAGAGACGTAGAAAAAGAAATCAAAAGAACAGATCATTTGCCTTTTCCTGGCGGAGATCATGGTTTGGCGGGTGTCTCTATGCCCGCCCTGTATTATTGGGTGGGGAAGGAAATGTAACTCTGGAATCTGGTGCTCCTTGCCTTTATTTTACTTTAGCATTTAATATTATTTCATTTATTCCATTTTGTTTTTTAGTTTGCCCCAGAAAGGGTCAGCCTCGTGGCACAGTGGAGAGTGTTGCGCGCAGTAGCGGGCTTGGCGCATGGTAACGATACCCGTAATCCGTACATTCCATGAGGTGTTGTTTGTCTTGACAGGGATATTACCGTGGAGAGGACATCTGGAGAGAAGCTTTGTATATTGTATTGTAGATTGTGCTCTAGATTGTAGCTATACTCGAGATTATACTCTAGATTCTACTGTATAATCAATTTATGTAAGGAATCCACCAGGAATAATGAACCGGACGAGTTGCCGCAAGAGGGCGAGGCACCGGGCTAAATCCTTGTGCCACGTTCCTTCAAGCTTGATGCTCCCTTGTGGTATTGTATGGTCACGCTGAAAAGACTCAGCGGATGAATATACTAAGGATCTAGAGATATATAGAATAATATGTGATATCTACAATGAAGATCTATGCTCTCTGCTTAAATTAAAAGATCACGATCATCTACTCATGGAGATCCAAGACCTATCGTGATCAACTTCTTCATAAATCATAAATTACAGATATACAGCTACGAAACACGCCGTAATCAAGGAGAAAATAAAATAAAATAAAATCTAATATTGTATTCTAATTCTAATTCTAATTCTAATATTGAAAATAAAATAAAACAAATCCCATTCGGACCCGATCCTTTCTACTGGGACCCCCTCCAGTGCCTCTCTCCCTCTACAATACCTACACACTCCCCAGTGCCTCTACAATACACACTATAGAGGTCCACTTATTCTTCTAACTTTCTTAACTTTCCTCCCCGATCAGTGGGACATTCTCATTCGTTTATTCCGTTGATTCGTTTTCTTCCCATTTACCCCAAAAAGGTTCTTCCCCGGCCCCTCTTTGCAACATTGCCTCGTTTGTCTTCTTGTCCGCTTTTTATGCCCCCATTTCCTTCTTGAGGAAGAAAAGAAAGGGAAAAAAGAAAAAGAAAAAAGAAAAAAGAAAAAAGAGATTAAAACAAGAAACAGAAAGACAGAGTGTGAATCCTTATAACAAAATCTCACCTTCCTGCTCCTCACCCCCTCCCTTCAGCGTTGCGTTGCCGACGCCGATCTCCGACGTGACGAACTTGGATCACTTTTTCTACTCCATCTGGACTCTGACTCCGACTCTGACTGGCTTTCCTCTCACGCTTCGGCTGCCACTACCACTCTCTCTCTCTCTCTCTCTCCTTTGCTTCCCTCCCACCCTCTCTCTACAATTGCTTTCTCCGCTTCAATAAGTCTACGGAGAAATATGCAATAGTGTGCGCCAATCCTCCCCCGTCTCAATCTCGAATCCTGCCGAATCTCGCACCATTCTTTCTCTCCCCTTGCACGCTTTCGCTCTTTCGCCCATTTCACTTTCAACCCGGTGGTCGCACCTCACCACTCTCCCTTCGTTTAGCCTCAAACTACTTTCCATCATGGACTCAGTCAACTCCGTCACCCATCGGCCATGGGAAACCGTTCATTCGGGCCCTGCGACGCCCGCAGCCTCGGTTCAAACCCTGCCTTCCATCTCCACACTCACCGCGAACATGAACGGCGCCGGCGTGAATACCGCCGAAAAATCACCTGGTAATGCATCTCTAAATACCATTGAGCGGGACTCTGGGAATTGGTCAATGCCGCAAAGTACAAGTAAGAGCCCGCCCAGAGTACAAGCGGCCAAGGTACTGTGCAAATGTACTAACTATGATTCAGGATCCTCAACGTATTCCACCGCGACCAATGGAACAGGCAACAACTATCCCTCGCTCACCTTTTTAACCTCGACATCACAACCCTCGCCCAATCGGGGTCATATGGCTCCTGCGCCCGATCGATCGCCTTACAGCCAAGAACAATCTACCACTCCCTCCTCAGCCGGTGGACAACAGCAGCACTCTCCAAATTTCAATTCCTCGCAACCAAACCCAGCCCTCCCCTCAATCAACCAAAACTTCGATGCTTCATCTCAACGAGGAAGCGTGGCCGATATTCCCGAGTCCCGCCGCAGCAGTGTGGACAGCCGTATGAATCAAGGCATCAGCTCACTGGCCATCAACCCAGCCTCACCCTACCACAGCACCAATGCATCCCAGGCCTCGATCGTATCGAGCCTCCAACGCGAACGGGGCATCGCAACAGACATGAATTCCTACCGTGGGCCCAGATACTCTGGAGGCAGCCAGCCTATATCTCCCATGGACCCTCGCGCAAATGACCAGCATCGCGGGTTTGCAGCTGGACGTACGGCCCCTGCTATCTCATCTAACCCCCGGTCGGATATTTATAACGCAGAGGCACCCACTGCGGGTATGGCCTATGCTTTCCCCGACCCAGACGTAGCTCGCTCAAGCTCAATATCATCAACTGAGAACCCTCCCTTCTCACGAAAGGGTAGCACCGCGGAGTCGCTGAGCAGCTTATACTCGGAATCGCAGATGCCCCGAGGCCAGCACGGTAAGATCAATCGAATTATTCAAATAGTAATATTCGCTAACTGGTATATTAGAATTACCGCAAAACGCGCACCACCACCATTCCTTACAACATAAACAAGTACGCGATCTAATCGGAGAGTCAGAGGGCAACACCCCCTACAGCCGGACTCCAGAATTACGTGTTACACATAAGTTGGCCGAGCGGAAGCGACGAAGCGAAATGAAGGACTGTTTCGAAGCGCTGCGTGTACGTCTCCCACAGGCTCAAAACAACAAGTCCAGTAAATGGGAAACCCTCACCCGAGCCATCGAATATATCAGTGGATTAGAGAAGAACCTTGGGCAGACGCGCCGCGAAGTATCCGTACTTCGGACTGAAAATGAAGAGCTCCGAGCGCAATTGTCTCAACAACAAGCTAATGGCGCCTCACGAACACCCTCAATCTATGAACATCACCCTATGGCTACTCCCCAGTCAAATGGACAAGCCCAGCAACCTGTCTTTTCTGGATTTGGGAACGGCAACATGGTCACTCAAGAACAACCTCGTACCCTCCCCCCACTTATGAACGGCTCAGTTGCCCCGATGCAGGGAATTGAGTACGAACGACGATGACCAAGTCGCTTTGGATGAGAAATGACTACGACTTCCTCTCACCTTTCACAAAAAAACATTGTCATTACTATATATCCCCCTGTTTTAGATATGGACCTCTGGGTATCTTGACACGGCCTGTTGTGAGATGACTCCGGGGTTTTCTTTTTTTTTTCTTTCTTTCTATCTCCTATCTGATTTTTGTTCTATCATCATACCCGCAATCGCTGTCTATTTTCATATCTTTTCCTTGCTTATTTTTTTCATTCTCTCTCTCTCTCTCTCTCTCTATTTCCTTTTTTTTTGTACCTTGGTTTCATTGAGGCATGATCCACTCCTGCATGTTTTTCATGTTTTTCATTTTCTTCTTCTCTTTTCTGGGTTGGACATGACGGGGTATTGGGGTTCTAGGTATATGGGACTGATGAATATGTTTGAACTGGTTTCTTTTCTTTTTTTTCTGATTTTTATTCCGTACTTCCAGACGGAGTGTGTACCAAATATCCAAAAGCGTGTGCTCCACGCCATGAGATCCTTACCTTGCTGTGCCAATACTACTTTCCTACCTCTGGTAGAATCCTGACTCAACAATCTGGCTCCAAGTTTGTAAACGTCAACAGGTAGTCTATTTACAGTACTCTTGTGGCGCTACATCAAACAGCTAGCCAGCATGCAAGTGATGAATAGGTCGGTACGAAGCTATAGGTTCTAGAACCACCAGGGCTCCTAATACTCCTCAACTGGTTACATAGGATCGACCAGAACCATCCGTTTCAGCCATCAATCCATCGAAATAGATACTACTCTTCTCCAAACCATCCAAAAACCATAAATAAACTCGCAGCGCCTGAAGAAACACATCTCCACAATTAAAGCGGGATCTATTTTGGGGCCCGGGGGTTGCTTCCTCCTCATTGGTCATTCTCTAAGCGCCCACCACCTTCCCGGCGCGTAACACTGACAGCTGCACCCAATCTTTACACAGCACCCCAATTGCCCCTGGTGATCTTGTCCTGAAACATGAAGGATCTTCTTAGCTTGTCTTGTTTTGCTGCAGTGTATTAGCTGGAAGGATCTTTATTGGTTGTTTGGATCGGTCTGGATGCAGATGCGAGATGCTCCTAATCCCGGTTCATGTAGAGTGATGAGTTAGTTCATTTACTGCAGAAGAGCTCTTTTCTTGGGACTCGTCGCCACTTTCTTTTTTCTTCACTCTATTTTTCCCCCCTTTTCTTATGTTTCGTACTTTCCTTTGTCGCGGATCTTTTTAGGCATTTGGACTGGGTTTGTTGCCTGGTGAAGTGAATGCATTGAGTGGCGTTTGTTTCTTTGACTGCATTGTTTCAGGCGTCGTCATTCATATTATTAGACAGTACTTTGTCTTTGCTCTTCTCGTGATATTCTGCAGAGTCTGATCTGACCATTACTCTTTTTCATTCATCTGCATCTGATTTACATTTGCATTTGCATCGACATATGGTATGTTGTGTATTGTACCCTTCACAATCTTAATCTCGAAACTAACCCACCCCACCCTGACAGTCTTGTGCTCACAATAAAAAAGCGTCAAAATGGCTTCAAGACGACTGAAACAGCCTGATTTACAGGTTCCGGTCCCAAAATTTCCCCTCTCATCACCTATTAGCGAGGAAATATCCAGTCCATCATGTTCATCCGCTGAGGAACGGGAGATGGAACGAAATCGACCCTTCGACTTTCTTGTTAAATCGACTAGACAGAAAATCGAGAAATCGCAAAAAGATAAACATACATCTCGTTCGTCGCATGGGGGAAGCAGCTCAAGACTGAGTATTCGGGGTATGGGTATTACGAAGAGGAAACAGGCTGCGAAACCGGTTGGATTGAATCTGGTAACGAACTTTGCGCTTGAGGATCCACCGAAGAGGAAGAAGTCGTCGCGCGATGGAACGGTCGCTCCGTTTGTCGATTTAAATGATTTGAAGCAGCTTTCTAAGGCGAGGGAGCAGGAAAGGACGGCTCAGAAGGATAATGTGAATGTTAACGGGGATTGGAAAGATGCCTCGAAGAAGAGGGTTTCGCGCTCTTTTCAACAGCTGGAGGGAGAAGAGGAGAGCCCCGCTTTGTATTCGCAGACTCGGGGATCGTTTCTAGAACCAAGCTCTGAGAATCCTTTTGCTGATCGGTCCGAACATGGATTTTCACCCTCTGATCGGAATGTGATGATTGGGTTGACGGTTCCGTATCATGAAACTCATAATCGGTCAAGGGAACTCGATCATAATGGAGATCAACAAACTCCTCTTACGCCTTCGATCATTGTTACGCCTGCCCAGGAAGAAGCGCCTTGGTCGGTTGATATGTCTAGTCCTGAGGGTCTAAGGTCCCGAGCTACATCGAGCGTTTATTCGCAGCCTACTCCGCGACTTTGGTCTGATGGAGCGGATATTCCGCCCGTGCCTGCGATTCCACAGGAGCATACCTCGTCGAAAAGGAAGGATGTTGAACCTAGTTTCCTGAATGCTCATTTTACTGCTATGACGAGGAAGCGTCGCTCTGCCTCTGCGAGTGTTGTGCTTGATACACAGAGCCCTGATACAGAACGTCCTACGTCTATACTTACTGATCATGAACATGATCATGATCACGACCGGAGACTGTTGGATAGGCTTAGTGTTAATCCGGAAGCTAGCCGTCCACAGTCTCAGGGTTGGTGGAATGTCTTACTCTCGCCTTTACTCGGTCGCTCCAATACCCTGTCTAGTAAGAAGTCACCTATCAGCCCGGGGTTTCCTCCAAGTCCTTCCGTTGCACCGTCTTCATTGGGAACAAACAGACACTGGTGGGAAAAGGAAAAGGAGTCAGAGAAGGAAAAAGAAATCTCATGTTTTTCGCCTGATACCCCCGAGACTGCGGTTACGAATCAATGGCAAGATAAGATGCCTAGCGTTGAACAATCTCGTTCTCTCGATGATACCTCTGCTCCGCCTCTACCTCCAGTTCCAGATAGACAAGCCGCGATGTCGATGATGTTCCCTGGTAATCGGATCCAAGGTGAAGCAGCGGAGTATTACCAGGCTTGTGCACATGAACTCTTCAGCAAAACCTCCTACTTCGAATGTTACAATCATACCTGTTCGCTTACACCTTTATCTGCTACTGGACAGCCAAGTGTCGGAGCTGTTGTTACGGGTGATAGAGGGTTGGTTGTGGCTGAGCCGGAAGCTGAGACTCTTTCTGCGGATTCGCAGGTGAAAGACGCTGAAGTTGCGACTGTGGCGCGTGGGTTGCTCATTGATGTTAATTCGCCAACTGAGGAGACTGCGAAGGAGAAGGAGACTGGATGTGCTAAATGTACGCATTTGCGTGCTTCAACTGGTAGTGTGGATTCTTGGGCTTCGACTACAGTGGATACTGTTGTGGGTGATAATGAGAAGAGTCTCCCTGAGATACCGAAGGAAAATACGAGGGAGCTTGTGCCTGAACGTCCTGTCCAGCAAGTACCACAGCTTTTACAGCCTTCTGTTCAGGAACCAGTTCCTGTTCCAGCAGCTTATTTCCCACCTGAGCCTCCAGCTCCTACGCCTGCACCTGCACCTTATGTACCACCAGAGCCATTAACGAGGGAGCTAGAGCCATCCCCAGCTCCTTATTACCCATCTGAACCACTCATGCCAGGCCCAGCCCCATACGTCCCTCCCGAGCCTTTGGCCCAAGCTCCACCTCCACAGATCATCAACAATTATCATTACGGGACCGCGCCCTATGAAGTTCCACCTCAAGCTCCAGTTACAGTTGAGCGAGCAATTCCCCATTATATCCCTGTTTATCCCTCGAACAATCCTTTCTTTCCTCCACCGCAAGATCAAAAACAAGCCGAGGAAGCTGATTTGGCAAAAGCTCCTCCGGTCCCCCATGCGTACTCACAGGAGCCTCCACAGGAAGCAGACATCACAAAAGTGCCAGCAGAGTTTCAGGATGCACCACATGGATCTGCAACACAAGAATCAGAGCGATCACTGGAGCATCTCGCGCCACCAGGGAATCAGGAACCACATCAGGCCCTGGAGCCAATGTCTCCTGGATTTCAACACGCTGCAGGAGGACCCAGCTCAATTCAACTATCTGATGTCAATGCTCCTGCACCTACATACGCACAACATACAAGAGATATACCTCTCCCACAACGATATGATCTTTATCCTGCCCCAGGCGTTGCAGTTATGGATCCCACTGGAGCCATCGGACCCGCCGAGGCCCACCGTCGTAGATTAGAGCGCGAGGATGCCGTTGGCAGGAAAGTCGGTGGTCTTTGGCGTGGTAGAGGCTGCTTCAGCAAGGGAGGTTGCTTCGGACGCCCAGGCCGCGAAGGTCGTCTTCGTCGAAGATGGTACCTCGGTATTGCCGCTCTATTCCTCATAATTATCATTGTTGCAATTGCCCTAGCCACTACATTGACGAAGAAGACCGATTCAACCCCCGTTCAGTCGCAATGGGTGAACTTGACGAATTACCCGCCTATACAAACTGGAATCATGACCATCGCTGGTACAGAGCCTCAAGCCCTAAACTCGGGCTGTATCAATATTCCGACTATGTGGAGCTGTGCTCTTCCGAAGGGTACGCAGCAATCGGGAAATTCGCCTTACAGTGCAGACCAACCTACCTTTCGTGTTGAGATTCGCTACCGCAATGGTACATCTAGCAATAGTACTGATTCTGGTACTTACAACTCAACTACGATAAAGCGTGATGTGTGGTCTGCAGATCCATCTGCGCCGAGTATTGCAGATCAGACCTTTCTCGGAAACACAACAGACAAGAACTCCAAGCCTTATGCTGGCGAGGAAACCCCCTTCTATCTATCTGTTCTGTCGCCAGCCCATCTATCTTCTACCAATGTCTTCCGTCGCAGTGCATCTGCATCTCACTCGTCCACCTCTACATCTACCTCTTTAAACTCAACTTCTCTCATTCCTGCTCCAACCGAGGACTCAGATGGTACCGCCGCTGCAGCAACGCTGTATCCACTTCCTTCATCACAGCCTGTACGACTCTATAACAGGGGAGAATCATCAGAGCATTACGGCTTCTATACATACTTTGACAAGTCTATTTTCCTTAATTCACGAGCTCCCCTCAATAACAGCAAATTCGACTACGCATCCGAAGATCAGAATGGCGGCTCAACGAAGGAAGATGCACAAACACGCTGTACATGGTCTCAAACTCGCTTCCTTGTTCAGATATGGACTAATCCATCTAAAATGGGATATTCTCTTCTCTCGGCTGGTAGTGGAAGTGGTAGTTCTACCGCTACCGCTACTGCTACGGCAACCAGTACCTCTTCAACGGCTACTTCCTCTTCCTCAGCGACGGATTATACGACACCAGGCTCGTTTCCTTATCCAGTTACTATTACCCTTGATCGACATGGTGGTGTTGAGGATAAAAAGCGAGTGTATTGTTATGGTGTTGAAGAGAGTGGCCATTATAATTTTACAGAGGCGAGGCTGCAGCTTGAGACGTTGGGGGCGGGGGGAACTTTGATTAATGGCTATGGTGATGATGCTGGGTATGGTGGGATTGATGGTGGGACGGGTGGTTGTAAATGTTCGTGGATTAATTGGATATCTACCTCGTAGATTGTCGGTCGATGTCTCTCAAAATCGTGTTTATGATGATTTCTTTTGTTTTGCATTGGGTGGTTTTTTTCTGAGTCTTCCATGACTATTTTTGTATTCGCCGTCGTGGATGATAGTGTGTTATAATATTTTGTTCTCATAGCGTGCATCAATGGATATCTTTTAAATTTAGACTTTTTCCAATTATACATACTAGTAGTAGTCAGTTTTGATGCATTTCGCTTATGTATTATTTCATGATTACATTTATATTCAAATCACTCGTAGTAGTAGGTTTGTTTCGTGCTCCAGGGCTACGAATATACGGCTAAATTGAACTTGAACTACGTTTGCTCTGTTACTACTGCTACATGTCCTCAATCTCATTCCCTAGCCTAGTCCACAGTCTTGAGAATGTTAAAAATTTTTACCTATGTCTTTCCATTTGTAGAAGCTACTGCTGCAATAGGGGACTGAAATTTGTAAGTTCGCCGGAATTGGTATATCAGACATCACTGAGTTTTCCCTGGTAGAACAGGTTTATCCTCCAAAACCTAAGGTACAGTTCTAGGTACTGAGGTTTAACAAACTCTATGGAAAATTTCAATTCTCAGAGGCAGGCTCACTTAAGCTTAAATAGAGTGTACTGTCTGAATTGCTCATAGATTCGAGAAAAAGGTATAGATCTGCGCTGAAACCCTTTTATGTCATGGCGGATCGTTATGCGCGCATCTACATCTTCCTATCATCAACTTGATCAAGTATGGCTTCCAAGTGAGCCAGTCTGTCAAGGTTGCATCTTTATCTGGGAAAACCTTATTTCAAAGTTAATTTCACTCAGCTAAAGAGCCCCTGGTAAACCAATGGTTTGCTCTTGGTGTCCTGATTCAGCACGCCATGAGCTATTAATAGATGTATGACTCTGACAGGGTCGACGTTGCATTTGCCACTCTAATTAGGGTTTATGGTTTATGATCAGCTACTAGTATCTAGGTGGTCATAGGGTTTGGAGATTGTGTGCTTGCACCGTTTGCTGGGGATACTATACTACTACATATACTACTAGTACAATGTACATACTGTGAAGAAAGTTGGAGAAAGCAAAGAAAGCTCCATCCACTAAATTTTTTTGATTAGAATTATATTAGATCGGTATATATCCCAAAAAATATCGGTAGAAACATTTAGCACGATCTAAACACCACCTGAACGCCGTCCTTTTCATTTGGGTGTCCTTTACCTTCAGTCTGGGTTCTGTGGTTGTTCAAATCCAACAAGATCCTTTGGACAGCAGCCATTGAGATCATACCAGATAGAAGTCCCGGTCAGAAGATCAGATACAGAGGGTTAAGGAGCCAGACGAGAGGAAATTGAAAACCAGAGCCACAAAAAACAATTGAAATTAATAAAAAAAACCGAGTATTAAGTAATAGCGACCCGCTTATGCGAGGAGCATAAGACCGTAGGCAGCACCACCGACAACAGCGCCGGCCATGCCCATGGGGCCAACATTGGCACCAGCGTTGGAGGGGGTGAAGCCAGTGGAGCTTGGGGAGGCAGGGGTGTTGCTAGCGCCGGAGCCGGAGCCGGAACCAGAGCCGGAGCCAGAGCCAGAGCCAGAGCCAGAGCCAGAGCCAGTGCCAGAGCCGGAGCCGGAGCCGGAGCCAGAGCCGGAGCCAGAGCCAGAGCCAGTGCCAGAGCCAGAGCCAGCGGTGCTACTAGCGAGAGGAGTGGAGCAAGCACCATTGTGGCAGACGGCGGAGGTGACGGTGACGGTACCGTTGGTGCCGGTGGTGCCGTTGGTGTTGGGGGAGCCAGTCACGATGGGGTGGGTACCGGTATTGACGCCAGTGCCGGCGGCAACGCTAGCGGACTTGCCGTGGACTGGGGGCTCGTGCTGCTTAGCGGCCTGGACACCGGCAGCGACGGCCAAGATGGCGATGGAGGAGGCAGTGAAGTGCATGGTGAATTTTGTGGATGAAGTTTGAAGCGACTGAATCAACGAATGACGAAGCGTGCTAATGGGAGATTAGTGTAAGGTCTTGTGATGCGGTTCAAGATAAGAGCAAAAAACATACCTAGTGAAGTAGATAGTAATGCGATGGCAAGATCTGGAGGAGGGGAAAACGGAACCTGACCATTGTGGGTTGAGGACCTCATTCTTATAGACTTGTGAGCTGTCCAAATCCGGCCTGTTTACGGGGGTCCAAGGGAAGTAGATGATGATGACATGTAACGGAAGAGAAAAATGTAAGAAATTTTCGTTTTTCACTTTTTTCACTTTTTTCTTTTCGCATGTTCCTATCTATGATCGCCTGTACCTCTCTGCCTTCGACAAGAGCCTCGGTACCTTGGTGTGGGATGAGGTTTGCAGTATTGCGGGTTTCCGCATCCGGGGGTGGATACTTCAATGTCACTCTGGGTAACCGGTCAAAGCCAGGCTCCACCGTGCTACCCTGGCAAAAATCGGCGACAATCTCCCAACCTTATGATTTTGGGGGAATCAGTCAGCGTCTGTGCTGATGGTCGTTGAATTCTTGCCTTGAGGTGAGGGCATTATATGTCACGTGATATTTCCTAAACAGGAAGGTGATAAGATCGCATGCGGAAAACAGTCGAGATAATCGCTTCAGATGTTTCTGTCTACGTCCTAATATCCAACGGGGAATTCTTCGATCAGCAAATTATGGAGACAGACAATGGCCTTATATCTTCAAAGGGAGGTAGAACGTCATTTGGACGTGGAGAAGGGCCGCTTTCTGCATCCGCCTGGCATGTTACTCCGCATATATGATGGGTACAAATACTAGTATTTCGTATATTTAGTATGTGCAATGAAAACTCAATAGCGGTTTAGATGCAAACCGCGTGTAAGTTTCAAGTTGGTCATGAGATGGCCTAGTAACGATAGACAAGATCCAGGGCACTAAGTACACTCTTTACCTGGGCTGTGGTAGATGATCGTAGATTATACCAGGCTATAACATAAATCCAATATCTTTCTGTGTTTGACAATTTGGCGGGAGGTTTAATTAGTTGCCTCGGATCAGAAGCTTCCAGTCCCCCAAACACGCGTCGTGTGTTCCCCTGGGCGTATCAGGGTACATCCTAGACGAATCAGTGCAGCCATGCGCACTGACGAGCAATATTCGCGATGAATTCACAAAATGACAACGTAAGCTGCATCCGGAAAGGCAATCAGTATCTAAGGTAAATTATTGGCTTCCTCTGGGATGCACAAAACCGCACATGTCGAACGGTTTGAGACAGCTGCAACGTTGATCATTCTTGCGGAATGTAAAGGCGCCGAACCCGAAGATCGCCAATGTTCTTGATCTGACAAGGATCAGGATACCAGAATCATTTTGATGGAGATGGAGAGCAGAAGCCGATTTCATTCAGCCGATCGCCAGGCTTATCCCGTTTCCAGATTGGCTGTAGACACAAACAAGGGAGAATAGGAAAGCTGCTTGTCAATCTTGCCAATTTGAGAGACGATCACCGGTCGCGCTCGCCATTTTGACCGCCATGAGAAAAGATACAAACAGGCTTCATCATCTGCAAACTCGAGATTATAGAATCAGCTCCTCTTGTTTATTATTGTCAGTGGGTCTTCTCTTGGGCATGGTGCGTAGTTCGAGCGTGACTGCCAGACCTCCTCAAGATATGACGATATCAAAATATTTGCACTGAGATCAGCTCGATCACGAATCGCCATGTTGTTCATATTGGTTAGCATGGCCACTGCCGTGAGAGGGCGATGAACTTGAACGTTAAGATGCAAGACCAAGAAGGGAAACCGTGTCTTGGCGGGCCGGGGTTCACCCGCCGATCTCCCTTTTTCAAGGTCCGACCATAAACCCAACCTCATCTGTAATCTCTCCCCTTCCCAGCTTCAATGTCTTCATGCTGTGGCTGAGATGCCCTCTATGTTGCATCACGAGAGCCTAGAACTGCTCTCCCCATCAAACTACGACAACGACGCGGCTTCGTTACGATCACCATCTGAGCAAGACTCCGACTCCGAAGATGACGAGTTCCTTCGCCATCCCCGCAGTACCCTAGAGCTCGCCAAGCACGATCAAAGTGTCCTTGAAGATGAAGATGAGTTGGAAAAACTGTTGACGAGACGGGGTCCGGCTCATGGGATACGTCGTATGTTCAGTCCCAATGGGAGCAATGTCCGCATTGGAAAGAAAGAACGGCGCCGGGCGCGCAAAGAAGCCAGGCTGTCGCGCCGGGAGAGGGTCAGCGAGGAAGGAGAACTGATGTACGAGATGGAAGAAGGCTTTGGCGACGATGAATCTTTAATGAGCGGCTCCTCGACCGACTTGGATGACGACGATTACATATACGAACCGGTAATTCCCTACCATATTGCACCAACGAACTCTTTTTCTATCTTTCCCTCTACGAGTAAGACTAATATTTGCTTTCTATCATATACATTAGCCATCCAAATTTTCCTGGCAACGATACCTGTTAATCTTCGCCCTCGTCGTCGTCCTCTTCCTCATCCTCGTTCTAGGCGCATACAAGGCCTCCACCGGCTTTCGAGCTTCCCAAATTCCCTTGCAATCACTTCTATCCAACGGCACGGCCCTTTTTGCCCCCACCACGATCCTCATATCCCTGGATGGATTTCGAGCGGACTTTCTCGACCGTGGCCTAACCCCGTCGCTCAACTCACTGGTTGCCGACGGGGTTTCTCCTCAATACATGAATCCCAGCTTCCCCAGCGTGACTTTTCCCAACCATTTTACATTGGTTACTGGATTATACCCAGAGAGCCATGGGATAGTCGGGAATACCTTTTGGGACCCAGTTTTAGAAGAAGAATTCTACTACACCCACCCATCAGTCAGTATGCTATCTAAGTGGTGGAATGCTGAGCCGCTGTGGGTGACTGCGGAGAAGAACGGAATCAAAAGTGGCATTCACATGTGGCCAGGGTCAGAGGCTCATATTGGGACACCGGAACCGACCTTTGTTGATAAATATAATGGTTCCGAGGCGTTATCGCGCAAGGTGAACCGTGTTATGGAGCTTCTTGATCTGCCCGGCGCAGAGGACAACTCGCAAATGTCACCGGAGCGACCCCAGTTCATCGCAGCCTATGTACCAGATGTGGATCGAGATGGTCATAAATTTGGACCTAACAGTACTGAAATTAGATCCACAATTTCCAAGGCAGATGAAATGGTGGGAGGTATTCTGGCCGGTCTGAAAAGCCGTAATCTCACTGACGTGGTGAATGTTGTCGTGGTTTCGGATCACGGCATGGCTACCACTTCGATCGATCGCCTTGTACAGCTGGATGATATCATTGATCTTGATCTTGTCGCACACCTGGATGGGTGGCCGTCTCGCGGAATTCGTCCTAAGCGACCGGAGGATTTGGCAACTTTGCAATCTCAGCTAGAAAAGGCAGCGCCAGAGTATGAGCATGCCTTTGAGCTTTACACGCTAGATAATATGCCTGAGCGTTACCATTTCACGAAAAATGATCGCATTGCCCCATTGTGGGTGATCCCGAAAACGGGTTGGGCCATTGTAGAACGCCCTGAGTTTGATGCAAAGGAATCTTTGAAGACGGGGGAAGTTTACGAACCTAAGGGAATTCATGGGTATGACCATCAACATCCGCTGATGCGTGCCGTCTTCATTGCTCGGGGACCAGCGTTTCCTCACACACCCAATAGCCGACTCGAACCATTCCGTGAGTATTCAATTCCTTTTTGAATCACCCAACTTACACACACTGACATGTCATTTAGAAAACATTGAGGTTTACAATATATTATGTGACTCTCTGGGGATTGATCCGCTGCCGAACAATGGAACTCTCCGTCTTCCCCTCAACCCCGTCGGACTCCACTCAGATGAGGAAACGCCTTCTCTAGAACAACCTGCAGATCCACCTCAGTTCACATCTACTACGCCTGCTCCGTCGGAGCCGACCAGTCCAGCACCTGAGGTTCCACCCGCCCAGACATCGCCTGCGGCTGATTCCGACAGTAAAGATGAGAAGAAGCCATGGTGGCAAAGCGCGTTGGATAAGTTAGAAGGGTGGAAAGAGTGGACTGAGGAATTATTCTCGGCTCAGAAGGATAATCGTCCTTCAAGTGCATAGAGTGGCTGGCGGATATGAGAATCTTTTGCTACTTTGAGTTTTCTATGCTTCTTCTGATCGTCTTTGGTCTCTATTATTTTCTGAAAGATACCCATGTTTATAAACTGAAGACGCCGGTTAGATAATATATTGATTCGTGAAAGAAGACTGCCATGTGCTCATGAGGTCTGAAGAATCAGCTGCACGTATATATGGCTTCAAGACTACCACTAGTAGTACTATCTTATCTCAGGCCTTGGGAGCCTTGAGGCAAGATTATTCCGGGGGCTATAGTAAAATTTACATAAATAGTAGTTGAGTTGCTTTTCTGTTATACTAAAAACTTGCAGTCCACGGCACCGCGGGTCTAGGCACTCAGAATCAAGCACTCTAGGGCTACTGTAGGTACCTACTACTACTAATAGTAGTACGGAACAGCGGTCTCAAACTCAACTTGAACTCGGACACCAAGTCCATCCACGCCAGTGAACGAGCCCAGGATCTCGATATATATACTACTCCTACAACCCGTGGACTTGAAGTTCAAGTTCCAAGGCTGGACCAGCTAAATCCTACCTAGGTATCCCCAGGGTTGGTGCCCAGGTGTCACTATATCCGAGTCCACATGAATACCTATCTAGCTAATCTGCAGGCTTTAAGTCTGCAGTGATTTATTTACATACATCGAGCATTAGACCCACAGCCCCGGAGGTATAGTACAGTATGACTGGATCATATTTTTAAATTTTAGACTTTTGACATCAACCACCCCAAGTGGCCGAGTCGAACTCGGCTGTCTTATCTTCCTTGGTCTAGTGGTCATGATTTCCGCTTGTCATTAACACCGTCAAGCGCGGGAGACCGGGGTTCGATTCCCCGAGGGAGAGTTTCTTTTTTGCTTTTTTATTTCATCTTATTTGTTTTATTGTGCATATGTTTTATGAATCAATTTCTCCGGCTTTTGTGTTATTCAGCTCTAGCCACAATCGCACCTTTTAACACATTCCCCCGATCCTTCATTTCCCCACTGTGTAACTTTTGCGAGCTCCACACTAATGACACATGTACCAACCAGCCACACTGGTCACTGGTAAGCTGCAGATCTCAGAGTCTAAGCCCTAGAGTCACATCAACATGCATGAGTCAAGCATACAACATCAGGCAGCAGTCACTCATTACTGGCTGGTCCCGGGCTCGGGCTCCCAATTGAGCGTCGCTAACTCTAGGTCTGTGAACTAGGCAAACATGAGGCTCAACTCATCAACACCCTATAAAATGCTGTTGATCGCTTCTGTTTATTTCCCTTATTTTTCACATTGCTCGGGCCCTTCTGTGAGGTCACGGTGATCGATCATGGAGTTCAATCAAACCAACCCTTCCGCCACAAGGCCGGGCCTTTCATCCTCCGACTCCGCCATGCTGGAGGTGCTTGTGCCCGGGTATACTTTAATTTCACGATTTCTCGTCTCTTATCTCCATATCGACCCCACCATCTATCTACAACAACTGATTCTCTTGGCAGTACTTGGTGCTGCCGTGCGATACATTTCTTTATCCGTGATTGATCTTGTTAAAGATTATTTTGTTTCCACGGCCGAAATTCGTCTCGACGATGAAGTCTTTACTTACTTCATGTACTGGATGTCACGGCAGCCGCATATGAAACGTACCAATCGCTTCGTTGCTGGTGTCAAGGCGAATGGCTACCAAAGCGACGATGAGGAAGAGGAAGAGGAGGATGTCAACTCTGATAAGTCTGAGGGAGAATGGGATGAGCCCGGCAGTAGCGAATCGGCAGATGACTTCGATCAGTACTGGGCCAAGGTGGTCAGTCGGGACAAGTATAAACCACTCCGCTTTACTCCCTCTCAGGGAAGCCATGTTTTCTGGTATAGGAATCGACCCCTGATGCTCCAGCGACAAAAAGAGGATGGCAACAATAGGTTGGTGCTCATTAACGAGCGACTTTATCTATCTTGCCTCGGTCGCGATGCATCCATCCTTCGGGATATATTGAATGAAGCCCAAGAGGCGTATGTCCAGCGAGATGGCAACCGTACCATTATTTACCGTGGTCATCGATACTATTCTGGGAGTTCGTGGTACTGGGATCGCTGCATGGCCCGCTCGCCGCGTCCTCTGTCTACTGTTGTCCTTGATGTAGAACAGAAGCAGGATTTCATCGATGACATCAAGGAATACCTTCACCCTCGAACCCGCCGTTGGTATTCCAACCGTGGAATTCCGTATCGACGAGGGTATCTGCTACACGGTCCCCCTGGTACAGGAAAGACCAGTCTTTGCTTCGCCGCGGCAGGTCTATTAGGCTTGAAGCTTTACCTTCTCAATCTCAACTCCAAGGCTCTTGACGAGGACAATCTTAGTTCCCTGTTCTCTGAGCTTCCACAGCGTTGTATTGTTCTCCTTGAGGACATCGATACCGCAGGCATTACTAAGAGCCGTGGCAAGACGGTTGTTACCAACATCAAATCTGAGGATGAAACTGGTGAAGACTTTGAGATCGAAGAGAAAGATAAAACCACTGCTGCCGAAGAACCTGCAAAAGCCGATGGAATCACACTATCTGGACTCTTGAATGTTATCGACGGGGTCGCCGCTAGCGAGGGCCGTATCCTTGTCATGACCTCCAACCACCCAGACCAACTAGATGCGGCTCTTCTTCGCCCTGGTCGCGTTGACATGAGCATTGAGTTTCGCTACGCCACTTCTGACGCCATTGAAGAGCTCTTCACTACCATTTATGCTACTATGGAGGGAGACTCTCCCCAGACCTCTGCTTCTTCTCGGCGCCTTAGCAATGGGAATACGAAGCAGCCAAACGGTTGCACGCCTAGCCCGCCTAGCCCGCCTAACATGAAGCGCACTAAAAGCCAGGAGCTGAATGAGAAAGCAGAAAAGGAATACAAGGAGCGACTTGCTTCTTTAAAAGCTCGAGTCTCTGCGCTAGCAAAGCAGTTTGCTTCTATTGTTCCTGCCGCTGAGTTCACTGCTGCTGAGATTCAGGGATACCTTCTCAATCACAAGAGCACTCCCGAGGCCGCTATCAAGGGCGCTGACACCTGGGTGCAGAGTCTTCGCGAAAAGAAAAAAGCCCGTGAAGAAAAGTCTGCTTAATTCGGGAATATCATATTAGTATCTAATTAATTAGACGACCGGAGTTATTTTCAGTGACCGATTGATGATAACGAAACCATATCTACATTCTTGCAAACCTAAATAGAAAATTCAGTTATTAATCATTCAAATGACCTATCTTCTTCATTTCGCAACAGTCATCAACAAATATTCAATTCGGCATGAAACTACCATAGATAGGGGGTATATCTCCAGAGAACAAGTCATAACAAATTCATAAATAAGTCACTCGCCAGGCTTTAAGAAATCACCGCATCTTCACCAGAAAGGCTCACATCCGCCACATACATGCACCTGGTCGTCTTTGCAGAATTACAAAAGCCATGAAACAGCATCCGATCTCCACATCCACAAACCGTAGCCGAACCAGGAGACGTCAGACCATGCTGCCCCGTCTCCAACAACTGAACATTCTTCTTTCGATACGGTCCACCAATACTACTAGCCGTTGCCCATCTCAAGTCATACGCTTTATCGGTATAGCAATGTGTTGAGTAAAAAAGATAATAAACACCTTGATGCAGCAGAAGACTCGGCGCCTCAACGAGCGGTCCGTCATTATCAACCGTATCCCGATCTAGAATCTGTACCGCGTCTCCAACAGGCGTCACACCATCTGCTTGTAGCTTCTGTATCATTATTGGCGTTTGGACTAGTGGCTCAATGCCATTATTACAGTCTCCACCGTGCCCGATGCTGTTACCGTCCACTTTAAAGACGGCGTAGCGTGTGCCATCTGCATCTTGGAAGCCGGAGGGGTCAATTGAACCTCCTTGGTTTAGACGACAGGAGAGCGGTGTGTTGCTGGGTATGTATGGTCCTGTTGGACTCTCGGAAATAGCAGTGCCAATGCAATGGTGCCCTATGCTTAATTTGGATTCGCCAGAGTAGTACATGACGTATTTTCCGTCGTCCTGAGCATTTGTGAGTGTTTGTTTATTTGCTTGGCTCATTTTGATATGCTGTGTTTTGAGTTTATTTGGCTAATGGGCTTAATACTTACTCGTAGAATCACGGATGGTGCCCAATGATCCTTATCCGTCTCCCACGTTGATAGTGTGGTGAGGGCGTCGATATTTAGAAGTGTCCATGTGTTGAAGTCGGTGGATTTTGCAACTTGAATCCGTTTGTCGTTTCCATTTGATCCAAAGGCGTACCACTTTCCATCTGCTGCTTTGAGGAAGGTTGGGTCTGGGAAGTCGGTGCTCAGACCCATATGAATGCTATTGGATCGTTTGTGTATAAGTGGCGAGGCAAAGACAGACGGAAGTGATACTAGGGAAAAAGATGCCCACGCAAAAATTCTTGAAGTGAATAACATTTCATATATTATGGCAAGTGGGAAGCCAGATGAGAATTGAAGCAAGATCCAATAATGGGCACATCAAGAACTTATTATCTCTGTGGGGAGAAAGTAAGCCTTATATGTTAAGTTCTGTCATAACTCGGGCCACTTCCCAACCTTGGAGCTGCACTGGGGATATGCTTGTCTTGGAGACGAACGGAAAATCCATCTCGAAAAACTAAGTAAACTACGAAGTACTGTGCACATGACATGGGAGATCCGCTAGCTAAATGCATGTTTTGAGGGAGGAGAAATTGCGCTTGAGAAAAAGCCACGTTCGTGCCCATACCCGTGCCTGCACCATGATGCGAGGCCGGAACTTAATGCTGCAATGGCAGGACCGGCAAGTGCATATACTGGTGAAAACAGCATAATGCCAGTGTCGCTTTCAACCGAGAAAGTGCCCGAAAAAGTAAGATTCGGTAGGGCGATGGGAACTTTGTTTCTATCAGGGTCATCACGAGGGATGTAAACTTACCCCAAATCTCGGGAGTGATATTGATTGATTGCAAATATCAGCCAGTAAGAGGGAGAATCGATATATTTCTTTACGACCCGGAAAATCTGGGGTGATCGTCCCCTCACCGTCACTTCAAGCTTGAACCGGGGTGGGGAAATACATTACAATGCTTGGCTCGATGGGATCAGCCCACGAGCATACGCACAAATTAAATCATGGGATGGGTAAGGTTCAGGGCAAAGAGTTCACTCGATTTGTAAATGGGGCGTTGAAGAAGTCATGGAAATTACAAGACATTGACAAAATGGATATGCAGTCCAGTAGGAGAGATGCGAGGGTGGCATCCCTCGCTCAAAAGGGAAATATTAGACATGCAGACTAGACATGCAGCGTTGTTCAGTTCAACGTGGCTCGTGTATAGGAAAGATCTAAATTTTCATTCCGATTAGATTGGCACACGATAGGAAATCAACCGTCCTAGTCTTTTGTTATTGTCTTGAGTATGCATCCCTCGGCGAAATTTCACCGATTTTGAAAATCTGAATTTCGGGCCCATGTTCTTATTGGTCCATATCTGAAATTTTTTAATAGTCTCAGTTTCCCCGCACGTCGTTCTTCCGCTTCAGAGGCTCATGGAGGAAAGTGCCGACCTGTTGGTGAAAGATATTCAACGGGGCCCGTGATATAATGATGTCATCGTTCGATCGTGCGCTTTGATCGACGCCTCGCATGACAGGGCACAGCAGGGGATGAAGGACATGCAATGATGCTGAGACCCAAGTGCCAGCCGTGACATGAGGGCGGCGAAGTTGATTGAATTTGTTGTTCGTTTTTTGGGTTTCGCATTTTGGATCGCAGGTAAGGGACAAAAATATGATAAAGTTAATGACTGCTGCGGACTCGGATGAGAGAGCTACAAACATTCGAGTTTACTCTATGGCAAAGGAATACCCGAGATCCCTTATATTAGCTATAGGTAAATTTAAGGCGACTTGGGAAATTGACTGTTTAATTTTCGGATTTCATTAAGACCCGAATACTAGAAGTTTGGCTTCGACCATGGTTGAATTTCTGCTGAGCCCGCCTGAAGGTACGTTCTAACCTACTACGATTCTATTTTTTTTGGTGAAGTCGGTTTCAATTCTTTATTTCGTTCTTTCCTTGAAGTGATGCGCAATAATGGCTATATAAATGTTTTGAAATTTCGTACATGTTACAACCAAGCAGATGTCATATTTGGCCCGCTCAGATAAACGTTGATCTGCATAGCTTGAAGCTTGCCATTGTACCATTGAAGTACTTCGAGGGTTTCACCTGTGGCTTCAGTGGGAGCCACCATTGACAATACACCCTCTTTCTTCATTTCATCATACCACACATCCTGTGCTTGTTGCGCAGAAGTCATAGTATCTGGGATAAAAGCAGAGATATTGCCATTGTAGGGATAAACTTTGCCCGGAATCATCCCGCTTGTCACGATGAATCCCAATTCTTCGTCGATGACCAATCCAGTACGGGGGTTTGAATCAGTAGGATGACTAGCAGGCCAACTGCAACCAAGTGGTGTAGACGATGCATTCCCCCATACCCCAGTATCGACCACTTTCCAACCTATTTCAGTAAACTGACAGTCATCGCCGATTTGATTTGAATAGTCGCTTGTTTTGTCAAAAAGAGACCGACTGAGCAAGTCTAGCTGTTCTCTACTTGCTTTAGTGCGATTGTTGGGTGGCGACATTAGTGTCTCATAGTTCGAGGGAAGCTCCTGAGCTGAATACGAGAAGCCATGATCTCCACGGGAGCGATTGATAAAGAGCTCTATCTCAGTAATCTTTTTGTTGACAACTTTAATACGACCACGCAGCACTGAGAGCTTTGTATCATCACCCTCACTGACATCTAGGGCGAAGTATGCGGTGCTGTTCGTGGTATCGATTGCCAGCAGACTCGGTGGACCTGCATTGACAATGGTACGCCAGGAGGTCATCGTGCTGAGCGCTGCTGGATGCGAGTTCTCGGTTGATTTATAGACAGTTGCAAGTGGGAGGGAAAGAGGATCATGGTCTACCATAGAATCCAAGACTTGCCGTACAATTACTGTCATGCAATCTCGGGAACAAGCATCTTCTGAGGTATCCGAAGAGGAAGCACTGGCCAATGAAGACAGAGCCAATCCAAAAGCGAGCGTTAGGTGAAAAAAGCGAGTTAGAATTTGAAACTTCATTATTATTTTGATCAAGTACGTAGTATGGCAATGTGCTTTCGTTGAAGTGGCGTAGATTCAGTTTCAAGTTATCATATGCCCCTTTCGGAAGCAACGATTTTATACTCCATTGATCGTAAGACAACATGCATTAACCCCGCAGCTCGTCCATAGCTACCCGAACCGTCACATATGTCAAGTAACAAACCTGGGGTTTAATTGACTTTGTTCCAATAATTTACGCTGAAGTGCGGAGGTTGTTAACCGGATCAGAGAAATCTCGGCTCCACACTCGGGACCCCGCTCTGAACGATCGTCGCGTGTATACAGCCAAGAGATTTATTCACAAGGGGAGAGATCGCAATTGACAATACAATTAACTATCTAAGGCATCTTTAGAGGTAAACAGAAGTTCAAAACAATTTTCCTCCAAAGAAATCGCAATCGACTCTCAGGTGTTTTAATTTTGATGTGGTCCACTGGCTCTACATACGCCGGATAATCAAGCGAGGTTAGACTCAAGAAACTTAGTGCGCTTGATATATGTCCACTTCAGGTTGATCATGAATTCAAGAGGTGGAGCCGATGATGATAAAGTGGACTTATGTCTGAGTCTTGGCGGAAAATTAACATGAATGGGAGCTTTTTATGGAAAATATGGCCGAGGCTTCGAGGGTACAGAATGGAGTCTGACTTTGTATGTCCTTAGCTTAAGTGTCTGTACGGCATTGATGTTTTCGGGCCAAAACTCAGAGAAACTTTGAATCACTACGCCTTGGAATTTTACAGGGAAGGTTTGGCAGTCACAATTTGTTCCCAAAACAATACGCATATCTATGTCACTCACATAAATAGCAGGTGGCTCAATTTAAATTCCAATTAAATATGATGTTATTTCTCTTACTAGTCAAGATATACTAGTATCGCGTGGAAGGCTATATTTGTACTCGAGGAGATAATTTTGAATATATGACAGACTTAACAAATGTTTTTTGAGTAAAGTACCTCATTAGATTCATATTGGCGACTGGGAGAGCGAAGATATCTGCCACAGATTCTTTGGATACAGCTTCTGGTGCTCCTGATATTGACTTGAAGAGAAGAAAACATCAATTGCAAACCATTTTGACCCATTTCATATTGACTGGTACCGCCCTTGTCAGTGACAGGATTTAAACATGGTCAATAGAGGAAGGCCCGACATCAATCGGATAAGTGAAGAAGTAGTTAGGAGCGCTGGCCATTAGACCGTTACTCCCAGGGCGCACCTGAGAGGCTGGAAGCCACAGCTTCTTATCAGTAGTCACCCACATGAGGTCGGTCCAGAGTAATAAATTCTCTTGGACAAGAATAGTAGCACGGCCCTCTGGAATAATCTTCCAAATTGCCAGAAGATTGGTATCACTAACGAAGATATTGCCATCGGCATCAACAGTTGTACCGTCAGTAGAAAGGGTCAAAGCAACAGCCTCAGCATAGTCCTCAAGACTAGCAGCCATAGTCGAATTTGTGAGGCTAGCGTCGACATACGTAGTCTCTATACGATATAGATCACCATTGCAGGGCTGGTGATATAGGTACTTTCCGTCCGGCAAAACCTCGATTTGGTCAAGGCCCACTGCAAGAGTGCTGCCTGCGCTTCCATACCCTGGAACGAGCGTGCCGTTGTACATCATAGGGAACTATGCTGTGGCGGAATCTGAACCAGCCAAAACGCGAACACCATTGCCAGCTGTGAGGTTCAAAACGAGAAGAGCACCAGCAATATAGCTCAAGTATCCCACTTTACCCGAAGCACTGAAATGGAAATCATCAATACAGCTGTCAGACGCTTTGATCTTATCAAGATAATAAAGCTTATCAACAGAATTTGTGGCCAGGTTCCCACCGACAAGCTTGGTCGATCCATTCAGACTAGTGGAGCTACCGTCAACTACCTAGTATCGGCCGTCGCGACCAATACGGGCACCATCAAGAATGACGAAGGTTCGGCGTGGGTTGATGACGAGTCGCTTGAATTACAAGAGTTCCATGCTACGTTCGCATAGAGCTTGGTAGTATTGTCCGCGAGAAGCTCCAGGATCTGGGGAGCAGCAGTTGTCGAATAGCGCTGCGACAGGAATTTGCGTCCATCGGCGGCATTGCTGATTCCCTGAATTGCTCGATCAAGCGAGTAAACCAGTTAAAGACCAGGAGAATACTATGTACTTTCTGTGCAGTCAGGAAAGCCTAGAAGCTCCATGAACAAATGAACACGCATAATGATGGAGTAGTATCAACCTTGGCAGGTGAGAATGTGGTATCTAGAGGAATATTCTGCGCGCTGTCCATGGTATATATTGCTCCTCTAGAAACTCAGGAGAATTTCACAAAAATACTAAGCTGTGGCAAGAATGTAGACACATGGACTTGAGTCGCGTCGCTCGTAGTTGATAGAAAGAGTGACGCGGGAAGTTTGGAGCTGATGCAGCCGAATGGAATCATCCTGCAATACTGTGGGGTCGTTGTGGAGTGCCAACACCTTGATTGTACCTGGAAGATTGAAAAGGTTCGACCAGGAGATGAAGATCCTAGCCCAACACTTGAGTGATTGAGAATTCATCTAGATCCATGAGAGGAATAGGTTACTTATGTGAGCCCACGCAAACAAGCTTAACCTCACCAGCTGCGGAGATTAAACCTAATCGGTGTTCGCGTGTATGGAGACCCACATAAATGAGCCCTGGATGTTTGAAGCAGTGAAGATTGTATCGCAATCAGAATTTAATGATGATGAAAAATACCTATCATGTACCTGATTTTCCCCAAGTATTGCCCGAAAGCTTAGATCATAGAAGTATTTCAATGGAGTGAGAAAGTAACATGAAACAGAGTCAAATATGACAAGAAATGACTTCCAGATGCAGGCAGTATTCTAATAATCCTGGCAACAGTACAAAGCGATCTGCCTCATACGCTTAGTTGGCATTATAGATACAAAAGACTTGGGTAATTTCATAGTGAGGTAATCATTGACAGGTGAACGGTGGTCTTGGTTACATTTCCATGGTTCTGATATGTCTGGCTCACAAACACTGCGAATAGTAGGAATTCTGTACCTGGCAGGTATACGGGCTGGCACATTTTGTCGCTCCCGTCCAGCCATTGCCACCGCACTGTGCCCAGTGAGATGCGGTTGCGGTGCTAGTGGTAGTAGACCCCGTGCTGGTGGTGCTAGTGGTTGATGTAGCTGTGGTTGTTGTTTTAGAGACTGTGGTAGTGGAAGTGGTTATAGAGCCAACCGAATTGGAAGGGAAATAGGGAGACAGGATGTCAAGGTAGTACGTATACGCAGGTCCCGAGGGTGGTTCCATCGAGAAGATGTAAGTACCCCACCATGGTCCTGCAGCCCACCAGGATGCTCCGAGCCAGACGTCATTGTTCTCTTGTAAGTAGTCCAACATTCCAGTGACGGCGCTTTGACAAACCGAGTTAGCACCGCCGGCGAATTCGCCCAAGAACCCAAGCTTTCCGTTACTTTGTAGCCACTCTGTTGCTGATTCGACACGCTCCTGACCGATAGTCGTGCTGACGCAAACATCGGATGTGCCGGATCCATCCGAGTCAAGATACTGGTGCATCTCGTAAACAATCTTGTTATTGGGATCCGTTAGGCTGACTAGGTTACTATTAACCGACGTCCAAGTCCAGGCACCACTCCATGAATTTCCTTCTACAAATATATACTGCGAAGTGGCCCCGGTAGCTCGGATAGCGTTGATGGCCGCCTGGTTGAGGTTTAGTACTAGTGTTTGATCCTCCGTATTGAATTCATTATCTATAGATATTAGTAAGGAAAGAGAAGGGAGCCATAGAGGACTAGACTTACTCGTGTCGAAAATGACCTTACTGTTTGATGCGAACTGCGTTGCTACAGTCGTCCAAAAGGTGGCAAAGTCACTCGTGGAGTTGATTATATTTCCATAGCTGATTCATGAATGAGTTAAGTTCCTAGTTAAGAGCTTCGGAGATGGAAGTTATCAACTCACTATCGCCCGTAGTTATGTGGATCAATGAGAGCGTAGGCTCCGATGGAAGTGATAAACTCTACCGTCTAAAAATACCCATGAGCGCGGGTTTATTTTTAGCCAAGAACAACTTACACTCTTGAGGTCTGCAAGATAAGTCGCATCCGGACTTGAAGTCAATGTATTCGGGACCAATCGTTCCATCAGGAATGGCACCCGAAAGATGTTCATACCAGCATCGTAGAGTGTTTGGATTGCCGAAGTATCTGGCCAAATGTAGTCGGTTCCTAGTACACCCGGTATATTCCCACTGCCGAACTCCGCTCCGGATTCGCTTGCGCCAAACCCTATAGAGAATGGTCAGCAATAGTTAGGTCCTGGTGGACTCTAACATACAAGTAAAGGAAGAAGCCCGCTTGGACTGGACATGAGGTGCAGCGTGAGCCAGGGCGGCAGTGGCCGTGAGCAGTAGAGCGTACTTCATGGTTTTGAATGTTGAATTTGGATGCTAGTCAGCTCGAGGGCATTGTTTCTTTCGAGTAGAGGAGCTCCGAAGTAATTTATATGAGATCCTCATCCCAGGAATTTGGGAAGTTCGACAATGCCCACTTTCTCCGCGGCGATGTAGCCGTATCGGCCCTTTACCGTTGGGAAAAGGTCTCCATGATAATAGCCAATACAGCGAGTGACCATGTTTGGAAATAGGGGTTTCGGAATGTTCACCGAGTATTACTGAAAATCTGTGAGAGGGCCTTCCGGAAGTGAACCATTGATCCAGAGAGAGTTCAAGTCATGCAGATATTTAATGACTCAATTAGACATGACAGTAGACGCGGCACGGGGAATGGCACATAAACGGCTAGACATCAGACACAATACGCTGCTACCACATTAAAAATCCAGTTCGAATGTGGAGAGTAGATGGAGGAACTTCCGAGCCAAAACAGGCAATTCATTTTATCATCGAGCCTATCTAGACAGCCAACCTCCCGGCTTATTTCAAGCGTAGTGGAGCTCCCCGCATTCCGACATGCTAGCCTCTCCTATTCATATTCGAGACGCAGGTCAATCCGAGGAGTGATAATCATCTGTTTCATGCGAGATCAATAGTACTGTGAGGTGTTCGAAGGGACTTCAAGCTTCCTAGTAGGGATTGGTAGATCCTGAGCTTCAAAAGAACGTCGCCGTCGAGACTGAAGTATTGCAGCGACCGAGAGTTGGTTCTTGGTGATGAAGACTGAAACTCGACTTGATATGAAGCAAAGAAACATTCTAAAACCCCACAAAAAAATCGGCATAATTTAAAATTTCGTCACACGGAGCTATGGCGCTGGGTGTTTTCGGAGAGAAGACCTCCTACTGGCTTGTGCTGTCGGAGCGCCCTCCGCATGGCGGCGCCACGCATGTTGCAGAAACGTGACGGACATGACTGCCGGTGGAAATGAAGTTTAGAACAACTGGCGCATCTTGGTTGGTTAATTCAGCAGAACAGACCATACGAGGGGAATTTTAAAGCCAGGTCATTCGTGTATTGGGCCATTTCGAGTCCTTCATTCTTCTCTGGACACGATACGGCAGCTCGCGGTTTAGAGACTCGATAACAAGGGGACTGGGTCGGATATCCTGGCCTGGAATGTTAAATACCCCCTTGCCTTTGATAAGAGTCAAATTTGACGGTCGGAAAGATCAGAAACCGAATATCTGGTAGCAGTTGCCATTGTTGTTGCAAGTCAAATGTACTAAACCCAACATTGTATTTTTAAGTCATTGACTCCGGATCAGCAGCATTGACAACCGTCGTTTGACTGTGCATCTGGAAAATGGCACCCGCTGGGAGCCATGGAAAGTTATGGTCTTTGCTGTTGCTGTTGCGTGGCCAAGATAGTTGAAAGTCTTTGTGTCACGTGAAGTAGGCCCCATTTAATACAGAAAGGTCTCGCTTTTCGTGCTTTGCAATCAATCGAAGGCTGTGGCGAGCCAGCGTAGTGCATAAATCATAGAGGCGCGGGTGAGCTGAAAGCCAACGTGACTGAACAAGCGGGAGATCACTGGCTATGCGCGCGGAAGGTTGTGCAAGGATGTCACATGTGTGATAACCTAGACAAGAACCAATATCGCACAAAAGGTAGAATGTAGACTTGGAAGCCATAGCGACCATGATCACACAGCCACCATAGCCACTCTTCCCCTCCAGTAATAATCAAATAAAACTTTTTATGCTGACATAAAGTCAAATAGCATATCGTAAAAAGGATTTGAAAAAGCATATCAATAGGATGGTCTTTTGCTAGCATGTCCTCAAAGCCCACCAATCAAGAACTATGTGCTATTGTAATGTTGCACCAATTCAAGAGTCAAACCCGCCAAGGCATACGTTCCTCCCTTTCATGACATACGCAAGGGCTCAGCCACGTCGGGCAGTAGGTCCATGGTCATGGTCAAGGTCCGCAAAGTGGGCAGAACTTGAATGACACAAAGCCTCCCCCCGGCAGATATGGACATATTGTCAAATGCCCTGTTCTAAGAGGAGGGAGTCGAGTCTGACTTTGTGGGGTCTTGACTCTTGACTCTTGTTCCCTCCCAATCGCCTCATCATACAACATTGAAGTACTGACGTTATGTGTAAGCTGAGTAAAGAACGCCATGGGGGTTCTTGAAATTCACTTCGCTGGCTCCGTACAATTCAGCTCCGTGTGCTGTCCAGACAACTTTGCCTTGGATGCCTCTGTGGAAGACACAGGACTGTGGCTCTTGATGGCTGCATGTGAGATCCAGGTCCAGCCACTTGATGCCTCACATCTGAAACGTAGCCATATTCCACGATACCCCTGCAAGGAGAACACGAGGCTGGGTATTCGGTCTCATAAGATACCACTACCAATCAGCGCGAGGGATTCCGCGTTCAAGTGGAGGAATGCCTAGGCTCCCGCCGAGCGGAACGGTCTTGGCATGAACTTTCATCACGAACCTTGATAAGGATGTTGCCATCTCTTCATCGATCGCCTTGATGTGGCCTTGGCTCCACTCAGAGCAGAATTAACTGCCGCATCCAGGTTTTTTAAATCCACGGTCCAACGAGGCGCTGCACTTGGCATACCCACCGATCCACATTCAAATGTTTCGAGACAAGGAAAGTTCACAAAATTGGGAAGACCCAAGAGAAAAAGATGTCGTCAGCTATTCGATGACTACATATCAGTCACAGGAAACCGTTCTAGCATATCTGCCAAGGTCCCCAAGTGAAATAATGGAAATTTGACATCTTCTAAACAGACCTAGGATCAGCAGCTTCTTATCCCGATGATACCCTCAGCTGGTAGAAATAAAAGGCCATTACTCGCCGGGCTCATGGGGGAAAAAAGCCAACGGAGGATCCGGAGTTTTTCATTTTCATCTCAAGGGTAGTTTTGAATTCGGGGAGGATTCAAAAGCCACCCGAGCAACTATCTGTATACCAAGAATAGCTCATTGGAAGTCCAAGAGACCAAGAAAATCACCAAATCGTCAGCTCGCAGATCTTTGCCGGTATTTTTTTTTAAATCAATTCACCCCTGCAAGCTAGATCGGAAGTCGAATTCGAACTCTATAAGCCGAGTTTAAAGCCCAGAACTTTTCATCAATCAAATTAAGTAGAAAAGTCTTGTTACGTCGCAAACGCTCTACGATGTCCTCTACTGAAAGCTCACTCTTTTCTGATACAACTGGCATTAGTCCTCTTGAAAAAGACGTGACGTTGCAAGGCCGAGAGGGAACCCAGAATCATATCTCGCATAGCCCGTCATGCGCTTTAGATGACGTTGTTACATTACCCGCTGAGGAGAGAAGAGCAGACGCACGAAGACGCCCTATAATATCGCACATATCCCAATATCTTCTTGTGGAAATAGATCCAACACGCGCGGACGTTGTTCTCATTATCTGTGGGTTCGTGAGCGGCCTGGTAGATGGTCTCTCTTTCAACGCATGGGGTAGTTTTTCGAGTATGCAAACAGGTCAGTGAATCAGGTTTACAAGCTCCGTTTATTCCCTTCTAAAAAGATAGCAGGAAACACAATTTTTATCGCACTTGGAGTGTCCAGCCAGCCAGAGTATCCAGCCTACCTATGGGCGAAATCACTTTTGGCACTAGTTGTTTTTTTGATGAGTAATTTATTTTTCATTCACATATGTCGCGCTCTCAATCCCCTGCGAAGATCAACAATTATCCTATCATTTGGTCTGCAGACAGCTGCATTGATCATCGCAGCTTCTGTGGTCCAGATAGGAATTGTAAGCCCCAAGCCCGAAGATCCAAGAGCTGCGATTCAGTGGATGCAGATCCTGCCAATAACCCTCCTCGCATTTCAAGCAGCGGGGCAAATCTGCGCGTCACGTCTTTTGGCCTTTGATGAGATCCCAACCCTGGTGGTTACTACGCTTTTGTGTGATTTGCTGGTTGATGCAAATCTTTATACCAGGCCTTGGTCTGCCAATCCGAAAAGAAACAGGAGGGTTGCTTCTTTTCTCGCTTTGTTCGCGGGAGCTATGACTAGCGGTGGACTCTCAAAGACTACCGGAATGGCTAGTAGTCTCTGGCTTGCAGTTGCTTTAAAAGGGGGTATCACGTTAGCGTGGTTCTTCTGGAAGGGAAGTTCGGATTGGCATCAACCAAAGTTCTCAATGAATGAAAGCCCAGTTTAACCATCCGGAGTCGACTCCATGGGGGCAAATTTTGTTAGCTCTGGAAGCTGAGCTTGATCTTCCACGGCTATTATGGAAGGTGAATTTTTGGATTTTCGTGAAATTCAACTTGAAGCTCAGAGTCATTTCTTAATATGATCTTAGAATTTCCACCATGTAGTAGACTCATGTATATTTTATAGATCTTGAGCATATATTAGTCTGCTATAGACTTTTCAAAGGAAACATAGCTTTAGTGCTATGCCAAACATCTCAATTGGAATTGAAGTTTCTACAGAGTACAGACTATATGTTGTGGCAAGCCACTGGCATCCGCGCCTTCATAGCCAGGCACCTAGTTACCTGTAGGAAGTTTGGCATTAGGCCTCACATTTTGTATTTTCTCTTTCGTCTTCACGCACATAGTCGTCTCTATTAATGAAGATATTGCACCCCATTGCGATGTACAAGTAGCGAGTCTCGCCACGAATCACCAGTGAGCTCTTGGAGACTCATGCTATCGTCGCGTGGACGCATTGGAAAAGCCACATGCGTATTAAGGTTGACCCTCGGAAGCTCACCCGAGGGCTGGATTTATTTAATCAATGAAAAAAGTATATCTTAAATGAGGGGAACGAAGAAGATAAAGCCATAGCGATTTAGAATCTGTCCAATAATATCATAGATCTATGAATCCTTCCTAGCTAGTCTCCTAATACATAGTCAAGATCTGCTTTCGTCATTCAGAACTTTCTGAAACATTGATTAGAATAAAAAGATAAAATATGGAAGAGGTTTTGGATCGGCTCATCAAGTTTGCATATATAGGCGATAAGAAGAATTCCTGGAGTGGGGCCACCTATAGGTCGTCATGCATTCAGTGCTAATATCACTACATCACTACATGATACTACTCATAGCATCAAATTAAAGACACTCTCTTTCGATCCGTTCCTCCTAACACCTAAATCAGGAGCATCGGGCTTGCTTCCGATTGCGACAGTCGAATGCGAGTGTGGCTGATAAGATACTTTGTTACCTACCAATAGATAAGGGGGATTGTCGCCTAATCAGCCTTGACATGCTTTGGAAAGCTTCCGATATTTTAACTTCTATTGCATTGGTCGGCTTTCACAAACTCTGTATCCAACGAGAGTGAATCTGCCATGTTCAGCCCCATATTTCTCTCTACATCATAATATTATCGTGCACGAGTATTGGGCCCCCACGAAAGGTCTCATTTTTGACAGCTATTGCCTTGGATTCAGAACCTGTCCTCCGTACCGATGCTCACCCTATTACGGGAAAGGCATGATCTTGCTGAAAGACACTCAAAAATGATGCGAGTTTCTTTCTGAATCTCGCTTCTGGCATCATATTGCCTTCAATCTATTTTCTTGCCCTGGTCGGCGCAAGTTGCCGGTGGAAGAGCAAGTGTCGGGAGAATAATCCCAACGGGCTCGATTCCGAAAGGCAAAAAGTGCGGGGAAACCAATCATTGGAACTTAGCTGTCCCGTCATTGGGTGGCACGGATGACATTCGTATAGATAACAACTTCGCCCGCTAAAATGTCAGCTTAGATTAGCTACACATACGATTATACTTTTTACTTGTCTACTTGGAATTATGTATTTAACCTGCCAGCGACCCACTATTTCGCTCATGCCTCGATTGTTTAATTCTCTAAATGATCATGGCTATTCCTACGGAGAAGATACTGGCGATGGACTGTAAAGAGGAAGAAGCTCCTCGGGTGGTGGCTGACCAGAAGGAAGGAACAGTCCTTGATAATAGCGATCAGCTTAGGCGACATCTAGGCAATCGCCAAATCCAATTGATTGCCATCGGAGGCTCCATTGGGACGGCAACTTTTGTCACAATATCCTCTGGGCTAACCAAGGGAGGCCCAGCAGGCCTCTTCCTCGCTTACGCTCTTTACTCGTGCGTTTTGGGTCTGGTCAATAATTGCATGGCTGAGATGGCGGTTTTTATGCCTGTTAGTGGCGCCTTTATCCGAATGGCAGGTCACTGGGTGGATGAGGCGGCTGGGTTTTGGGCGGGATGGAACTTTTTTATCTACGAAGCACTCTTGATTCCTTTTGAAATCACAGCTCTGAATTTAGTCTTGACGTACTGGCGAGATGATATCCCGGTAGAGGCCGTAGTATCTGCTTGCATTGTCCTTTACTTGTGAGTTTCAATAATGGTAGTTCCTCTCAAGATCAAAGGCTAATGGATTCAACTATAGCATCCTCAACGCAGTTACGGTCAAGTGGTATGGAGAGGCTGAATTTTGGCTCGCCTCAGGAAAGTGCATCTTACTCTTGATTGTCTTTCTCTTTACCTTCATCACCATGGTAGGCGGCAACCCTAAGCATGATGCGTATGGGTTCCGTTACTGGAATGATCCTGGCCCCTTCGCCGAGTATATCGCCACAGGAACTCTAGGTCGTTTTGAAGGCTTTTTGGGCGCTCTCTGGAGTGCCTCGTTTACAATCGTGGGCCCCGAATATATGTCCATGGTAGCCGGGGAAACGAAGCTTCCCCGACGCTATTTAAAGTCCGCTTTCAAGACAACTTATGCCCGGTTTGCTTTCTTCTTCATCGGAAGCGCCCTATGCGTCGGTATTGTGGTTCCATATAATGAGAAGACGCTGCTGGCCATCCTGGATGGATCAGCTAGTGGCTCGGGAACTGCAGCAGCGTCTCCATATGTCATTGCTATGAGAAATCTGGGAATTTCTGTGCTACCACATATCACCAATGCATTATTAGTGACAAGTATTTTCTCTGCCGGGAACTCCTATGTGTATTATGGCAGCCGCAGTCTGTATGGCCTTTCTTTACAAGGTCAAGCACCGAAGTTCCTGGGCCGGTGCACAAAAAAGGGAGTCCCGATCTACTGCCTCCTCGTCGTGATGGTCTTTCCGTTCCTTGCATTCTTGAATGTCTCCAGCGGCTCTGCTAAGGTTCTTACATGGCTCATCAATATTATCACCGCTGCTCAGGTGATTGACTACATTGTCATCTGTATAACCTACATCTTCTTCTATCGTGCTCTTCGCGCGCAGAATATCGATCGCCGCACCCTTCCTTACTATGGCTATTTTCAGCCTTACTCCGCTTGGATTGGCCTCGTCTGGATGACTATGATTGTCTGCGTATACGGCTATTCGACATTTTTGCCGGGAAGTTGGAGTGTGGGTGATTTTTTCACTTATTACACCATGGTCCTCGCGGCACCCGTACTTTTCATTGGATGGAAACTGATCAAACGCACCAAGTTCATCAAGCCTCAGGAAGCAGACCTAGTCTGGGACCGGCCGGTTATCGATGCTTACGAGGCTACTTTTACAGACTATGCCCCCGGCTTCTGGACCGAAATCTTACAGATGTTCGGGCTGCGGAGGAACCACAAGGAGCAACGGCAGGTGTGATTATATGTAGTATGGGATTGTGGACTATGTATTTAGACAAGTTCAAACAAATCGGTACTATTACTAAATAGGATTGTTCAAGTAGTAATTTATCGCGCGTCAATGAGTGGCACAACCCTCATGAAAAAGGCGCTTGGACTCACGAACCCGGGTGCACTAGCTGCCCAGGCGTCTATTGAAGCTGGGCTCGGTAATATGGGGTAATTCCAGCTACCGGGTGCAAATTTGAGAGTAATGTAGTCAAGCCGTGGATTGCTGAATACTAGTAGTGTGATAAACTTGAGACACTTGTCATAAAAAAGTTCAAGTTTGATTTGTTGAAGAAAGCTGAAAGTATATACAAGTAAATCTTGAGCTTGCTGCGGCCATCGACTGAAACTTTGAAAGGAGGAAGGATTACAGTGAGGCGATGTTCGGCTGCGCCTGAGTGTGATCAATGTGCATATACGAATCAGCCACCGAGGTAACACAGCAATCAAGTGAGCCTGTGTTCGAGGATTGAAAAAAATGGAATTTACAAATAGCCAAAGGCAGGTAAATTGAGTCAGCATTTCTATTTTTGAAGAAATTTTCCTTGGGTCCCATTACCGACCAATACTAGTATCGCCTAGTCACCCATGGCTTCTTACGGCTAAGTTTAAGTTAGTATCAGGCACAGTCTACATTGCACTAACTCATCAACTTTAACATGCATGATGGCATTCCCCGCTTCCTTCCGACTAGGACTTGATATCACAAATGTTGTTGGGCCGCTCGTAAAGACAATTCTCCTCCTGGGCTCGGTTGACATTTTCCAGGAAATCAAACGGTCTAAGTCGGATGGCATTACAGGGCTGCATCTCGAGGCTCTCATTGGCCGTCACCGAGTAGCGGAGTATATGAAAGAGAATTTTCAGCGCATCGTTGCTCAGTCACATCAAACTATATTCTCTAGAATTCTTCAAAATGAAGGCTTCGTTCTTGAAGCTGGAGCTGGGCCGAGTGTTCGACAAGCGCTTACCGATTCAAACCCAGCTTGGCTTTTAATGATCATTCAAATGTCTGTCCTTGGTTTCTCAAATGAGCAAGAATCCCTAGCGCAGGCAATCACAACTGTGACGAGTGAGATGCTTCACTCATCGGCAGTGGATAAGAGGCAGGATCTAGACTACGTATCCATCCTAGCCGCTCTCAGTGCCTGTCAGCAACAAACCGCCAATTTTGTCTATGTGGACTTTTTCGAAAGAACAGAAAAAAAGATTCACGACGCTATAAGAAACTCTTAAATAACAAAGCGACCCATCAAAAAGCGCCGTTTGAACGACTCTGTAAACGCGAAAATTATGTCAAGTGTCACAGACCGGTCATTACCGTTCGTTGTTCTGAAAGCATTATTTATAAAGCTTGTGGCAGTACAAGATTTTCTCGAACATCAAAACCTCCATATCAAGACTGACCGTGGAATCAACACAACTGTTGTGTGGTGTTATTACATTCTTGGAATGGGCACGAATGTCCGGATGGGAGGGGTTGTCGTGAGGTTCGGCGACGAGCCCCAGATCTTTGTGGAATATTGTAAACCACTTCAAGTGTTTGCCTCCTATTAGAAACGACCAAAGATAATGAGCTATTGTTTCAATTATCGCAAGTTGACGAAGATCCGCTTCTCCATAGTGAGAATCGAGCAAGTGCGCGAGGCTTCGCGCGGAAGATCATGCTTTTGGCTAGCGTAGACGAAGGAAGCATCGAGTCACAAGCACATTGTATAGCTAGGGCTTGCATTCAGATGCTTTCAACCAATAAGCATTTGGAAAGTCTCAAAGACCCGAAGTTGATTTCTATGACATCGCAAATCAGGGAGAACATATCAAAGTTAGTGGCCCTGCTTTTCGATACCCCCGAGCTGCAAATTACTGGCGTACCCGAGCTCAAAGATTCTGCGAGGTCGGGAAGGTCATCTATTTTGTCAAACAATAGAGTTAAATGGGTGAACCTAGCTCTTGTGATTATTTCATTTGTCAGAGTGAAAGATTTGAGCAAATGCGAAAACCTACCACTCTCTCTAGATTCATTTTGGGATCTAAACGAGAATTTCGAAGTTCATGTGAGCGGAAACCAACTCCAGGGACCACCGCCCGAAACACTTGCCTCATTCGACATAATCGCGCGTCTTATTCTGGGAAGCCACTATGTCCAGGATGATGTTGGGAGCTCGGCCCTTCTTAGTGGGTGGGAATGGAGTATCTTCCTTGATTCATCATTCGACGCTGTAGATCCAGGACACGTGCGGCCTGGACTACTCCACATCCAAATGGATGTTCCCGCACGCATCGTAGATAGTGAGAGTCAGCTCAGCGCGACTCTTATTGGATATCATGGACGCGATGTGTTCTCGGTTGTTCAAGTGTACGAGTGGAACATCACTGGAACAAGATCCAAAAAGTGGAGGTTAGGCTTTCGAAGAAAACAAAAAATGTACTCAAAGTTTACTATCATGGAACAATGTCCATGTGAGAATGTTCTCCGAGATGAAGACCGATATCAAGTCGGTTGATAAGTTCATCGCAAATGGCGAGGCGGGGAATAATGCAAACCACTGCACTGTCATTGGGCAGAAGTATCCTCCAAAATCCGAAAGAACTCAGACGCCCAGGAAAGGCTGTTTTACAAAGAGCTGTCTGAACAAGATTCGAGGGTATGGTTCTTTTTTGTTGCCAGGAATTATGTTTTCCGTTGGCTGGCAATTGACGGCTTGGATCAGTTAAAGGGTGAAGAAGGAGGATTCGAACATATTTCGTGTGGGAAGAACTGCTGTGTCAGGTGCGCATGTGAAAGTGTTACTGCCAAAAGCCTTGTGCTTGTGTGATGAGTCGCTGTTTAAGTTGCTAGTCTCGAGTCCCGCAGTAGAAGAATGCCTTGAAGGTTACGATATGGTGGAGATAAATAAATCAATATACTAGTCACGGTGATCATTTTTGAGGATCTCAGGCATGGGATGAAAAGAATATGAATAAAATGAGTGGGCCCGGGTCAGTATGAAGGAGCACTGATAATAAGTCAAATATTGCTGATGTTGGGCTATTACTGACCTTAGTTAACTGCCGGGGCGGACCGTGCTCCAAAAAGTGACAACTATGGCGCACAGTAGTAAGGCTTAAATGTTTACAGTAACAAAACCGGAGACTTGTGCCTTGTACTAAGAATTGCACATAGAGGTGGAGGCCGCGAAGCATTGTATTTTTATGCCTCAGGAATCCCGTTCACCCCTTGTTGTTTCTCTAGTCACGTTTTTCCTTTTTTAGAGATGGATGTCTTTCTTCTGGTTGGTTGGATGGCATTAGCATCAATGGAGACGAGCCCCTATCCCAAAACAGGCAGGATCCTCGAATTGGATCTGCGCGGCCTAGTCTACATGCGGGCCAAGGTGCGACGCCATTTCTCTTCCTACTGGACGTTGACCTGTCAATCCTTGTTCAGCTACTCCACATCACTGTGGTTGGCCGCTCCAGAACCGCGTTTTGGCGGGTAATTTGGTGATGGTGGGTGGACCTTGCGGATGGGGGCGAAAATGTGAGAGACTAAAATATAAAGCGTCAAGTTTAACCTGCCTTAAATCTGGTTTTCGTCGCGTTTCATTTGATCACTCCAACAGTCGTGATAGGGGGAGAAATCCATATTGTCTGAGATCCTATATCTGTGCAACATGGGAGGCAACCCACTCCTTGATCCGCTTCATTACGCTACTCCCCAACTACGATTAGGGCCACCTGTGACGTATGCTACCGCGCAACGCAGCCTTAAAGGTTATGATTACGGTTTGTGTCTTCATACATGGTGATAATGTTGATTTTAAGTTCGTGCCAGCGCTAATAAAAGATTTTTACAGTAATTGTGGGAGCCGGCGCAGCTGGCTGTGTTCTTGCAGCGAAACTTTCCGAGGATGAAAACACATCAGTTCTTCTTCTTGAGGCTGGTGGTGACAATGCAAATGTGCTTGCGTGCAAAGTTCCTCTCATGTATTCCGAAATGTTTCATACTGAAAATGACTGGGATTACTATACTGCGGAACAACCTAACTTAGCATCCCGTCAGATTTACTGGCCCCGCGGACGGTTGGTGGGAGGCTCATCATCAATGAATACTATGATGTATCATCACTGCTCACCATCTGACTTCGACGAATGGGCATCTGTTCATGGCTGTGCTGGATGGGGGTACGATGATCTTGCTCCGTACTTTCGTCGCATGGAGAAATTTACTCCCAATCCTGCACGCCCTGCGATTAATCTTGAACACCGTGGCTCAGATGGCGCGTGGAGCACTGGATATACATGGCTATCAGAGATAGGTGAGAAAGGCTTGATTCCCTCATGCGAGGCTGTGGGCATTCCCGCCAATCCTGATATTAACACCAAAGACGGCACTCTGGGTGTTACTCGCTTCCAAACCTCGATTGATCAAAAAGGGCAGCGCTCCTCTTTGGCGACTGCGTTCCTCACGCCAGGGGTGCTACAGCGGCCAAACCTTTATGTTGCGTGTCATTCTCATGTAACCAAGGTACTTTTCGACTGTCTTACTAGCGAAACTCCAACTGCAATTGGCGTGCAATTGCAAAAGAGCCGCGACGGCGAGCTCTTCAATGTTCATGCACGACGTGAGGTCATTCTCTCCAGTGGAACAGTTAACACTCCCCAGACCTTACTGCTCAGTGGCATTGGTCCTGCTGATGAGCTGTCTGGGCTTGGAATATCTGTTGTGAAAGATAACAGAGCAGTGGGGAAGAACCTGAAAGACCACCTCTGCCCTACTCCCATAATTTGCAAAGCCAACCCTTCATACACCTTAGATTACCTCAGGAACCCCATCAAAGCTTTACCGGCTCTTCTTCAGTGGAAGATGTTCGGAACAGGACCGTTGACTAGCAACGTTGGCGAGGTTGCTGCTTTTATCCGAACAGCGGATTTCAATTTCCCTGGATCAGCTAGCGGGCCCCCAGTTGATGTTACTTCGGGCCCTAAAAGTCCTGACATTGAGTTGATTGCCGCTCCGCTGTCATTTATACATCACGGCGAAGAGGCGCACCTTGATGCCGAAGGAGTGTTTACTATAGGTCCCATTCTTCTTCGTCCTCTCAGCACCGGAACCATCTCTCTCAGAAGCAGGAATGCGTTCGAGCCACGTTAGTGATCTATACGAAACCACCGCGAGAGCTCTTTAGCTAATGAATAACTTCTGCAGCAATTATCGACCCAAGGTATTTGTCAGACAAATCTAAAAATGACATGAAAGCCCTCATGGCAGGTCTACGAGTTACTCTCAGAGTAATTCGTGCCGCACCTTTCCAAAAGTACCTTGAACCAGTCCCAATAAACGATGATCCAACTTCCTACTGGTGGCCGTACTCAAGCAGCGATATTGAGAATATCTCGGACGAGGATCTTATCCGCTGGTTGAAAGAGAAGGCGTTCACACTCTATCATCCAGTGGGCTCAGCACGTATGGGCCCCGACGCAAAGACCAGTGTCGTTGACTTGGAGTGTAAAGTACATGGAGTCAAGGGCCTCAGGGTCATGGATGGAAGTGTTTTTCCGCAGCAGCTTAGTGGGCATCCGATGGCACCGATTGGTGCTATGGCGTTCAAGCTAAGCCAAATGATCAGGGAGGGACACAGCGCGAATACTCCAATAGATAAAACAGTTTCAGGTGGTGGGTTGTAGTGAGGTGCAACTATTTTGCGGAGGGGGCTTACAGTACTGAGATGGTTCCAAATAGACTGGAGCCCCAGAGCTACTAGTAGCTCATTCCTAAAATGTTAGAGAGTTCTAAAAGAATGTAGTAGTACTCTTCACATGGTTGTATAAAGCTTTACTTGGGCGTTCAAAGGTCTTGGGTCCCAAGTTCCAAAATTCTAATTCATTGACTGCTTCCCTTCAGAATTTGAATTGGTCTCTATATAATAGATGATGTGAAGTATTTATTCAGGCCCGTACACACGCTAGGCGCACGTGATCAGCATCTCTCATCCTCAAAAGCAACTGGAGATCAACGTCCTGAGTGGTAGCCAGGATTCTGCTACGAGTCTGTCCACAGGTTTCTCCCGGGCTAGGAACAGCTCGTACCCGGTAATGACATAGCAACTTGGCTATGACTGCCACAAATTCAACTTGAGAAAACTTGTTTCCAGGGCAGCTGTGTCCACCATCAGCCCACGGGAAATAGGTACATCGCGAAGGCGTGACAAGCCGCTCATCAGCAGGAACAGTCGAGCCCAATGTTGGGGTCACGAGTCGCTCAGGTTCTAGTAAGAGTGCTGCGTCAGACTCAGCTGTGGGTGAGTTCGTCACCCATCTTGCTGGCCTCCAGACGAATGGGTCCGCCCAGTAGGAAGGACTCTTGTGAGTGTGAATCAAATTGATAAGCACTCCTGAATTTTGAGGGATCATGATGGTTTTATCGTTGAACTTGAGGGGTTGAGGTGAGTCATAGGCAATTTTCGGAAGAGCAGGCACTGGTGGGAAGATGCGGAGAGTTTCGAGCTATTTATGTCAGATGAATATTCATTCTTCGATGATATATGGATTGACTTACCATGAGCGCTCTGCAGCGGTTGAGCTTGGGGTATATCTCAGAGTATTGCCCTTGGAGGTCATCTGGGAACGATTCCAGCTCCTCGGCCACCCAATCTTGCACCTCTGGGTATGCAGACAAAAGCAGCATTACAAAACTCAGGGTGTTAGCCGTGGTGTCGTGGCCAGCAAAATTGATAACAAAGATGTTGCCAAAGATCTCATCAATTGAGAGCCCTTTCTGTGGTTCATTGGGTGTTTCGGTCTTGGTACTCGCGTTCTGAATATCCATGGCTCTTACCAGAGTCGTCATAAGACTCCCAGATCCAAGCTTGCCTTCATTCAAGGCCCTGGTCTCATCATTCAGCATTGTAAGCATATGGCCTTTGAATTCCTTAGCTGCTCTTCCAAGTACTTGCCACGACTTCGGGGCAAATGGCAGGCTAAGAAGGTTCCGTGGAGCAACCATCAAGAGAATAGCGTTGTCAAGAATAATTTGTAAGGAGTCCCGATAGTTCGCCGGGCCATCCTGCTGCTCCTGCACACTTAGGAACGGATATGATTTGCGAAACCCAGTTGCAGCCAGAACGTTTAATGAAACCGTGCGTGTGTCTTTTGAAACGCTGGTTATCTCGCTCGACCCTTCTCCCACCCACACATCCAGCATTTGGCGACCCTGCTCGACACTCTGGTCCCAAACATAAGACATGACATTTTCATTGAATGGAGCAGCCACGATCTTCCGATGGCGCGCCCAGTCCGGTCCGTTAGCTGTCGAAATGCAGGGGCCATAGACCTCTAACACCTCTGTTGACCAGGAAAAATTAGTTTTCGATGAACACCAAGCGCAAGATTGATTCCACACATACTATACATGATACTTGGGCGAACAAAATCAGTTCGTCTTTGAAAAATATCGCAAATGGCCTCTGACTCCGCCACAATTAGTGTGATTTCACGGGGGGTCGCGAGAGCCCAAACGGGCCCGTAACGGCGATGGGACTCGCCCCGGTCGTGAAAGAACCACCCACGACGGGAATAACGCCCGAAGCTACCAAGGCTGAAAGGTAGTTTCTCCAGCAATGGCCATACATGGGGCTCAAGAATCATCCAAGCGAGGTTTTGCGCGTCGACGCACAAGCGTACGACTGGGATGCCCATCGCAGAGGCTCGACGATAATGAATTTCCATCATCACCATACTCCACCCGAAGTACAAAAGGGCTAACGCGCCCAAAAAGATCAGGATCATTTTCTCTGGTCAGAGCGCCCAACGCGTTCGGGCAGTAAGAAACGAACGTGAAGGACTTTGGCAATTTTGAAAATGGGAGAAAGTGAGGAAGGGTAGGAACGAGCTACGCTCGCAATTATACTGAAATGCTGCCCCGCTAGGCATTAGAGCTAGTCAGCTCGCAGACTACTGCCCTATTAGGATAGACCCAATTTTGATAATGACGATTAGTATACGGAAGGCCGTGGGGGCCACAGCTCTTTTTGCCTTGGTGCCTTAAGAATGAATGATCCCCGGGCTTTTCTGATAGGTTCAACGTTTGATCCAACAGGCATTCTCAATGAAGTGGCAGTTAAGGCTCATGGTGGTGCTGGTTGTTACGTCGAGTACTATTACTACAAGATGATATTTGTCTTGGAATTATATTATCTTCCCTCTATGGATATATCCGTTTTACGGTCAGTCGCGCTACAACAACAAGCAGAGTGATTATGGCCCCCGGGGCCATTGCAATCATCTTCTGACACTCAGTGTCTAAGCGCCTGAGCAGTGGCTATTCTCAGTCGCCCGTAAGGCTATGAGACTTAGATAGTGACCTGGTATATAGCTACACCCCTGTCTCTTCGACTGTAGTCGAATTTCTTAGCCGGATTCGGGACCTGGCTGGGCTGAGAAGCCAGCCCCTTTTCATGGACCCGGCTTAGCGCCAATCAAAGGGCTAGACAAGGAGCTAGAACAGACCATGATCTACGTTGGTTGACTGGGAAGTGCCATTGGTATTCGAGAGAATCCCCACCCTGACGTCTGTTTGGCACTACCTACCAGTCACAAGTGAGTTGTCTATTGATGCAAACACCCTGCAGTGAATAATAGGTCAAGTATTAACTCTGTCTTTTGTCCGATTTGGCAACTCCGCTTGTTGTCCGATTTGCAATTTCGATTGCAGTTATAGTTCTGCAATTTGCAGGATTGTTTATTCTCCGCGAAACATACCCTTCCTATATCCTCAGGAAGCGGGCTAAAAGTATCCGCGAAGAGACAGGCGATCCTTTACATCAGACTGCAGAAGAACGAAAGAACAACACTCTAGCCCAAGGTCTAAAAACATCGCTTATACGGCCCTTCCGCCTTCTTTTTATGCAGCCTATTATTCAAGTCCTCTCTGTGTATACGGCCTACGTTTATGGGCTTCGATATCTTATGTTATCAATGTTATCAACCCTCCCTACTCTTTGGACTGATCCTGAGTATTACGGAGAGAATATTGGTATTGGGGGATTGAATTATATCTCGCTCGGCTTAGGAGCCCTACTAGGCTCCCTCATCGCCGCTCGTCTAAATGACTATGCCTATGCCAGTCTCAAAGCCCACGATAGCGGTTTAGGAAAATCCGAGTGCCGATTGCCTTTACTCGCTATCACCAGCATCTGTTGTTCAATTGGTCTTTTTATCTACGGATGGACAGCTCAGAGCCACCAACCCTGGATAGCTCCTAACATCGGCGCATGTATCTTCGGTGAGCCGAATATGATAAGCTTTCAGTGTATGCAGACCTTCACCGTGGACACACACACGAAATATGCAGCCAGCGCAATGGCTTCGGTATCAGTTCTGCGGCCGATATATGCTTTTGGATTCCCTTTATTCGACCCATGCTTGTACAACGACCTTCATTATGGGTGGGGTACTAGCGTGCTGGCATTCATTTCAATAGCTATAGGGTTCCCAGCACCGATCTTTCTTTGTGTATTTGGCGAGAGATTGCGAAAAGCCAGTCCATATGCCGCTGGTTAGGCCAGTATCATAAACAAGAGAAGGAGGGCACTCAGCGTTCATGTAAGACGTTGAGTCAATCAATTGGCCAGAATTCCACAGGGTCAGTACATCCGATGGTACAAACTTCGCACCGTAGCTCAGGATTCGTTTTCGCCAACCCCAGGATGCCTCCGGTCTGTGCTCACAGATGCCAGCTGCACAATTGTCAGAATTACACAAGAATTCGCACGCATTGAAGACAGAGATGGTAGCGAGTGGGTCGAGAATCTCAATGTAACCCTGTCTTCTGGAAACGGCGTCGAAGTGGCTATGATACCGAAGTAGGACTTGTGTGTCAATCTATATGGTCTAGATCGCAGCAATCTTTTACACAGCTTGGACAATACATGAAGAATTTAGATAAACATATAATAGTAGAAGACTACGACCGCCGTTAGAATTGACATGTAGAAAGATAAACTGGGTTTAAAATTGAGATGCAACGTAGGTGTTGAGACAGAAACTACATTCTACATCGGAAGACTCCTGTCCGACGCAATTTACGCACGCTTATCAAGAACTAGCCGTGGGCCCGATATTCGTACGAAACCAGGGCCATTTGGGCGGATCCTATCAAGATACTACAAGTGCTAACTCTTAATCGTTATGATATTCGCCCATGAACTTACAATGTTCCCCAGGTAGACTTCATGGAGGCCAATCGCCTATTGCCGGTGATCGTATGTATTTTGGAGGGTTTGTACTTGCAAGCTGAGAGTTGAGGGGTTTGAACGTTTCTGTCGCATATCACTCTTCAAAATGCCGTGCAACATGATGTGCTACAGCGGCTTCGTCGCCTTCAAAGACACCGCACACGGGACATGACGCAGTTTCTGTTGTTGCCTGAGGGATGGCGGTTGTGTCTAACATACCGTTGTCCCTCTCATTCGAATTCTGCTCCGTCCGTGTCTTTCCACCTCGCTTCTTTCCCTTGGGAGGTCGTATATACATGTCTAGCCCAAGGGGTTCCGATGAAGGCTCTTCGGGACCGTCAAGACGCATATCACGCGCAGTAAAATGATTGTATCGTCCACCCGTCATATCGCCTCCCTCTGTTTTTAACTGTATACCCTCTTCCCTTCCTTCGGCTTCATCTTGCGTTGAGTCGGTTGGCTCGTCAGCGCTACGTAGGCTCTGTACCCTTCCGACGCGCCCGTCAGTAAGTCGCACTTTGACACCCCGCGGATGGTCTCCTCGTGTGAGCAGTTCGTCAACTGTGCCTGATACTGTGCGCCCTGTAGGCTGGTCGGCTTTGAGTATAATGTTGACGAGTGTACCGTGGCTGATCGATCTCGAGGGAGGCACGCGTGAGTTGGAGGGGCGCGATCCACCGCGGCCGCCGGGTCGCTTTTGGCGATTCATTCGTGAGTCGATCTAGGAGGTCATGGGCAGCACGACGTGATGAAGTTGGTGCATTATGGTTGATGTGGGTAGGATTTGGATTATGTCATCCACATATCCTGCCTGTGGCCTGGTAAATCAGGCGATAACAAGCCTTCATAGATCAATTTGCAAATGGTGCATGAGGAAACATGACTATTATCACAATTCTTTCTATTTGCTGATGTTTCCAGTATCTACCTGAGGCTACGATTTCAAATGGTCATTTTTGGTAAATGTCAACATTTGTAATGTAAACTTGATTTTAGCCAATATTTAAACATTGAAGTATACGACCCGGCATTGCGAAAGACGGATTGAATTGTGCTATTTTCTACATTAGCTGGAATGGATGTCTTTCTAAAAACTCCTCAAACGTAGAAAGTTTGCCCCTGGCAACCGCACCCGCCTCAGCGACTAACGCCTCAGAGTCAGGTCCAAAGTATCCATATTCATCCATGAAGCTAAATCCCTCCACAAAAACATCTTGAAAGAAAGGCAGGCTTGTCCGAAACTCCTGAGTGGAGACCTGCTTGAAGACAATATCTCTTCCGGTACTCTTAGAAAGAAGTGCAGCAATCTCCTCTCCGGTATACAACTTAGTAGCAGCATGGAGTCTTTTCCCCTCGAACTTAGCAGGGTCAGCGAGGATTGCACCAGCAAACTTTCCGGTATCACCAACTGCATCGAGCAATGGGAACTTCGCTTTCGGAGAGGTGTGACGAGCTAGTACATAAGTACCATCTGCAGCTGGTTTCGGGGCTAGAAATGTTTGTGCTTGAAAGTTTTCCATAAACGAGCCGAGTGAAAGAAAGGCCTTTTTGATAGGAAGAGTACGAATATACTGTTCGGCTGCGGCCTTCACATCAAACGGGACGACTAAGGTATATTTTCCCTTGGAGATGTCATGCACAGATGGTAGCGTGCTCCAAATGATATAGTCAACGCCTTGTTGAACAGCGACGTCAGCGATTCGCTTCGCGTTTTGTAGCTCGACTTCATAGGCGCTGGCGCTAATGTCTGGCGTGGTCATGGCAAAGACAGTATGCACACCGGTTAAAGCCGTGGCCAGTGATTTGGCGTCGGACACGTCACCTGCGACAATATCGACGTTTCCTTTTTCTTTGAGGGCCTGGGCTTTCTCCGATGTGACGTCGCGAGTGATAGCCCGGATTTTGTACTCAGGGGAGAGTTTTGAGTCATTCAGCACATGGTTCAAAACAGAGCTTCCTTGTTGGCCAGTGGCACCGAAGATTGCGAGAACTTTTGACATTTCGATTGTTGAGTCGGGGATCAATGAATTGCGACGATTAGGGCACTGTAGTGGATGATGGAATAGAACTCGCTTTTAAGACTGGAGTGCTCGGGAGGGGGAATGTCTCAGCTTAAGAATGGATTGTATAGACTATATACTAAAACATTGGGATGTACTGATTTCCAGGTCTTGGATTAAACGCGGATGCATACTGAGCTCACCCATACTGTCATAGCTTCCAAGGATGATCATACTAGAACATTGTGGAGTGCGACGGAACTTTTCGATCCTTCAGCCCCCACTGGGGGTTGCAGGCCTACTAAAAATACGGGACTTGAATTCCTATCTCCGAAGTATTGCCAAGCAGGCCATCGGATTTACCGTTTTGGGCCGTCAATTGTACACTTAGATCCACACCAGAACGCCTTCCCGTTGCTCAGACCACCTTTTCTACATTCCCGCCATTCACGGCATCCGGCCAAGAAAGAAATCCCAAGGAAAGGCATTGGTGATATTTTATCGCCTGATTGCTAAGCCATACAGCGGCTTTATCAGCTCGAGGATTTCTACGCTTCGGCGTGCAAGGTATCGCGACCGAGTGCTCGGTGATGACAACTAAATCATTGATACGAAGCGTGAAAATAAGTGTCCCTGATTCGCTTCTTATAAGCCCAACAGAGTCATCAAGTTTATCTTTTGAACTAGCAAGCTTTTGATGATTATTAAATGATATATTAGAAATAATGTAGGTCAAATTATGTGTTTTTACACCAATCTGCATCTATATCGCTGGGTAGTATATGCTACTAGTAGTTGTATATTCTTCTAAGATCCAATCTACCAACTTGGGCTTCAAGCTCTACGGAGCCTTCGCATGTCAGCTTTGAAGAAAATTCATTGAAGTTGCAATTCAAATATCAAACTTTTGGACATTGACTATTTTGTCCCTTGCCAACCGATGTTTACAAGATTGACAGATCTAGGGGCTTGGTCTCAGTATTTCTCGGCAGCCAACATGATTTCCCCCGATTCGACGTTTTAAAGATAAATTCTTGGAAAATTCCCAAGATAATGTAAGCTTCCGTGGATGTGGGTGGCTGAGGAACTGACGCGCCAAGAGCATGCAATCCTTGGACGGGCCCATCAAGCCTCAGTTCTTTGATCCGTCGAGCCATACCCATTCATATTTTTCAATTGTGTAAGATTGAGCTCCAACTTTCTTCACTAAATGTCTTGGGAGGCCTGTAGGAGTAACAGTGTGATGCGTGATATCACAGACTTATCATATGAAGAGGTATCATTTTAAGATAATTCTTGTCAATGACTTGAAAAGGAACTCTTTGGGGTCTTTGTAGCTGGATTTCCTGGTTTTACTCGTGGATCTGGGCTTCTGGTTAGAAATTCCCACTTATCATAAGGGTCAGGAGTACACGATAATCCGTAGACAAGCTTTTTCTGTGCCAAACCATTTCCTCTGGTGGACTATGTGCAGGCGATCTTTCCTTTTCTGCCGACTAGCCTTTTGGAGATTGACCTTTCTCAACAGGCTATTACTCTCAGCCGATCGACTCATATTTTTTTTTCGCAGTAAACAAAGCTGTGCAAATTCCTTTAACAACTCTTTGACGTTATGCAGTGGTTGACTGAAACCTATTGGTGGCGTGCTAACATCCTCGGTCCCTGATCTACATTACTTGCCCTTAAGAATACATACTGGGGTCACCGGATGGGGCGGTGCAGATACTAAGGGCGTGTTAAGCAGCGTAAAAAGTGTCCCACTATGTTTCGTAAAACTCGCCTCTTGAATACTATTCGGGTAAAGTGAATAGGCTCTAATTGTTTCATCAATTGCTTGTTCAGGTACGATGATATCAACTCCAGTGGGGTCTGGTTTTCTCCTCCTAACCATCCAACTGCAGATCAAAGGATTGATAGCCCTCATTTTACTAGACAAGGTAGGATGTTTGATTTTCGCAGATTCGACTTTTTTTAGAATGGGGCGGTCGTCGTTACATCACTGCTGGGGGCGCGATTCTTTGAGCAACACGATGGGAGGTAAGTATATGCAGTAAGAAGTACCAGAAATAACCCAACGATGACAAAATTGAGAGAACCCAGCTCGATGCATTGGCTCTTAAGAAAAACCAGGTTGTTGACAAGGGGAGAGAGGGTAAATAGGCTGCACCAATTGCCAAGACAGTAAAGGATCGACGATGCGAAACTCCGGGGAGTGGAGACACCCAAGCGCCCCATACACACCAGGCTTAAAGGGGCGATGGCAACGAATTCTATTTTCTTGATGACCTGATTTCAGTTCTTTTATTTAAAGGCATGAACCTGCACTGCGAGAGTAACCATAACAGAATTCTTACAGCTTCCAAAGTTGTTTCCAAGTCTATTTCCTGGCAAATCGGTAAACTACCTCCTTTCTATCCCACCTTTCATACACACCAATTTAAAATACAAGCCGAAATGTGTTATATCACCTATATGTTGCTCAAGAAGAACAAGGCCAAGAAGGCCGCTGCAGCTACAGCCGGAGATGGTAACACTCCGCCACGACCAAGGGAAATCGAGAGAAAGGGGGCTCCCGGCTATTCCTATTCGCCCTCCCAATCCGACCAGTCATCATACAGTGAAAAAAAGATACGCAGACGGGAAATCTAGTCTGAGTTGGCAAATATTTTGAGTGTAAGTTGTTAAATTCTGTGGGAAAATTGGCGAAGGCGTATCTGACGATCTATGGACATAGTCTTACATTCGACAGGCTCGAGTAAGAAACCGACCACCAAGACTGTTTTTTGCGGACCTTTTGATATCCAATTCTCGTCAATCTAGAGATACCGGCCTTAAATTGTGTCTTGTTGCCTTGAGTCTTTTTTCACATTGTTTTGCTTTTATGTACAATTACGATTTTACGATATGTATGGCTCACTACCCAAGAAGGAAGCCTACATGAACCATGGTCAACAGGTCATGCGTTTGTCATTTTCTGGAAGGGGTTATCCATCTATCCTCCTGTCTTTTGTTGGTTAGTTGCGAATATCTTACGATTTTCATTATATAAGCCCATTTTGAATTCTCAGCAATTCACCGAATCCCCCTTCTTTTAGAACCCAGCCCCAATGGTAAGAACTTGAGTAGCCAACAAAGCCCCCGGGACCGGAGTCCAGGTCTGAAGTGAATAAGGCAGAGCAACGTGGGCCAATTTGTGGGATTGAGCCTTTTTTCTTCTTTCTCTTTTCTTCTTTTTTTTCACATTGTGACGACCCGCTCTCATAGTGTTATTCACTGAAAAGGAGAAGCGGATTCATAAAAGCGAAGTCGGGGCATACAACCCGCATAAAGATTTTGAACTCTAACCCAATCGATAACTTTGAGATCGGAGAAATGACGACTTTGATTGATCTAGTTTGATAGGATTATTATACAAGTTTCGAGAATCTCAAGATTATTTATAAGAGTTCAAATAAACGGGGTATTCAAATGCAATGAATAGTTACCTGGGCATTTTCCAATAATCTGCGTACTGCTAACTACGAGCGGCTATGGAGATGTGACTAACACTTTCATGTCTCGTATACTCACACTGACCCTATCTTTGAAAATTGACACTCTACAGACTTCGCTATCTTACATCGAGAATATTATTTGGTCTCAAATCTGGGCTTCACCGGACAGGTCTTTTCATTTTGTCTTGACAGAACTTGTATTTGATTTAGACGAATACTAAATGCGGAGCCTCTATTGTAACGAGTGGAAACCATGTTCATTAGGTAGTAGAGCCCTGGAGGCCCCGGGAGAATCACATGTGTATCATGATGATATCCGTATCCAGATAACATTGAACTCCGGCGATGTAGTATTCTCATGGATGATATGATGTGGACACTATTGAGAAAAAATCCAATGTATGGAAAACAATAAACAATAATCCGAGACCAAGTCATAAAGGTGGTAGGTAGGATTGAATATTCAACGAACATCCATCTTTAGGTATCGCCGGTGCCGTGGACCCACAATTCCGAAGTCCTAGTTTATTTGACCATGCTCGGAGGGATTTAAGCGTGCCGAATATCCGCAGTGACCTACGCCTGCCTTAGTACAGTATCGATGTGGATTCCAAGATCGGTTAACACTGCGCTGCAGACTTTTGTTCAAACGCTGAGCCCCGCGCATTCATCCCGCCGATTCAGTATGCAACGCGCATAATCGATGTGGTTACCCAGTGAGGCTTAGCGTGTTGAGGGGGCTGAAACTCAAATCTGATTTTGAGCCAATCGGCGTTGATAAAACACGCGCTAGCTTCAACCCTCTGTAGAAACACCGCCAAGAGGCTGTGTTGGATGCTGGATGTTGATGTAGCAAAAATTGATGAGCAGAGTACCGCGTTGACGGATGATATAAAAAGGTAGCTAAATTCGCATTGTAATCTTGATACTTTACTTCTCCTCATCTACCTTCACACTTTTATATTTGCTTAGGAAGATTCAACTCCATTCAAAATCATCATGAATGCCGGTCCTATTGGCATGATTGCCAAGGGAGTTGGTAGTGGTATTGGCTTTGTGAGTGAAACACACAAATATAGAAAAGCGAAGAAGGCAGCACAACAAGAACGAGAGCTTGAGAGACAGAGTCAGCCGGGGCTATTCGAAGAACGCGATTCACCAAGTCACGTCCCTCCATCTTCTTCCCCATTCAACACGTTTTCACCATATGGCTCAAAGGAGGACGAAGAGCGCTACAATTTCACTCCTACAAATGTAGCTGAACGCTCATGGCAACTTGATGAAGCGCAGGATCATGTTATCGTCGAAACCAAAAAGCCCCGCAAGAGCAAAAGTGGCGTCGCAAATCCTGACAAACTCATCGCTGCTTTCCTTCAACGCCAACCTCCTCCTTATTGCCCTGCACCGGTACAACTAGATTATGTGCGCCCTATCCCAAAACTCCATCATCCAGTCGCAATACCTCAGCGACGTCCAAAGGATAAAGCACGGGGTTTTATCCATGCGTACGCACCGGACTTGCAAAATGTGGGTATTGACCAAGAGACTTGGTTCGACTTCGTTGAAACATTCAACGAGGCATGCCTAGCTAATCCGTGGATTAATGCCATTAACTTGGCAGCGCTAGCAGCTTCACCGTTGCCTTCTCTTGCCTCACAAGCAATCTCAATGGCACTTATGGTCGCAACAACTGTTGCTATGGAAGTGCAAGGCCGACACCGGTACGATGGCTGCCTCTTCTTTTTTCTCCGGTCGCTCTTTGGAATTAAAAATGTCCTAATATTTTATCGTGAATTTTAGACAAAATAAAGCTCTCGACAAACTTAACGAAGAGTTCTTCCGACCCCGTGGTCTCTTTTGTCTTGTAATGACATGGGACGCTGAATCTACCAGTACTCGCACTAATATGAATGTTACCGATACTATCCGAAATACAATGAATGCCCAAGGCCGAAAATCACACAAGTTTCAATATTCAAATGGTGTGACAAACGGAATGGAATCTATACAGACTGCAGAGCTTGTCTTCCCGGGTCTTGATCTTCTCGCGACGATGGGAAAGAACGAACAGGCAGGGTTCAAAAATAAGATGAAACGTGGAAAATTGTTCGTTGAAGATTACATGGACCGTAAGGCACAGGCAAAATTCGTGAGTATCTGTCCAGGCATTTGATCTTTTCTTTGAATTCGCTTGTTAATTTGACTAGTATTCGGAAAATCCAGGCAGCCATCTCAACCAAGCTGGAAAGCCAAAATTCCACTCCAAATATGGTGACCCAACGCATGGTATACACAGTGGTTTCGCTGGAAGCACAACCGGTCAAAATGGCAGACAACGAGGCGGACTTGTGGAAGATCAAAGCAGCGGTATGGGAGGAAGGGGCGATAGCCAGAGTGGTGGCCTTCTTGGTATAGGAGGTCAAGGTGGTGGTATGGGAGGACGTGGTGACGGGCAAAGAGGCGGTACCACTGGTATCGCAAACACAGGCCCAATTGGTGGTATCATTGCACTCGTGGGCATGGCTGTCAATCACATGAGCGAGCGTAACAAATCGCAAGACAGCTCGAACAGTACCGTCAGCGCCTTCAAAGGCAATGGTGCCAAAGACATCGAGCGCAGCACCAGCAACGTCAAACAAGACAGCATTTCTAACCCCGATGGACCTATCAACAACATCCATAACCACTATGTCAATCACAACCACAACCCTGTCGACGCCTATTGCCCCATCAACACCAACAACCGCACCATCTCATCAAATTCACCCTATCAATATTCTAGACATCCGATATTTGAAATAAATGCAGAATACGGAGAAAACCGACATGAAAGACAAGCTGCTGATGCGGGATGGTCTAATGAGCACGCGATGCAACATCCCCAATATCAACAAACTGCCGCAGGTGGAAGTGGATGGCAACCACCAAGTCATCAGTCAACAGGCCCTCAACATCAGCAACTTCCCCAATATCAACAAGCCTATCAGTATCATGAGCCACAATATCCGCAAACACAATATCAAGTACCGGCTCAGTATCAGCTACCGCAATACCAGCAACCCGTTCTCCAAAATGCGCAATACTCATCTTTTGGAGGGCAGCAACAGTATATGCATATTCAACCAATTAATGAGGAACAATCACGCAATGCACAAAATGCTCCAATGCCAGGGCAACAGCAGCAGAACCAACAAGGCGGGCTCGGTGGAGGGTCTGGAGGTATCAGTTTGGGCAAGCTTTTCAGTTCGGTAAGAGTTGCACTTATACTTCCCAGTGATTTATTCGGCGATAGATACTAACATCCCGATACAGAAAGTACTTTACTTGATGGTAGTCAATATGCCTACCGACGAAGAGATGGCCGAAGCTCAAAGGTTGTCTGCCAATTGGAAGCTTCAGGGTCAGCAACAGGAGTTGTAACGATGAATTTCAATTTAACTTAATTCAATATCTTTATGGCTTCTTTACAGGCAGCTTCATAGAGTATTATTTGTGTCGGATAGTCGTCTAATCAATTTTTGTTTGAATTTTCAAGAAATGGTCGGATTTTGCTAGATAGATGCAGTCAGATCGGGAATATACTTGTCTCCACTGGAATGATTTTTACGTGAACACGTATCACACTATTTGACTTATGCATGTCCAAAGTGATACATGCATATACAGTGCATTGTGTCACAATGCAAGGCGTGATACGAGTCGGGTAGAATTCGAAGTACACAATACTGAACACACGCGAGCCTCGCGTCTATCATTTGTACCAGTTTGTTTGGCTACCCTCAGCAATTCTACCCCAGGTCCCCTGTAAATTCCAGAAGAAGACCCTCCAATGATATCTCATTAAGTATAAAAATGTGGCTTTAGTCATATTTCAATGTCCAACGTAACAGGTTTCACCGCGCCCTGACAATGCCGATCATCGCCCAATTCAAACATGTAGCGCTCTAAATTACCCCACTAATCACCTAATTACGAGAAATGTGAAAGTGACCAGAAAGTGATTGATCATTTCAAAAGAATTGTAAAAACTTGGAGGGCTCCTAGAAAGACTATTCGAATTATTCGGGTCATAAATTTAGTTTCCCAGCTGAGAAAACTGCAATTGACCCAATTCCGTGAATAACGACTCTCTAAAGTATGGGGACCGATGAGAATGATATACTTCAACTCGCCGAAGACATCTCGGTAGCACAAACCCCTTTGAGACACCCATCTCCCAACTCTCCACATATCCTGGTCATTGGAGGCGGAGTCACTGGTTTGGTTACCTCCTGGCTCCTCCTTGACCGCGGCTATATCGTCACTATAGTCTCCAAAGAATGGGCTAGCTATGGCCTCAGACAACGCTTAACATCACAAATATCAGGCGCGTTGTGGGAACTACCCCCAACAGAATGCGGCGGTGTTAACGCAGTAGAACAAAAGCTCAATGATGGTGACCTCAAGACCGTCCAAGAATGGGCACAAGAAAGCTTCAAAATATACGCGAAGTTGGCACAGAATGAAGAAGTTGCTCGTGCTTCTGGTGTCAAGTTATGCACTTGCACCTCGTTCCAGACATACCGATTATTGGATGATGAGTTGAAATTCCGCAAGATGGAATTGGCGAGGAAGATTAGTCCTGATGGCTTTCAGTGGGGGCTTGATCTGGCACGGAAATACGGTGTTAATACTAGTGCTTTTGGGGGATTGAAGGATGCATATGAGCATCTTGCTCCGGTTATTGATACGGATATGGCTATGTCCTTTTTGATGCGACTTGTTCGCGTCAAAGGTGCAAGTTTTTATACGGATACCATTGTTGGGAACTTGATCGACCAGGAGGCTCATCTCTTGCGCATATATCAGGCTGATGCGATAGTCAATGCAACTGGTATGGCCGGGGAGCTAGCCTCAGACAAGGAAGTCTATCCTCTTCGGGGCGGTGTTCTCCGCGTGATAAATGATGGGTCGGACTTTCCCAAAATTGAAAGCTCTCTTATAGTGGCCGCTGATCGAAAAGACGATGGCACATATGGAGACGTGGCATTTGTTGTGCCGAGGAGTGATAATATTCTTATTCTTGGATCTATTGAACAAGCTCATGAGTGGGACTTGGATCTTAAGATTGACTCCCCGATAATCCAAAAAATGCGCGAAAGGTGTGAGGAGCTTGTTCCGGCCCTTAAGCAGGCACGTTTGGATCCTAGGTACCCCCTCGCACAGGGATTGAGACCATATCGCAATTCGAGGATTCGGGTCGAGCGAGAAGGACATGCAAAAAATGGACACCAGAGTCGGATAGTGCACTGCTATGGTCATGGTGGCGCAGGTTGGTCGCTTGCATTTGGGTCCAGCAGAGAGTGTGTACGGTTGATTGAGGAAACAATCGAGCGCACCAAAGGGAGAGACATCCGGGCTTCTCTTTAGCATACATAGTACGGCGTGAGTTTTATTCTTTGAAGGAAATGGGTGGTGAGTACGGGAATAGTTACAATTTTCGGTTGATCCCATTACAATTAAACGAATTTATGTTCAATCTTGACATTCAAATGTGTAGTATAAGAAAAGGAAATAGGAAGCGATTTCCAAAAAGACCGCTCAGTCATCAATATCGTCCACCATGTCAGAAAAAGGAAAAAGGAAAAAGAAATTTGAACAATTTAGGAATACCCTCCCAGCCCTTCAGTTAGACCTCCGACTTCGCAGGAATACTCTCCAAGTGAGTCGCCTGCTCGCCATTGCGCTTCTCATTAGCCTCCGCCTCAAGCTTGGCAAGATCACCATGCTTTGAGCCAGCAACGTCCCTCACATCAGTGTAATGCACAGATGGAACGAAGCCTTTTGACTTCCACGCAACAGGCACTTTAGCGTAAAGCTCATCGACCTGCTCCAGTGACAGTCCCTTCGTCTCATAAATACAAGTGTAAACGAAGATAGCGCAGATGAAACAGAATCCACCCCAGATAAAGAAGACTTTGGATTGGAGATTTGCGTTTCCTGGTCCATCGTTCACCATGTATGGTGTAGCGTAGGCAATAGCCCAATTGAGGAGCCAGTTGGTTGCTGTTGTGATGGAAAGACACTTTGCACGGGCCTTCAAGGGATACAGTTCACCTGTCACTACCCATGCAACTGGGCCCCAGGAACAGGCGAAGAAGAAGATGTATACGCAGACGAAGGCGATGAGGACCTTGTTGGCGACCTCGGAGTCTGCTGCTGTGCCGACGATAGCGACGATGAGTTGGGAAACACACATGCCAACTGCGCCGAACATGAGGAGTGGGCGACGACCCCACTTCTCAACCATGTAGAGACCTGGGAAGGTGGAGACCACGTTGATGATGTTGGTGATCAGTGTGATAACGAAGGAGTCCTTGATGCCGGAATTTTGGAAGAAGGTGGTGCCGTAGTAGACTAGGTCTGATGTTAGTATACACTCAAAGTGATTTGCTGGCAAGGGCTAGACTTACAGATGAAGTTGACTCCTGCAAGTTGCTGCAAGGCCTGAATACCACAGCCAGTTGCCAATCGCTTTCCAATGGATCCGCGCAGAATTTCAAGGTAAGACGCACTACCCAGCTGGAGCTCAAATTCATGGTTGGCTTGGATCTCGGCGAGCTCCTCAACGATAGCAGAATCGTTGATATCAAGGCGACGAATGCGAGCTAGAGCCTTGGCAGCTTCCTCTTGCTTGTTCTTCTTGATCAGGTAGCGTGGTGTCTCGGGCAGAACAATCATGCCGGCGACTAGAATAATGGCCCAGGCAAATTGAATTGCCACTGGGATCCGGTAGCAGCCGGTGTCATTGCGGTCCTTGGTAGAGTTGTTGACGATAGCAGCTAATAGAAGACCGAATGTAATGGCGAGTTGATAGGCTCCGACAATGGTTCCTCGAATCCACTTTGGAGCGGTTTCAGACTGGTACAGAGGGACTGAGAGTGGGAGCAGCAGGTTAGCAACACGTTTCAAGGTGTAAATTCAATCCTGAATGGGTGAATATAATAGCTTACTGGTTGCAGAAAGAAGACCAACGCCCAAGCCAGCAAAGAAACGACCAGCCACGAAAAGGGGGATGGAGGTGGACGCAGTCTGCAGGATAACACCGAAGCAGAACACGAAACTCTCAAGGATCATAGCAAGGCGACGACCGAAATGGTCTGCGACAGGGGCAGCACCAAGGGCACCGAAGAAGGTACCAGCGGAGAGCAATGAGACAATCATAGAAGATTGAGAAGAAGTCACATCAGGTAGATGGTCAGTAGGGTTGGTGTAGCCGGTTGAGAACATTTCCCGCCAGTATTTCATTGCGAGAATACCACTGATAGTTCCAGTGTCATATCTATAGAAAGAAAGAACCACCAATTAATATCAAGGATATTAAGATGAAGGTGTATATAATCACCTACCCGAATAGAACACCACCAAAGGCAACAAAAAGACCAATAATGATGGCTGGGGCTGCAGAGCCGACAGCATCATCAGGCTTCTTCAAAGCGAAGCCCATGATGAAATATCAAATTGATAAATATGGGGAGAGATAATGTTATCGAAACAGTAGACCAAGATGCAACAAAACGAGAAAGGCCAAATTCGAAAAGAAAAAATAAACAGAGGGCAGACAAACGGTTTTGTACTCCACTGCTTCCCTCCATCCACGCGGGGCAACAAACAAAATACAAAATAATAATTCAAAAAGAAAAATGAGAGGCCAAGAACGGGGAAATCCCCATCAAACGCCGAATCTAGAACTAGATCAGCAGACAACAGGGCTCCATGTGTTTTTTTATGGGCTATACACATGGGGCGGAAAGGGACGCAGATGCAGATGGTGCGACAGGTGGAGAAAGGGACTGGGCACTATAGAAAGGTGGGGACTAGAACGGCCATTGGGTGGCCATCTCAGATTAACTCGTTGGCTTCATTTGCGAACCCACGGAAAGGATCCGGTGGAAGATCCTATCCAAGGGATGGTGGTGGATGAATGTTCAATTCCGGACTGCATTGTGCCTGTGATAGACTGTTTTCAGACCAAGGACCGATGTTCGAAGAAGTAAACAATAATATCCTGGGTATATTCAATATAGGCCAGCTGTGAACAGAACTAGTGGCTGCTAGTCGTGAGTTGCATGCGGGAATGGGGAATGTTCGAGATGATGAAGTTGGGGTTAGGATCGGCGGAGCCGCATTGGGGATTGGCAGGAGTTTATTATCCCTTGTTGGCGGCGAGATCTCGAACATTGCACTTTGACCGATGAAGATGACATTTCTAGAATAAGAAAACGATTATTGATTTAATAGTATTGTATTCCATCATTGTAGAAACTTATGGGTTATCCCGTTCTGTATTGCAATATTTTCATTGTAATTATTTGTTACTTTGGCATTAGAATCGACATCTCCAGATTTACCTCCGCATTCTCCAGTCCCCAACCCCCACATTGTTCTCTTGCCAGGTCCGAGGGTGGTGAGATCCAATTCACCTACATATTTTGTTCACCGGCTCCCAAATCCAGCATCGCCAATACTGCGGAGAAGCAATCAAATGTCATTTCGTGTCGGGACTCTCTCCACCGTCCGTACCTCCGTACACGTAGTTGCATCCCGGCCCGCGTTTAGGCTTGGCACAAAGCCTAAACATTATTTGCGGGATTTTCCCGGGGCGCAGATTGGTTGATGGACCCGATGGATCTCCGAAATTAGTCCTTTCTCGGGGAAATTTGAGGTCTATTGTTGGCCGCGGGTGGGAGACTCGGGATGCGAAAACTGGGAAAACTGATAGCTGAGAAGCCGAGGAAGTGAGACATTGGCGTATTTGGGGCCAAGACGTCTAGACTAGCGAGTGCCAAGTGGTTGTTGGGAGTTGGGTGTTGGCGGTGGCGAGGAACCAACATTTGAAAGTGTCTATGGGATGAGTAGAGGTACTCTGCAGACTGTAGCGAGAAATGAGTACATTAGATCTATTCATTTTTACTATATATGCGTACAGCCAGAGAACTAGCTACCAGCGCCAAATTAAAAAGAAATACACAGACAGGACAGTCACGGCTACGACTCGCACTGACCGCACAAAGTCGCGGCCCATGTAAATTGACTTTTGTCGAAATCCATGGGCACGGGCTGGGCGGTAAACCCCTTTGTCTTTGGAATTGGGGGACCCCATTTCATCTTGTTCTAGAGCGCGATAAGTATCCTGAGTGGCTTTGGCTCCGGCATACCGGGGAAAGCATTGATGCCGCCACGGCCAGCCAAGCCGCCCGGATGAGACAAGGTGGAACTGGACGTACCGGATGTGTGGTACTGGTGCCTGAAGGCATCACTGCGGCGTTCGGATAAGGGCAGTAAAGAGCCATTCGGTAGCACCGAGGGCTTGGGAGCAAAGAATGCATGGTAGGCAGAGCTGAGGAAGAGAACAGCAATGCTCAACCCCAGGATGCACGCGTAGTAGATGAATATGCCAAGTTGGTCTGGGAGAATACAGAGATGATTTTGAATCGTCGGTGAAGAGGTCTTTTGAGTGGTCTCGCCTGTCTCTGAGTCAATTGGATTCCATAGGCTGGTCATCAGGAAGCCTGGATGCCGGACACCCATCGCCCAAGACAAACTCTTCACGGTGATCTCGTTAGGTGAGCCATTGAACTCGCGATGGATCAACTCGCAGTAGTCATGATCATCGCCAGAGTAAACTTGAACCACGTTAGGCCCTGCCCTTGACACCAATCCATTTGAAATAGTCGGTGTCAGCACATTCTGATACTGATAGCCGCCGGCAATCTTGAGTGAGTTCGGCTCATCTTCTTCCAACTCTTCAGTTGTCGAAGACGGTGGATACTTCTCTCGAAGGGGACCACAAGGGGTGGCTGGCTTTCGGTAAAGAGGAACGTGTGTAAGTAAGATGGTGGGGAGGTTGATGGAGTGGTTTTCCTCAGTGCTATGAATCGAAGGGTCCATCGGATCCACTATATGATAGTCGAACTGGATTCCGTCAGATATGTTTTTCAACATTCGGAGCTCGTTCCCCTCAGCTTGAGCTCGATAAGCGGGCATATTGTCGAGGAAGTCATTGGCGGATTTCCAGATCGGTTCACCAAAGACGTTGTCGGAATTGGAGCTACCAGTTTGAGGATCTGGTTGATCCATTGCACTCAATGAAACTGTATCGACCGAGACAAAGGTATGATTCCCAATGATATCCAGTCTGTTGCTATGCCCAAAAAAAGCTTGAAACCGACGCCGCACTGGTTCCTGGATGCCTTTTGCAAATCCCAGGTCATGGTTTCCTGGTAAGCTTGCGAGCAGCCTGCGACCACGCCCATCCACAGGCGGCTCGTTCTGCTTCATCCAAGGGTCCAAAAAGATTTTCATGAACCGGCCATACTCTTTCTTCCAGAAAGAGTCTGTATAACCCTTATATCGGTCCTCGGGGCTTGTGGTGGTGCTTGTAGCCCATTCTCTGCCTCCGTCGAAGAGATCGCCGAGAAAAAGTACTGAGTCTGGGACAAGGTTGTCTTGTATTAATGAGAATGATCGGCGAAGATATTGATCGGTATATTTAATAGTCAAGGTTGAGAGAGGCCAAGGGCGACCAGGATACGTGTGGGGATCGACTAGTTGCGGATCGGCGACGAAGGCGACATGGTGCGGTACTGAACCTTGAGGCTAGAGAGTGAAATTTGGTTAGCCTTAAGTCCAGCTGAATATACCTGCTGAAAAAACAAAGAAAAGGTCAATCGCGTCGGGGGTAGCTCACCCATCGTTCCCAGCTGTTCCAAACACAAGCATCTATGCTTTCTTGGAATACGGTCCGTTCTCCCCACCACAGGGTAGACAGCCATAAGAGAATAACAGCGTTCACAAGAGTAAAAACGCGCTTGAAGACTCGCACAGCAAAGCTTCGCGCTTCATCTATATCCCGAGGTCTAGCTGTCTGCAAGGCCGTGACCCCATCTGTCACCCATTGCTTTGACAAGCCTGTGAAACCACCCCATTGGCGATCAGTATGTTTTGGCGATTTGGGGTTGATTGTAAACGATGGAAGAGAATATGCGCCTGTGTTGCGCGGATAGGCGTGGCTCATTTCTGGGCGAGGACGAAAGGACGTTACTCAAGCCAGATAACAGAGGCTCAAGAGTGGGGAATCAAGAAAAGGAATGACGCTGCATACTATGAGAATGAGGACACCGGGGGGCGTGAAAAGAGTTGAAAATAAGAAATACTAAGGAATGAATTGTAAATGTATAAAGGAAAAGGGGAAGGGCGAGGAAATCAATTGCTTTCCTCGAAAATGTCTTGATTCATGGTGGAATTGGCGTGTCTCGAATCAAGGGGAAAACCATTCGGAGGGATAATCCCGCGTCACGTGGTATCTACATTCTAGATCTAGATCCGGGGATTGGAATATCCACCATAGTAAAAATGAACAAATTACGGGGGTTTCATTGAGTGTATAATAGTCAATTTGATTGTATGAAAGAGAATTGAGGTGCATCATTCATCTAAGTCTGCTAAGGTATATCCGTGGCTAGTATCCAGGCATGGATCACCTTGGACCAGCGCAGCCCGAATTTCTAGCCTTGTGGATTGGTAGGTGATTAATGATCGGTAATAATACATGAACAATGAGTGTTGGGATATCAAAATGAAGTGAACGCCCGAGAGAAGGACCGAAAAGTCAACCCAAATGCCAATGTCAACAATCAACGTAGTGGAAGGCCCAATGAGAGGAGGAGCAAAATCCCGGTTCTAGGGGTTCAAGACCAGGTGGGAAGAGACCGAACTAATGTGGTATATAGGACAAGGTGAACTCGCTACTATAGGTCATGTAGAAGAAGGTTAAAGTAAGGATGTGATAATCCGAAACCGCGACACGGATGAGTGTCGGAGAAATGAATGCGAGAACCATAATGATCGAAAAATAAAAACAAAGGATAAAGCTTTTAAGTGGACTTTTTAGGGCAGCACTGCCCACCTTTAGCGCAGTTGTCGTCACACTCGAGCAGACAGGCTTGGTTATCACTGTCCCGTACACTGCCCGCGCGGCTAGAGGCGTTGGGGTCGCTATTACCTACCCGCGATGAGGGGCCTTGTGATTGATTCTGGATTTCCTCGGTATCACTCTCCGGTGCAAACTCCGGTTGAATGGTGGAGGAATGGATACCATATGCATGAAGACAGCGACGAATCTGGCGGGCAAGACGCATGTATCGCTCAGAGCCCTCGCCCTTGATTTCAGTGTCGACTTGAATGTGAAGCGATGCCACAAGCTTAGTATCACTCAATTGCCATACGTGCAGGTGATGTGAGCCAATGACACCCGGAAGACCTTCGATATCCTCCTTGATGTGGTCAATGCTCAGACCCTGAGGCACGGCCTGTAGCAGGATTCGCGACGCGGCCTTGCACAGGGGAATGGCAGAGCCTAAAATAATCAGGGTGATAACCAGCGAAATACCAGGGTCCACATAAAATCGCCAATCATAGTCAGTCAGCCAAATGATAAGCGCAGATGCGATAACCCCAACATTACCCAGAGCGTCTCCCATGACGTGGAGGAAGACACCGCGCATATTGAGATCATGACTGTGACCACCCTTTTGGCTTTTAGGCTTAGGTTGAGCGTGGTTGTGGTGCTTGTGCACGTCATCTACCACCGGGGCAATAGTCTTGGTAGGGCCATCGTGCTCATCGGTATAGTTAGCAGTTCGATCACGATGGCTCAAGAGACCGGAGTGCTCGGTAGGGGTTTCATCATCGCGATTATCCGAGTCGGATGACTGGTCATTTTGGAAGGATTCCCGGCTGGCGGCAATAATATCCTGTCGCATAGTCGCCGGGTGCACATAGATATCCTCAACACTGGCCAAGCCGGATGTACTGTAGCGTCTTGAGCCTCGGTTCTGGGAATCGGTAACGCGGCGTTTGCGAGAGGAAGGCGATGCGGGGTCTGTGGCGGCGTGTGGAAGGCCATGGCCATTGGGTTGATCTGGGACGTCGTGGCTATGATCATGATGGTCGTGCCCGGCTTCTACATCCTCCTCGTCATGCGAATGATCGTGGCCATGTCCGTGTCCGTGTCCATGGCCACCGTGAGAGTGGTCGTGGAATAGGGCAAGACCCAAGATATTGGAGAGGAGACCAAAGCAACCAACAATGCAGACGAGTTTGGGGTTCTGGACTTCCTGGGGCTCGACCAATCGTTGGATAGCTTCTAAGAAGATCGACATGCAGAGGGCGACCAGGAACACGCCATTAACCAAAGCACCTAGAGTCTCCGCGCGTTGCCACTAAATTTCACGCACAATGTTTTGTTAGATCTCTGATTCGGAGGTGGTTCAAGGGATTTTGCTGCATGCGTCGAACTTACGCCGTAGGTGTACATTTTCGAGCTCGAGTCGCTATTGGCGACTTTGACAGCCCATAGTCCAACACATAATGATATGACATCGTTCAGCTAAGGTTATAGGTCAATGGAAGATCCATGCGACAAGAGGATCAGAACGCACCATGTGAAAGGAATCGGCGACGAGGGCGAGCGAGTGGACAGCATAACCTAAAGGAAGAAATACATGTGAGCGGAAATTCCCGAGTAACAGTCTGGATTGGAATTCCGAGTGCGCTGAATTCCAGGGAAGGTTTGTGTCATACCGGTGATCAGCTCCAGCAAAAAGAACGCGGTATCAATTACCAGGAGGATAATGATCCTGTTGGTCTTGGAGAGTCCCATCCTTGGCTGCAGGAGAGCGCTTGAGCGCGCCGGATTGGATAGGAATTCAAGGGATTTTCGATTTGATGTCCTCTGAGTGTGGAAGAATGAAAAATGAGAGAGAGAAAAAAAAAGGAAGGAAAATGAGAACCTTGGAGGAAGAGGGGCCAAAGATTACAAGGGAGAAAAGGGCGAATCCATCGCTGACGCAGATGTGGAGACTTGGAGGTTCTAACGGCGAGAGCGGAAGCAGCTCCGATCTGGCCCGAGCGTTGTCTTCATTAAGAACTTGAAGTATAGAGTACTTGATATTACTGCACACTGACTATACTAGTATCGTTCAGGTCCTTTGTCTGTCCGACTGTTTGAGACTGTTTAAGACTGTCATTGAAATTAATGTTTTATGAATTCTATTGATATAACTAGAGCTATCACCCAGATACCTCGTATGATACTGACAAGCCAAGTACCCTTCATCGTCAACGAAACGCTGATTTTCTTTATTTGTTTTCTTTTCTTTTCTCTTTTCCCCTTGGATTGCTCTATTTCTCGCGGAATTTCAAGTCAAAAGGTGGCGAGATCAAACTAAGTGGGGATCAAAGGATTCCAGCCAAAGAAATCCGTCCATCTGGGAACAGGTTCTAGGAATGATCTCCAATCTACCTGCTGTAATATATGGCTCATAGGCAAAGAATTGGGTCTGTCTTAAACTCTATTGCACCTCATGGATCCAAAAACTACCGATAGTACAGGGAGGATCGAAATCAGTTTCACCACTTGCATACAGAGATTCTTTCTCAAACCCTCCTTCGAAACTTACCATACCCGATGCGGTTACTCTACCCCTGACCCCGTGTCTTGACGGTACTATGGTACAGACGTATAGTGGCGTAACAAAAGTTCTCATAAAACTTATTTTGCCAATACCCACCTTACGTAATATTCTGCCGGTCAAAACCTCGAAAATATCTCAAATTCTCTAATAGCTAGTATACCACCCTTTATTATCAATAATCTTCTTCACACGATATAGTATAGTAATAGCTAAATTCTCTAATATAGAGAGATCAATCTCTGACTAAGCCTCCTGAGTATAGGCAACTAAATATTCGAGAGTATTGTTGTTGTCTGGTATAGTATGAAGCTCTGTATATAGCTTATAGATTTTGGCTTTTAATAACACCCAAAGATTCTCAATAGGATTTAAAATAGGAGAATGAGGTGGCCAAACTATTACCTCGAAGTCTTGATCTCTTAGCTAGTCTCTAACAACATATACTATATGAATAGGGGTATTGTCTTGTATAAAAACTGTATTTTTATTATTATTGATTAAGGTTGGAAGAACTAATTGATATAGTTTAAGAATAACCCAGCGATTAATTCCTCCGACAATCTTACTCTCTTTATTGACTGGTGGATAGAGTGGAATTAAGCCAGTTCGACGTCCACAACCTAAAAAAGCAGCCTAAAATATTTGTTTAACTCCTTTATACGAGAAAGTTTGAATATTGTGAGTTTTAGCCTAATATTTTGGTCTTGTAAAGGTCTATTCCTGATGAGCACCCTTTTCCTTTTCAACTATTGATTCGTTAGACTAGTAGAGTCTTAATTTCTATTCTTTAGGGGTTAAATTTTGCTAGGTTAAGGCTTATTAAAGTTGTTTTGAAGTATAATGGTTACTAAGTTGTCAGGCTAGAGACCTGTGACTAGGCAAGGATATCGGATGGTAGAGATCAAATAGAACAGTTGATATACAGAACTGATTCTTGCAGGACAAGAATCGTAGCTATTGTTCGTGTGTTTTAATATTGGTAGAGCTTGCTAGGGCTTAGGGCAGTCATGCATTAGCGGGTGTATCGTGGTAGATTCGCCCGCGGAGCGGCCATGAATCGTACCCGAATCGTACCCGAAGGGATTCAGGAATCCCGTGACATGAAGCCTATTCATCAGTTAACTTGGGACGGTATATATATCGCCATTTTCGTTATGTACTTCTTTAAGAAGGCGCCAGATTAATTGCCGATGGACCTAACGATTATAAGCATCTATTAGATCTTTAATTTTGGTATATAGATTGCTATAGATTACCTTAAATATACAATCACAATTATCTTTAGAGATCTTATACAAACACCTAGATCGCGGCGATATAGTATTATTTTCTTGCTTATTTTTGAGATAATAAGTTAATATAATTGTTCCGAAAGGAATATAAGGCAGACGGGCGTGAATTTCTTTATATTTAAGACCCTTTGAGTGTAGAGTAGTAATTTTAGTATATGTATATACATCTAATTACAGACCGCGACGTCTCGGTGGATTTAAGGGTGTGCGGTATGGCGTAGAAGATGGTTGTTGAGGTAGCTGATGTACACGGTTTGGAGGTATATTGAGGATGCTTATAATGTGTTTTTTAACGTGCTTTTCGACGTGATTTTAATGTGTTTTTTTAATATAGTATAGTATATTGTGTCGGATAGGGGCGAACGCGTATGAACTAGTATAACTGGATACTATTTAGAGAGGGTTATTCTATCTAGGTGCTTGATCGAGTTGAGCGATCTTGCCTGATTCGTATAGGCTAGTTGTATAGCCTATATATACGCTTATATATACTTTATATACAAAAACAGTAATATAGGATCTAAGCCCGCGCTGAATTATTAATCTATAATAAGAAAGGTAGTAATCTTCTCCTGTGGAGTTTGACATACCCCTCTAGCATATATAGTATCCTCTATTTGCTTTTATTTAGGTTAGACTAATTAATCTAGTAGGTCCTTAATATCCTTAATTCTAAGTTGACGGACGAAATCGGCGTATTTCTAATATAGTAGGAGCTTAGTAAGACTGTCTGTAATCATCTTATTTATTCTTATCTATTGAATAATAATATTTTCTACCTGTACTTCCTAGTAAAGCTAATAATAATAAATATTTATATATTGTAACTTTATATATAGCTAAAGCTACTCTTTCGTAAATAATCCAACTATCTATTGATTATTATATTTAATCAATAGTAGGTGATCAGGATCAAATTTGATAATTGTAAAGAGATACTTCTATATCTATATTATCTTTACATTCTTAGAGATAATAAGAAGTTCAGCTTTAGTTATATTAATCGTGACTATATATTACTTTCTAGCTCTTTATTTAACTAGTTCTCCGAAAATTATATATATATATCCTTCTAAGCTCTTCCAGTCTAGATTATTAATAAAGGAGGTATTAGTAAAAAAAGAAATAGCTTTGATTTTATTAGATTATCAGGGATAGTAAGTAATTATATATAATTATATATAGTAAAGGTAAGTAATTACTCTATTAATTATATTTAAATACTTAGGTCCTAGATTCTTTAGGAACTATATAAGAATAATAATATATTTAGTAATATCTAGTTATATTATTATAATAATATATAGAGCTGATCTAACCTTTTACTAATATTTATTAATCTATTTAGGTATTGTTTTACTATTAAACTCCTAAAAGGATATATTCAGTAATAGTATTATTATTTATTGAAGATAGGTAAGATAATATTAGCTAACTATTAAAAAGATATATAAGTCTTAATAGAGCTAAAGAGTCTTATAGTTATAATCTTAGGTAATTTAAATCCTAAGGAACTAGATAGTCTTATTAATATCTCTTAACTCCTATTTATTTATAAGCTATTATCTAAACTCTTATATCTATTTAGCTTAGAAAGGGTAGTTAATAATAATAATATTATTAATATAAAAGAAGATAATAATTCTATTACTTATAAATAGATAGAGATCTTCTTATATTACCTAAAATCCTAGTTTTATTAATATCTTTATAGCTTCTCTTTACTATAGATGTAGGGACTTTTATAGGCTATATAATACTTTTATAAGCTTCTAGTATTATCTAGATTATTAATAATCTTCTAGTAACTTTATTATTACTTCCTTATTAAGTATATTATTAAGAAAAGTATTAATAGTATTAAGTTAGTAAGTATTAAGATTAAATACTACTACTAAAGTAAAGATAGCTCTTACTATTTATACTACTAATATAGTTGAATATTTCTTTTTAGCTATAATCTTTTATAAATCTCTTTATATATAGATTCTTATTTTTAGTTTAATTAAGAAGTTATTACTATTGAACTTATATATATATACCTAATAAAATAGAAGGATCTAGGTACTTTGATTGTTTAGTTATTAAATAACCTAGTATATTTCTTTCTATTTAAGTATCTTTAGTTTAAGTACTAATACTTCTAGGAAGCCTTTTTAGTAAGGATATTTTATTATCTCTTATTAGTTCTTTGGGGTAAATAGAAGCTTATTCTTATAGGCTTTTATATATAAATAGGTATTATTTAGTCTTATTATAAAGGTAGAGAGAGTTCTATCTTTATAATTACTATTAGTATAAAAGCTGAATTCTTTTAGCTTTTATATATAACTTCTTATAATAATATTATATTTATCTATATCTCTATCTATATCTCTTAGTATATATAGTATGATTGTGGCTGTAAGCTTATCTTAGAGTTAATCAATAGGATCTTATTTATTTTGAATTATTCTATTAGGTATTAAGAATAGTAATAAAAGCTATTGATCCCTTTCTTTTAGTTACTATTTATAATTACTAGTTAACTGATTTGAAGATTTAAGCTATATATATAAACTAATTGGAGGTTATTTATTGGTTAGATCTTTTTCTATATCTAACTCTAATTTGTTATCTATCTAAGGTATTGCTTCTATATTATTTCTAATCTATTTAATTATAATATCTTATAGGTTGAAGAATCTATTCTTATTAAAGGTTATATCTTAGACCTCTTAGACTATTACTTATTATAGAAACTAAATCTTCTAGATATTTAAGGCTTTATATCTAATAAGATAACCTATTTCTATATATATTTATATCTTATTAATGTTTGGAATACTTTATTTTCTTATATATATATAATAGTTATATATTTTTAGGTTTATAAAGTTAATAGATATTAGTAAGAAGTTTAATACTAGTATTAATACTTCCTAATATAGGATAATCTATTTCTTATCTAGTATCTTTATAAGTGATCTATTTAGAATCTATACTACTACTTAGATAGCTTTAGGCTAAAAAGCTTTTAGTAGGCCTAAATCTGTTATTAAGCTTCTACTAACTATAATTATTATCTCTTTAGATCTTTCTATAAAGGAATTCTATTCTAGAGTACTAATAATATTATGTTCTACTATAAAGCCTTATTTAGCTATAAAATCTTTAATTATATAACTAGTTGATTACTTATTATTATAATGGAATACCTTGATTAGTAGATTCTACTGATTTCTTATATATATAATAAATTCTTTAACAATATTCTAATAGTTGCTTTTTTATTTATATATAAAGATAATATATAAGTATATTCTTACTATATAAAAATAGGTAATCTAATAGTATCTATTATAGCCTAGATCTATTTAGATTAAATTAAAGTAAATATATTTAAATTAACTAAATCTTCTTATATTTGGTTATTAGGATATCTATTACTTTACTTTAGTAAGCTAATAGACTTTGTATTTTTCTGGATAGTTTTATTTATTTTTGTTTAATTCTTTAGTAATTTATATACCCTTAACTATCTCTTAAATCCTTAAAAGGTTCTATTTAGTTATATATCCTAGGTGTTAATATTATCTCTCTATAGATATTTCTGATATTAAGGGTTTTTCTAAGTAATAGATAAAGAATACTAAATATATTAGTATAGAGTCTATAATATTAATAATATATAAGCTATTCTATCTTTTTACTATTAATATTAGTTTATTTATATCTTTCTAGATGATTATACTTTTATTTAGATCCTAATAGAACCTACTATACTTTATTTAGTTATATAAGATTATATTTATATAGAATCCTAATATATACTATATATTTTTAAGATATAGACAAACTAAAAGTTTCGTATAAGGATTATTACTTATTATTATAACTTCTCCGGTTCTAAGGATTTCTATATATATATCTCTAGTTTTAATCTTACTAGATTATAGTAATAAATATTTAAATATTATATAATTATTATAGATATAGACTAAGGCTCTAGAGTTAATAATCTAGCTTAATTATAGAGAGTTTATCTATTTAATTAAGAAATAAGATACTATAAATACTATTTTTTCCTAAATATATAATTTTATATTATTCTCTTTCTTTTTCTATTATATCTTCTTAATTTAATTATAATCTGATTAGCTTATTTTCTTAATATTCTTTTATACTTTTTTAACTATATTCTTATAGAGTTCCTATCCTTCTAGATAAATAGTTTTATTAAGATAGAAGTATTTTAAGAAATAATATTTTAGTAATCTATATAGATATCTCTATTTCTTATCTAACTACTTTAGCTCTAAAGCTTTTGTTTCTAGCTAATTATTTAGTATTATAAATACTATCTTTAATATTAATCTTCGGGATATTACAGATAGATCAGTATAGTAGTATTAATAGTCTATTATTATTTTATAGAATTTAATTTTATCTAGGTGTTTATTTAGCTCTTGTTTCTAGCCTATACAAAAAATATTATCTATATTCTATATAGTATTAAGAAAGTCTCTAATAGTAAATATATCTCTAAGCGAGTAATTAGAAATCTTTATAATCTTCTTTTCTTTAAATAGGGAATCCTATTAGGTAATCTACTAATTAATATTAACTAATTAATTAGATAATTAAATTATTACTCTCTATATTTATTAAAGCTCTTATTGGTAGCTTTCTGGCTTTAGATAGAATATTTTAGCTAGTTTTAAAAGTTTCTTTCTTAGTAAGTCTTTATCTATAATTAGATAGTAATATTTAATAGTTAATAATTAGGTAATAAGACTATTTAAGTATATTATTATCTTTAAGAGCTTTATATATTTTGATTCGGATCTCTTATAGATCCTTATCTTTAAATCCTATACTTAGATCTTATCTTTAGATAGGTCTTTAAGATCTTTTGGTTATCTATAATTATCTTTAGGGACTTTTAGCTTTAATAGAGCTATAAGAATCTCTAAGATCTTATTATTAGGTCTATTAGGATCGATATAGTCCTATATTCCTTCTGAATTTACTACTAACCTAATATATCCTATCTAGACTCTCTAGTATACTTTTAATTGAAGCTTCTAGTTAACTGGAATTATTATAAACTCCTTTCTATCTAAACTAGCTATTACGATCTATACGTTTTCTATCTTAGTTTGATTTGATTCGATTAGGGTATATAGGTAGCTAATAAATTTCGTTCGCAGCGATTGTTTTGCGAATTTAGGGGTAATCTAACCCGTTTGCTTAATTATGGCTTATCTAAATTGTATAGAGGTATATAGTTAGAAACTATTCTAAATATCTAATTCTATATAACGATATTGGGCTTATAATTGTCGGATAGGGGTAAACACGTATAAACTAGTATAACTAGATACTATTCAGAGAGGGTTATTCTATCTAGGTACTCGATCGAGTTGAGCGATCTTGCCTAATTCGTATAGGCTAGTTGTATAGCCTATACGTACGCTTACGTACACTTTATATACAAAAACAGTAATATAGGATCTAAGCCCGCGCTGAATCATCAATCTGTAATAGGAAAGGTGGTAATCTTCTCCTGTGGAGTTCGACATATTGTTTCTATGCGTTATTTACTTTGAAGGCGGTAAGCCTTGACTGCCTGATTACTAAGGCTTGGTGAAAATAAGTTTTATGAGAACTTTTGTTACGACACTGTAAATACAACTATAAAAATAGATCATATATTGTACTTGTATGGCTTCAGCAGGTTCTAGAATATTAATCTTGTAAACAAAGCAAACAAAGGGTAAAAAGCTATCTGGTTAAGCTAAGTCCCTCGTAAGGTACGTTTACTGCGTTCGGTCCTGACCATTTCAAATGTGAGACCATCCGTGATTACTCGAGACCATATCTTTAATTATTTCAAGCTTTGATGGAGGAAGATTGGTGCCGTGTTGTGAATGGAAATTTGAAAATTAGCGGATGCCATAGTGGTGAGACCGCGGAGGACTAACTTAGCAGGGAGCGAATCCATCTGCTTACCTCTCTTTCCATTAAACAAGCGAAAAGATTGCCCTGAAACGAGGAACGAGTGGAGGGGTTTACTGCGCGAGCTGCCCGTAAGATTTTGCTGCGCTCCCACTGCCAAACTCTTCGCAAATCTTGACGCTGATTGGTCCAGTCCCTTGCCAAGAATTGCTTTTATTCGCTCCAGTTTTCGCGCTCCTTACTGTAACTTTTCGTAAGTCTCACATGTAACGGTCACGCTTTCGCTCTTTTCAGGGCCACGGGTCCTTTTCGTATTCCGATATTCAAGGAAGCATCTAATCTTCCCCTTTCTAAGTTTCACTTTTGCCACAACAGCCAGTCCAAACTTCTTAAACTGTCCGATATTTGATTGGTATGAACCCCGCTATCTTGGAATTCAATAACGGAACATGGATTCTCTGATTATGCCAATAGCCAATCAGATGTGTTTATTTCGCGCGCGCTTCACTCAGCGCCTCATCCCAGGTGCTGATTCTCCTACCAATCATGATTGAGGTAATATCACGTTTCTTGGAAGACTATTTCCACTATTTAACTGGACCCTAAGAGCCCTAAGTCATTCTCGGATATGTCGTTACCCCAATTAAGTTCTCTAAGAAGCTTCTGATATATGGTTCTGGTAAAAATGTCCTCCGAAGTCTCCAAGAAAAGTCAGCCAATCCTTTCATACGATGCTACACATGATGCCTAGCTCATGCTTTGAGTAGTTGACGCCCAGAATATTGAGTTCCTGACATTGTGTCGTTCAATGACCGGTGGCAAAGAAAAGACCGAAGTGAAATTACTAAGGGAGCAAGATTGTATATTAACCTCCAAGATAATTTGAGATATATGCTAACTTACTCTAATAATAGTCGTAGACTTCACCTTATTCAAAAAAGCGATTGACAAAGAGCTGCATACCGAGACGGACGCACTGCAATCTCTAGTTTTGTAAGATTCTCTACATCTTTATGGAATGAATGATGTTTGACCAATACAAAGTGTTTTTTCCTCCGACACGTTGAACGAAGCCAGGAAGTTTATGGGCGATGGAGATTTTATCTCAAGCTTAGGCCTTGATCTCAGAGCACCTCGTCTCCACTCGTATCATTCGGCATTGCATGGTTCGGAATATGGGCGTATATTAGGTAAGTGCTTCAAAGACATCCTTCAGATTTGATCACTGATCAGTCCAAGATATCCGATATAGTGCTGGAAGTTCTAATCAGACAACCCTCCAACACCGAAAGCAAGACATCGGTTCTAAAGTGCAGCTGCAATCGTTTCAACGCAGGCCGAACCTTGTGTACTACAGATATGAGCTGGAAAGAAAGCGATCGATTTGCTTGGTCTCAGAACGACGCTTGCCATCAGGCTCAGTGCCAGAAAGAGACTGCGCAACTGTTGAGGCCATTAGGTTTATCGAAAATCTATCGAAAGAACAAAACTTGTTGCTACATCCACTCTGGATTCATCTCGTTATTTTTTATTGTGTGGTCGGTGGGAGAGACCTTCCGTTCAAAACGTGCTCGCAAAGGCTGTTTGCTATCGAGGCGCAACTTCTTGACGGGTCTCTTATTGGCATGGCAACCATTGAGGGGTTTGAAAAGCACATTCAGGGTCTACATGAGATTTTGCGTACCCTGATAACGTTACAACATTCCTATGATCGTGATATCTCATTGATAAATAAAATGATCGTGGATCTAGGCCGCCTTTCCGAAGACCCAGTTCTTCTCGACAAGGAGCGCACCTTCGAGTCAAACACAGAGACTCGCATGAGGGATGCGTTTCTATACCTGAGAAATTCTTGCGAAGAAAATTGCCGGAAGTTGAGCAATCGCAGGCAAAGGTCTCAAAATCTTGTTGAGTTGGTAAGTAAAGCAAACATAAACTTAAACATTCTCCCTGCTAAGAAGTAAATATAGCTCTATAATCTCACTGCCGCACGCGATGGTCTTACTTCGCTTGAAATTGCTCGGAAAAATACCGACATTGCGAGAGACACAAAGAAGGACAGCGAATCAATGAAGACTATTGCAATCCTAACAATGCTTTATCTTCCAGCTTCCTTGGTCTGTAGCTTCTTTGGGTCCAACTTTTTCGCATTTCAAACAAATGATAACGGTCACCAAGAACTTTTGGTATCAAATCTGATCTGGATATGTTTTCTTGCTAGTATACTGCTTACGGCTCTGACAATCTTTTTTTGGATATTGTGGCAGAGAAAGTCTTCAGTAAGCAATTCTCAATAGTCAAGAATTACGAAGCGAGTCCAAGGAGCCACAAAAGTTCTGCTGCGCTCTCACTGCCAAACTCTTCACTGATTTTGACGCTGATTGGTCCGTTCTTTTGCCAATATTTGCCAATATTTGCTGAAGTTTTCGCTCTCCTTATTCGCCGTTGCTTATTGCAATCTCAAGTGTGCAACTGTCCCGCTTTCGCTCGCGTCACTAGTTTTAGGCGGAGGGTCTAGGGTATAGCGGGTATTAGGAACCGCACGTGGCCTGTTGAATTGCGTAGTTTATAGGAGGGAGGTGGCTTATCGTGAAACCCAGGTCCTCAGAAAAATGGTGGCCGCAAAAATTTGAGGTGTCCTATACAAGCTCGTCCACAGTCACAACAAAATGGCTATGTGACGTGTAATTTGAACTGGTGGGCAGTGAGATGCTATTCAGATGTAATTCCAATGCATCTCTTTACAGCATCTGGAGAAGCTTAGCTGAGCTGATCTGACCGTCTGGCTCGGGTCGATCCGTTCACGAAAAATCATTAATCTAGCCCCACACGGATTACAGCAGTCTGATTCCCCTCTTAGCGCCGTAATCACCTAATGATGACGTGTTGTTTACCTGTGTACCTCCTCAAGCCAAGTCAAACAACACCGCTTCACATGAGATGTGCAAGAGTGTAAGATATATACTTGTCGATTATGGCATCAATATCATTTGGGAACAACAACTGTAGGACTCAGATTAGTTATAACCACAGCCTAATAGAATTTCATACTCCTGGTAAAGTATAGAACTCAAGAACATCAGCCTTTAGACTAATCGCCTCTTCCTAACTAGAGCCACCAGAAACTCCGCCTAGTCTTTTATTAACTGTTCTATTTCCACAAAATCCGGATTTTGTCTATTGTAGCACTCTAGTTAATCAGATTTATTGTAAGTGCTTAATCCCTAGGTTAAGAATAATGCTAGTCGGCCTCGTGTTACGGACCCACTAGGAGGAGGTGTCAAAAATGGAATCACCAGAACCAATCAACTTGGGACTAGGACAGTCAGGGATCCTGGATTGGGGAAAGCAATTCTGGAAGAAGTCACGTGGAGATACTATATCTGGGCCATGTGTAGATAAAGGATTCCCTCTCGGATCATACATCCCCTGTTGAAGAGCTAATAAATGCCTTGAGTTTAACTTCCACAAAGTATTATTCTATCGCTAATTGCCTTAGCACTTATAAAAAAAGAGGAACATTCACTATATCGCTCAACAAGCCATCCTACTAAATTAATATGTTCAGAGATGACGCAAAAATGAAAAGCGGGAATGACGTAGGGCGATCAAGTGTAAAGGCGTTTCATGTAATGTATTAAACCGAGCCCCACCTGATACGATCTTTCAATACAATTCGAGCCTTTGAAACAAGGCTAAGAGGGATTCATATTAGCGTGTTTCGAAGGAGGGTTCAAGAAGGAATCTCTGTGTGCAAGTGGTGAAACTGATTTCGATCCTCCCTGTACTATACACACTCTTTCATGCTGCTGCTTTCTCACATGAAATCAAACAAAGCAGAAAGCAATACTCTCAACCATGCCCCTCCCCCCTTCTAAGCGAAGTCTCTTATTTATCTTTGCATGCCAAGAGCCTTTGATTTTGTACGAGAAATCCTAGTCCCAAAAACCTCACAAGGCTGGCCCGCTCGTCCCCACTATACAGTCTAAAGCTTCCCTGGTTTTTTCTTCTTTATTTTTTCTTCCCTTCGTCTCTCTCTTGGCACTCAATTCCAACCAATCCTAATCTCTTTAATAATTGCATCAAGCGACAGGGTGTTCAACAGCACGCTAGAACGCGCCGGTCATTAATAGTGTGAAACGGACAGTGCGACCGTGCAAAACATGGCAAATGCCGACTCCACACTCGGCAATGCTGCCCATAGGATGCCCATGATTCTGTTCTAGGCTGCTAAAATAGCCTAGGTGGATCAGGGATACATATTCGCGTCTACTCCCGACCAAGATTTTACCAATGAGTTGTGGGGATTTGGAGATCGGGGAGAAGTGAACCAAACTCCGTACTCTGTTCTGCCCCTATCATGCTGTTTAGCGACATTGGCGAAGTTTGTCTTTTCATATTGGAGACAAGGGCGATTTCCCCCCCCCCCCAAAAACACAGAATAGAAAGAAAGAAAGAGTGTTTCAGATGATTTGATCCACACAAAGGATTCAATGTATTGAAAATTGACTAGCAGGGCAGTTAACCCCCGGGTCGACTTGTTGAAGGTTATACTAGTATACACTGGCATATCTTAGCATGCATATATATCCCTTTCTAAGATAACTTTCTTCGGAGTGAAAGAATACGATCGGTCCCCTGCGAAAATTCCCCACTAGACAATGACCCATCATTCAAAGCAGCCAGAAGCGAATCGTAAATAGCTTCTCCCTGCGTGACATTTCGACCCGATGCAAGAATGATGTCCATTCCTGCCTGGCCAGCTAAAATTGCTCGTGAAGGATCATCTCCAAACGCCTGCAGTGCACCGGCCTCAATCGCATCGGTGATCGTTACACCCTTAAACCCGAGTCTCTCTCTCAACTCATCTTGAACCCAGGTCCTGCTCAATCCGGACGGGTACTTCGAATCCAATGCAGGATACAGAGCCCATGAAGTCATAACCATATCGATTCCGGCAGAAATAGCCTTGGAATAAGGTGCTTCGTCCACATACCGAAGTTCATCAACGCTGAGATTGATCGTCACGGGCTCTTCATCGGTGTTCTGGCCTGCTGCAGCGGCTCCTAGACCAGGAAAATGTTTCGCAGTCGCGATAAAGCCTGCTCCTTGCTGTGTTTCTATAAAGGCCGAGGCACATGTAGATACTATTGACGATGTGTTTCCATATGAGCGACCGGATTCATCGATGAAATTTCCTGCTTGTCGGTATATGTCAAGAACGGGGGCGAGGTTGCCGTTTAAATGGTCGGCACCGAGTGCAGCTGCTGCATCACTACCGCTCTTCTTGGCGGCATTGGAAGGGTCTGTGGATTGTCCGATTTGTTTGGCACTTGAGATGGGACCACCGGAGAGGCGTCGAACCTCACCACCTTCTTGATCTGTCAAAATCAAGAGAGGGGACCCTGGGTAAAGAACGCTTTGCTTATAAGTATCCTGAAATGCGTCGATGATGGCGCTTAGATTATCCGCGACATTTTCGCCAAATATTATAATTCCGCCGACTTTGCCTTGCTCAATGAGTGTAGTAAGCTGAGCTGGCGGCTGTATCCCTGGGTAAGAGTATATTATATGATGACCAACCTCGGCTGAAATGTCCTTAATTGCGGCTCCATTTCCAGGATGGATAAGAGCAAGGAGACAAGACACAAAAGTCCAAGAGTATTGACTAAACCTCATTTCTGCGATGTTGTTTGGACCAGGGTGTGGTTTCTGGGGATTCACGCATTCTTTTAGCTTTGGGCTCGCGACATGGAAACCTTTTCGGTATCTCGTATCGCGGGCCGATCAGGGACAATGCTTATTTTATCCGGGCCCTCATGCAGGTGAGCTGGCAAAGATGTTACATTGATCGTCCTGCGATCGTCCCCAAATCGCCCTAGTATGGGACCACTGTTAGAGAATACGAGGTCTACTTCAATCGCCGCATGTCAGTGGCAACGAGATTAGACTATACAAGGTCTGCGGAAATTTTTGTCAGGGTCGTATAGAATCCAATCAAGGATCAAATTAGAAAATCCAGGGTATTATGGCGTAGGAGAGAAACGCTTTGGCCTCCGGGCAGCCGTGTACTACCGATCCAGCTACAAGCTCCTTTTACCATCAGCTTTTCAGAACACAGATTTATCATTGCAACGAAAAAAAAATTCAAGTTATTATTCAAGGCATGTTGCTTTTTTATCGGGGACAAAAACTATTCAACCAAATCTGATAATGTTCAAAGTGTCCAATATTACCCTGCCTAAGATTAACCGCAAAGCGTTGTTATGTCTTCTGGAACATAGGGGCTCATGATATCAATAAGCTGATTGAGTTTGATCCAGTCAAGCTTGCCATGAATGGTCTCCACAGACTGGCCGCTGTAAAGCACTCGAGCATAAAATCGATCTTTCTCGTTAACCGTTTCCCTAAGGTGAATTAGCATTAACATAGCTACGTCCAGAATTGAAATCTTCAACTTACCAAATTTCAAAGGCAATGTTAGAGCCCATTGCTGGCCAGCGAAGTCCATTGATGCCCAAAGATCCGAGAATAGGGCCAATATCTCCGTCATGAATGAAGATATGGCTATAATCAATCTTCGAATTTCCATTTAGCACCGCCTGAAGACGAGCTAGAATTTCACCGATGAATAGACCTTCAACAACCTGGATATACTTGACAACGTAAGGGTTGGTTCTCCAGTAATAGTTCCACTCCCAGTCTCCAGCTCGAAAGACTTCATTGGCCATCTCATGAGTCACACATGACGATGCGTTTGTCATGCTACATGGTAGCTCGTAACCATTGCAAAGCCGCGCTTGGAAATTATCCGAGAAGTGGTCAAATGTATCCTGCCAAGAGCTCGATGTAGCACCAAGCATGGAGCCAAGCTTGGACCGTAGCTCAGCTGTGACTGAAAGATGATCTTTCCATTCGGAAGTAGACTCTAAACTGGAAAGAGTTGAGCTGACGGCATCACAGGAATACCCTTCGTTCACGGTATCGACGGAAGATACCATCTGGTGCAAGGCTAGAGCACCACCGTATGCAGGCCAGATCCCGCGAAGGACAGCCCCGGCAGTGGCCTGTGTCAGGGCAGAGTCACTGGAGCGGAACCAAACACGGTCATTTGGTTCCTTGGGAATGAAGTCGAGCTTTTTGCCGTAGACATTCCAGAGATCTTGTCCATGCTGGTACCCGTCTTGGACCCCACCGACAGTGATCTGTGGGTATTGGCAGGTGCCATTCACATCGGCACTGAAAGGGTTTGAGGGGTCCTGGTAGGTTTGGGCATACATTGGAATAGGCTGGATGCCGCTTTGGCTGCTGGGACCAGCGTAAAGATACGGTCGCACATTATCACAAGAGTATTGTTGGTTCTAACTTTGCATTAGCTGACTCGGAACATAGTTGACAACTGTTGAAAAGAGAGGCTGAATTGGATACCTCTCCACCGGGCAAAATATTGTAGGGAGTGCGTCGCTGGTGACGCTGTAAATACTCTAGATGAACAAGCTTGCCCTTGGTCGACCCATTCGCAATTGGGGCTGGGAGTTCGTATTCCTGAGATCGTGGATGTGGCATAGAACAATAATCATAAGTTCCGTAAGGATTTCCCTCGGATGGACCATACGTAGTTGCTTTATAAATACCACCGTATGTACCGAGCGAATTGTTGGAGATGTATGAAGTTTCATTGAGCATCGGCGGGTAAAATGTACCCAGGGGCGTCAGACTATGGGCAAAGCCAGCTGCTCCGAGCACAAGGCCGGTGTGTATAGTGCGCATTTTGAACAAATAACACAGATTAATTGCCTCGGTGCCTGGGAGAGAAATTGCAATCACATTTCTTGCTAGCTACACGGACTATAAGTACTTCGTATTTGCCGAATCAATGAGATGATGTTGGTCGTATCACGGGGTCAATTAAATGGAGCTCCACTTTCAGCAACCAGTCGGCGCATTGACTTCACTCCACGTGGGATTCAATCGCTAAAGTGGAATCAAGCGACTCTTCAGAAACGTTCGTGATACGTTGTTTTCTGGTGTTAGCCGATACTTCTGAAGCGAGGGGAAATATTGGCTCGGATCCTAGCCGAGTTGCCGATTAAGGGGTATAATACGTGCATTCCAGTGTCAGCCACCGTCTAGTGTTGACCACAAATTGGTATTTGCTGTCAAACTCATCTATTCAGTCATTCAATTGAATCTTGATTATGAGAGTCCTTCATTTTGGGTCGGTAATCACACTGGGTGCATTGCCCCTCCGTGGCTGGTGTTCTTCATTGTCCGATTATGCACTTCAGCGAGTTCTTCAAGACGCGTCGTCAATATTTGGCGAATATGCTAAGAATGTTTCTGATAAGTCCGAGTGGATGAAGAAATATGCAGATGATACTCAAATCGTTCATATGAATATTCCTGGGACACATGACAGCTCTACTTGGAACTACACCCAGGCTACTCAGGAGTCACTGCGAGGGATTACCGATTTGAACGAAATGACTGTGCCCGTGCCAGAGACATTTCGCTGCCAGGAGAAGCCGTTTATAGACATGTTAAGCATGGGAATCCGGGCATTTGATTTGCGATATGCATTTGACCCAACAAATAGCACCCTTGTGTTTTATCATTCCCAGGCCTTGCTGTCTGAGACCGCTACAGTGGATGATGTTCTCTTTGGCTTTTACAAGTGGCTCGATGACCATCCCTCTGAAACGCTTCTCCTTTCCTTCCAATACGAGGGCTCGACTGCCAAATACGCAAGCAACAATGCCGCAGTCCAGACGCAAATCTTCAATACCCTCACCTCCCCGGTTGCGCAATACTACTTCCTCCAAAGAAAAAACACGCTCGGAACCCTTGGAGAATCCCGTGGAAAGATTATTCTCCTCCGCCGCTTTGATCTTGACCAGCTACCAGCATCGTACGAGGAAAGGTTACCTGGACTTCATTTTTCACCCAGTCTTTGGACAGACAATAGCCCCGATATTACCTTGAAGTACGACACAAACGATAACCTGACTGCTTATATTGAAGATTACTATCAACCACTGACACCTACCGGATCCACGGCTGCTGAGAACATCAGATGGAAATATAACGCGACCACGAGAAACATTGTCGAGGCAACGACAAAGCATGCAGATAGTCTTTTTTGGACCTGGGCGTCAAGTGAGAATACAGAAAACACTCCACCTGATTGGCCGAAGACCATGGCACTTGGAAATGGAACTGCGATCACACCTCAAGGGGGAGTGAATGACCACCTTGTTCCATTCTTCCGGCAGCAAAGGGGCAAGCGGGTTGGAATTGTCATGTTTGATTTCTTTGACAAACCAGAGGATCTTATTGATGTATTTCTGAGTATATAGTACTATTAGATGTGATTGGAGTTGTATTAGACTAAGTATTTGACATTGCACTTGGGCCAACCGTCAAATCGGAACGGCGATTATCTAGATAGTAGTACAGGGATAAGATAATCTTGGAGCAGAGGTGACCCGCAAGATGAATCAACTCCGTTCTTTCCATAGTCTTTTGAGGTCCTTTTTCATCGGCTTGAACAACGCTTTAGTTTCCGCCTTGAGTGCCTTTCTTTCGGTCTTGGTCCATTCCCCATTCTGCTTGGCGGTCCTGATATCTCGAATGTGGCCCGTGAGTAGAGCTGAGACGTTCTCCACCGTGCATCGGGTGCAACCTCCGGTGTCTTTGAGATCGCTCAACCCTTGTATCAAAGCATTTATGAGTGCCGTTGTTTGCTGTTTTTGGACCTCTGTGTCAACCCGTGGGCACTGGCTTGGCCCGTGAGTCGAGCAGGGCATCTTAGGGCTTGTACTGAAGGTGATTGTTAGTAAAACAGATTCGTTCTAGCAGAAATCATAGCAAGATTCAAAAAATTACATTTCATTTCCGGGTTTCTCAACCTCATTCCATTCAGAAGAGGCAACTGAGACGGCAGGCTTGATTTCGGTCATTGTGTCGGGTTCCAATATTGGGATTGAAATAGAGATATGTGTGGTAGATGGATTTCTTTGAATTTGAACTTGGGTTTGATTTTGATTGAATTTATTCTCCATCAATTCTCCTCCCAGGAGTACTTATATACATTTTTGTATCGCAATGTAAAGATATATGATGCCTAAAATGCTGATCGATCCAGATTTCCGATGAGCCTCGGAGTTACCGCATTAGGCTATTAGCATGACTATATCCGCCCGAGTTCGGTCATTTCGGTCATTTCGGTCGGAGTTGATTGTTCAGCCTCTTTTTTTGCAGCGATCATAATAAGTTATAGTGGGGGTAAGCTCCCATCCAGCTATATGAAGTTGATCAGAAATGCTAGATCAAGAAACCGGACGCTTAGTATGTAAAATATGAAGCAAGACGTGGGGCCGAGGGTCCACAGGGATCTTCCCTTCTTTTTCTGGGCAGCTCCGGTAGTGCGTCAGTGATCAAATATCCGTTCTGCTGGATGTGAGATTTATTACGATTATTTGAACATAATCGCGATCCCCAAAGATTCTTTGGTAGGCTCATTGTTTGCATCCATCTAGTCATGTGCGGGGAGAAATACTACCCTGACGGACGGAAAGGGGGCAGGGACACACCATCGTGATCCAGCACAGAAGGCAGCCCCACTAATGTACCTGTGCTGGCCACGTGAAAAACAAATGAAAAAAAGAAATAAGAAAAAATGATTATGATATTGATAATGATTCCAGAGCATGATATTGACTGCTTTACAGTTGTAAATGATCATCAGATGGTGGCAGTTGGAACCAACCTCTAAACCACGAACCTTTTGACTGGATTGTGACCTGTGGAATGTGCTAAATGGGTCCCTGGTCACTTTCCTCTCCGTATTTCTATCTGTACACATCCGGAACCCTCCTCGGATGTCTCCTTCTGGATTATCCATGCTGGATTGGCCGCTTGGATTTGGAAAGGAGTCAACGACACGAATCAAGGTAGCATCATCTGGCGCCTGTGCACGGAGTCCTTCTAACAACCTTGCAAAATGAGTGTTTCCGGTGTTTAAATTGTCTCTGCGCCATGGACCTCGCCTATATCTGCTTACGTTGATAACTCCCGCCACTCATGAGTAGAGAAGTCTCCAACGGCACTCAAAAACAGCGTAATCATGCGATTTCGAACAGGTGATATCTATATTAGCTATGGCCGCATGCGGCACCTGGGATATGCTTTCCACAAAAGCCCCCGGGCGCCAGACAAGCTTTCTACAATTATTTTTTCGATTTCGGCGAAAACTTGAAAGGATTGGGATAATCCGGACATCTGGAGGATCTCATGCATGGAACTAATCAAGTCTTGGACAATAATAAATCTCTCCGGACCAGTACAAGGCGCCCGGTGAGACTTCCAGACAAAACACTCAACACTCCAGACTTCTAACCGAGCCTCCTAGATTAAGGCAATCCAAGCCACGAGGATTGAGAGAGAGGAGGCTTTCGGAGCAATTTCGGGATGGAACTCTTACGCGGTCTTCCAAGCCCTGTATCTCGGGTCGCGGGATGTTAGCTCTAAACCTGAACAGCTAATCCCCGCGGATAATTGCCCGAACTGACCAAGCGGCCGTGAATCAGGAAGGGTGGCCCAAACACCATGTGACGCTAATACTGATCGAGATTCGCGAACGAATAGAACCGAGTTTAGGTGAAACCCGGGGTTGCTACTGGTGGGATTATTCAAGTGTGGGGCAAGCCACCCCAGGTTTCTTCCCGGTGGAAAACTGGGGCCGCGTGGTCTGGGGATGATTTGGGGATGAAATACGGGGCAGTGATTGGATCCGGGGGCTCGATAACTTTCGGTTGGCTTGGATCCTAACTGTGTTGCATTTGATTCCAGCCAAATGGCTGAAAAGAAGCAAAATGGCTGAAAGAAGCACTAGCCTCCAAATTTTCTTCTCTTCCCCCCTATGCAGCTCGGGTGGTTGCGATAGAGCCGTAGGCCCCCCACCTAAGTAATAAAGACGCCTCGCGCTGATTACAGCTGCTTTTTTTCTTTTCCCCCCAGCCTCTCCTCGCCTATTTTCTTTTCCCTCCTCTTTATTCTTCTCTTCGACTCTTCCATATTGGACTGGTCGTTTTTTTATTTCCTTTATTTCCTTTTCTTCTCCGCTGCTTCAGAGAGTCAAGGGCATTTAAATCTGCCAGGAAGAGAAAATCAATAAAAGAAGCCCAATATGTCGGACGTCGAGAAAAAGGAGGACCTCCACCCAGTCGATATCAGTCATGATGAGGTCTTGGCTAATCCGGATCTCATGAATGATGCGCTCGACGCAGAGGCTCATGAGCATGAGATGGGAACTTGGGAGGCCGCTAAAGCCCATCCCATGGCCTGTTTCTGGGCATTTATCATGTGTTTTACAATTGTGAGTGGCTGCAATACACATTCTGGCCTGGACTACTAAGTACCCATGGCTAACCCGACAATTTCTAAATAGGTCATGGAATCGTTCGATATGTTCCTGAACACCAACTTCGTTGCCCTGACCGCATTCCAAAATCACTTTGGTGTCCAAACTGGACCCGATGCCTACACTATCCCAACTCGGTGGCAGAGCGCGCTTTTCCAATCTGGTCAATGTGGTGCTTTTATCGGTGTGTTTCTGGCCGGTCCCATCACCAGCCGAATCGGTTATCGTTGGACAACAATCTTGGGTCTCTTGATTATGAATGCTACTATTTTCATTTCCTTCTTCGTAAGCAAACTGTACCCGAGAGATACAAAATGATCTTATTGACTAATTGCAATCTCTAGGGTGACTCTCTTACCGTTCTCGTGATAGGACAAGCGTTTGAAGGTATTCCCTGGGGTTTCTTCATTGCAAACTCCCCTGCCTATGCTAGTGAGGTTGTTCCAATTCCTCTTCGAGCTGCCACCACTGCCACTCTGCAGATGAGTTGGTCTATTGGTTCAATCATTGTCGCTGGTGCATCATACGCATACAACGATCGACCCGACCAGTGGGCGTGGCGAGTGCCTCTTGCCCTTCAGTGGATCTTCCCTGTCAGTACCATATTCATGACTCACACTGAAAGTCGAAAACTAACCAACTTAGACCCCTCTATTGGTTCTCATCTTCTTTGCTCCCGAGTCCCCATGGTGGCTCATTCGTCGTGGGCGTAAAGCCGAGGCCCTTCGCTCTATTAAGCGCCTTGGTAGCAACGTTTCAGAGGACGCTGCTCAGAAGTCTTATGCTATGATTGAGCGAACAATTGAGATTGAGGCCCAACTTGGCAAAGCCCCAACCTTCATGGACTTGCTCAAGGGATCCGATAGACGCCGAACCATCATTACTTGTTTAGTATACACCTCCCAGAACTTCGCTGGTAATTTGATTGCCAACCAAGCCACCTATTTCTTCGAGCGTAAGTAGAAATCCCTCCTTCGACCCGCTTTGTAACTTTTCACTAACTACTCATCCAGAGGCTGGCATGTCAACCGCTTTCTCCTTCCAACTGAACCTGATCACCACCTGCCTTCAGTTCGTCGCCAATGCTGGTTCTTGGTTCCTGACAGCTTACTTCTGTCGACGAACTGTCTACCTGTGTGGTCTATCCGTCAACATCGTCTTCCTCTTTCTCCTCGGTATCTGCGCATCCATCCCCCAGAACGTTCACACCAACTATGCCCAGGCCTGTCTTGGTGTGATCATCTCGTTCGTCTATGCTGGTAGCCAGGGCCCAATCTCCTACACCATCATTTCTGAGACATCCTCCATTCGCCTCCGTCCTCTCAGCACTGCGGTCGGTCGTGCAGCATACTACTTCACTGAAATCCCCATGATTTACCTCTCTTCCAGAATGCTGAACACCACCGGGTGGAACCTCGCAGGAAAGTGTGGATACGTTTGGGGAGGTACTGCTGTTGTCTGCTGGGTCACAGCTTATTTCTTTCTGCCTGAACTCAAGCACCGTTCCTACCGCGAGAGTGACATCCTGTTCAACCGCAAGGTCCCTGCTCGACAGTTCAAGTCGACTGTCATTGACGCCAGAGATAATGAGTAGAGAGTGCGTCTCGGAGAGGACTTATTTGGGGGCGATTTCCAGTTGAATGAGATTGACGGTTCACTTTGCAGAATAGTCGATATAGAAAGTGCATGCATGTTTGATAATAACTAAGTTATATCTCAATTCCGTTTCTCTGTATACGTGGTGTAGTAAAAATAATATTCGTATTGCTAAACTTTTAGTGGAGGAATATTCTGCAATATTGACGGCCAATCGATTATTGCTTCGATCAACTCTCCGGGCAACATGCATTTGAGATCAACAACCTTCAATAATTTCAAAACTACCATATCGCACTCGAAATCATAAACGAGAACGACCCCTGGGTATTTCATTATCCCTGAGGCTTGCCTTCTCAAAGTTGTGGCTCCGCCCCACCCGATGCGAGACGGCGGAATCCCGATCTCCGATCGTACGCAGAGACTCGAGTGTGGGATTCGGGTTCTGTAACGTCGAATTGTCTCGTCTTTGGCCTTCAGGCCCCTTTTCCACCTCGAGATAATCCACAAGGGCAAAGCCAACCGAATTATAAATAGCTTAGCAATCCCCGGCCATCTCTAGGGCTATTTTTTATGATCTGTTCAAAGCCACAGGCAGTCACCATCAGCCCCACAATGGCACACGAAAACAACTATGAGCTCTCTCATGTCGACAAAATTGCAATGCCGATCGTGGTAAAAGCCTTCGTTATCTATGAGCTAGACCTTGCCATCAACCGCAATGATGTGATCAATTCTATCACTGAAGGGCTGGCAAATGCGACCACCCAATGCCCGTTTATGGCAGGGAAAATCTATTTCAACGACTCTGGGAAACCGATTATCAAGAAGCTCCCCAACGACCGACTGCAGTGCACCATTCAAGAGTTTGCGCCCAGTGAGCATAAATCTTTTCACGCACTGCAGGAGTCCTGCTTCCCGCCCGAAGAATTCAACAACGATCGGCTTCTTCCCAGCTTTCCAGTTAGCGAAAGACCGGTCAGTGCTCTGCAACTGAATTTTATTGAGAACGGTTTGATCCTTGCATTTGCAATCAACCATATAGCCGGGGACTGGTCATCCATGAATTCGTTTTTATCACTCGTATGTCAGGGCAGCAAGGCCTATCAACAAGATCTCAGTATGCCAACATATGCACCGGACCTCAACCGATCTCCTTTTAACGGAGATCCTCATACAAATATCCCCCAAAGCAAACTTCTTAAGGGCTGTCCGGGGTTCTTTGTTGATGAAAATGCATTCATTCCTCCTAAAATGCCTCCCCAATTCTCCACGGGAATCTACAAAATCACCAATTCGGCTGTCAAACGACTCAAGCAAGAATGCACGGAAATGCTCAATGGAGTTGACTATGTCACGTCCTATGATTGTATTGCTGCCTTGCTATGGGTAACTATCACTCGAGTCCGAGCTCAATTGAACCGCGAAAATATTTCATTGCAGTCTCGTTTCCTCCATCCCATTGACCTACGCTCACGAGACCCTGAGCACAGAACATCACCACGTTACTTCGGTAACGCAGTTTTCCCATCACAAGCAGGCCCAATAGATGTTGAAACACTTCTGGCACAAAAGGGCCTCGGAGCTGCAGCATCGTTAATTCGAAAATCGATTAATGAAGTGAGTATGGCTTCCATCGAGAATCTAACTACGCTTGTGGCGTCTCTTGCGCCAGCTGAACGGCTAGGTTTCCATGCAAACTTCTTTGATATGGATGTCTTGTTCAATAGTTGGTTTTCTGGGAAGGCAACGGATTTTGCTATTGGATCTGGCCTGGTGCCTCGGGCGTTCAGGACCCATCGGCCCATTACCGGGGCTTGTTGTTTGATTTTGCCAAACTTCAGCTTGGAAGAAATTACTAGTAGGCTGTATGATATTTTTGTGCAGTTGGATGAGAGGGAGCATCGGCTTCTTCGTCAAGATTCTGAATTTTTAGATTTCTTTGAGATCAAAGTTTGAATGAGACTGGTGGTTTAGATTAAAGATTCATTGGTATAACATTGGTGAATTTTAGTGCTTCACACTTAGTATGCATGAGCCCAACGTTTGGAGAACAGGACTTCCGGCCTTTTTTGCTATACTTTTCACTTGATCGGGAATTCATAAAGCACGAAACCACGCCTAGTTTTGTAGATCGGACAGGGGGGCTATCTGCCTGAGGTGTGAGCATCCTTGGCCTTCATTGACAAGTTGAATCCCCTGGGCAGCATATCCGATTTCCGCCCCGCGTTTGTTATTTTACCAGGTATCACCGAATGATTCCAGGATCGTAGGCCGCTGTCGGCCAGAAATGTCTCATTTTGTATCGGAGATGTGTTCTAGTTAACGTGGGCCGGTCGATCCCTGGAGCCTCAGGCTCTTGAGCCAATTTGGATGCTATGTAAACTTCATTCAGCTTAATATTTCATAATTTGGTATATATTCTGGGATATAGTATCTCGCATGACAAACGGACTGTCCGTAGTATGGGACAACTGTCAAAATAATAGATCTTTAAACAGGAAAGGTACATAAGGCTATAGGAGCAGAAAGCGCGAAGGCACCTCCGACTTGTGCCAAGTTGTGCCAAGATGATGAACTTGAAGTTATGTGGAATGGGTAGAGGTTAAAATCAACGTTAAAATATCAAAATGAATGTTCCCCCCAGCAGGATGTAAGCGTAATTTAGAATCAAATCCTTCTTATTCCGCGTTTCTCTCTGCCGGTGCTATCTCCGAGCGCGCATTGCGGTAATCCCTGTAAGGTTATCACCGAGGTCAATTTCAATTATGCAGCTGCCTTGGAAATTTTCGTCCTAAACTCTATCTTCTTTGTTTGTCACTTAACCCCTGCTGAGCTGCCCTTCTCGACATGAGACAGAATTCGGAATTGACCATAATGCTAACTACGATATTGACCAATCGCCAAACGGTCTTTATTCGGAATCGGCCCAACCCTGGCTCTTTAATCGGCCGACGTTCCTGAAATAGGAAGTTTCGGCCTACAGTTCTAAAACGGACACAATAAGCAAGTTGAAAATTGATGTAGACCTCAGCGTAGGCATGTGGGCAAAAATGTAAGAGGAAGCTAGATCTCATTATCCTCGTATTTAAAAGTGTATCCCGGTTGTCGACACGATCATTGGACATCATTTCTTTGGACACAGCGCCGCATTAGTATCCTAAAAGAAACCAACAATGGGCAAGAACGAGGTGGGTAGTAAATCTATCATGGAAAAGATCCTGTCGAGCATCTCGTGTCAGCATTCACATCAGGTGGAAATACATACCCACAGACTTGAACATCTGAAAACAGATAGCGAGCATCTCGTGCAATTTGATGGACCGGAGGATCCGTATAACCCGCTTAATTGGACCTTGACCAAAAAGGCCGTGACAACAATTCTGTATGGCTTGATTATGATGGGTAAGCTTAGATCTATATACACGTTCAAACTGTTCATGCGTTCTGTCTTATGTGAATATTCTTTTAGGTTCGGCATGGGCGAGTTCTGCGTGAGTGGTCACATCCAAGACTTCAGATTCTCCGACTAAACTTATATAGATACTCGCCTGCGATTTCCGATATAGATAAGGAATACACAATACCGAATGAAGTGGGACAACTAGGCACATCTCTTTTCCTGTTAGGTGTGGGGTTAGGCCCACTGCTATGGGCCCCTTGCTCCGAGGTATATGGGCGGAGAATCGCCGTCCTGGGCCCTTATGCTATAGCTACAATCTTGAGCTTTGCTACTGCAGTCTCCAAAGACATACAATCTATTATGATAACACGGTTTTTTACTGGCTTCTTCGGATCTGCTCCAATTACAAACGTTGGTGGCGTTTTGGCTGATATATGGAGTCCAGAGCATCGAGCTCTCGCAGTGACTGTGTATGCCCTTACGCTTGTTTCTGGGACAGTCATTGCGCCTGTGGTGGGTGGTGGACTTGTAGTGCAAGATATTAGTTGGAGATGGACTGAATATGTAAGTCAAATCGTTCTACATCTGGCACCTACCAATGATTTTCGCTGATTCTATTCTAGATAACTGGTATGATCATGGGTCTAGTTTGGCTTTTGGGGTTTATCTTCTTAGATGAAAGTTATCCGCCTGTGCTGCTTGTCTATAAGAGTCGTCGCCTCCGTCTCCGATCAGGAAATTGGGCTCTCCACGCACGACATGAGGAATGGGATATCAGTCTAAGAGAAGTATCTAGTAAATACCTGATTCGCCCATTCCAGCTCCTTCTTACCCCGATTTGTTTCTTGATCGCTCTATATGCCTCTTTCGTTTATGGAATTCTCTATCTCAGCCTGGCTTCATTTCCAATTGAGTTCCAAGAACTACGAGGGTGGAATGCGCTCATCGGATCGCTACCTTTCCTTGCACTACTACTGGGATTTCTCCTCGGCGCCCTTGTGAATATTATCAATCAACGATTCTATGCCCAGAAGTTTCGGGCAAACAATAACCGGCCTGTCCCTGAAGCGCGTCTTCCACCAATGATGGTTGGCTCGGTTTTCTTCGCTGCAGGCTTGTTCATCCTTGGCTGGACCAGTGGCTCGAACATATTCTGGTTTGGATCAATCTGTGGTGCTGTATCTACAGGCTTGGGCTTCTTTACTATCTTCCAAGCCGCGTTGAATTACCTCATCGACACGTTTCAAAAATATTCTGCTAGCGCTGTGGCCGTGAACACATTCCTTCGAAGCGTGTTTGCGGGGTGTTTTCCTTTGTTTGTTAATAAAATGTTTCATCGCATGGGGGTTCCTTGGGCTTCGAGCGTTTTGGGGTTTGTTTCTATTGGGCTGATCCCTATCCCGTTTTTGTTCTATATCTTTGGTCAGCGTCTGAGAGCGAGGAGTAAATGGTCAAGAGAGTCTGTATAGGACTGGTATTCAGCTTGAAAGTGTGTTGAATGTTGGACCCCTGTCATTGTCAGGTCAAGAAGTACGAAAGCAAAACAGACTTGTGATTATTTCTAGTTTGATAGAGAATATCCATGAAGTTGGTGTCAAAATCGTGATTGTGTTCTGGCCAGAGTCGTGGCCTCGGGAACGGGCTACTAGTTATAAATGAAGTTTATGCCTTAATGCCTCAGGCTTCAAACAATGACTGATCATCACATGCTCCCACATTCCATCACGTGACTGTTCCTGAACCAGTTTGGAACTCCCCGCGTTCCACTTCTCGCTGGGGCGCAGTTTGGGGATTGTTGTTGAATTTCTTCTCTGGATGATCCTTGCTTGCCATACGACGGCTCATGATGCTGTCAAATATCTATATTGATAAAAGTTGAACACGCGACCATGTCGGTCACAATCCCTCTGAAGACTCTCCCAGCAAACCGACCCGAATCTGGTGAGAAGTCCATCGGATCCCCGATCGAACACATTTATTCGACATCGCCCGCAGAACACATTGCCAAACCTTCGGAACAAAAACGCCAATATGCGACCGGTCTAATTGGGGGTTCACTATCCCTTCCCGACAAATCGCTTGGAGCTAGCGATCTCATCTTCCCAGTCGACTCGAGTGACCACCCGCTCTTCCCTCCTCTACCAGTCTACGGTCCACCAAATTTCGCTCGCAACCTGCAATACTTTGCATTTCGGACTGCATCATTCGTTCTATCACTCGCCTTCCTGACTTTTATATTTTTTGGCGCAATAGCATGTATTAGTGGGGCGGCTTTATCGAACGCGATTGCACGATTATTTGGCCATCAGACCGGTCCAGAGAGGATCTTCCATACTGAGGAGCAAACGCGTCGATCGCAACGAGCTGATTCCGATCGCAAATGGCATATCCGACGACAGAAAAAAGATGTGGACGAAGAGCAGGGACCTGATGAATGTCCTGCTCTGGAGGGGGGTAGGGATCCCATCGTTTGCGACGTTGCCTACTATGCTAGACGGGTCGGTCTAGACGTGGAGACATTTCGAGTCCAAACGGAAGATGGTTTTATAATTACACTGTGGCATGTATATAATCCACAAGAGTATACAACTCTCTCTCCGGAACAGAGACGTGAGCGAGGCTCCGCGGTATTCACTGGAGCTAGGGAAGATAACCCGTCACACCACAAATCTGCGCGCCGGTACCCCGTTTTGTTAATCCATGGACTATTACAAAGTGCTGGAACTTACTGCACGAATGACGATGACAGTCTTGCATTTTATCTGTGCAAATCGGGATATGATGTTTGGCTGGGTAATAATCGATGTGGGCTGGACCCAGAACATACTACTCTTTCCTCGTCTGACCCTCGTATGTGGTCATGGGATATCCGACACCTAGGTGTCCTCGACCTGACAGCGCTAACCTCACGGGTTCTGTATGAAACGGGATTCGATAAGTTAGGATTGGTCTGCCATTCTCAAGGCACAACCGAAACATTTGTTGCGCTTTCAAAGGAGCACCGTCCTGATCTTGGCGAACGAATCTCTGTGTTCTGTGCTCTTGCACCAGCTGTGTATGCCGGGCCGCTCGTCAGGAAACCCTATTTTCGGTTCATGCAAATTCTTTCACCAGCAATGTTCCGTGTTGTCTTCGGGATTCACGCTTTCATTCCGTTCATGATGACTTTTCGACGTTTCGCTCCCCCAAGGGTGTATGGTACCCTTGCATATTGGGTATTTTCGTTCCTTTTCGGCTGGTCCGATGCTCGGTGGGAACGCGATCTCCGCCACCGGATGTTCCAATTCGCTCCCGTATATGTCAGCGCCGAGTCGATGCGCTGGTGGCTTGGTAGCGAAAGCTTCGCCAAACATGGATGTATCTTGAGCCCTGCCGTCGAGTCAAAGTATCAATTGAGTACGAATGATTGCATTTCACCTGGGAGTGAGCATGGTGATAATCCTGGGGATCCATGCCTTGGCTCTCGAAGCGATTGTGCTTGGTTTGGCCCTCAAACACCTCCCTTTGCTTTATGGGTTGGTGGCTCTGACGCATTAGTTGATGGCCGAAGACTTCTTCGCCGTTTTCAAGACGGTCTTGAGCCACATGTCCGAGTTGTTCATTCCAAGATCATTGATGAATATGAGCATCTCGATGTTCTCTGGGCCATAGATTCCATTGAGCAAGTTGGCAAAGAGGTACGCCAGGTAATTTGGAAAACAATACCGGAGGAGACCCGTGTTAAATGCCGAGTCCCATCTGGGGTTCATCGTGGATAATTGAAGGGAAACACAATGGACGTAATGTTGAATTATCCATGTTTTAGATCAATCATTCTGTACATATTGCATAATGCACATACATTTGTACATGCAAGCCTTTTATAATAAACTTCCCCAGGTACAGATTGCTTTCACGAATAGCAAGATATGCCGGTGCCACCAATGTGTTAATGATGGTCGCCACACTCCGTTCTGTTTAATCATGATTATCTAGGGCCTCGCTTCATGTAAAACCTTCATTCAACATACCCCACGCACAACTACCTCAGGCTCCAGGCAGGGTATTACAGAATTTCCTTGTCGTATTATGAAATCCCAAATATTAGTTGATGTCTCGCTTTGTTTTTCACCGAAGATCTACACTCACTCGAATCCTAGGGGCGACCTGTGCGCTTATTCCCGTCGTATTATACTTTGAGGGTGCATTTCCCTATGTTACATCAATCTAACTAGATCTCTCTTCGGGATAAGACATAGCGAAATCGGCTACTTCCGGTCCTCGAAACGACGAATGGCTCCCCGCTCTTCAGTGTGGCCCTTTTTTTTGATGTCGATTACCCCAGAGTTGGTCGGAAGCTAGTAACAATGCCCCTGTGGGTCTTTCGGGGCTTTTGGGGATGGTAGTCTACTATATAAATCTCATTTTCCATTGCAATAACTAGCAGTCTTCTATCATTGAGGTTCAACTGGTTAGCGCTGTACGTCATGGTATACAAGCACAAAATGGCTCAGTCGTGGCTGGGGCTTCTTGCTCTACTTTCTCCTGTTGCATTTGCGGCCCAGAACTACAAACCCATTGCATACAATGTGGGCTCCGGTCCTGATATTGATGGTTTGATTAGTTATACTGGTGAAAGGATTACACTGAATAGTACTCACCCTGTCTTGACATTGGACTACGGGGCGGAGGTTGGAGGGTTCCCTTATCTGCAGACTGAGAGCCCGGATCAAGCTGTACAAATTGAACTTAAGTATAGTGAGCCTTTTGGTGGATTACAACTACCATACGGAGATGGTCCATGGTCAGTGAATTCTTGTACTTTATAAGAATCTGAGTTAAAATGAGCTAATCCATCTACCATTCAGGTTGTTCGTCAATGGTCTTGCAAACTCCTTTCGCACTGAAACTTTCAACATCACCAAGGCAGGGAAGACCGAAGCTCTTCTTCTCCAAGGTGGCTTGCGTTGGCAATCCATCACCGTTCTTGGGCAGTCATCATTGACTATTAACGATATCGGACTCCGCCCATCCGTCATTATCAAGGAAACAGACTCGTTACCGGGTAGCTTCTCGACTTCAAATTCAAGCTATCAGGATGTCTGGGATCTTGGAGCTCGCGCCGTGCAAGCAGCTTGTTATGATGCTGGATCCCAACCTTCAACGTGGCAGATTACTGAAGACGGTGCCTTTATTCAAGGTCAATATCCTGCTGTCTCGGCTCAGGGTGATGGCTTTTCAAACTACACACTCGAGTTTCAAACGAAGATCACTACCGGTGGGACTGGATGGCGTGTTGCGGGTGGCGCAAATGGTGGATACGGTTCATATTTCGTTTTAACTTCGAATGGCCCTACACTGCAAAGCTCAAATATTACTGCTCTTCCGAGGAACAGCCTTGTCGCTGGTTATGGCTATAGTATTATCAATCAGACTATTTTGTCCTCGGCTCCGCCGCGCACTTATGATGTGTCTGGAATCAGCATTGAGGAGAATACATGGCATACTGTTCGGACAACTATCAATTCGACTGGATACGCTGTTTCTGTCAATGGAAAGAACGTCGCATTTGTCACTAGTGCCCCATTCCAAGGCTACATCAACACGGGTTGGGGCCCTGATGGCCTGACTGGTGGTACATTCGGCTTTGGACCATTTATGAACCATGCAGCATACTTTAAGAACGTGACTGTCACAGCAGAAAACGGGACTTTGATTTATTCTAACCAGATGACATCAAACGATACCCTTGAGGAGTATGCGATTGCAAGTAACTCGTATGCAGTCTGTCTCGATGGCGCTAAACGAGACCGAGCTATTTGGATTGGTGATTTTGCACATACTGCTCGCATCATTGCATCTAGTAGCGGTCGCTATGATTATATTCAGAGCATGATTGATTTTGAATTCGATTGGCAATATCCGCCTGGTCCTGCGTATGGCCTTGTACCTATTCAGGCTTATATGGGTGCTGGGAAAGAATATCGCGAAGTTTACTATCCGTCTGAATTTGGGGAGACGGATTATCAGTTTTTCTTCCTTTTGACGTTGGGAGATTACTTTGCACTCACGAACGATACTAAGACTATTGAGAAGTATTGGGCTGGTACGAAGCTGTTAGTGGATACCGTTGTCGATCGATATCTTGATACAGCTTCGGGGTTAATGGCGAGTGCCGATGCGTCTTGGTTTACGGCTCAGGGAACACAAAACGCGACCGCGCCTACTGCCTTGTTTGTCGTTGCTATGAATCAGCTTGTTAATGTTGCGAAGGTAATGGGAGATATCGATACTGCGACATCTTGGGGACAGTTGTCTGGTAATGCTAGTAATGCTATCAACGCACTGTTGTGGAATGAGGATATCGGTGCTTACAGCTTATCTCTGCCGCAGCCTAATGATACTGCTATCCTAGCAACTGCGTTCACTATTCGTGGTGGCATCGCATCCCCAGAGCGTGTTGCAACTAGTATATCCCGTCTTAGTGATGTCTTCTTGAACATCGGATATAAAGATAACTCTGCAACGGGAAACAGTCCCAACACACAACTATCGCCCAATACACAGGGGTTCCTGTTCGAATCTCTTTTCCTCGCTCACATGAAATACAATGCTACCATTGAGAGTGTTCTTCCGGCGATTCAGGTACTAGCAGAGACCTTTTGGCCGAAGATGGTCACTCAGAATGAGTATTACACTGGCGCTAGCTGGGAGTATTTGTATGCGGATGGTAGTCCGGGCATTGGCATTTTTACAAGTCTTGCTCACCCGTGGGGCGGTGCGGCGACTTATATCTTCTCGAATTATATTCTTGGGGTGAGGACTGAGTGGGATGGTGGTGTTGGGAAGTATGTTTGGGTTTTTGATCCGGCGTGGGATGTTGTAAGGGGATTGGGATTGGAATGGGTGAGGGGGGATGTGCCCTTGTTTGGTGGGGGGTATATTCGGGCTGAATGGAATTTGTCTTCGACTACTGCGCCCTCGATGGATGCTCGTGTGATTGGGAATGATGATGTGCAGGTAGAAGTTAGGGAAGTCTGAGATACGTAGCATGGGCTATTGTATCAGTCTATAGCTATTAAGGTTACTGCACGTCTTCATTCACAATTTGAACATTTCGAGTCGTTCGGTAAATTACTGAGATCATCAATATCATAACACGTTTCTACTTCTTTTCTAGTCCAAGTTTCATAACAATTGTTTCATCTTTTCAGATTTGGGTATGAATCGCGTATATACACATTAGCGGAATGGGTATTATAAACATCAATCTGTCAAACTTTGACAGGTCAACAAATCGAGAAATTAATCAACGAAGAAATGGTCAATATATAAATAACAGACTGCATCGCTACATCTCTGACTTGAATCAGATGACGACCGAAATCAAGAGAAAAAGAACTAGACTTTGACTCCTTCCTCTGTACCTTCAGCCCCACTAGAGTGGGGAGGTGCCACTGACTGTCGACGCTTGTCATTGCCACCCTTGATGCGTTTATATCCGAGCATCTGCCCGATTTCTCTCCAGAATCCAACAGGTGGATCTAAGAAGCTAGCCTCATACGCATCGATCAACGGTCGCTCCCAAACCAGATCCACTTCGCTCGATCGGACAAATCGAGTTCTCTTGAAGATCTTCCAGATAATAAAAAGGCAGGGAATAACGATTTGCATCGTATAGTTGGCCCAGAAGTCCTGGAGCGACCAGGGCTTGAAGACGGGGTATCCGTAGAATATGGTGATGAGGAACATCCAGACTAAAGCGATGTAGGCGCAGTAGGGCTGGAAATATCCGAAGTATGCGAATTGGCGTCGGTCTACGCCTTGGACCTTGCAGGCTCGGTGATAGCAAATGAATGTTATGCTGATGGTGATGTAGTTGATAAGTCCTAATTATCTGGTCAGTACGTGTCTTGCGCAAATGGGATTACGATTTTTATATCTGGGTGATCTTCTTACCTCCGGCGGTGACGAGACTAGAGAACCAAGTGATGACAACGGAAGAGTTGTTGGAGCACTGCAGGAAGGAAAGAATGGGGAAGATCATGACAATGCAGAAGCAGTAGATCGGGACACCATTCTTGGTCGTGTAGGTCAGAACCTTGGGGGCTCGGCCTTCCAGGGCCAATCCGTAAAGCGTACGGATAGCACAGTAAGTATAGGTGTTGCCCGCAGAGAAGATAGAGGTACACAATAGACTATATAGATGGTTAGTATCTGGGCATTGGTCGCTTTTCATTTTTAGACTCACGCATTGATGATCGAAGGGAAAATGTTAATGCCGAGGTTAGTCATTCCGATAACATATGGTGAGGCTGCAGCTGTTGAACCAGAGGCGTTTCCGGCAACGACATCGGCCAGAGACGGGTCTCTGGAGGAACACACGATACCGACAGCGAGGGCACCACCCATGAAGAACAGACCGAATCGAACGTATACGGTTTTAAAGGCAGCCTTGATATAGATGCGGGGGCGTTTGGCTTCGGCGGAAACCATAGAGATGTACTCGGGCCCGACGACGGCGAAACTGGCTGACCAGAGAGATCCTAGGAAACCTTCAAAGCGACCGAGTGCCCCGGTATCCAGGTACTCCATGAAAGAGCCAGGGTTGTTCCAGTAACGGAAACCGTATGCATCGTGGGCTGGGTTGCCTCCAACCATTGTGATGAAAGTGAAGAAGAACAGTGCAAAGATCAGAATGATCTAGGCCGCGTGACATGTTAGTGAATAATTCAGGGTTATACGGTAGAACTGAGTATTGAAGTAAGTGCTTACCTTGCCACCGGAGAGCCAGAACTCTGCTTCGCCGTATGCTTTGACTGCTAACATGTTGAGAGTACTATTGCGGGAGAAAGAAAAGAAAAATCAGCGTTGTGTTCAGTGCTTCAGTTGGACTTTTTTTTGGAGACGCATCTTACCCATATATAATACACACTCCCAAGCAAATGCCTGCAACGGGACCAGGCTCAGTGACCTTATCAGACCAGAACGAGAGGACAAGGGTAAAAGCCGAGATCTCGAATGGAATCAACAGGGCCTCATAAAAGCTATCAGTGATGGTCAGTCGAAGTCATTCGCAGTATAGGTATCAAAAAGAGAGCGAACAAGAAGTTCCATCCAACCATAAATCCAAGGGCGTCGTCCACCCATTTTCCAGCCAGTCGAATGAAACCACCACTAACAGGGAAAGCCGTGGTCATCTCAGCCAGACAGTTATTGACCATGGCCAGAATGAAACATTGCAAACTAAAAGCGATAAATAAACTACCCGGTCCGCCGTGGTATAGACCCGTTCCGATGCTGACGAAAAGAGCGGTTCCAATGGAACCACCAATAGCTATCAGTTGAATTTGACGATTACCCAGGTGGCGCTGGAGATTGTCAGCGTTGTCAGCCATCAAACCCTCTTGGACATCTTGGTGGCCCTCGCCGCCTTTGAGTCCTAGGGTATTGAAGAGACCGCCATTTCCGCTATTGTCGGATTCTTTATCTTCCTTGGGTGCCATTTTGGGTCATGCCAATTTTAGGCAGCGATGGGAGTAAAATTGGAGGGCAAATGGGGTTGGATGCTGCGGGCGAGAGAAGAAGAATCTGGGGAGAGGGACTAGGTAATCGAAATGTTTATTGGTGCATGGGTTGTTGATATCTTGGTCGCGCACAGGGCAAAATCCGAGTTGCAGTCGGGGAAATTTCGCTGGGTTTAGACTGGTTTGATCTAGCTTTTAGTTCAGTCGCAATGGTACCTTAATCGGCTGTGGCAAATGGCGCGGTATGGCAAATTGTGATAATGGTCAGGATTGGCGCGTAGGCACAGGAGTGACAGGTGCGGCTCGGAACGAAACTATATGGGAGTAACGGAGAGAGTTGGATAGTAGTCGCAGAGGGGAGTAATCTCTCTTTGAATGGATGTTGACTATTCAGGCTGATCCGAGGAGGTACAATCTGGTGATGGTCAAGAGAAACTGGTCCTTTTTGGTCCTTTGGAGAGAAGATGAACAAGAAGTATAGAGATTTGGAATGGCCAGATCGAAAGAGGTTGGAGGTGTGAGGAGTGCAGATCCAATGGGAGTAGCAACAGAAGAGAAGCTGAAAAGAAGATCCCTGATCTATGCGCCGGAGTTATAGCCACCGATAGATATATAAGGGAAGGAGGGGGAGAAAAAAAGAAAAAAAAGAAAAAGAAAAAAGAAAAAAAAGAAAATCCAATTTAATTTAAAAACGCGGTTTGGCCGGGAATCGTTGAGAGGCTAAAGCAGTAGAGAGAGAGAGAGAGAGATACCAAGCGGGGGCAACATTTCCGGATTGTTAATGGATGGTAATGGATGGTAATAGACGATAATGACCAGTATCGTGGATAGGATACCCCCAATATTTCCCCGGATTAGCCGTGTCAAGGTGGTTTTCAATCGTTCCGGCTGGTTTTGGTTTGGTTATAGTTTACGGGTAATGGAACATACATCAGATCACACATGGGCACGACATATCATGAGCCACGTTTTTGATCGAGCTGATTCAATGCTGATTGGCTTCTTGTGGGGAAAAGCCCGGATGCCAAGAAACACTGACCGTGTAGGGACCGTCCAACACGAGTATTCTTGCCGGATGGACCACTAGACTCCCACTAGACTCCCACTGGCTGGGAGCCGACGTCAGGGGCTTGGGAGGGATTAGGGATTGGGGCTGAGAGAAATTACTTGATCCCAGCAAACTCTACGCAGAGAATGACTCTTGTGTCGCATGTTACATCTTCCTCGTGGATCTCGTGGCGGTCGTGGCTGCTGGTGGCTCTATCGCGTGGCTTTTTAAGATGGATCCCGCGGGACTCTATCCTTGACATACTGTACACCTGGGCAGTACTAGTAGGCCAGGCAGAATAACGCCCGCCCCTTTTCTTCTTTGGGCGCCTCGTCTCCACCCCGCTATGGTCGCAGATACAGAGTTGCGCTTGGATCGGGTATGATACGGCTGAGCCCTGAGGGTAAATCAAGATGAGGCATATTACATTTGTCGAGATGTAGTACACAGTAGAAAGAAAAGGCACGGGGTATGTACTGAATACCTATTCGTAGGTGTATTCTATGCGTACGGCCGGAGTACCCCATACCCGCCACCACCCCAACATTCCAACGTTACACTGGAGTCGAAATCTTCCTTAGCATTCTAGACAATCTACATTATACATAGTACCATACTGTGTATCCTCGCGGAAAATGCCCCCAAATCCTGAAGGCATCCTTAGCGCATCCCCAGTGTCTACAGAGTTTTCTTTTCATCCTAAACCCAACATGGTAAGCCGAGGACCCAGATTTCTGAAACACTTCAATTTAATTTGAAGCGGCACACGGTGGGGAGAATCCGGTCACGTGAGAGATAACGCATCCAGAGAGATACCGTCGCACATCACGTGAGAATGAAGATAGAGAATAACTGATAACGAGTGGGAAACAATATCTGTAGTTTCTTATCATATTGAAGAGGGGAAATAGGCCTGCACTGGAATGCTAGTCAGAAAAACCCACAGCAAAACATCAATATATTTCTCTGGTCAACGCGGGAATTGAGAATTGCAGAACGCGAGCAAAAGAGTGTAAGTATGTTGTGCGTAGAACTAATCGCAACGCGATGCTATATAACTGCAAATAACTCTGCGACCGTTAGGGTCATTCCTGACAGGGTGGAGGTTTTCCCCACTACAATATCTAGATACTATACGGAGTAAATATCGAGATCATAGATGCAGGACTAGACCCCTTCACTAGAATAGATTGGCGAGAACAATGTCACTACTAGTACTGACAGCATGATATTGTATATCAGATTTATTGGGAGTCATGAATAGACCAAGATCATTAAATTCTGTCGGTCGCTTTGTCTCCTATGTCTACAACACTGAACTGAAGTGGATCGAATCAATAAACAGCCCGAATCAGTAACATGTCACCTGTCGGGCCGACCGGGTATGTTTCCAAGGTTCAAGGAATATCAATGGGATCTCCTGTTCCACTGTCAATTCAGTGCCAGTGTATCAACGAAGATCAGGTCTTCTTGCTGTGAATATTAGTTTCCCTTGCGTGTTCACGGTGCACTGTGGAGCGCCACTTCCCCCACAAATCTCGAATCCCAAATCCCCAGATTTTCCATTTCCCCACGGTGGGACCCGCTTGGATCCACCTTGAATGAAGAAAAGAAGATCCACAGCGTTATGGTAAAGCAGAGAAATCAACTTGCTGGATGTCTCTGAGATAAATAACATTTGAACAGAGTTCTCCCCAAACCCATGGGACCAAGTTCATTTTATGGCCTGACAAGAGAGGGGGTTTGGTTTCAGGGGCACCACCAGATGACGGTGTGTCCTATTTCCCATTGGGCACTGATCTGGACAGAGATGTACATGAGGAAGGGCAATGGTACTTCTGTCCCTCGAGCCAATCATCGGTGTGTATAACGCGCCTTCTATGTCCATCTGCGCCCATCTGTGCGGCAGAAAGAGGGGGAGATGGGTCATCGTAGACAGCCAGCAAGAGATTGGATCATCCCCTGGTCATCTTTCATGGAGCAATTGTCTATTGTTTTCTTATTTATCATAGCACTTGAGACTGAATCTATTCCGGGTGATCTCTTTATTCTACATATATGAATCAATGACCCAATATGCCGTTATGAGACATCCACTCTTCTCTATAGGTTAATCTAGACAAAGATTCTCCCTTTGAAACCTTGTACAATTGTCTCCCTTTTAAAACCTACGAGCATCGCCACTGTACAGGGGTGCCCCGGATGTCACCCTCGCGCCACCTGGTACTTGGTGATACTTGGTGATACTTGTCAACCCCGCATTTACTCGTCAGATGATCTGGGCTATATAGGGGTCATACAAAGGTAAATAAACCCTCATCTTCACATTACTCTCTACTCTCTACTCTCTACTCTTCTCTTTTCACTCTCCACTCTCCATTCTATTCAGTCAGAACTTTCCTTCTTATCCGTGAAAACACCCACTGTCATCGCAAAGATGTCTGCGCCCGTTGGTCCTATCATGCAGCAGCTCGCTACCCTGCCAGCTCGCTCAAGACAGGGTCTGAGCAACCTACGACAGAGACTCTTCCAGCAGGGTACGTTTTCCCCCTTCTCTCCTCCCAGCAACAAAATCATGTCAATACTAATATCTTGCAGGTGAGAAGCCAAAGAAAGAAAGTCACTTTCTTCGAACCTCTTTCAGTGCCCATCGTCCCGTATGGGTTACCGCTGCTGGTGGTGCTTATACCAGTCTCGCCGCTGTTTATCTCACTATGCGCTACCTAAGACGTATTCGATAAATGCCTACCACTACTATCATGATCAATCCCTTCGATTCTCAACACATATTTTCTTGCAACGATTACTACCATCGAACGTCTCACTTCTCTTCCGTGCTTGTTATGATTTGTCTTGGAGGATATGCCCGTTGTGGCTGGACCTTTCTTTTGTTATTTCTACATCTCGAAGATTTCATAGGTACTCCGTTCATGCCATAGAGTGGCATAGATACGCATGGACTTTAGGGCTACTATTACCCTGAATACAATATCAATATCTCTTAAATAACCACATTGGGAGATGTATCGTATTACTTTAATGGCCATGGAAGTAAAAATGATGACGAAGATTGATCCAACTCAGTTTCGCGAATCTTACAACCAGGGAGTAAAATATTCAAATTTGTGCGCGACCCAGGCTGCAGTCGAACGCATCTAGTATAGATTAGTAATATTACCTCTTCGAAGCACTGACATTTTGTCAGGAACTTACTTTTTTGCCTTTCCTTTTATATGATTTTACTTCCAATTTATCTTCGGCCCTCTACGGTGATGAGTCTTGGATGACCTGCAGCGCAGACCAAGTGTCCAGGTTAGACACCGCAGTTTTCCCTTTCTCTGTACTTCTCGGTGCAGAGTCCGCCCCATCTATTTTCGGTTAGGGGGAAATACTTCAACCTATCACCGCTGATCTCTTACTCGGGGCGTCGTCACTGTGCTGATGCATGATTTCATGGTTTTTCCATGGCCTTGGTGCCTTTTACCCCACTCTGAATATTGGGGTCGGTTGCCATAGCTTAATAATTATGAGAATTTTAGCGTCAATGTTATCGTAGGGTCAAAATGGGATCGACTGAGTTGACTACTACCAGACTTGAACATCTTGGATGAAGAAACATTTCTAAACTTAATTTAAGTTGGTTTCTCTGCGAATGAAGTTTTATAGTTCAAATTGGAAAGAATAGTAAGTTCCACGGCTGTATACGTGCTAATTCACACTTCGTACGAATAAAATTGATGCCAATATCCGTAGCTATCGGCTGCCAATCAAAAGTATGGCCTCATAGATTTATAGGGGTTTCCTCTGTTCCGATATACTTCTTTGCTATCGTGACTGCAGATAGGTGCGGCTCCCAATACTTCAAATGCTCTATTCATACATGAAAGCTATGTGCGATTCACAATTAGCCAAACTTGAACCTGTATATAAAGGTTGCTCCCCCGTTATTCGGACCCACATGGGCAAATCTTCAACTTTCAGGGCTGCCTGCAACCTTAGAGTTGTTCCCAGTCTTAGTTTGTAATGCTTTGGTTGCCGTGGTAACTGCTGGTACGTGCAGGTTAGATTCGCATAATGTTATATTAACTTGGGATGAGGTCATTCATCTTCGACATCTGGAGTGTACTGTCTCCACTTACATGAAACATCCGAGCTACCAAGGTAGATCTCGGAGGAGTTTACTTGGAGTGGAAACAAGAGAAGTATTAACGTGAGTACATTTAGATGCACAATTTGAAGCAGACTTGAAATTTGAAAAAATTGCCCCTGGCCTTATGCATGGAAGGGTTACCACAGGGTACTGGCGTCGAAAATGTTTTAACAAACCCTTAGCCACTAATGGTCGTACGGATTTAGGTACCGGCCTTGGAGCTTGAATTTATCCTCAAGAAATGCTTCTATCCAACGGCGTGCTTCATCGCATCTGGATATAGTCCCCAAGGTTTCCCTCTAGTGCATAAATGGCTGACGACTCCGAGTCCTTCTGGTCTCCCATTTCTCGGGGAAAAGCCACCGACGTTGATTCCGCATTAGATATTAAAAATGTGGGGGTTTTTTCAAAGCTTACCCGTATAGTCAAAATGCCGAAATATAGACTGCATAACAATTATCGACTTAAGAATGCCCATGGCTTTAGTCAACTGACTGTTCCAGGTTTAAAATTTTCTCTTTACTTGTTTGCCTGCCTGTTTGAGTCAGCATTGAACTAGGTATTGACTACATGGATGATAGAAGCTTGCAAAAGAACTCCGATTTAAATTGTGTTTTTCTCGAGCTATTGCGATATCTATTTCCGTAGTAAGCGGGGTAGGTATGGCCTTGGGATTTCAAGTTGAATTAGTCAGTCTATAGTTTTTATATTTAAATCCTAGGATCATATATGCACCTCACTCCTTGAATAGCATGTCCCTTGTAATCGGGTATCATGCCTGTGGCTCCGAGGAGCATCATGATGCGGGCGATGAATTCAGTATGTCAGATAATAAAATAATTGCAAGGTCATGTTATTATTGTCAAATCATTTATCCGGAGCTCATACAAGTACTACCCCATTGTACCCAATTTTCTCTAAGCGAGGCATCACGGTCCGCCAACAACGGATAAACCCCACAGTGGCACCGACGATGATATAGTGATATCCATAAGGCTAACGTAGGCTTCGAGACCCCCTCATGCGGAGAACTAAATTGATGGTCTTAAATAGTAAGCTTTTTGAGCGAATTTCTGATTCACCTCGGAGCTTTCAATTCCCCTGCTTTTCCTTAGACTAGACTTGGATAACATGAGACTTGGCACTTGCTGAATGAGATTATCGGCTGCAGGACTTCTTATCCTGGAAAGCTTGATCCGAACTTCTATTTTCATCTACCGGAAGAAAAGAATCCCGAGCGCTTCGGGCCCTATTTTTGGAACGGCATAGCCAGTTAGCAGGTGGATAGTAGTGCATTAGGTGATTTTGCACGGTCCCCGGTGGGTCATTTAAAAGCTTAAGTGTGCATATGCGCCCCGCACCCCAATTTCCTTGTTCATTGTTGGAGACATCTCCCTCGCATGAAATCCGATCCGCTTTTTATGATACTACCCAGGCTCAAGCACATTGGATTTTACCTCTGTTGTATTCAAAATGAGAGAGAGAAATTTGGAGAAATAGTGGCTTGTATTGCGAAGTTAATCCTTTAGATGGCATGATGTTAGCTAACTTCTACTGATCAATGATCATCATGACTTTCCATGAGAAGATACTTGCTGAGCTTCTATTTCTGATGCCGAGCGGGGATCATCAGGGTTTAAAAGCTCTTCTATCCCCGATTCATAAAGTCATCAATGTCAATCATTTAACCCCTCTTTTCTCGGAGATTTCCTGAAATAGAGCGCAAGGTTGATAGGCCCCGCTAGGTTCCAACTTGCTGCATGGATACATGAACACGGCACGTTGATGGATACTATGGACAAGATTGAGTCATCGCCTCCATTGGAATTGCCGGTCCTCCCGTTATGTGAGGGGAAGTACCTTTGGGAAATGGCATACAAGGAAATGGGAGTGGGAACTGCCCGTTTGAAAATAGCTATAAAAAGGGGATAGGCATGCCTCTATAGCTTGAGATCTCAGCAGGAATTTTCTTCATTGTCAAGGACGTACTATCTCACGCTCCTTCCCAAGTTCTCTTTTGGGTGAATCATTTTCTCACTGTTCATCTCCTTCGATATCCTTTGTACCATGAAGTTTAACCATATATCATGGGGAGTCGGTCTACTCCCCATGTGTTTGGTTGGTACTATCGCTGCACCGACCAAAAGGGCTAGCAATCCCCCGTTGAGAGGGTCGGAAGCTTTAGTCGGATATTCCACTACAGAGAATATTGCTAGTGGAACTCAACCCGATATCAAGTATAGCCTTCTTCCGGGACAAAAGGAGAATCCAGATATTGGTTCCTACTTGGACTTCGAAAATGTTGATAACCCTCAGCCCATCCGGGGCTCCACTGGTAGTGATGATCCGGGTCCACGTGAGTTCAATATTCCGACATCTTTATGGCAACGGAGATAATTAACCCTTGGTGCTACAGGAAATTACTGGTACGACAGAATAAACAGCGATAAACTGGCACCTCCTGGTACAGACAATGGCCAAACTATCAATGCACAGTGGCCTATGGGTAGGTTCCAAAACTCCTTCAAATGATAAACTTTTACTGACTGTCAGGGTAGGTCTTAGTCACAATCGGTATGTGGGACCGTTCTTACTCAACTTAGCATCCAGACTAACATCACGAAAGGCTTGGTATTGATGGCGCCGGGTGGGCACGCCAAGAAAACACCGTGGTTATGCCTGATGCTACCGATATGGCCGGGGTTGATATGCGACTTGAACCCGGTGGATATCGTGAGTTGCATTGGCACGTGGCTGGAGAGTGGTCTTTAGTACTCAATGGGTCTTGTCGAATTCAGGTGTGTAAACAAATGGACTACGGCGACAATTTTAGCCATACTCATCATTTCTATAGGCTGTCAATCCAGATGGACAGACATTTGTTGATGACCTAACAGCAGGCGATGTTTGGTTCTTCCCCCCGTACGTTACTTTGAAACTCCCTTGCTGCTTTGCCTTGAAGTACCGCTGATTCTCCATACTTAGGGGCGTCCCCCATTCAATTCAGGCATTGAGTGACGGCGTTGAGTTCCTCTTGGTCTTTGATCAGGGTGACTTCAATGAAGACAATACTTTCCTTGCAACAGAAGTCTTCCTTCATACCCCTGTGAGTTCATCACTAGTACCCGGTCAGTCTTGACTAGTTCAATACTTATTTTATTTCATACAGAAATCCGTTCTATCCAAGAACCTGGGTGTTCCTGTCTCCGCATTCGATAACATTCCAGATGACGAGTTATACATTTTTGAAGGTACTCCTGCACCAGAAGATATTGAAGAGCAAAACGTCACCACGCAGTCTGGCGTAGTCCCCCGTACCCAAAGCTACTCATATCATTTCTCGGAGCAGCCGGCACACGAGGTAGCTGGGGGCTCCGTTAAAATCGTCGACCCACTCACATTCCCCATTGCTAGTAATTTCTCAGCTGCTATTGTTACTGTTCACCCTGGTGGAATGCGTGAGATTCATTGGCACCCTACTAGTGATGAATGGACTTTTTTCATCCAAGGCCAAGGACGGGCAACACTTTTCACGGCACCAGATGCCGCAACAACGTTTGACTATCGAGCTGGAGACGTGGGCTACTTCCCTCAGTCCAACAGTCATTATATTGAAAACACGGGAGATGAGGATCTGATGTTTGTAGAGGTACTACAAGCTTCACAATTTACTGGTACGTCTCTCTGCCCCTATGTCTGTTAGATTTATTTCTAATCGTCATGATTCCTTAGATATGGCACTTGGACAATGGCTTGCCTCTACCCCGAAGCAGATTGTGGCGGATACTTTAAATCTTAGTGACAGTACACTCAGTCAACTTAAGACTGAGAAGCAATATGTTGTCGCTGGCTCTACTAGTGATTAAACATTACCAAATCAGTGGGTCGGAAATTTGTTTGCTTATGTTCTGATGAATCTTTCATGGTCTATTCAAGACAAATATTAAGATTCGAGTTATTTTACTGCCTCCCAGACGCAGACGCGGGTGTACTGCTATATATAATAGTAGCATGTTCAAGTTTTCTTATAGTTATCTGTCTAGTTGGAAATTTTGAGTGTCACATATATTGCATATTCGGCCCTGTGGTGTCCTCAGGAGTACTACTAGTATTAGGCCTCTCACATCCCCCACATCGATAGTTGAACACAATGGTCCACTCACCACAACTTCAAGCTCTAGTGCTTAGTAACTTCTCTGTACCTAATTATTTACTTGTACTCTGTACATCTGCACATGTGCATAGCCACACATAGCAGCTTACGGTGTCGTTTAGGCAGCAGGGTTCCACTTACAGCTCTTCAATCTCCCGCCGCTTTATTACTCACATTCCCTCACCAAATATTTGAGGACTATCCACTTTTTTATTGCTGAAGTCAATAGATACACTGAAAACTGAAAACGCCCAGCAGCTAATGCTACCAGCTCTTGATTCCACCATGTCGTGCCAATCAAAGCAGAAAGGCAATCTCAAATCTGGCACAACCACCATCGGTGATAACAACTCCATCGCGCGTTGCAAACTCAAAAACTGCGAAGTCACAGGATCTTGGCTAAAAGGCTGCACTTTCGAAGATTGCTTACTCTCTCAAGTTCGCATTGCGCGAAGGACCACAGCTACCAAATCATATTTCCACGATGTCCACGCTGTTAAAAGCAGTGATATCTCCGAAAGCACGATGCGCGACGGAAGCGCTGCAAAGCGCTGCACCATGGTCGCATCCACAATCAAAGATGCATCTAAAGTGAATCGGAGCACCTTGGCCAATTGCACCATTTCAAAGGGCGACCTATGGAGGTCAACGTTGAAAGATTGCAACGTCGAGGAATGCGTGATATACCGCTCAAATTTTGAAGGGTTGACTTTGAAGTATGGAGTCTGGAAACGGGGAAAATTAGTATCAAGAGTGGCCGATCGTGTGCCAATCGCAATACGAAAGGATGGATCTATGATAGTAAGTGAGACCTACAAATCCTCCACGGTGAGGTTTTCGCAGCAACTAAGAACGCTATAGACGTTTCCTCTCCAATCTGTAAGCGGCTATCCTCCTCATTCAAATCTGACTACGCAGCCTCGAAGTCATGATGATGAAAACAGAGCTCTTAGTGATGATTCGGATGGGACTTTTGATGAGAATTATTCGGATACGGAGAAAGATCTACCCCCACCATACGAGGTTTGAAATCGAGAATGAATTTTGAAAAGGGGAGGGTACGCTCTATTCGGTTTCTTTAATTACAGGAGTTCTTTCATGGGTCTATAGCCTACGTTATAGGTTTATAAGAGAAATACAAAACAATGACTTTGTAGCATTTATATCTTGTCTTGCAGTACGGGGGACGATATACCACGCCAGTAGAAGCATGGTGATTTATTAAATGTGTACACATTGAAATTTATAATAAAAGAAGAGAAAGAACATAATGGTAGGGGCTATGCGGACAGGATGTCGATCACAAGTCATAACAATCATCGCCAGATTACGGATAGTATCTGAACTGGATCAACCCTGGAGCTTCACAGAAATTTATTTCTTCAACGCTGCGCAGCCAAGAGCAAGAGTTCCGCCCTGTTTTGAGTCAGTAATTAGTCTTGTCTCTGAATCTTCAATTGTCAATGCAAACTTACAAGAAGGTTGGCCTCGGTACAGCACTGGGGAGCAGAGGAACAGGTGCTGCTTTCGTAGGGGTCACCTAAAAGGAGGTTAAAACTGTTGGCCATCTGAAGAACGATTTCAAGGGAGCATACATAGAAGTCCAACGGAGCCAACAATCTTCGCTGCGTTGATACCAAGGTCCTCCAGAATTGGGTCCACGATATGGTCCAAAGGAGTGGTCAAAGAGCCACAGCAGAGAAGCGAACCCACGCAGTCCGAAGTCTCAGACTGGTTATCAACGGTTGTACCACTGAGTGCAGCGGCAGCTTGGTGCACTTTCTCGACAGCAGAAGCGTTGCTGCGCTTCACAGAGACGATGTCAGAGCCTTGAGAAGGCAGAGCAGATGCCATGCCGACGAGGAAGAGGGCGGAAGGAAGAGTGAAATGCATTGTGATGGAGTAGGAAGATTTCAACCTGAGAGTGTTTAAAAGACCTGAGGAATTTGCTGTCACCTGACGGAAGATGTTTGGAATGATTCTGGGAGTTCTCATCGAGGAACTTTCATGTTCTTTATATAACTTTTTTTCGGCCAGAGACTTGCCTGGGAGAATGTACCATAATGATCCCCATCATTGTAACTTTTGGCTTAGTAGAGAACTTCACCAAACATCCCAAAAATGCCTTATCAGTGACGTATAGGAAGTTCATGCTCACCGGGGCTGAGGTTTAGAGGATGCATCCTTGGTCTTGAAAATCTCACATGTCCAAAGTATTGATCTAGGACACTCTAGATAGGCATTATCTTCTTGAAAAAATCGAATCATAGGTTGAGTCTCAGCGAAAGCATAGATACGCCAGGAGAGTAATGTCTTGGATGGATCAAAGATCGACATGGTCCATAGATCGATTCTATTGAAATCTTCGATCATCGACCTCAATATTAAGCTGTAAACTTCTAAGCGACCTTCCTTGGCTGTCGATCATTCTTGGTCCGAGTATATCATTGGATCGCCAGGTGCCTTGGATTCTTGGTTATATTCATGATTCGCTGAACTATTGAATTGGTTCTTCTCTGGTTCCTGTTCCTGGCCGCAATGGCCTTATCAGTGGGCCCCCATCGACCCGACATGTTGGTTGCGAGGTGCATCTTGCCAAGGCGTTCATCCACTATGATGAACTAGCAGATCCTCAAGACAAAAGGAACCAATCAACTATGGAAGAGGATTGAAATTAATTCTCGGACAACAGTTAGATGATCTAGAGGTGTAAATTGGTTATTTGTCATTTCTAAGCTCTCATTGAATCTTCTAGTTGGTCTGAACAGCTATGATAAGTTTCTTTCCGTTGATTGCTCCGCTTCGACCCACTTCGCGATGAACCGCCGGAACCGCAGTTGATCGTAGGCTCTATTTTTACTTGATTTCATAGAAATTTTTCGGACCGAGGCTCATACTTGGTCTATGGGTTGGATTATGCAGGCTATACATCGGATCTTTAGTCGATGTACTCGTATATTTTACGGTTTGTAGATCCATTGTTCTTCCCCGACACTGATAAGCGCCAGAACTTGAATCATTACGAGAAGATAATTGGGCTTGAAATGATATGCTAATCTTGAGACAAAGAAGAGAAAATCTGGCTAAGTCAATCCAACCCCTTGCAAATATTCATTTTTGGCTGTCATTGAGTCCATAGGTGGCGATATGCTTTCATGGAATGTTATTTCCAGTTTTTGTCTTCTCCGAATTTTTCTCAATCGAGCACACCTTCTATTTCAACATTGTTTTATCCCTCGTTAGGTCCAGAAGTACAAAATTCTAAGCTTGTCAAGTCTTGTCAAGTATGAAGGGCCCAGATATACTTCTCCGGATCACGTGGTGTGGCTGTACACTGTGGCTGAACTCCACCCTAGCCACATCCACTCGCGACACAAAAACTTCCCGGCGATAATCTCAACCCCACGCAAAATACCTATTTTTGGCCTTTTTGCTCAATTCATCCTGCAAAATGGCTCCTACCTCGATCGCCGACCTGGTGGCCGCCCTCCCCTCGGAGGACTCTTGGGGTCCTTCCTCATCTGCCGACAACATGCTGAACGGCGTGCCCTATGCGCCCTTCTCGAAGGGTGACAAGTTGGGCCGTATGGCCGACTGGACTGCTGAATCCAAGGACCGTGATCGCCAGGGTCGTCAGCAGTATAACCGCAACTTCAGAGGTAACTTTTTCACTTTTCTTTCGCTTCTATCCTCTCATCATTTTTCTTCTTCTTTCTCTTTGTGCCTTTACCGTGATATCGCAAGCCGCAGTTTACTGACTTTTTTCTCTCCTCTCGCTTCTTCTAGACCAACAAGTTTATGGTGCCGGTTCCTCCAGTCTCTTCACTGTTCAGGCTGCTGAAGATGAGTCTTCTTTCTCCGTTGTCGACAACACTCGCACATCCGCCAAGCGCACATTCGGTCGTGGAGGTGGCACCGTTTTCCGTGGCCGTGGTCAGCGTGGCGGTATGGCTGGACAGCGTGGTGGCCGTGGTGGTTTCCAGCGTGCCGGTGGTGGCCGTGGTCAGGGTGACCGCTACTACGATAACCGCGGTGGCCGTGGTGGCGGCGGCCGTGGAGGTCGTCGCTTTGGCTGGAGGGACTACGACAAGCCTCAACGCACTCGTGAGGCATCTGTCAACATTCGCGCCGACTGGCAAATGCTGGAGGAGGTTGACTTCAACCGTCTGTCCAAGCTGAACCTTGAGACCCCCGATGGCGAGGAGCTCGACTCCTACGGTTTCCTCCACTACTACGACCGCTCTTACGATCGCCCCCCTGTCAAGAACGCCGAGCGCAGAATCCAAACCCTCGACCGTGCTGCCTACAATGTTACTACCTCGCAGGATCCCGTCATCCACGAGCTTGCCGAGAAGAACGAGGCCACTGTCTTCGCCACCTCCGATATTCTGTCCATGCTCATGTGTGCTACTCGCAGTGTCTACTCCTGGGATATTGTCATTACCCACCAGGGCAACAAGATCTTCTTCGACAAGCGCCCCGGTGCTTCGATGGATTTTGTCAGCGTCAACGAAAACGCTCAAGACGCTCCTCTCGAGGTTGCCGAGGCCAATGGTAAGCTAGACCAGATCAACACCCCAGGCGCTCTGGCTATGGAAGCCACTTTCATCAACCACAACTTCGCCCTCCAGACCGTGACCGAATCCGAGGAGGCCAAGATCCCCTTCTCTAAGCCCAACCCCTTCTACAACGAGGCTGAGGAGACTGAGCCTCTCGCCTCCAAGGGTTACAAGTACCGCCGCTTCGATATCTCTCTGGAGCGCGATGAGGAGCCTTTGCAGATGATTGTCCGTACCGAGGTTGACGCTGTTATGAAGAGCCCAACCGGTGGTGCCGATCAGCAGCTGATCGTCAAGGCTCTCAACGAGTTCGACAGCAAGGTTCCTGGCTCTGGCGGCGCCCTTGACTGGCGCAGCAAGCTTGTCTCCCAGCGTGGTGCAGTCATCGCCACCGAGATGAAGAACAACTCCTGCAAGCTCGCTCGCTGGACCACCCAGGCTATCCTTGCTCAAGCCGATGGCATGAAGCTTGGTTTCGTCTCCCGTGCTAACCCTCGCTCTGCCGCTGGTCACGTTGTGCTCGGCGTTGTTGGCTACAAGCCCCGCGAGTTCGCTACTCAGATGAACCTGAACCTTGGCAATGGTTGGGGTATCGTTCGTACCATTGTGGACCGCATCCGTGGTCTTGATGCTGATGAGCCTGTTGATGCTGTGAAGAAGTACGTCCTTATCAAGGACCCCAACCGCTCCGTGCTGCGTCTCTACAGCGTCCCTGCTACTACCTTCGAGGAGGATGAGGAACTCGAGGCCGAGGAGAAGAATGAGGATGAGGAGGAGGAGGAGAAGGATGAGTAATTTCTCCTTGTGGTCTGATACGCTTTCTATTTTATGTCTGGACTAGATCTCCATTTCTTTTTGTTTACTTGGACTGTGCATATGCAAAAGTTTGATAAGAATTACGAACCAAATCTTTATGCCTGAATATCTGAACGTATTTCATTACAATTCTGCTTAGTCCATTCCAGTAAACGGGTCCCGGGGGGGTATTGCATGTTAATTTAAACTCATCCACGTCAACCATGGCTGCTCTTGGGCATCCATTGTACCATCTAGCCAATCCAGAAACGGGCCTCGATCATCGATATCAATGCCATCCAGTAAATCTGCACTTATAAGTGTGGAGTCATCAATATCGAAACCTATGGGATCAGCCGCGGGAGGGAACGTAAGCACATTTGGAGCAGAAAGAACTTGATCCAAAACACAACGGATAGATCTCTGGCCTTGCTGTGCAATTTGATAATTTCCTTCCTCGGATCGAACTAATGCTCCAAGATGTGATGCGAAGATGCTTAGTTTCTGGATAACTTCGGAGCGGGAGCGAGTTGGGGCCTCGGGCGTTCGTAGTCGAGATTGCCGTAACAGGTCGGCTGATAAAACACCAGCTGAAGGAAGTCCAGCATGGCAAAGCTGGTATCAGATTTTGAATTAGATTTTCCTCTTCTTTCGTGGGTCAAGGAAGGTATGGTCTACTTACAAGCCATGAAATATTCGGTCTCATAGTCGGATATTCAAAGGTTCTGTCAACCATTGATAAAAGTGCGTTCATGATCTCTAAGGACAGGCTGATAATTCGCTCTGGTTGAATGTTGGTTCGTTTCGTGAGAATCCTATACAGCAAGAAATCGTTGTATAGGTATTCAAGATGCAAGTCGACTAAAAGACGATCGTCCCAATTTGAGCCTGCGGTATTTGCATTAGGATCCCAACGTAGGAAAGCAGGGAGCTCCTGGTATTGCTTGTGTATATCTTGAGACAACTCTCTGGGGAAGCAAATATCAGCATCACTCATTCATCTTGTTTAGGATAATCAATTGTATATAGGGGAAGGGGTTCTCACTCAACCCGCTCTGGTAGATCTTGTGTCTGACAGAGAGATAACTCTAAAACCTTTTCGCGAATGATGGCCCCTATCAAAGTGACGCGTGCGCATGCACCCCGTTCCAAAGACCCATCCTGATTCCAGCCTGCACTATCTAGTCCCTCAATAGCAGCTTCTATCTCGGCCGGCTCCGCATTTATTTGTTCGCAACTAAGATCCAACGGCATTCGAAGATCACAATATCGCCCGCTAATCAAGGGAGGTCGCCCAAGAAATGTGGCAAGCGCTTTATCCATGGCATAGGATCCTACCATTGATCGCTTACGCATCTCACGAAGGAAAAATGGACAATTCTTAGACTCTTGGTGGAGTCCCAATGCGAAGGTCGTAGAGGCCAAGTCGCCGAGCTTTCGCCATGGTCGATAATCTAGAGTTTTGACACAGATAAATAATTAGATAGGCTTATTACGTGGGGATCTATCGATTTCCAAGCTCGTTATTATGAATGACATACCACTGTCCCCGTAGACAATTGTCAGGAGAGAAATATGATGTAAAAGAAGCCAGCATTGCATATCGTTGATTATTCCAGCACTGTCGCAGAATTGAAGACATAAGTCCCCAATCGCAGTCGAAATCAGGGAGATCTTTTCCGATTCGTAATTTTTATCGTGGTATTCATCCATATTCACAAAATGGCCATTTGGGAGGTATTCCGCTGCCAACCCAATGGTAGTGAATAATAACCCGATTGTTTCCCAGCGACCCGCAAATGCAGATGCGAATTCGGCTAGGGTTGTGTTTGAGTGGATTTCTATAGGTTGGTTGTGCTTTTCAAACAGCCTTCTTGACATTAGTAATGTCTGATGTGCTTCATCTGGTTCTTCACTTTGAATAGAAGCCCATATCTCTTCTGTCGATGTCAGAATCATATTTGTGATCGGCCAACCAAGAGACCATCCTTTCCAAATCTTGTAGCGTGCTGTCAGTATTTCTCGGTAGATAGGGAGATGTTTTAACAGAGCCAGTGCTCGGGCTCCCAGTTGAATTCGTTCCAGGTTGACCGAGATAGAATCTGGAGAAGACGAAGGGCCTCCTATCTGCAATCCATTTTCGCCGTCTGCAAACACATCGAAGTAACTTGTTTGTCCAAGAAAGCCCGGGGTGGACCACGAGGCTTTCTTCTGGCTCCAATCATCAGATTCATTGCTTGATCCAGCGGATAGCGGTATTTTTTGTTTTCTCCGTTTTCCTTGTGGGGGGTTGTTAGTCGTTAGTGGTGCTGGGTGGTAGATACACAGATGCTCCCTGTTGCGGCGGACGCATCTCCCACAGACAGGGGTTGTGTGGTCGCAACGTAACTTTGATTTGCGGCATGGCTCACAGGACCACAGCTGACCATTTCGTCGTGTTGTCGGCATTGTTTCAAGTGTACTCAAGGAACCTGGACTACGAAAAAGATTCAAGATGAGGGGGATGGGATGCTTAGTCGGAGTTCGGAGTTCGAAGGTCTAAACGGTTTTAGTTCATCTCTTGGCGTTTGAACTCCGATATTGGATATTTCTTGTTTTGAGCATGGAATTAGCAATGCAGTATACTATAACTGGTTAGTGTTGTCTGGGAACTAAGTTTGAGAGAGCTTGCAATATTACTGACGCATCGAACTCCGAGTTTAATTCTTTTGTCCGATGTTGCTCAGCCCCAGAATTAGTAGTGCGATTGAGTCACTACTAGTACTATCTACTATATAAACCCCACGTTCTACTCCGAGTCCTTCAAGTTCAAGTTGAACAATACCTAGTACCTACTAGTACTACATCTTACCTACCCTTCCATCATTTCAACCTTTGAACTAAATATCATATTTGATCATCCAACTATTACTCCCGTTTCAATATGCCTACCCTCGGCAAAATCCAAGAAATTTGGCGGAAAACCTCAAGATCATCTGGAGTATGTATCTGGCTGGCTTCAAAAATGGCAAGATGAAATCACGATGAATACTTATATGTATATTCAACAACAATAGATAGAAACAGACACAGAGAGCTTGAAGAATGAGACAGCCCCTCTGATTTCAGCCTCCAATGCTCGGCAATCAACGTTGAATGCGAAAAGGCAGGAATTCACAGCGAAGAGACCGTTCGAACAAGCTCCATATAGTAAGTCCGTTTCTTTTCAGTCGCGGTGTCCTTTTGTAACAGGTAACTGACGAGGACCTGCGTATTAGGTATGATTTCGGGCAATGCATTGAGGTTTTAGATTCTTTGTATTATGAGTTCTATGAAAATATCCAATAATGACATTTATGTTCTCTCATTTGCGATCAATGGAATTTGGGTATCCTGGATTAGTACTAAAGTAAGAGTTAGTCCTTCTTTTTGTATATTATACACTGTAAACCCCCGCCAGGATCGACATGGTGGATCCCGGATATTAACCGAGACAGCCTTAAGCATCAGGGCCCCGCTATTATTCAGGATTCGGGATATCATATATATAAGAATTGCCATACATACACTAATCCGAGCTCTGAACTGATATCCTGTCTGTTAGTGGCTTTCTTTGGTGCTTGGATGTGGAGGCAATCCCAGGCAGTTAATTGGATGTCGATCATCTGCAGCTCCAAGCCGCGTCCTCGGTTCAACGTCAGATAACTCCAGCTCGATTTATCTGATAGTACATTCATCACCCAAACACCATGGACAATATATCAGCTTCTCCTCTGGAAATAATCATTTGTGTTGTTTCCATTATCGCCACAGCTATCATAATCAGATTCAAATGGACAACTTCGCAATCGCGTCGTCTGCCACCTAGTCCGCCCCAGAGCCCCATTTGGGGACATCTCCGCATGATCCCCAAAGATAATCCGGAACGCCAGTATGTTAAATGGGGGCAGGAGTATAACTCGGATATACTTTACTTCAACGTCCTGTCCCAACCAATAGTCGTCCTGAACAGTGTCGAAAGCGCTCATGAACTTCTGGATAAACGAGGAGCCAACTTTGTGGATCGTCCACGATTCGTTGTCTACGAAGTTATGGGATGGGGCGTCACGCTTACTTTCCTCCGTTGGTCTCCTCGTTTCAGACTTCATAGGAAGCTACTTCAACAATCTCTTACTCAGTCTGCCTGTAAACCGTATCGACCCATTCAGTTGGAAGAGGCGAGGAGAGCTATAAAAGCTATTCTTCGAAAGCCGCATGACTGGGAGTTTCTTCTGCGTCAGTTCTCAACGGCCGTTGTCTTACGCATCGGATTCGGGATCGATGTTCAAGATGAGAATGATCCTTACGTGAAGATGGCTATTGATGTCGAAGAAGCCACGGGGAAAGGAGGAGTTCCTGGGGCTTCAATTGTTGATTTCTTCCCTGTGCTTCGATTTCTGCCCAGCTTTATGGAGAGGGTATCGGCTGCTTTTCAGCCTCTTGCTCATGCACGCCGGACGCGACCATCTATTCAGCATTTGCATGATGCACCGTGGGATGCAACTGAGCCATCTATACGTTCGGGTAAAACATGGCAGCCTTCGTTCATGTTAACGCACTTTAGCAAATATCTTGAACATGAAAAGAATGGCACTCCTGGCGAGGCGAGTATTGCTGACATTAAAGGCGCAGCGGGGGCTATCTCCATTGCAGGTGGTAATACCACTTGGTCTACGATTATTGTCTGTATACTCAACCTCATACTACACCCTGAAATACAAAGGAAAGTTCAAGAGGAAATACATCAAGTGCTCGGCCTCGATGAAGAAGGGCATATATCTCGTCTTCCTAATTTTGAAGATAGGCCGCATCTGAGATACCTGGAGCTTGTTATTCAAGAAGCGACACGCTGGGCTCCCTTATCGCCGCTCGGTGTCCCCCATGCTTCTCTTGAAAATGACTGCTATAAGGGTTACCATATCCCGAAAGGATCGGTCGTTTTCGCCAATGCCTGGGCAATGTCGCGGGATGAGCGTCATTACTCTTCGCCTGATGAATTCCTTCCACATCGGTTCATTCCCAAATCCGAAGGAGGCAAAGGAGAACCTTTACCTGAAGGACCATTTGGTTTTGGAAGGAGAGTTTGTCCCGGTCAGCACTTGGCACTTGCAGGTGTCTATATCGCGTTGGCAACACTGGTGGCTACAATGGATTTAAATTGCCCCGTCGATGAAAATGGTAGAACAATTAAACCACACGTCACGTTCTCGAGTGGACTGAGTGGTGTTCCGAATAGTTTTCCATGCGTTATCACGCCGAGGTCAGCAGAGGTGAAGTATTTACTTCTAGGAGATTAGATATTGGATATACTACAGTTAACCCGATCAACATCCTACTCCTTGTAAGAAGAGCTTGGGTATAATATTATCTAAGCCTCTAGAATTACCTTAGTGAAGGTATTATAGGAGACGATTAGACCGATGTTTGCAAAAACCATTAACTATTGGAAAGACGTGGAGTGTAATATGACGTTAAATTGCGTATTCAAAGCCTACTCATTCTAAAACTTGAAGTAGCAAAGAGTGGGATTATTTATGGCGTGGAAGTAGTATATCAAAGTACTAGGCACATGTGCAAAGTAAACAAGCAAAAGTTAAGGAGATCAATTGGAGAAGTCCAGTATAGATCACACATATGAAGGTAAGAGGGATGATAGATGGAGACCAACATCCATTTCATGAAGACCAGCAAGATGAACAAAGGAAAAGCCAAAATTATCAACTCCCGCGGTGGATGGCTCTGCCACGCACCCATTTTTCAATATATACATCGCCAAAGGGAAAGAGCAGAAAGATCAAGCAATACAGAAAAGAACCAAGTAGAAGTGGTGAAAGTGGTAGAAGTGTCAGGAAGACAGTATAACAATGAGAATAAAGAAAGATAAACCAGATGTCATCATCACCTATGGCTCCGAGGTGGATGAATCAAAGACCGAAAGCAAAGAGGTAGGAATCAAGTTTCACTCCGTATGCGGCGCCAAAGAAAATCAATATGTTGCAAAAAACAAAGAAAAACAAAAACAAAAACAAAGAACATGAAGATTCGTTGATCGTTTCCTATCGGGTTGAAGGATGTCGAAGATGCTGCTTTTCCTCGCTATTTCCCTCATGCGTAGATGGAGTCGCCGCGGACACGAGTCACGCCCAAATCAACCTTAGTTCCCAGTACGCTGCTCAGGCAATCCATGAGCTCGAAGTCTTCCACGACGGCACCGAATCCATAGCAGCGCACTTTGGTGTTAAGGGTATCAATGATGATTCGGATGTCTTCGCGACGGAGAGAGGGGTAGAGCTCGTGGTTCTTGAGACATTGCAGAGCCATAATCGGGGTGATTTGTCCGTCCGTCACGAGCTGTCGACTGAGGTTGAGGAGAGTAGAAAGGTTGGCATGTGGCAGATTTGGGGCTTTGTGCGGGTACGGCGTTTCAGCTGTGGTCGTGGCGATGTAGCTCGGGGGTGGGCAGGTTGCCATGAGCGCATGGCCCGAGAATGGCATATCTTCGTCGTCGGCCTCGGTCACAGACCGTCGGCAGAGGTAGTCTGTATGTTCACGGCACGGCCCTTCCAATCTGTGGAGATGCATTTATTGGTTAGTGACAATGATCTTCTCGGGGTGTTTGGTTGATTTTTCTATTTGAGATGGTAAGACACGACGTACGTTAAGATGAAGTCGATCTGAAGCTGGGGGTCAGTTTCAAAGACGCCGCCCTTCATCGCCGCGCCCTTTATCGCTGCGGGTACCACGGGATCTACCGTTTGACACGCAGATCGATCGAAACTGACGGGTTGTTCACCGGCACCAGAGTGATAAACTTGTTGCTGAGGCGCAAACGCCATCGCAGGCGAGACGTCTGGATGATCTATGCCACCGGTCGCGCGCGGGCTCATCCCCGTGGAGATTGATGTTCCGGGGGTCGTATTTTGATGTGAGATCGTGTTGGAAATCGAGTTCGAGAAAGCTGCTGTATGCGATCCATTGCTGCTCACTGCGACCGGACTTGACTGGTAACCACCGGCAGCAGCCCGTTCGGCCCGACGTCGCTCTAGCTCAGGTTCGAATTGAATTCCGTTGGCAATCAGGATTTCCTTCAGGATTTCATTTTCATCGCGCATTGTATGGAGCACCTCCTTCTGTTGTTGAATCGTGACGTTCGCATCGGATATTTCGTTCGTATAGGCCTCTCGTAGTCGAGACACCTCGGTCTCCAGTGCTCGCATATACTGTTCTTTTCGCTCGCGATGGGTTCTTTTCGACAGGACATGGCGTTAGCTCCGAACAAACATTATCAATCCTTCTCTCTTTGGTCTTTCTTTTCTCAGAGCGTCATCAATTCATGGTTGTCGCTTGGGGAGGATATATATACCTTTGGGCCTGGCGGTTCAACTCCTGTCGACGAGTTAAGGCTGGCTTGCTGTCGGGCTTGGGCCCTCGGCGTTTTGGCTCCTGGCCCTCTACAATCTCCGAGTTAATTGCATTGTCTTGGGGTAGGAAGGGCAGAAAGCAGATCACTCACCTCGAGTGATCTTCTTAGGGCCAGCAGGTTGAAACATCTTCATGATCTCTGCGCCAAAGCCACCACCTCTGGTGGGAGTCTCTGGTTGCTCTGTAGTGGAGCGCCGAAATGGTTAGCCGACTTGCTCAGAAAACCCCGACGCATTGTTCAGGAAGATGCGATGGATATCTCCCATTGTGGTTCTCTCTGATGTTCTGTTTGATTCATTTCGCTCGGAGATGAAGGACCAGATGATCCGACAGAACGGGAATCCAAGTTGCGCGGTCGCAAAACGTTGCGGAGATCAGGATCACGATCAAGCTTTACTTACCCGGTAGCTGTTGCATATCCATAGGATAAACTCCACCGGTCGCCATGGCGAGCAAGGGGATGGGATGGTTCCAGGGGTAGATGAAGAAGAAGAAGAAGAAGAATGAGTCCGAGCGCAGTGGAAGAAGGGGGAAACAGTGGTATCAGTAGTAGTGGTAGTAGAGAGGGAGGTAGAGAGAGAGTGGAAGAAGAGGAAGAGGAAGGGGAAAGAGAAGAGTAGATCAGTGACTTTTGGGATTTCGGGAAGAAAATAATCAAATCATGTGGCAACAGCACAGTAGAATAGTAGTAGTAGAATAGTAGATCAGGAGATATTAGAGAGAATAGAATCTTCTTCTGTTCAAGTTCATAATAATAAGAATAATTATCGAACGGATTAGATCACATCTGCATCCCACTAGTGAAATCCTGTTCAGTCAAAGTAAACAGACTAAACAGACTAAACAGAAAAAGACTATAAGACTAAACAGACTAAAGGACTTCCAAGGGAAATCAGATCATTGCCCGGTTTCACTATACAAACTCTACATACAATACAACAGAGTTGATGGTTGCACGGCATTTATCACCTAACCACTACCAACACCACTACCAACACCACTACACACACACACACGACAAAGTACAATCCATCTTTTCCTCTTCTGCACTGGGCAACCTGCAGATGTGATCAGTCTCAGGGGAACCAACCTACGTCCTTCAGAAACCCAGACCCTATCACGAAATTTCAATAGCGCCCCTGCATAATCAGCTTCTGGGTGACAAATACTTGATGGAGATCCTCATCCATGTTTCTGCGCCCAGCACCGTTCAGGATGATGCGCGTTACCGGGCGCAAGTCGACGCCATCGTTGCCTGTCAGTCCAATCAATACTGGCGAACCATACAACCAGCATCATCGTCATCAACAGCAGCAGTGGAAACCTGTGAGAGTCCAAGGCAATCCACCGTGGATTCTGTCTTGATCAAACCCCGCGGACAGGAATCCCCTGCTCCTCGCTCGGACCACCAGCCTGCTAGACCTCTTTCAGGTCAGACCCTGTGTGCTCAGCCGATCGCTACTAGGATCGGTTCCAGCCCACCGGCTCCTTTAGATCGTGTCTATCACCCGGTACCTGATTCCCTCGACAGTCTGGTCAGCGTTATTCCAGACTCTCAGCCGGAGACAGATCTAGATCCTATCCATTCTATCCGCTCCCTAGATTCATGCCCACTCGACACTCGGGAGATTTCACTGGAGGACTCATACTCTAATCCGCCATCCAAGAAATGCCGCATCGGGCCGTTGCTCCTTCCTCTAACATCTACTGTGAGCCCTTCAGCCACTATCACCCATGGTCCCGCAAATACACCTACACTCGTGAACCCAGTATCCTCAACATCGCATTCCCATTTCCCTTGTCCTCGTAAGATTCTTGGAAATATTCCCCATCTTCAAGAACCATGTCATCTCCTCCCATTCCTCCCCCTAGAAATCAGACCTGCTCCACCCCCAATCTCAACAGCTACCTTCGTCACTCATATCACTCCCACACTATCCATGCTCACTGAGCGACTCAAGCCCGCTCGCACTTATAAACCACTTCATCAATCCCGCTCACTTGATCCGCTTGAACGCGGCTACTGGAGTACAAATATGGTACTTTGGCCTGATAAGAAAGGACCCGGCCACGATCATCATTGGGATGTTTCTACCTTTCATCGCTTTTGGTCCTTTCTGTCGGATTTCATTGGTAAGGATTCTCGTGCTGGTTGGGGAGTTTGGTGTATACTTGAGTATACGGATTTATCGCCGTCCTTCTTAGGAGGTGTTTCGGTGCACGACGCGAACGAGATGGTTCTGGTGCAGTTGAAGGTTTATGCATGGGGTGAGATTGCAATGCATATCTATTTACTCCTATTTTTGGCTAGTGAGCGGCGAGTTCGAGGAATGGGATTGCAATGGAGGGATTCACGAGATGAAACTGTAGTTCAAATGCCGTGATGCTTCGATGAGGCGTAATGAGCTGCATTCTACTGGAGCGGGTTTTGTTTTGGTTCAATTTCTTATATTCGCGCCATGGGTGGCTTGATATGTACTTTTATGCCAATTATGATCATGATGATATTCACAACTAATATCGATGACTTACGACGTGACGAAGACTTGGATATCAAAAGATTTTTGGCAATTCTCCGATTGATGAAGGATATTTATTGTACATGCTAATGCAAAGGCGGAGATCCCCGATCGAGAAAGACGATGGCTAGGGAGAACAGTGCTCAAACTGGTTAAGGGACGAATAGAAGGAAAGAGTAGAACGGAGGGGCCAGAATGAAAATTGAGTACAAAAAGAAAGAGGGTAAAGAAATGAGAGAAATGGATGTTTCACACAATGTTGATGAGAGATTTTTAGAAATGTGAGACTCCGAGAAATAAGAAAAATCACGGCAAATCAAGCATATCCCATTCCGTTCCCGTGCAATACGCCGCGCACACCTGGCAAACCATTGGAAACAAATTGAGAAAGAAAAGAAAAACATGGATGAAGGTTTCCCTAGTAGTTTAGCTCGCCACTGCCGGAGCCGCCCACAGCATCCAGATCTTCGTAACTCTTCAAGCTACGACCTTGAACAGCTTCCCGAGGGGGCATAGCTTGCAGACCACCGCCAGCCCCGATAGCATCGGGGAATGGATTAGAAGCAACCATGTTGGCAGCTGGGTGACCAGGGGGAACTGTAATTCCAGCAGATGGGGGAAGGCGTGCGCCCGGTCCATACATATTGGGCATGCGAACGGGGCTTAGTCGGCCGTTGCCGCCATTGTAGCGGCGGCGGTCATACGGTCCAGAGCGATTGTTGTTGTGACGGTTTTGACCACGGCGCATTACGCCTGGTTGATGAAGACTCGCACCATCGCCTCCCATGAGCATACTCCCGTTCCAGCCACCACCGGGTCCCATAAATCCGGGCATCCCGGCTGTGGGGAACCCGCTAGGGATAGCCCCGGGGTTTCCGACGTAAGGCGCGTTGGTAAGGCTAAAGCCACGTGGGGTGCCACTCTGACCTGCACCAGAGGACATAGGAAAGTGACCGTTACTGTTGGCATCGGATCGTGATGGAGCAATGCGTGATGGATCTAAAACGTACGCATTCACAAGTTCCAGCTGCAAAGCAAGAGTTAGTAAACTATCGGACGAATTTTGTACGAGGAAATAAGTGAATACTTAAATACTGACCTCGCGCTGTATGGTTTCAAGCCATTCTGTATGACGTTTTTCGATGTGTTTGCGCCAGAAATTCTCTGCCTTGAAGAGCTTTGCGCAGTCGGGCACCTTGCAGCGGTAGCGCGAGTCATCTTCTTGTTTCACGTGTTTCGATAACTCATCATCCAATGCCTGGTCTACAGGCTTGCCCCCTAGCTTGCGCAAGTCCACGTTTTCCGGTTCCAGGATCTGTAACAGTTTCTCCTCAAACGTTTTGACCCAATTGAAGGCACGCTGAAGCTGTTGTTCTGTCTTGTTCAATCGTTGTGGTCGTTTCTCTGCAATGGGAGAGCCTCGCTCCTCTGCCTCCTCGTTGCCGTCTTTCTTCTTGGCTGGGAAAGAATGACCTAATGCACTGGCACGAGCAACTTGCTTGGCCTGGCTTGAAAGACCAGAGCGCGGTCGGCGAAGATGGCCTCCGGGGCATTTGCGACTGAGCTCATGAATGGAGTCACTCTCAAAAACACAGAAAAAGCAGAAATTGTACACTCGACGGAGGTATTCAACTATGAAGTCAAGTTTCTTCTTCTTAGCTAGCAATTCCTCGTCATCCTCGTCATCCTCTTCGACGGTCTCCTTTTCTTCGCCCTCTTCCATTTCACCTTCTTCGGTGGCATCTTCGCCAAAGCCATTCGAGTGCTTCTTAACACTGACAGGACCGGTGACAGGAGGTTGTAGCCAACCCTTGCCTCGGAGATCCTCAATACGTTCTTCAATTTTGGAAAATCCATCCACACCCTCACCCATTTCAGAGTCAAGCTTAGAAACCAAGCGGCGAGCAAGATCAAGGTCACGCTCAATTCTCTCGGGGGCGGAAAACAAATCCCAAAGGGCCTTCTTTCGAGGTTGCGCTGGAGGAACATGTACACCGACATGGCAAACAAAGTCACCGTGGACAGGGTCATGAATTGTTTTGTCATTGACGGCCTCCAGAGCCTTCTCCGCAGTACCGGTGGCCTCCCCAGTATTGGCATGGTCCATATGGTCGCCTTCTTCGTCGCGACCATCGCCGCGTTCCACGCTGCTGCTATCTACAGCAGGGTGAAGCAAGATCCAACCCATACGGTGAAACCTCTTAGACGGGTTGGGATCACTGAGACTGAGCCATTTGAAGCCACCGTCATTCTCCCCAAGATGTTCTTTGCAAAATTCCTCGATCTTGTCACGGCAAACATTCGGGGCCAAGGTCTTGATGAGAAGCGCTGGCTGGGATAATGCTTCGTCGCGGAGCTCACCACCTCGAACGGGTAATAAGTCCAGTACGCCCATGGTTTCACCTACAGCGGTTGTCTCGCCTTCCTCTTTTTCAATCACCCCGCCAGCACCGTCGCTTTCGTTCTTGTAAATCCCCTCCAGTGTAAAATCATCGAACACACCTGTTTGGATGTCGCGCTCCCATTGAGTATATGCACCTATCCGAAATTGTTTGAAACGGGCATAGAGCGGATTTCGCACTTCCGGCATATAGCGCTCCTTGAACCATTCTTCACTTCGGTGCTGTTGAACGAATTGGCGCGCCAGCTTAATTTGGAGATCCACCTTATAGGTATCATATGCTTCTTGGATCTGCAATCGCTCTTTGTCTCTATCATCACGGGCCTCGCGCTCTCCCTTGACTCGATCAGATGGGCGACGCCCACCGAGCCTAACACGTTCTTTCTCTTCAACGACGGACTGTTCGGCCCTCCACCATTCGGCAAACCAGTTGAAACCCACTTGAAAGTCTAGGCTGAGTGGATTTGGGAGTGGGTTTGTGGGGAGCGACCGTTTTCCAGAGTCTTGGCCGGGTATGTAACGATCGATGTTGGCGACAGTGGGAGATGGCGGGCGTCGGCGATCCTCACGCTCCCGAGCAGCATGGTCACGGGAGGTGTTATAGAAGTCTTCTCTGGGTCGGCGGTCAGACGGTTCATAGCGATCAATCATGGGCGACCGAGAACGACCACGAGCCCGGCGTCGATCCTGTGAGGCTATAAGGCGGGTTGTCAGTCATGCGATCATTCTGTCTTGAGGTAGAAACAAGCTCAATGAAACCTACCAGGTGATCGGCGTCCGTACTCACCCGGGGCTCTCCCGGAGAAGGATTCCGCATCGCGATTTCTGCCTGGTGAGGCATAGCCGTCGTATGAGTCCATCTTCGATTGTGATGCTTCCGAAATTCGCGCAATCCCACGGCTTCTGCGACAAATGGGCCGACGTCAAGGTCCCAAATGCGTAAGCTGAGTCCGAATCGCGAGTGGGGCCGCCAAGGAGGAATCGACGAGTTGTATGCGCACGAAGAGCTAAGAGGTTGACATCGTCAATATGAGGCCCAGATAAGCGGTAGAAGCGAAGAAAGCGGGAGGTGACGGCACGACAGAGAGGAAGGGGTTGGAAAATAACAGAAAGGAGAAGAGATCAAGGGATTGGAAAATAACAAGATGAGATGACATGGCGGTCGACATGGTGGCTGAGCAGGCCCACGGCAGGGTTGACCAGCCACATGGTCCCGGATAATGGTATAAGAGTCAAAGAGAAGATAAATGGAGGCCAGGAACCAATGCCAGTGCGCTGCAGTGCAGTCGCAATCGGTCGCAAGGACCAGCGACGGTGTAGGCGAATGCAGGTACGGTAGGATCGACCAACGGAGGAAGCAAAAGATAAGCAGGAACAGGCACGGAACCAGAAGATAGGGGAGAGTTGCACACAGCAAATGATTGCAGGCAGGGCAAAATCTTGAGAACCAAAGAAGGGGAGAATGTGCCAGAAGAAGAGGGAAAATAGGCCACCTACAAGAAGCCTTGAATTGATGGGCGGTTCAGGGTATAGAAGCAACAAGCTCGCAGCTGAAGGAGAAGAAGAAGGTCGAGGTTGACTAAGTTTCCCGACTGGAGAAGGAGCTGGAGACACGCTAAACCCGTTTGGGTTGCGCTCTGCACGGGGTCACCTGATATGTATCTGTGTTGACCTGAATGATACAGTGATGTGATTACTAGAAAAGAAAACACCAGTAGGGTGAACAAGGGTGACAGAGCCGACGCGAAGTGGTAAGTAAATCAATTTGAGTATCCTACAGTACACCGAATAACCCGCTTTCTTGAGACAAAGTAAGGCGCGTGCAAACGGGAAGGCGACTGTAACCTGGTCTTTATTCTCCAATGATTATCTACAGATAGAGGATCCTGGTTTTTATCCTGGTCTATGCACTTATAATTGGGCCATCTATTGGCTGAGTTCTGCAACTGGCCTTTTTACTGTAGGCGCCGGGGCTACGTGCAGTCGGGGTTCTCCCTCTGGTCCGGCGCTAAACATACATACCCATTGGGACGTCAGCACGGATACCTAACAAACGACAATGACAACGACAAACGGTAAGAAAGGAAGATACGGAAATGAAAAGGCTATGACTTTCCTAAGTTGATCTTATAAATTCCCTCTTTACACTGGTATAGACTCTATTCAATCTACATAGAGAGCATTCTGTGGACCCGATGGTATACGAAGCTAAAAGCTCTCCGATAAGGCGATAAGAGATAAGTCGATAGAAGGTATCAATGTTGACGCGTTAGAACTTGACATCCAGATGACTTCGGTCGGACGAATCTTTCTTGAGACTTGGAATGAGCTCATGAGCCCAATCCACTTAAAACCCCTTGATTATTCGAGTCACCTTTCTCTCCAGGAATCAATTGTAGCTAAGTACGCTGGGAGGGCGCGATCTTCTCTCACTTCATCGGGACCAAAGAAGACAATCTTGGTCTGTGTAGATGTTATGTAGTTTAATGACTCTTCTTTTCTAAGTTCTTTGTGGGTATAAAAGAAAAAACAACTCACGGACATAAAAGTCTCCAGAGCTTAGGACGACATCGTTCACCTGTGGCCATACATACATACATACATCTGGTAAATGGCCCGTGCACCCCCACGATCAGCTCTTTCCTTTGGACCTGCGACCATCCAAACTCTCACCTCTCACCCAGGTCACACCATCATACCTAGGAATCCCTGTCACCAATGTCTGACCTCCTCAGCTCGCGCTGGGCCCCCAGCGCGAGCGAGTCAGCTTCATATCCATCAAGATCAAGATCCCTCCGCCGCCCACGCTCAGAGAACCGTATTCGCTCAACCGCAACACCATCCCCCACCAACAATAAAAACGAATACAAATACACAAACACAAACACAAAAACAAACACATACGGGAACCAAAGAGGAGGGCCAGGATCAGGAACTCCCCTCGCACCAGCAGAGGAATTATCTCGATTCATGAAAATCGTCGCTCGACTACGATGGAAGCTTCCCTTCCTAGCAGAAGGCTACAGACGAGCAACGCTGACCGTTGACGGTGTCATTACTTCTGCGGAGGAGGTCGCTCACTCCGAGATTATGTTTAAGATTGATTTTCATGAATACTACGCTTTACTTGAGCGAGCTATCGTTCATCTTTTGGCTGTGTTTAATATCTCCGTTTCTTCTGTGGGTGGACGGAGTGGTTCCGGTTCTGGTTCTGGTGTTCAAGTTGGTGGAGGGTCGGGCTCGGCGGGTGTTCATCGCTTCCATGCGAACGTTTTACAAGCGCTACAGGAGGAGAGTACGCCTTTAGCTCCTGTTTTGGGAACTGGGCATGTCCACGAGTTGTTGAAGAAGGCGAAGGAGTTACGGAATCGATGGAAAGCGGCTGATATGACGGATGAAGAACGGGAGAGGGATCCCTTTGAAATGGGAAGAAGAGTTTTGCCGCTGGCTAGCTTTGATTTTGATGAGATCTTGACTGGGGTTTTCAACGGGTTGGAGAAGGCGTATATCCGTGCTCAAGCACATGTGGATCTTTGCAAGAAGCCTGGGGAAGAGGAGAAGACTGATGCAGAATCGGATTGGGGGTTTATGGTCGATGCTATGGATTGGGAGGCTGTTTGATGCGTTGCAGCTTTGGGGGTTGTTTCTTCTTTTTTTGCATGGTATGGAGTTTATGGGTTTCGTAGCGACTCCCTTGTGGTTGCATTTTCTTCTTCCTCGTGGATATATTTACTTTGCTCTGATGTGGATATACTGGAATGGCTGGCGACTGGTTTCGCCTGTTTTGCAGGAGCACTTTCTTTAGAGGTGGGCTTTAGGGTACGTACATTTGAACTTTTAGGTGGCATCAAGAGGCACGGCTGGGATATTTTCAGTGCAGTAGAGATTCAACAATGCATATAAACCAGAGATTTGGAGTAGCCTCGCCGAGAAACAACACCACTGCTACTACCAGAACGAAATGCTGCCAACTAAACATCATCATCCTGCAGCGCTAATGTAATGATGTATAGAGCACAAGTGCATATCCGAGACAAGCCCGATCAGTGTAAACAAGAATGAGACTGGATCTTTATTGCAGCTCCGATGGTATAGGCAGTAACAAATTGATTCATATTCATAAAAGAAAGGGGAAAAAAAAAGAAATGGAAACCAACAACAACCTAATCTTTCCAAGCCCGATTCCCAATCTGTTTTTCCAGTGATGGAGACCCTCTAAATTCCCAACCAGAAACCGTTAACGCACAACACAAAGACACCGAAGAAAACACAGAAATTCGCCTGAACGTTGAAGAAGCACAAACCAACTGTAAACATGGGTAGTAAGAGCCGTTGTAGTAGAGACAGAGAACATGGAAACCAGGCAAGACATGATTGTCTTGTCGACATATACAAAAATGATGTGGCAAGTTCTTGGACTCGCGGGGTAAATGGCTGGGCGAGAAACCCGTCATTGTGAGTCGTGAAAGCTCGGTATGAAGCATTTGGTTTCAAGAATATCACAAGTCAATATAAGCTCATTGGGATTGATGTGATGGCGATCCTCCAGACCAAGATGACAACATCGTCCATCGTGCGGAATACTTCATGAAAGGTATAAACGAAAAGAAGAAAAGAATATCGTCCAACCATAAGCTATAAACAGACATCATGGGTAGAAGAAGTGTAAAAAGGGAGTTGAAAAAAAAGGACAAGGAGATAGAATAGAATAGAAGTAAAAAGGGGATCCGTACACATCGCTCGCTAGAGAAAGGTCCAAGAAAACGTCCATCCATAAAGCCGTAACAATCACAAAAGGGAACAAAGGAAAACATAGAAAAGAAAAGCGAAACACCGGTCACCAGGGGGTATCATGACTCTTCAGTACCTCGAGGTGGCATCAACGAGATATTCAACCATCATCGTCAGATGCGTCGGCGGAGTCTTGTTCGCTGGCGTCGGCACTAATGCTGGTCTTGGGCTTCTTCAAGTTCATATGGTCGTCGTTGACCTCACTTGATTTCCGTTTCTGGGCAGAGCCATTCTCTCTTCCCATGATCTCGGCCAGCGGGTCAGGATCGCCATCCGCCACCTTCTTTTCCATCGCGGCAACCTCGTCAGCAGTCAAAAAGCGACCACCAGGACCACGAGGCCGGCGCATGGCGTGGTTGTGTCGCGACTCGTGAAGGTACGGTTTGCGGCCCTTCGAAGTGAGTCGCAGCTGCTCTTCTAGCTTCTGTCGCGCGACGCGACGTTTCAAGATCCGATGAAATTGCTTGGCGTTGACATACAAGGGGGACTCTTCTTGGTTGCCACTAGGGACCATCTCAGGCGAAGGTTGGTTCTGTTGTACAGCAGCTTGGGGAGCGGACATAGGTGGGGGAGCTACCGAGGGTCGGCCGATGTGGTTAATTTGCGCATTTTGCACTCCGGGGCTGCCCACATGGCTCATGCGACGGGGTGGCAACTGGGAGTTTGGAGCCATTTGAACCTGAGTGCCCATCGGAGGCATCTGGCCGGACATCTGAGGTGGAGATCGCGGATTCCGATCTGGCTTCATTTGGACACCTGCCATGCGTGGGGAGCCTCTTGACCCTTGCGCCATCTGTCCGGTAACATCCTGATGAAGCGGGTAAAATTGTCCAGAGGCGGCGGCGGTGGCCATCGCGGCAGCCTGGGTTGGTGAGATACCATATGTTTGAGGCATTGCCGTGGTGACTCCATAGCCTTGTGGGAAATTCATCTGCTGGTGAACGGCACCGGGCGCATTCTGAGCTTGTTGATAATGCTGTTGCGATGGAAGGATCGGGGATGTCTGATGAGCAGGGTGTGTTTGTTGCATAGGTGCCTGGGGATTGGTGGGGGATGCCATGGACCCAACGGGACCACCTGGATTCGGTGGACCTGGTTGGTATGGGCCAGGGATATGCGACGGGGCGTGTGGGTGTTGCCCATGAGGCTGTTGATATTGTGGAGGGTACTCCATGGTTGCGAAGGAGATAAAGGAAGACGGCGCGACGCGACTATTGTGTCACACCCGAGAAACGGGGGGAGAGGAGGGGATATGGTTGGGGAGAATAGCCGGCGATAAGATAGCCAAGTCCACCCGGTTACAGTGAGACGAGACTCGAAGATTAGATGCACTGATGAATATCGTGATTGGAACAGTGGTCGGAAGACTGTCCAGCAGATGAGTTGTCGCAAAACAAATCAAATGGAGGCAAAATGCGAATCTCAGACGCGTGTGTGGAAGAGAGTTAATCAATCACGACCGTGGAGTCTTTAGCGTGATGAGGGCGATGATTCGACAGAGCGGGGCTCAATCGTCTGCAGGCCCGGGAATTCGCGTCAGCAACAGTGCAGCACGGAACAGTCACTGGATTTGGCTGGAGAAAGTGGGGGCAACACAATATGGGGCAGAGATACAAATGGGTAACAGGGGACTCGGCGCATACCTTAAAACTTTGGGGAGACCAGTCTGAAGGCCAGGATCAGATGTGTCTCTTTGGTCGAACTAGAATCCTGAACCCGGAGGGTTTGAACTCTTTTGAGCAAATCGGTCTCTGCACAGCGTCGGGTGTAACGTGGTTGGGCTGTGATGCAGCCAGACCGGGGAGTGGTGGTGGTAGTGAGATGCGCCCCTCGACGAGATTTGATGCGTTGTTCGTGCTGATGTGCGACCGGGAGCGATTGAAGATGATGCGCAGACTACTTTCAGGCACAGGCGCCCTTTTTGGCTACTTCAATGAAGCTGCAAGTAAATCTGGGGAGACGGTGCCACTCCGGACTAGTGGATGTCGAATGAGGATTGAATGCGAAGAATCCAGAGAATTAGTAGACGTCACAGCGCAGTTGTGAGATGTCCACGAATGAGGACTGATTCCGTCAGTATTGACATTTCTTAATTTGAACCGTGCCAGGCGATGATGAGCGGGGGGCCCGAGTTATGCGTTGGCAAATTAGGGGGGTGGGTTGGCAACGCACGCCCTGAAGAGCCAGAAATGGGTTAGGGCCCCAAGGCGAAGGGGGCGGGCGGGATGCATGCGTTGGCACGGGAATGATTGGGTTGAAGAGAGAGTGTGAGGGGAGAGAACAAGAAAGAAGTTGACATACTTTGTCGATCGTCTGCAGGAGCAGCAAGCAAAAAGCAGAGGACCCGATGTAAAGGGACAAATCAGATGCTAGATGTCATATGTTAGACTGGCGATGCAGGTTTCCAGCGATGGCGATGATGAGTAGGTGATGGATATTCAATACAGATTGAGAGTTGGGACAAATAAAAAAAAAGAATCAAATACAATAAAAACAAATTTGACAAATTTACAAGCGAGAATGGACGAACAGGATTGAGGAATAGAACATCAAAGTAAAGCACCAATGGCAATGAAAGGCGTGAAACAGGGTGTAGCCGCTTTGCAGAGCGCGTTGTTTTGGCACGGGCCGAGCAAGTAAAAAGGCGCGCGCGCAACGTGGGATTGGAAGGTTTTTGCCAAGTGGGGTTGGGAAGATGAGTGGTTCTTTACCTGGATCCCAAGGGGAAACAGCAGATGATTGGAAGAGACGCACGAGGGGAAAGGGGAATTGGAATATCGAATCAAAAGCGAGGATCAAGAGAGAAGAGGGGGGAAGAAGGGAGAGAGAGAGTGTGTGTGTGAGAGAGAGAGAGAGGGTCAAGGCAGGGAGTAGTGAAAGGCGGTGGTTCTGTGCGCAGAGAGAGATACAGTATTGAGTATGTAGATATACTCCAATACATGGTAAGAGGGATAAAGAACAAGATCAAAATCAAGATCAAGATCCAGCACAGGACAATGAGAATGATGTTCGAATTCCTCCTGGACTACCTCAGAAGATATGATCATCTTGTATAGGTAGGATGGATGTGATGTTGATGCTCTTCTTGTGGGGGGTTGGGGTCGAACAATCAAAGAAAATCAAATTACGAAAACGAAAATAAAAAGCAAATATCACATAGAATAAAATATCCAAACAAGAATCATGATCAAGAATGGAAAATGAGTGGGAAGATGGGATAGTGCACGCGCCAGTTGGGTTCACTGTATACATTGTCCATAGGGAACCGCAGCGATTGAGTCCCCATCCGGCGCGCGCGTCTGCAGCAAAAAAAAAAAAAAAAAAAAAGAGCCACTTACCAGCACCACACAATTTAGGCTGAGAAAGCAGCTGGGAGGGGGGGAGGGGAACGACAAACCCAGATCCCAAGGAAAAAAACCCACGGGAACCGACGATGATTGGGGGTCAGTAACTGGACCAGAGAGCTGGACGAATGAACGGGGAAAGACGAAGTAAGGGTGGTTGACTCTGTGCGATGGTTGGCAGGATAGAAGAGGGTGGGAAGAAGGTGGGCAACCAACGAGAAGAGGCAGAAAGGGGAAAAGGAGAAAAAGAGCGTGAAGGGCAGTATTTGACTCTTCTTACTGTCTTCTTACTGGGAAATCCACGCTTGACCGCTTTCTCTGGACTGCTTAGTGGGGAAAGGTCAATGCCCAATACAGTCTCCACGCGTCCAGTCAGTGTCTAGTCAGTGTCTAGTCAGTGTCCACCGGGTGTTTAGTCGGTAATTTTAGTATCAGCCTCGTATGGGTCCGGTACTGATTGGGCTCAATACACTTACCGCCCAACGCACCTGCCCATCAACATCCGGCCATCCCGGAAGTCACGGGACAGTCACGAGAGTCACCGCTACAACATTCATATACCCTCAGTACATTGCAGACTGGATGTCTTTTCTGTTTTCTGTTTTCTGTTTTCTGTTTTCTGTTTTCTGTTTTCTGTTTTCCAGTCCAGTCTCAGTCTCGTACTTCGTATTTAGGATGGAAATAGAACAACCTTGGAATACGATCCCGGAGTTGACTCCCCCATTCATGCCCCCAAAATCCCTCTGCAGTATCCAATCTCCGGGTTCAATACTGTACGGACTACTGATTCAATACTGTACGAGTACTCTCGGCCCTCCCCCCAACTTAGGCAATTATCGCTGTGATACCTGTACCCTTTCATCGTGATGGAAATCCTAGCTCGGCGGTGATCGGCGCTCATTCCAATCTCGCCCAGAACCTAGCTCGAGGGTCTGTCTGTTTGTCTTGTCAGATTCTTGTAAGAGGTCCCAGATGTCCCGCTCATCCAACTATGACGCACAAGACGTCATGTCCAACTGTGGCAAACTCCAGCACAAACAATTTAGGACAGCATGCAATTTCGCCGCTTCATTCATCACATCCCACCCCCTCAAACAGGTCTGGCTCCCGAGCTCGTCGTCACATTCTTACCTGTATTTGAGAAGGGGGCGAGACGCCCATGCCCACTCCCACTTGCCCGGCGCGTAACTCCGTATATCAACTCCGGTAGTCAATTTGACTAGGGAAGCCCTGTTCATGAAATTGGAAAGGGCTGTACTCCGTACCATTACAATACTGTAGATAGATCTTGTCGGTCCACCAGACATCCACGGACTCAGATGGATACATCGTATACTGTGTATACTGTCCTCGCTATCAGATGACTCCACGTGCGAACCATCAACTTTATCGCAAGTGACCAGTCAGCGCATCCAGCGTGCCGATTCCCACCGGCGGGTCCCGCTTCCCCTGCAAACCCCACGTGTGGAAGCTAGGCTCGGAGCATTTCCAGTCCCCCAGTATGAGCTGTAGGCAGCGAAGGTCTCCAAGGGTTGGGGACTACCTAAGTGCCTATAAAGCGGGGATTTAGAGATCCTAGATCTCTACCATAATCATGATGATCCGAGGGTATCGATATCATGATCTGTGTATGTGGACATTTGAACTTTCAACGTTGAAGTACTAGTAGTAATAAATATATCCTTCGGGGGCCCATAGCGATCACCGTGACTATCAGGGAAAAATCCCTTGGGCAAACATTTGAAGATCATGATAACCTCTAGCGCACATTACATCGCTACCTATACTGTTGAAGCTCTACTTAGAAAGAAAACCAAGCGCAAAGACAAATGGGATGACCACTGAGTCCATCTCCAATTGGCTGATGAGCATAGATCAAGTATGTATGGGATCTACAGTGCACATGTGGTGGCATTCCAGATACCCTGCACCAATGCAGGGTAGATTCCCACGCGTCTAGTAATAGCCATCTATAACTCTGATATATAAGTTCCTTCAGATAGTTCAGGTCTCTCTTAAGCTGTTCTGTTGACTGTCAACTGTAACTGTATATAGTGAACTACACATTTCCCATTTCCCGCTCAACTCGCTTACCTCAGCAAGGGGTCCCGCGCTCTGGAGCAGGTGGCTTTTCCACATGAACAGATCAAAGTCGACAAATTGCAGTCAAGACTGTTGGTGGCCGTGATCTTTCATCATCAAAGTCGCGGCTCTTGAGTCGATCGACCTGGAACCCCCTCGTCCGCCTACAGCGACACCCCCTTTCTCCGTGACCCACCCTTCACTCAATGGGACGCGTTGAATATTCACTACATGACGTCTTTGTTGACATCGACTGTTTCCGATCTTTCTATAATTCCGATCCATACGAAACAACCGAACGAAGAAGCAGATACCGAATCTACCTCAAACCCGATACCTTTGAGACATCGCTTCAACCTCACAGTGCCGGCGCATTACCAGTTCAACCGTCACCGCTTGTGTCAACCTTCCAATCTCAAAAGACCCTCCCCCCTTCACACAGCAGTCGAATCCCTGACTACACTCCCCCCAGTGCATGGGGCTGAGAGATCAAGATGGCTCCAGGCGGCGGAGGTAATATTAAGGTGGTGGTGCGAGTACGACCTTTCAACAGTCGAGGTGAGTGAGGCTTTATAAAGATAACCCGGATTACAGATAACAAGGACTGATTCCCCCAATTTCGAGATATACAGAAATCGATCGCGGTGCAAAATGTATTGTACGAATGAAAGACACCCAGACGGTGATCACACCACCGCCGGGCATGGAGGACAAATCCTCGCGCAAGGGTGGTAAGGCTGGCGGCGAAGGACCCAAGACCTTCGCATTCGATCGTTCATACTGGTCCTTTGATAAGAATTCCTCCAACTATGCTGGACAGGACAATCTTTTCGATGACTTGGGTGAACCGCTTCTGGACAATGCTTTTGGAGGGTACAACAATTGTATTTTCGCCTATGGTCAAACCGGCTCTGGAAAGTCATACTCGATGATGGGATATGGAAAGGAATATGGTGTCATCCCCCGAATTTGCCAGTCAATGTTCGAACGCATCACCCAGATTCAACAAGATAAACTCCTCAACTGTACGGTGGAGGTTTCCTACCTCGAAATTTATAACGAGCGCGTGCGCGACTTGCTCAACCCATCCAATAAAGGCAATTTGAAAGTCCGCGAGCATCCATCGACGGGTCCATACGTGGAGGATCTGGCCAAGCTCGTGGTGCGTTCGTTTGAAGAGATTGAAAATTTGATGGACGAAGGAAACAAGGCACGAACGGTGGCTGCGACAAACATGAACGAGACATCGAGTCGATCACACGCTGTTTTCACGTTGACTCTCTCCCAAAAACGACATGATGCTGAGACCTCCATGGACACGGAAAAGGTGTCAAAGATTAGTCTGGTTGATTTGGCAGGTTCAGAGCGAGCCAACTCGACCGGAGCCACGGGTGCCCGTCTGAAAGAAGGTGCTGAAATTAATCGCTCGCTATCCACGCTGGGACGTGTCATCGCGGCCCTTGCAGATGTGTCAGCGGGCAAGAAGAAGAATGCATCCATGGTTCCCTATCGTGACTCTATTCTCACTTGGCTGTTGAAGGATTCATTGGGTGGTAATTCTATGACATCCATGATAGCAGCCATTTCACCTGCGGATATCAACTTTGAGGAAACTTTGGGTACCCTGCGGTATGCAGATTCTGCCAAGAGAATCAAGAACCATGCTGTAGTGAACGAGGACCCGAACGCGCGTATGATCCGTGAGCTCAAGGAAGAATTAGCTCAGCTACGCTCGAAGCTTGGAGGTGGGACTAGCGGAGCAGCAGGTGGTGCGGGAGGTGCTATGACTGCCGAAGAATATTACCCTCCTGATACGCCACTCGAAAAACAGATGGTTTCTATCGCACAATCGGATGGCTCTGTGAAAAAAGTCAGCAAGGCCGAGATTGTGGAGCAGCTCAATCAAAGTGAGAAGCTCTACAAGGACCTCAATCAGACCTGGGAGGAGAAGTTGCAGAAGACAGAAGAAATCCACAAAGAACGTGAATCCGCCCTGGAAGAGCTTGGTATCAACATTGAGAAGGGTTTTATCGGATTGAGCACACCAAAGAAAATGCCCCATCTGGTCAATCTGAGCGATGATCCTTTATTGGCAGAATGCCTAGTCTACAACATCAAGCCAGGGGCCACGACGGTGGGACATATGGACCAAGGAAACAGTGTGGAAATCCGTCTGAACGGGTCCAAAATTCTATCTAGACATTGTACCTTTGAGAACGTCGATAATGTTGTGACGATCGTCCCTACGGAAGGTGCCGCAGTCATGGTCAACGGCATGCGCATTGACAAACCCAAGCGCCTCAAGAGTGGCTTTCGTATCATCCTTGGCGATTTTCATATCTTTCGTTTCAACCACCCGCAAGAAGCTCGCGCTGAACGGGTGGAACAATCATTGTTGAGACATTCTGTAACAACTAGCCAACTTGGATCGCCTGCACCCAACAAAACCCATGACCGCAATCTGAGTAAGACAGGATCCGAAATCGATGGAGACTCGAGTAGGGCGGATTCACCGATGCCTTCTCAGCGTGGCCGCGAGTCAGACTGGTTCCTTGCTCGGCGAGAAGCGGTCAGTGCTATGCTGGGACCAGACCATATTTCGCATATGCCTGATGATGAACTGGATGCCCTGTTTGAAGATGTACAAAAAGCACGAGCAGTACGTCGCGGGTTGCCAGAGAATGAGGAAGACTCCGATTCTCTCAGTTCCTTTCCAGTGCGTGATAAGTATATGTCCAATGGCACCATCGACAATTTTTCCCTAGACACCGCAATCACGATGCCGGGAACGCCACGCCAAATTGGCGATGATGAAGGTCTTAATGGAGATGTCTCTTTAAATTCTGTTCGACAGGATATGCAGCGCCAGTTGGACCGACAAAGAGAGGACTTTCAAGATAAGCTGAAAACCGCCGAAGCATCTTCTAACCAAGACCCGGGAGAAATTCGTACTGAGAAAGAGCAAATGGAAGATGCACTCAAGTCTGCCAAAGATAAATATGAAAAGCAACTGAGACAGCAAAAAGAAGAATTCGAAACCCAAATGCGGGACATGGGTAAGCCCATACCTCATCATCTTTATGAGAACGGCTTCGCCAAATTAGACGAGCGCGAGCTTGAAATCGCCCAATCCGTCTTCCGCCACTGGTCACAGCGCAATTATGTCCGCATGGCCGAGAAGATTCTGCAACATGCATCTCTCATCAAAGAGGCACAGATCATGAGCCAGATAATGGACAAGAATGTGGTTTTCCAATTTGCCATTGTAGATCATGGTTACAACATGGCTTCGTCATATGATCTTGTATTGAACGGAATATCTGGCGATGAGGACATTGTACTGGAAGAGGCTAAAAAGCCTTGCGTTGGTGTCCGGGTGATCGACTATAAGCAGTGTGTGATTCATCTTTGGTCGATTGAGAAGCTCCAGCGTCGTGTGCAGTCCATGCGTCAGTTGCATCAGTATATCGATCGCCCTGACTATATCCAGCACTTCAAACTCGAAAATCCGTTTTCAGAACCTTGCTCGCCACAGTTTTCTCTTGTCGGAGATGCCGATATCCCTCTGACGGCTGTGTTTGAGACCCGCGTCCAAGATTTCTCCGTCGAGATCACGTCACCATATACCCAGAGTGTTGTTGGAATCATTCGACTGTCGCTTGAACCATCTTCTGCGGAGGCACCCTCATCAACCTTAAAGTTCAACGTGGTCATGCGGGATATGGTGGGGTTCGCTGAGTGGGAGGGGACAGAAGTTCATGCACAGCTATTTGTTCCTGGGATTTCGGAGGAAGGGGGTGCTACGACGACACAGATGATAAGTGGCTTTGAGGAGAGCCCCGTGCGATTTGAAAGTGTTCATAGCATGAGCCTTCCACTTTCCAGCCCTAGATCGGCTGCCCTGAAAGTATGTGTTTATGCTCGTGTGACGTCGGTACATCTCGATAAGCTCTTGAGTTGGGACGATATGCGCGATTCAGCGGAGGTTACACCACAGAAACGTACAACTCCTCGCATTGCAGAATCCGAATTCTACTCAGAAGAACGCCATGACGTTTTTGCCAGAATCCAGATTCTTGAACTTGCGGAATCTGGTGAATACCTTCCCGTTGAAGTGATTCAAAGCACCAATCTTGACGCGGGGACTTACCAGCTCCACCAGGGCTTGCAGCGTCGCGTTTCTATTAATATAACCTACAGCTCTACCAAGAGCCTTCCATGGGATGATATTACCAATGCTCGCGTCGGTTCCGTCCGATTGTTGGATCCCTGGGGCAAAATCCCGGACCAGGACCTTCAAACGCCCGATGTTCCTCTCAAGTTCGTCCAGGAGCCGATGGTCAAAGACAATGCTGATGGAACCTCCAATGTGACAATTGTGGGCCAGTGGGACTCGAGTTTGCATGGATCTTTGCTTCTCGATCGAGTCACCGCAGATAAGTATCGAGTTCAAGTCACGGTACGATGGGACCTGGTTTCTTCTCGTCTGCAGACACCTGTTGTGTTCGAGGTCGATCAAACTGTTCAGATCCTTGGGCGTACCTACGTTCGCCAGCAATCCATGTTCAAACAGCTTTGGAGCTCTACTCGAGTTGTGCATTCAACGACTCGCATGTACTCCTTAGTCATTCGCCCAATCTCCGCGAAGCGTGCTGCTGATCTGTGGCGAATGAACACTCAAAATGACTATGTCAAGGGTGAGGAGCTTTTGACTACATGGGCACCTCGGAAAGTTTCGCTCGTCAGAGATCATATCGTCGCCCGCAAACGTCGATACCGAGTGGCCGAATTACATGCTGCCCGAGGTGCTCTCAGTGCAGGGAGTCTCATAGCGTCGCCTATGCGGGGAAGTGGCAGATCTACGCCCATGAGGAGTCAAGACCTTAATGAGCGGAAAACACAACTTCTGCGAAAATACATTGACCTCTGGTCAACCAAAAAAGACCCAACGGAAACTATTCTGGTCCGCAGCAACACTGAACCACCTACCGATGGCGCGCAGGCCAGGTCTAAAGACACCAATTCCCTTTCTGATAAGATCTCATTGAAACCTCGTTTCGTGGCCACCATCCAGACTCTACCTAAGAACCCCTCAGCTCTCAAATCTGGACACGTCCTGACACCTGATGACACTAACAGTGTCTGGGTCCGCCGATTTGTGGAGCTTCGCCGGCCGTATCTTCACATCTATTCGGTACCCGATGGAGATGAAATCAACGCGATCAATCTGCGGAACTCTCGTGTCGATCATGCACCTGACTTTGCTCGTCTTCTCGATGGATCCGGAGCCGGAGCCGACCGTTCGCTCTCAACTCGAGGACGGCCGAATGTCTTCGCAGTGTACGGTACTCAAAATACATACCTTTTCGCCACGCGGACTGAGGCCCAGAAGGTCGAATGGATCCTCAAGATCGACGAAAGTTACTTCAGCAGCAGTGGTGGTAGTGCAGTTGCAAGTGGCGATGAGCGATAAATTACTATGCTTTTAAACTCCTTGCTTTCATCTCCTCTCCCTCTCCCTCATCTTTTGCTTTCTTGACGGCTAGTGCTGTGTTTCATGCGTTTTGACGATGCTGTGAGGCCTGGAGTCTACTATTTCCATTTATTTTTCTATATGATTTCCCCCCAACCCCTTTCCCCTATTCTTGTCATGATCTGTTGTTGAGATACCCCCTTTGAATATATCAACTGGCTGTGGTGCGCTTCTCTCTTCCCCTTGTACATAGTGTGATATCGCTGAGACCATAGATTCGTCGGTACTCATTGATTTGGTTCTATAAAGAGTGGCCATCTCGGGTTCTTTATTTGCTCTAGTATTATATAATAGCTTCAATGCATAACGATCTATCATGAAAGCTTGCAATATTGATATTTCCATTTCTGCCTCCAAAACCACAAAATTAATTTCAAGCTCTGGGGCGTATCAAAGTATTCTCACAGGAAGCATGTACTACAATTATCCCCTTTAAAGAACCCCACTCCTTATACAAAGAACAACAGTATCAATTGTGTTGCTCGTGTAGTTTTAAAAGAGCCCTGGAGCCGTGTTAGATTATTTATCGGGGTGACTGTAGTATGATGTTGGCTTAAGTTGTGGTGATATCACACACTCCGCGTTGCTGTGGAAACTATCGCGGGCCCCAGCACTGAAGTCACCATCATGATGAACTTGACAAACCTGGACTTATCGTTGATTTATCTCCACCACCAACGAAACATTTCAAGTCTTCAATGGGCTTCATCTCTTCGTTGAGATATATACAACTTCATATCTATTCATTTGGACCGACTGGATTCAATTTGATTTAGAAAAGATCTTCGTTCCGGCATTCCACAAGCCGCGATGCTTGCACAGAGACCCTCATTCCGCTTCTTGGCCACTGGTGCCGTCGGTTCGCTCTTCATCCTCGCATTCCTGTCATTTGGAATTCGCTATTCAGACAGCTCTGCTCTATATACCTTCAAAACGTCTCAGCCCCGCCCCTCATTGCACTGTCCGTCGGTTGAGTCTACCAACGGTACATGGGAATTTGCTGTAGAGCGTGATGGGCTGGATCATGGGCTGTCAGAGGAGCAGTGCCGCACTGCATTCCCCAAGCTTTTCATTGAGATCGATAAATCTGTCGCGTTGAAGCAGAACAACCATATCTCCTATAAGGAACTTGATTCTCGGAATGTGGAGGATAGTATGGTGCGGGGGATTATCGATCAAGGCGAGGTGAGTTATTATGGGTAACTATCGATTTTTATGTTGTCTAGATTCAAGTCTAATATGGATTTCCTACCAAAGCTGTACATTGTAGATTATGCTGCAATGCCCGTTACGCAAACTCGAGCACGCGCCACATTGAACTCGCTATACCGTGCCCTCAAGGCATACCCGGATCGCCAACTCCTCCCAACTATTGAATTTATCTTTACAACGGAAGACTTTGCTGAAGACCCTTCGGGACTTGGCCCGGTTTGGGCCTACTCTAAGCGCGACGGCGATGATTCAGTCTGGCTAATGCCCGACTTCGGATACTGGTCCTGGCCCGAAGTACAGATTGGGCCCTATCAAGAAGCCCGACGACGCATTGCAGCAATAGACGATGGAGAGACTCTAGCGGATGGCACGAATGTACCAGGGTTAAATTTTCAGGACAAAAAGAAACAGCTTGTCTGGCGCGGAAGCCTAGCGACCAACCCGGCCATACGCAGCAAGTTGCTCAAATCCGCCCAGGGCCGAAGTTGGGCTAGTGTTCGTGTCATTGACTGGGACAATGAGAACGATATTCGATACAATCTCCTCCCAATTGAAGATCACTGCCGCTATATGTTCGTCGCCCACACCGAGGGCCGCAGTTTCTCCGGTCGCGGAAAGTACCTTTTGAACTGTCGTTCCGTGATGATTTCGCATCCTCTGATTTGGCGTGAGGCCCATCACGGTGCGCTCGTTTTGTCTGGTCCAGATGCGAACTATATAGAGGTTCAGCCCGATTTTAGCGACCTGTCAAGCAAGCTTGATTTCTTGATTGATAACCCGCAGACTGCGGAGCGGATCGCTAACAATGCGGTGCGCACATTCCGGGATCGATATCTGACACCAGCTGCTGAGTCTTGTTACTGGCGGTACTTGATCAGACAGTATGCTGCTGTCTGTGATTTTGAGCCAGTCTTATTCTCCACGGATCGGGATGGCAGGAAGTTGCCTCGTGGTGTCCCCTATGAGACATGGTTGCTTACGCACTGAGGTACTCAATTTTGGACATAATCATGAATGATGATGCATTTGAGCGTGTTTAAATACGGGGCTATGGCTATTGTGGCGTTTATGATACCTTATAATTTCATTTTTTCTATCTCTTCATCATATATTGCATCTCACTATGACATACCATTCTTCTCATATTATCGTGTTTGGATAGCTAGCTCACGCTACAATAGGCTAAAAAGATGAAGAAAAATTTAGTTTACCAAGTGAATACCTAAGTGTGATAAAACAGTATAGAATTGCGGTGATATCTTCGCGTGGAGAGATACAGACAGAAGGACGTGAAGTAGTAGTGGCTCATCCCCCTTTTCTGGCTGCGAGAACAGAGCTTGAACATAATGTATCACTGTGGAATTATCCATGGTCTCGAAAAAACAAAAAGGATCTAACCTGACTTGATAAGAATGCTCTTCGTCTGGAGATAGTTCTCAATACTGTAAAGCCAGCCCTCACGACCCGAGCCACTCATCTTATATCCACCGAATGCACTATCCCTCGTACCGGTTGGAGAAGTAGCATTAACTGCAACAGTACCGGCCTGCAGAGCCTTGGATACGCGAATCGCTCGATCGATATCCTTGGTGAAAACCGACGCATACAATCCAAACTCACTATTATTGGCTCTCGCAATGACCTCTTCTTCCGTTTTGAAAGTCTGAACAGCAACGACAGGACCAAAGATCTCCTCCGTCATCACGCGCGAATCATCCGCCAACCCCTCAACAATAGTAGGTTTGATAAAGAACCCATCGTTTGGGTTTCCACCCACCACAAGCTTGCCTTCTTTCTCAGCAAGCTCAAGATAGCTCTTGACCCGATTATATTGCGCCTCATCAATCTGAGGACCATGCTTCGTTTCAGGTGAGAAGGGATCACCCATCTTCACACTCGCCATGGCTGCCTGGAAATAGACCATGAACTTCTCCTTCACATCCTCGTGGACATAAAGGCGGGAGCCCGCAACGCAAACTTGCCCACTGTTGAATTGGATTCCAAACATTGCACTGTTAGCTGCGGCTTCAAGGTCTGCATCTTCGCAGATGATAATTGGCGACTTGCCACCTAGCTCGGTGAGAACATGCTTCAAGTTTGACTTCGCAGATGCAGCGTGGATCTTTTGGCCTGTAAGCGAAGAGCCGGTGAAGCTGATTGAGCGGACCTTCATGTGCTCTGCGATAGTGGAGCCGGTTGGTGCGCCAAAGCCAGAAAGAACATTGACTACGCCAGGTGGGAAGCCGGCTTTTTCAATCAACTTGGCCATATACAAAGACTGGTCTCATAAGATAAGTGGCTGAACATAAAATGACGGGAGAGGTCATCGAGAATCTTGCGAAACTTACAGTCAACGGGGCCTTCTCGCTACTCTTCAACACCACAGTATTACCAGCAGCCAAGGCTGGAGCCACCTTGCCGGCGAAATTGACCAAGGGGAAGTTCCAGGGGATGATCATTCCCGCGACACCATACGGCTCCTTCACGGTTAATTTCAGTATGCCAGGTGTGTTGGTACTAGCTGTACCCTGGACAGTCCAGGCGTGTTCAGCGTAGAATTTGAAGCTGTCTGCGGCTGATATTCCGTCCACAAACTGTGAAACTGGACGCCCAATGCAGAGTGTCTCCAGTTTGGCCAAGTCTTTCATATTTTCGGTGATGGCTTCGCTCAGCTTTCGTAGGTATCCGCTGCGCTTCTCAACACCTAGATCTCTCCAGGCGGGGAATGCAGTTTCGGCGGCGTCGACCGCATCATTGACGTCCTGGACATCGGCCTCATGAACTGCGATGCCAGTGGTTAGTAGGCGAAGAGTTCTGTTATGAATTAAAAGAATGCTGTACATACCGCTTGCGACGACTTCTTTGGTATATGGATAAATCACATCGAATTTCTTCCCACTTGAGGATTCACGGAACTTTTACACCGTCAGCACGAAAGATCTGATACATTTTAGACGTAACTTAAAAATACTAGCTCAGACCTCGCCATTAATAAAGAGCCGAGTCTCGATTGGCTCCAAAGATTTGATAACATCAGCCATTTTGTTCAAGCCGACACAATTTCTCTCAGACAGAAATAGTTGAGAGAGAGAGGATAGAGAAGAACTCTCAGTCACTGAGGGGTAATAATAATATGTGTCGTATCTCAGGCCGCGCCATGTGCTACTTGGGGGCCGGCCCTTATTCTGATTCCACTTGTTCCGCTTTGTGAGGGGGAGCTAATCATATTGAAGAACAAGCTTGGAATACTCCACATCACAAAGCAATGATACCTCGGTTGGGGAGTTTTGTTAGCGTTGATGCCCCCCACTTGTTCTATCGGCTTTCCAAGCTGGGTAATACTTCTGTCGTATTGCCTCGAGGTTCGTTCGTCGGACCCCCCCAGTTTAGCAGGAAAACCCCTACTTAATCATATAGTAATATAATGAAAATTGTGAAAGGATACATCATAGAACAACAAGTAGAAAAACCAGTCAAAATATGAGTAGAAAGATAAGTAGAAGACACTGCTAGAAACATATTCCCGATGTATCTTAGAATTGCAAGATAAATTTGAAGCTCGACTTGGATTTGGCAAAATAACCTACTCAATTTCTCAAGGTCAGAAGGTTGGAAGTGTCCTGCATTCCAGGTACTAGTATTGTGAACTTCCACCAGTCTAAAATAAGTGAACCGAGTGGCGAACCTCATCCATCGATAGTAGCTTGGGGACACATTTCCCGCAGCGATTTCACTTTTAAACCAAGAAAAGAAGAGCTAGCGAATATTGCCATCTATTTGTTGCTGGAACTTTTCTTGAAAGGCACTACAAAGCCTAAACGCCAAATACAATCGCAGCCCAGATCTTTTGATATCGGAACGGAGGCGCATACCCAGCAGAAAGAGCTGGCCAGCCATATTATGGAAAATATCAGAATTGAGAAGGATGATCTTGGCCAGCTAGAGCTACCAGCTGAGGCCCTTTATGGAATCAACACCGCTCGGTCCTTGCAGAATTTCTTTCTGTCTGGACGACCTATCGCGACATGTCCTGACTTTATCCATTCTCTTGCAGCCATAAAAGAGGCGGCAGCTCGAGCAAACTGTGAGATTGGTGAGCTGACAGCAGAGCAGGCAGATGCTATTTATACTGCCTGTGAAGAAATCAAAACTGGAAAGTATGATCACCATCTGGTCGTCGACATGCTGGAGGGTTCGGGTGGCACCTCAACCAACATGAATATCAATGAAGTGATCGCCAATGTCGCTACAAAGGCCTCGGGAAGCTTCATTCACCCAAATGATCATGTCAACATGGGACAATCTACGAATGATGTGGTTCCAACTGCAATGAAGCTGGCCGTTTACCGTTTGATGGCGGGCGCTCTATGGGCACTCACCCAGCTGGCTGAAGCTTTCTCGACGAAGCGCGAGGAGTATAAATATCTACTCCGTTTAGGAAGAACCTGCCTTCAAGACGCGCAGCCCATGAGTCTTGGCCAGGCATTTGGAGGCTATGAGTCAGTCATCCGGCGACATATAGAACAATCGAATCAATTCGCGAGCAATTATTGATAATTCCCCTTGGCGGTACTGCCATTGGCACTGGCTTTGGATCGAGCCCGGGGTATAAAGAAGCGGTGTTTCGATATATGTCGTCAATATTGAATGTCAAAGTACAACCAGCTCGTAACGCTTGTGATGGCATGCAGAACATGGACACTTGTGCCCGCCTGTCAGGCGAACTGCGGAATATAGCGAATTCTTTATGGAATATTTCCAACGATTTAATCGTCTTGTCTTCTGGCCCACATGGTGGGATTGGCGAGATAAAACTACCTTCAGTCCAAGCAGGGTCCTCCATCATGCCTGGGAAGGTTAATCCAGTAATCCCAATAGCAGTTTGTCAAGTTGCCTTTGCTATTACTGGAAATGATGCTTCAATTGCAATGACATGCCAGCAAGGAATGCTTGAAATCAACCATTTCGAGATGCTTGTATGCGACCGCCTCATTGATAGTATCCGCCTTCTCACCCGCGCAGCTGAAATCTTCTCTCGCCGATGCGTTGACGGAATAGTTGCAAACAAAAAAGTCTCACACAAAAACTTACTTGCATCTAGTGCACTAGCTACTGCCCTTGTACCCACTCTTGGATATGCGCAGGTTTCGGATCTTGTTCGCACAGCCCTGGCGGAAGACCGACCATTTATAGATTTGATCATTGAGAAAGAGCTACTCACTGAAAGTGAGATAAAAGGGCTCATGGAACGCTTGATTGGTGGTGATAACGCCCCAAACTAGCGAAGAGCCCACACGAGCAAGAAAGCGATGGATCATGAAAGCTGTGCAAGCTGTGATGGACTGCCTACAAGAATATCTGAGAGGAGATCACTTAATATACTTCAAGGGGTATGCTTTTGATTTATTGAAATATGTTCATAGATGGTATACATGCAACTGAATCTAGATGTTTTGGTTCAGTTGTTATAGAACATATCTATCGGCCTGGGCCCATATCGGGTTTCCACTCTTGTACTCTGCCCTTTGAAAGTTCTCGAAGTGCCATAGTAGCGTACTGGCTTTGTCCAAGTTGGAATTTGACCACAACAGCTAGCTTATCACCTGTTTGAGTATCGGAAACGGCATCGGCATCATCAGTGGTTTGCTTTAGCTTGTCCAAATCAGTCTTCACAAACTGTTGGTCCTCCTCAGAATAAAGCTTGACGTCAAATGAGTAAGCTCCACCGATGCGACTGAGGATCTTGCGGTAGCTGCCACTGAGACTGATATCCTTCCACTTTCGTCGCATGTTCAGAGGGTCTAGGCCACCGCCGTTTTCGCTGCCCATAAACTCACGGTAGAAGTCGTTCATCTTGCCGGAAGGATAGATAACATCAAAGCCGGGCAGAGGAAGGACAATATCAAAGACAGAGTATAGGCCGCTGGCAGCCTCTTCATTGGTCAGAGCTCGTGCACGCGTGAACATATCATCGGTTGCATTGGCACTGTTTTCGCCCTCTGGTATAACAATGACCTCTCCGTCCGCATCAACGGTATCTTGGGCTTCGGGTTTCTTGGATTCTTTGTCGCGGTGCTCCTGCACAATGACTAGGTCTCCCTCGACTACTTTATCGCCGTGGAGACGCCAGCGCTCACTAGCAGCATTGTTCCATACAAGGGATTGGTACGCATGAACATACATCAGGCGTAAATTACGGGGAATAGACTGGAGGGCTCCGAGGAAATCACTCTTAGCCCGACCGAGGTGGCGGATGAGGCTGGTCTCTGCAGAAAACTTCCCTGGGAGTTCTTGTAGAGCTTTGTTGATATTCCCGGTGGTCTGGAAAAGATGAATTCCCAAGGCGCGTGCCTTATCATCTCTGCTGATGAGTGCTGTGGAGTCTTCACCTTCCTGAGCCGCGGCGAGGACATGTGGAGAGTAGTGTAGAATCGCATTACATGCGCCTTCAAAATCACCCTGTAGCATCTTGATACCGATAGAGTGAGTGCCGGCGGAGAACGTTCCGAATCGTTGCAGACCATAGTAGTTAAAGTAGCCGTGTTCAAAGAGTTTCTCCAGTGACGACTCGACGACCTTAGAAGCCTTTGCAATAGTATCTTGTGGGTTCTGCATATCCAGACCAGGGATTTGACAGTCGCGCAGCGTGATAATAAATTCATTGCCGTAAAGATCTCCCAGGTCCAGACCATGCTTACGGTACTCGAAGTCACCCAATTTAACACCCCGTAGTGTCGAGTTCAACTTTGCTAGTCGCTCCGCCTGCACACGGAGAACACAGGCACGCTGTGCGGTGACACCACGGCGATCTTTAGTACCGGCGAACTGGAAGTTCTTGGCATTCATCTTTAATTGACGCGCTAAGAAGGAGATAACTTCCATTGTATCCTTATTCTCCTTGAAAATCGTGAAGTGGAGATACGGGCCACCCAACTCATCCCAGCTGACTCTGTTACCTCCGTTGGAGCGACCGGGCCGTCCACCCTGAGGAGCACGCTTGAAGCGATTGGAAGCAGCAGCGATGGAAAAGTTACCTTCACCATCAGCACTTGATTCCAGCTGCGACTTAAAGATACCGCGAATGATCTGATGCATTTTCGTGCGAGTATCCCGGTCTGTCACCACCGCTGCAATTGTTCCGAATTCAGAAGGTCGGGCCTTGCGGTCGGCCATTGCTCGCGCATGAAGCTCAATAATTTCCGTGGCACTCTTCTCGCCGAAGAGCCCAGTGAGTGAAGCTTTGTCTGTGTCTGACACCTGGAATTCGGGTTCGGCCGCCTCTTCAGTTGCGGCAGCGGGCTTTTCTTCTTGCTGTTTGGGCTGCTCTGGCTCCTTCTTGGTTGAACTCATAGAATCGGGTACAGATGTATTTCGGAGATGTACGACTTCGCCGGAGGGCATGATCTCGTTGACCAAGAAGTCAGTGTATCTAGAGAAAGGTTGTTAGTATTTCCTTGATATTATCAGATAAGTGGTTGAGAGATATCTCTTCGAAGCTTTGCAATTGCTCACCTTTTCTTCAGAATACCGCCAATCCCTTCAATATTCGCGGTCACCAGCTCCGCGATGCCAACCTCCAGCTCCTTCGGATTCGGAACTCGAGCAACGGTGCCAACATCAATCGCAGGCACATCTTCGGTCTTTTGCCGCTTTCGTGCGGACTCTACCACTTCTGGGCGATCCATTGTAGCGTGATAAGATGAAGTTGTTTTATCGTTGCAGAAGTTTTGCTCGCATATCGGGAATAGCGCGACAGGGCTTGCACACAGTGGGGTGATGTTTGTCCTGTTTGACTACGTTCGGATTTAACCAATCAGAGTGCGTTGCTTCACTGTCCGTTCTCAGTGCTCCTTCTTGGTTTTTATCTACGAGTACCTTTCATATATATAGACTTACAATAGTTGGATATGTTGTACTGCAAGGGTCTAATGATAATATCAATTTGGATACCGCCATATAATAAGTAGACGGTCTGTTAAGTGTAAATATGGAAAATCCTCAATTTCCGAATTGACCATTCAACGAGCCACATTCCATACAAACCTCAGCTACTTCAATGTTGCTAGCCATTCAAATGTTTAACATTCGATGGACATACCACAGTCTGATTACTTTATTGTGGGGAATTACCCACAATGCGTTCATCACTCGTATCGGGGCTTAAAGCTTGCCATTGATTTCGGAACTTGAAGCCAGCTCCGGATCGGAAAATTGACTATATTGTTGTGAGACAATGATACCTTTGAATACTCAGCTGCGTCAGAAGAGTCAAACTTACTGTCCGTTAAGGTTACGGCGGTTCCAAACTCCACTCAAGTCGCCAATAGGCAAGGACAGAGGAAATCCAACAGAATCAAGTAACTGAGCGGTTAACAGGTAAAACCCTAGCATGGTTGCCACGAATAGAGCGGCCCCGGCTCCCTAATTCCTATCAGCATGTATTCTTGTTCGAAACGAAGCCGAGAAATGTTGGTTTCTTACCACAGTCAGCCGGTTACCTGTCACAGCATCCTCTAGCCCCAACTTCCAATAAGCGGCTGCCAGTAAAGAGAACACAAATATTAAACTTGTGAATATTAAAACAAAAACCAAATTCGTGCGAGTTGCGCAGACGGTATATATCAACATCAGAAGAGCCATAAAAAGGAAGAAGAAGGCTTCAGACAGCATATGTTAGATAGGATTATAAAAGGATCCTTCGACATGGAGACCACATACCAAATGTATTCACAAAGCCAGGGCTGTGAAGACCTGCTAGAGTATCGGTTCCATTGGGCGAATAGGGGGCTATGAAAATAGAGCAATAAAAATATTAGCAACTGGAGAAACTGCAAACACGAACCGGGCTTGGTTCATACCGGCAGAATTGAAGGCTGGAGTCATACTCGCGCCGAAGGCCAGACAAAAGCCACCTGAAACATTCATTGATTAACGGTTGCCGAGAGCATATTCAGGAAGACCGATCTACTTACCCAAGTGGCCAAAAACAACCGAAGAAAATGTGTTCCCGAGAACGAACTCAAGGATACTTGAAAGAACCAACAAGAGCCCGCCCAGTAGAATCAAAACTCCCCTATAATGCGTAAGAATTTACATCACTTGTTCAATAGGAAGACTCATACGTAAAGGCTGCTCCACCACCACCAGCACCCCTCCATCCCATGAGACAGCATGAGAGTGGTGTAGCTGTGAGGACAAAAGCTCCAATTCCCCTGTAATTGATTGAGAGGTCAGTATATGAGGCCCTTCCGTCAAGTGCAGAAGGATAAAAGACACACAATGGAGTGGGGTTGCCCAGGTTTTTGGCAAGTGTCGGTTGGCGATGCATCATAGGACTCAAATAGAGCTTTTCAAATTGCTCGGCCGACAGCGTTACTGAAGTTGGAACTTGCGTTAAGGGAGGCATGCCACCAGCCTCGACGCGAGAGCTCTTAGAGCTAGCGTGCATAATTTCATGATCCATGATTTTATCGACGATCTTTCAAAGTACCTTAAGAGGATTAAATTTCAAAAAGAGAGAAAAGAGCAAACCGAGTTGTATATAAATCGGACAAGCGGATCCAGACTTCATTTATTCTAATTCAAGTTTTGAAATAGGTTTATATAACTATAGAGGCAAAGCGTCATGACCCCAGATCTGACCCCTTTCTCTGCATCCGATCGGAAAGGAGGACCGCACATTTGACCAGTGAAGGAGATATCGGAAGCCATTTCGGCATTTCATGGGGGAAGATCCCCGCATTATGGGGCAAATAAGGTTTAGCTCCACCTTTAAATAAAAGTTAGCGAATCATCGACTGGCCCAAAATATAGAGTCCTGGAGTAGCAAAGTCTCTTATTCAGAATTGCCAATGGTGCTCCGATGGAAATCACCCATGATTGACAGACACCACTGCGAAAAGATTAGAGTCCCAAGAAAATAATCCTTAAGATTCGCCCATAACAAATTATTGTCACGAGCGTAAGGGATATACTATCCTCTGATGGGCGTAAACCCAGGATATACAAAATTTGCGACCGTAAGGAGTCTTTTATGTACATGATACTCAATTCGAATTTTTAACTTCAATGCTCTATCCATCTCACGATCCGAAATGTCTATAAATGCCGATAAGTGAGCCGGAGAGGAGGTTAAGCTCTGCATAGACCTTAATTCCAATTCAGATAGTCTGGTTATACTAATCAATTGCCAATTATTCGAGTCTTGGCTACGGTGAAAGCCCCACAACAGTAATGAACCAGCCTAGAACTATGGTTTATACTTTAAATGGTGTTCAGAGCGATCTGTTAATCGCGGAACTTGAGTTCCGCGACATGGGGCACGGATAGGCAAATAAAATAAATGGGAATAATCAAGAGACAAGATTTGAGCTGGTCAGCAAAGGTTACTCAATACCTCTTCATACGCGATAAGGCATGAATTTGATTAATTTGCAGATGACGTGCAAAAAATTCCGACCGTCTTACTATAAGCCCCTGGCACAGTTTGAACCAAGGTATCAATCCCGTTCATAGGCAAACTTGTATGTGAACGGGCTTCCAGGTGCTTTGTTGCATTGATCACGTATACTGATTCCGCATGTTTCCTAAAATTGCTAACAGAATGATGTATCATGAGATACTACAAAAAAGAGGCCAGGAAAATACGGGTGTACAGGAGTATAGACAAAAGAAGGGATGCAACTCTATCATGATTGGTATTTCGATCATCAAAAACTATACCCTGGCAATGCGACTTGCCTACATACAACGCGATTAGCCTCGAGTACATTGGCTTATCAAAGACGGGATTGTTGACTTGAAATGCCTTGCATGGGAAAGTCTAAGACGATTAGAAATGTTGAATTCTCTGGTAGTCACTCTCAGGACGGGGTGATTGGCTGGTCCATATAATCCAGTTATCTCTAGACCCACATATGATGCCTCGATCCATATACGAATGGTTTGTTTTATCCCCAGTTTAGGGTGGCGAACCTGCAAAGGCTTTGTTTCTGGTCGACATTGTCATATATCATATGATCGTTGATTATTTTTGGAAACCCGAGGATATAAAATTGGATTTCAAGTCCAAGCCTACTAGTGCACACTCACTCGAATTTGAACTATACACACCAATTTAACCGTCCTGTTTCCATTCCAAACATGTCAAATATTTTCCGCCGAACTTCTGACTTTTTCAAACATTACGACGAACGGCATGGCTCAGTTGATTCTACCAAATCTACTAGTACGCCAGCAGAGCCAAACCAGGCAATTGTAAACTCACCTCAACCAGAGGTTCTTAAAGAAGCCCCGGTGGAAAGCCCGCCAAGTATGACCCCATTGAATTCTTACATTCGCTCATACACCCCACGTGTTATGCATGTGCTAATGTATTCCAAGCAGGCAAAATTTCTCAGCCAAAGCAGCGGAGATGGAGTCTCAGTCGCCAGGAGGATGAAGAAAGCAAGAAAAAGCGCCAGCTTGAACAGCTCGAGAAAGATCGAGTAGAATTTGCGGCCACGAGAAAATACGTCCAAGCTCGACGTAGAAGTGCGGGTGCAGGAATTGGATTTGAAGGGGGGTGGCAAGGTTGAAAACAACGCTTTTTATCGAAGATTTCAGGGATATTTTACAACAACATGTAAGAATTCATCTGCATAATGAGAAAACTGAAGTATGCTCACTTTTACTTGCGTGTTAATTCAAGAAGATAAGATTCATACAGCCCTGAGAAGGTTCTTTCACAATCTATGTCGAATAAATATGGAAATGGACAAAATGCAAAGTGCCAAATTTCAACACAGCATATCAGCAGTTCCTAACATCTGTAGATATTTAAACCGAGTCTAGTAGACAATGGTCATGATAATTGCCAAAGTAGTTGAGGCGATCCAACTCATGAAGCCAACCGTGGATGTAAGACCGGCCGCACTACTTGCGACAGGTGCCGTGGATGCACTATGGGAAGAGGATGCGCTAGTTGTTGCTGTGTCAACATCCTTAGAAGTACTGGTCTTTGTCGAGGCAATTGGAGTCGTGGTGAGACTTGTTTGAGAGACCAGGTTGGTCGAAACTAGAGGACGGGAGCTGGTGATTGAGGGGGTAGATGAGACCACAGGGCTAACAGCTGGGGAGCTAGATGGGATGGGTGATGTAGCGACCGAGGCAGAAGATAAAACCCGAGAAGATGAAGAAGCAGCATAACATGAATTGCTTGTCAACTGAATGTTCACACAATCTGTCACAGAAGTACTGTTGGTAGTGTAAACATTGCGCCCATTATTCTCGCCAGTCTGGCATGCGACGAAGGAGGAACTACTATCAAATCTGAGTAGACCCGATGAAGTTAAATAAAAGCCTGAGGTGCCTGTGCTACCCTCATCACATTGGAATTGGGTTGTTTCCGCTGTATTAATCGTCAGTCTACGGAATGAACCGACTTTGGCGAGCTAGACTTACAAGTAATCACACAGCCACGACCCTCACTATCAGTGATAATAGTGTTTGAGAGACAAAACTCAGCGGTTGATAAGCTGGAGTCGCCCACACGAACTTGCCCATCATCAAGTTGACCAAGAGACCCGGACGCACCACCAGAGGCAGTAAGCTGAAAGCAGCAACTGTCACTGCGGCTCACAAAGGCATTGGCCATAGTGACAAACAAAGCAACATTCATCATAGTATTCTTCATGGTGATATAAATGCGAAGAACTGTGGAATTGGTAATTTCAAAGAAATTGCTAGGTTGTTGTGTTTCACAGGAAGATGTCCGAAGCCCAAATCACAGCAAAATGTCCGTGTTACTTCAGGGGTTTATGTACCCCGAGAAAGCTAGGGATCTTTTTTTTCCATATCCTGACTATGAAAAACAAGAAAAGGAATTACGACGCAATCAATGGACGAATAACATCAAAAAACAAGTATTCGGTGATCCCTCATGTTCATTTGTGTGGTCCTCCGGATCTATCATTTTCACATCAATGGACGACAGGTGAGCGAATAGCATGTCCATACCAGTCTGCATTGGAGCGGGGGCAGCGGCGAGCTTGTTCCAACGTGGCTCAGGACGCGTGTCTCATTGAGAGATCCCTGTTATGGGTAGGCGACAGCCGATAAGTCTATCACTTTTCAGGATTCAAGCTGTCATGTTCGAATTGTGCATAAGAATTCAATTCCATAGCTGCCTCCCAAAAATTCAAATGCACATATAAACTGCTCAAGTAGTCTGTCTCATATCATATGGATAGTACTTTAGTGTGACAAATGCCCCGTTGCTCATTTGGGATACCGATGCCATACTAAAAGGCGACTTAGGGCGGTTGTTCTGGATCTCATTTAGCAAACTCGAAGCTAGAAAACATGAAAGGCGCCACTAACCAAGTTGCTCCATATTCTTGGAACTTGGTGGCCAGGCCGCGCACTAAGCTTCAATGACAGCCGATGCTTGGTGGTAATTCCAAGCTCAAGAACAGTTAGTTGACTATCATATATCCATGGATTTGGCACTTCCCACCACCACCTGCCAATCATCAAGACGGTCAAATTTGACCTTACGAGCCTTGAAATACCCTTAATTCTATATCGTGATTTGTCGCTCAATACTTATATGCAGAATTTAGAAATGCGCAGTCTACCGATGCAAATTAGCCAGTTTTTGCTTCAAGCGTATGGGCCGCGTCATTCTGGCCCTTGCGTTGCATAGGTACCCACTACTAACTAGACCTTGTTCATCCAGTTGCGCCCAATATGTCAGTGGCTTTTGTTACCCGAATTTTGGGTCAAGAAGACATCCTAGTTTGTGCACGGCATTTTTTCCGCAGAAAGCAAGATTGATTTTCCTTCTATTTAGTTTCATGCTTGAGAGAGTGTAGGCATTACAAAGCGAAGCACCTGTAGTTCAGTTGTTGTGCTTATATTTGCGGCTTTGCCTGCCTGTATGCGACCGGCCCACTCAGCTACAATCTTTTCGCCACCAGTTAGACCTTCTCCTTTCAACACATAGAATAGCTGGGTAGCATCTTCCATCATGATATGACAAGTAGAGCTCTCAATCTTCAAAATTTCTGCCCTCGTCTCGCGCTCCGAGAAAACCCCAAGAGTCTTTTTCCAAACCCCGTTGCAGCCCTTGACCTTAGACCATGTGTACGCGTCTGGCTGCATCTTGATGACACGATCGTACCGGCCCTCCGGATATACAAGTGGGCGGCGCATTTGATCCTCCCAAAGAGCCTGATAAGCATCTATCGCTTCGTCCTCGCCAATGTTACTCCCCTCGTCGCCTTTCACTGCGCGGAAGAACTTGCCACCTTCGAACCGACCCTGGCCATCCAGCCGTTTTTGGCTTTCTGCCAACTTTTCATGGCTTATGAAGCCCTGTCCACTTGCACCACCAAATTGTAGGACCAGCACCTCCTTCAGTTGGTCACCGTCGTCTTGTGGCCCGTAGTAAACACCCTCGGGGTGATAGCAGAGCTCACCTTGGCGTACGTTGACATTTGGGAGAATACTGATATCGCCTAGCGTAGAGTAGCGGAACTGATCAAAGTTATGGCGGTGGACAGGGGAGTAAAAGCTTCTTTGGCGAGCCAGCATAAAATAATAATTATTTGCTGGGTCTCCCTGATCGCCGAGAAAGAGGGTTTTGAAGTACAAGCCAGAGCCTCTATGCTTGAGGCTCACGGGATCGAACGAAAGCTTGCTTGTATCGGCAATTTCCATGATGAATGAATATCTTGGCAACTACTATCCGCTGGGAATTGGTGTTTATCTTTCAATCAAGAAATACCGAGAAGACAGTTTGCCCCGCGTTATAGTCAAGTGCTGCTCCCATAATCCCACAATCCCTGTTACCTGATTAGCCGAACTTCCGGATTTTTTGTAGGGTGTTTTAGCCCCTAAACGTGGGGGTTGAATTTTGAGGCAATTGAACAACAAGACATTGTTGAGTGTAAAATTGAGCATGACCAACTTGGGAAAAGTCTAAGACCAACGTAGACGACTATATCAATGCCAGAGGGTTTAGATGGAAGTTGAGTGGTGGCATAATTGAGACTTGTTGGAATGGATTTTAGCCAGGTTCACCAAGCCAACATTTTGGTATCGTCTTAAGCAATTATGGAATTCTTTCTCGTTAAATTCTTGACCTTAGTTACTCTGCCACTCACCCTTCAGCCTTTCCAGTCTATGTCAAACAAATAATGATCTAGTTCGGGTATACTTCCCAGATAGGCAAACCCCACTTATCCCATTCCGCTGCGTCTCTGGCACGTATCGTGTACCGTAAAACTTTCATCTGTAATTCTCCGAACACGCGCAAGCACAACCTCATATTCAACACCCCGTCATGTCTGACACCGGAGATGAAGCTGACTCGCGGACAGCCTCGGTCGGCATCCAGCGACCCCGATCAAACAATTCCTCTACTCGCGGCTCAGGCGACAACGACTCGCGACCCACAAAGCGACGGAGAAGAAATCAAAACCGCGCGAACGATGTGAATGACATTGTCCCTCGAGGTGGATCCTTCAGCGCAACGCCCCTCAAAGTCGACCCAGAGGATACGTCCAGCTCTGGCTCCAGCTCAGAATTCGAAAAGACTGGAAGTGACTCGGGGAAGTCTGCTACTTCCGAGGAAAAGGCTCCTGTCAACTCAAATGCAGGCAGCACGGCACCTGCCATTAGCTGGAACCAGGGGAAGAAAAATGCCGTTCGAACAACTCTTGGGAAGCGCAAAGCAACAACTCAACCTACTTCCAAACCTCAAACTACCACCACGACCCCGGCCCAGTTTTCAACCGTAAACGCTTACTGGAAAGCCAGCGATGACTCTGCCTCGCCTGAACCCAGCGGAAAAGATACCGGTGCGGATGAGGGAAGCCAGTCCGAGGATGATTTAGAAGGCTCTAGTGACCTGGAAGAAGGGGAGATTGATTCTGAAGGTGATTCTGATTCGGAATCTTTGGGTTCGGAAGCCGACGACTCAATCATGTTGAATATCGGCTCAAAGCCTGAAGATGTCGCTGATGAGTACAACCCAGAAGATTTGGTCGTGACGAATGGCCAGACAAACGGCTACACGAATGGTATAATACAGAATGGCGTGTCGGCGCTGCCTTTGGCTTCTGGAGCTGCTTCATCCGAATCCAAAGAAGAAGCCTTTCGACAGTTTACACAAAATTACCCCTCACCACCGGCTAGTCTAGTCGATCTGAATCAAGAGGATATGGATATTCAGGCTAGACATATCTATTGGGATCGGGATGTCAATGACATTGATCTCCGACTTCCTATCGGTTGCACTGAATGTCTTCAGCATGGCCATTTAGCGGCTGTCTGCCCTACCAAAGAGGTATGCCGTTCTATTTTTGCAACAAATGTCAACGTTTTATAAAAAATTAACCTGTCTCTACTTCAGTGCGTGCACTGCAATGCATGGGATGAGCATCCATCGATACTATGTCCTTCATGGCGACGATGCCAGCGATGTCGGGAAAGAGGCCACAATGAAAAGCAATGCCCCTCGCCGCTGAAGAGCTCAGCAGCTGAGGTCCCCTGTGACCTGTGTGGATCTTCCGAGCATATGGAGAATGCATGCGATCACCAGTGGAAGTTTCCAATGCGTCCAACTACTTCCCAAGAGTTCCGAGTATCGATCTCATGTGCTCATTGCGTCAGTTCAAGTCACTTAATTGGCGATTGCCCATCCCTCCGCCGATCGCTCAACTCAAGCTCTTTCTCTCTCAAGGGCATTCCACCTTCTGCTATCGTCAACCTCAACACAATGCCTAAAGAACCCCAGCCACCAATTAACTACAAGCAGGGACGAGCCAGGCCACAAGGGGCTCGAGGTGGCGTTAATGCCCGGTCTCCATCTCCATCAAGCGATGATATGTTACCTCGCAAGGGTTCAAAGCCCCAACCTCCAAGAGGGAGAGGTCGTGGAGGGCCGATTCGATTTGGCACTGGTTCCGATAAACCTCGGGGCAGGCCGCCTTCCAGAGGTCGACCCCCATTTGCTGGTAACGGCACGCATAAGCGTTTCTCTCCTCCCCCAGGCCCGCCGCTTCCCCGTGGTCCACCTCCCCGTGGTCCGCCTCCCCGTGGCCCATCATCCCGTGGCGGTCCTCCGGCGAGAGGTCGTGGCCGTGGAGCACCCCGCGGAGCACCTCGGGGTGGCGGCAGAGGTCGCAGAGGAAAGTAAACTCTTTTCCCCATCCCAAAGTAATGAAAATACCATGATATCCATGTACTATATTTGATACTCATACACATCTACACAACCATTCTCCTTTCTCGAAATGGGTCACTTTCATCTGAAAAGCTCAATATCCGGGTACTAAATGTCATTCAATAGCATCAAAGCTAATCATCCCTAACAATAAACCCGCCCACCTATTGAGTATTTTAACCCGACAGTGGCTTCCTGGCCCAGACTCTTTTTGTGCGTTGGTAGCCATGGTGACGCGGATTTGATAATTCTTTCCTGATCTGAGAATTGTAAACGTGCACCTCTTCTGCACTCCATGGCTTTGGGTGTCCGAATTTGGTCATAAGATACATCGTATACCCTTCCATGCCGGTCAGCCAATGGGATAGATTGACCGATCCAAGTTCTTTCAAAGTTCTTTCTTTTGCCCATGGCCCAATGGGCCATCTGGCGTTCTTTTCGTGCACATCCACGAAGCCTGCTTTCTCAATTGATGCTCGCATTGTGTGGATGAGATCCATCGGCTTCCCAGACTTATTGGCGGCAGCATCGAATCTATCATTGGAGTAAGTACCACGACGGAAAATTCATGTAGAGAAATACTTCATACCTTGGTCCAACTTCTAGTAAAATATTGCCGGCAGGAATACTCTTGTCGTCGCAGAAGATTGTAGGGTGAATTTCCATTTGCTCGATCCATCCACCGGGTTCTAGTTGGTCATAGATTCTCTTCATCACCTGGTCTATCTCTTCGGGTGTAAAAGCGCAAGCAATAATGCGAAGATGAATTAAATCGAATCTTTCGTGCCAGGTCCAGGGTTGCAAGACATCGTCAACTTCCAGCACGCAGTTTGGTGGCACCCAGGAGACGGGTGGTGGGAATAGATCCACACCGCGAACTTTGCATTCTGGAAACATGTCGGCAACGTCAATAGCCCATGATCCTTTCCCAGTGCCAATATCAAGGATATTTTGGGGGTGGATTGGTGCTTGAAAAAATGGATTCTCTTGATCGGAATCCGCTATCAAAGCTGTTAGGTGAACGGCATCATAAGTTTCAAATTGCCGTTCATCAGCAGGAAAGCAATATTCTTCCGGTTTGAGAGACTGGTATCGTCGGCCATTTTCAATTAGGCCTCGGTAGATTGAGGACTGGATCGAAGTCGTGTCGGAATTACAGTCCTCGCTGTAATCATCTCCCACTAGATGTATGTCATTGTCGACAGGAATGATGATCTCGTCGGACATCGGAGAGAATAGAGTGCCTTAAGGGTTTTATAGGGGCAGGCCACAGCAGCAGACTCGTTGGTATCAATGGTATGTAGTAGAATTTGAGGTTGAATATTGTGGGTGGATAAAAAGAGGGGGACGGGATGTTACTCGGGGAACCTTTAATAACGCTTTGGTCCAGTACTTCCCCAAAGTAGAAGAGGTACTTTTGCTCGAAATACGAGAGCTGATTAGGTATCTTTGACTGCATACGACCGCAAAGGGTGATGCGATCGCGGTCGCTTATTTTTGGACTACATCGCCATTCGATCTTGGTCCATTATCACCCCGTTGTTCACCAAGCATTTACAGGTTTACAAGGTTAACTGAAGCACACTTGCCGTTGCGAATTAGAGTACTAATGTCATTCCCGCTCTGCCGAAACTGAAGACTGTGCAAGACCACTTAGCGTCAAGCTAGCGGATTTAATATCCGAATCGAATCAACTATCCTCACTAACCACTAAGCAAAGTACTGTACTCAGTGCTCATGCTGGCTTGACGTGGCACGTGACATAGTCGGCCGATACAGATAGTGCCGGTGTTAACTGCTCACCGCCAAACACACCGCCATTTGCATGACTCAGCTGATCACGAGACAGGGGGAAATACCAAACGATACCGTACAGTCTTGGCATCCGTACATTCCCTTCAGAATGTAGGATACCGTAGAACAGCTGTCTCTGTATTACCATCTGACCGTCCCGAGGTTCATAATTCGACTCGGCCGATTGGATGTTCCTTATGTACCAGACATCTGGAGAATTGGTCCCCGCAGCTTTTTAGTTCCCCGGACTCCATTAACCCGAGCCCTCAATCCGATTCTCGCTCGTGGGCTTCAAGATATATCCCTCGCCTTCCTTTCTGATCTCCCACATTGGCACATTCTTTATATGATACCCCCCTTCACAATGGCGCAGGATAAACTGACTGGCGCGAAGGTCGCCGAGCACAACTCCAAGGACTCATGTTGGGTGATCGTCCACGGAAAGGCCTACGACGTCACCGAATTTTTACCAGGTGAGTCTGTGTGGGAAGAACACACTCCGAAGCTACGACAGGTATTAATACGGTTGTACAGAACACCCCGGTGGCCAGAAGATTATTTTGAAATACGCTGGCAAAGATGCGACCGAGGAATTCGATCCTATTCACCCACCGGATACCCTGGACAAGTATCTCGATCAGTCGAAGCATCTGGGCCAAGTCGATATGACTACAGTCGAGCAGGAGGAGAAAGCATTTGATCCAGAAGAGGCGGAACGCCAGGAACGCTTAAAATTAATGCCCTCATTGTCAGCGTGCTATAACCTCATGGACTTTGAAGCCGTCGCAAGACAAGTAATGAAAAAGACAGCATGGGCCTACTACTCCAGTGGTGCAGATGATGAAATTGTACGAAAAAATAAACCCCGTTTCGTCTCTTCTGTGTGCCCTCCAGCTAACCTGGCTGTCCAAAATAGACGATGCGCGAAAACCATGCCGCATTCCACAAAATTTGGTTCCGACCCCGTATCCTCGTGGACGTTGAGAATGTCGATATGTCGACCACAATGCTAGGAACCAAATGCTCAATCCCATTCTATGTCACAGCCACCGCACTCGGCAAACTAGGCCACCCGGAAGGCGAAGTTGTTCTTACAAGAGCAGCAAAGACCCACGATGTCATCCAGATGATTCCTACACTAGCGTCGTGTTCATTTGATGAAATTGTTAATGCAAAGCAAGGTGATCAAGTCCAGTGGCTGCAGCTCTATGTGAATAAGGACCGTGCCATCACCGAAAAGATCGTAGCGCACGCTGAAAAGCGTGGATGCAAAGGTCTTTTTATCACTGTTGATGCACCACAACTTGGTCGTCGCGAGAAAGATATGCGTTCGAAGTTCTCGGACACCGGCTCAGACGTGCAGGCCGGAGATAGCAATGTTGATCGGTCACAGGGCGCTGCACGTGCGATCTCTAGTTTTATTGATCCCGCACTTTCCTGGAAGGATATCCCCTGGTTCCGATCGATTACCAAGATGCCTATCATCCTCAAGGGTGTACAATGTGTGGAGGATGTTCTCCGTGCAGTAGAAGCCGGTGTTGATGGCGTTGTTCTTTCCAATCATGGAGGTCGTCAGCTTGAAACCGCTCGGTCTGGTATTGAAGTCCTGGCGGAGGTGATGCCTGCATTACGGGAGCGCGGTTGGGAACATCGTATCGAAGTCTATGTTGATGGTGGTGTTCGTCGCGCAACAGATATTCTGAAGGCATTGTGTCTTGGCGCGAAGGGAGTGGGTATTGGCCGACCATTCCTTTACGCCATGTCTTCATACGGCCAGGCTGGCGTAGAACATGCGATGCAGCTGCTGAAAGATGAGATGGAGATGAATATGCGCTTGATTGGTGCATCGCGCATTGAGGACTTGAACCCCCGTTTATTGGATACCCGTGGCTTGATGGGTGGTCATTCTGGTGTGATTCCTTCCGATACGTTGGGCTTGGGGGCTTACGATCCACTTGAGGCACCTCGATTTAATGAGAAGGCTAAACTGTAGATTACAAATGTGGATTAATAGGTGTTGGGGGTGACTGGTACAAGTATCTAGTTGGTATACATGTATTTGATCTCTTATTGGTGATAGGCTTGTGCATACTTTGATGATAGTATACTATACATATATCCATACCATGATACCTAATGTTGATGTCAAGGCTTCAAGAATAACTCAAATAGATAGATCATTTGAGACATGGATCTGAACTACACCATTTTCAGTTTTTCCTGTCTTTAGGCTCACGATAGGGGGGGTGGGGGGAAGAGAAAAGCCCAAGCTGAATCACTTCAAGTTGGAGGTGATAGTCGTAGTTGTGGACATCCGACTCACAAAATCGGTTTTACCCAATAATAATTTTCGATCGCTTCTTTAATCACCAATTTGTTGAGGTCACACGAGCTGATTCTTTTGCTAGTCTGCAGCAAGCAATTATTTCCCCAGCTCGCTAATCTTGCCCAGGTGTTCGCGAGCATGTCAGACCCACCTCGGTTAGTTCTGCAGAAGTTAGAACCGGCCAACTCTGCACAGAGTAGTTCATACGCTAGCTATGGCATCCACGTGAGATTAGTTCGCGTGAAGAAACCTTTGTGAACAGAGCTGGGCCTTTTTGCCTTTCATTGACCGAATCAGATCTCCCATGAGGACTCACCACTCGAAAACTGCCCTGAATTAAACCTTGCGGGGAGAGCTGAACGCCGTAAAGGGACTGAGCGCCGGAGATAGCCTATGCGACGGGCCACGGAGATCCCGAGAATGGGGCCAGACTTTGCAAGATTCCTATATGGAACTATATCATGCAGCAGATGGGAAATTCTGGGCGACGACATCATAATTTCCAAATACCTATGGCGAATTTCCAAAAGGGAGTCTCAATGCGAGAGATATCAGAGAAGATAAATAGAGATCGTGTTCCGGTGGGACTATTGAGCGATAATAATCAACCATCTCAGCGACTTACTATTCGTTGACTTCAAAGTTATCGCAATGACCAATATGTTATCGTCTCAGGGCCCTTTCGTCAAGTCCTGGGATTTCGGCATCCAGGAGCAGCACATAAAAGATAAGATGCGCAAGCCACAATCAAAGCGCATCATCATTTGCTGTGATGGTACTTGGCAGTCTGCTGTTTCTGGCGAGAAGAACGTTCCATCAAACGTTACTCGTCTTTGTCGTGCTATAAACCCTGTCGGAACCGACAAGGCGGGGCAGGAATGGCAGCAAGTTGTCTGGTATGACTCTGGAGTTGGTACAACTTCCCTATCAATGGGAACTGCCATCGAAGGTGCGACCGGACAAGGCCTTGAGGGTAATGTCATCGAAGCATACAACTTTTGTGTGTTGAACTATAACATCGGAGATCAAATTATGGTCTTTGGCTTCTCTCGTGGCGCCTACACAGCTCGCACGATTGCTGGTGTTATTACCGATATTGGACTTTGTTATCAGAAAGACCTCAACCAATTCCCTGAACTTTGGACCCAATACAAGGCCTTCAAGCGGGAAAAGAAAAACAAAGGGAAGCGCTTTTTCCGTAGTGAGACATGGTTCAAGTGGATGTGGGGATCAGCTGATGAGACGCAGGGCGCTGGTGATGCAACCAAAGGAAGCTTTGTTATCTCCGAAGGAAATCATGGGAAGCCATGCAGGGATCACGATTGGGCTCTCCTGGATAATGACTGGGCTCAACCAGGGTCAAGGTCGGTGGAGGTAGTTGGTGTTTATGACACAGTTGGTGCCATTGGAATGCCCGAAGTGGTTGGATTTAAAGTTCCACAATGGGCACTTTTCTGGAAGGAAAAGCCAGACTGGCATAACGTGGGACTCTCAACGCGTAAGTGGAGAAAGTTTTTATTCTACTATTCCTTTCCTGAACAGTCGGAAAGCAGTCACTAAAGATGTTTAATAGATATCAAGCATGCCTTCCAAGCGTTGGCTATCGACGAAAGACGGAAAGCATTCGAGCCCACTCTCTTCTATGTCCCATTCCCACCAACGAGTAACAATGAAGTTGAATTAACAGACGAGGTTCATTCGAACAAGGAGAAATTCTACAAAGAACTGAAAGATGCGCGCGCGCTAAAGGAAAATAACGACCCTCGCACTCCGACAGATGCCGAGGTCAACGCAGCCGCTAATAGAGTCAACACTGCTGCTCTCAATTGGAGCAATGCTATTCGTCATCTCATGAATTACCAAGACAAAATGGAATCCCCGACTGAACTAAAGCAGGTCTGGTTTCCAGGCTACCACATCAACATCGGTGGAGGGTCAAGCTCAACCATGGAGAACAAGGGTAACATGGAAGAAATGTCCAACATCGCCTATGCCTGGATGCTGGATCAAGTGAAGCTGCATCTCTCGCTTGATGAGGATCATATTGAAGAGGAATATGAGATTCGAAAGAGAAATTTCGAAAAGAACAACAAACTTTGTGAGAAGTGGAATAAGATGACAGAAAAGGAAGGCTGGGGAGCATGGGCTTGGCGCAGGTCAGCGGAGACAGCCTCGGCTGTCATACACCCCTTGACACCCAGCTCGGAGCCCCCCTTCAAGAAAAATCGTCGATATGATTGGGGCACTGCGGAGATGGAGGACAGTTTCACCAATATGTATTGGCCGAACGGTCAACATATTCGCACCCCTGGCCGATACGCTTTCAAGAACGGAGGTCGCGATAAGCTCCTTGGAGAGACCTTCGAATCTATCCATCCTGTTGTGCAGTATCGTATCGATAGGTGCAAAAACAACAAAGTTCTCACGGAGTATGTCCCCAGAGGACCCGAATACACACGTGAACCAGTAGACGGTGGTTATGTGTGGCACTTGAAATACTCTTTCGATGATGAACTTATCACATTACCGGAGTGGAAGCTTGGTGGTCCGGAATGCTATGAGCGCAAAGCAATTGTTACACCTGAAGCCCAGTCCTGGGTTCAAGCTCAGGGCCTGGGGTCAAGGACTGAGTCAAAAAGTAGCAATTATCAGGTAAAAACCATCGAGGTTTCTATCTAGAAGCGAAATTCACTTGTTTTTCAAATAGTCACATTGAGACCGAGGTGTTGAAATGAATCTTTCTATTTGACATTGTCGCAGTAAGCGACATTGACTGCTCCAATTGAGCCACTCACAGAGCATCGACCTGACTTATTGTGATTGGAATTGGACCGTACGGGCCGTGGGACTATTATTATATATACTGGCTGTAATTATTTGAATCTTGTGCGGCAATGTTTGACTTCAAGTTGTTACTGAAGTTATAATTTTTTGTTTGTCATTTTGTATGTTTCCGTCTATACAAAGGGTCCTCCTCGGAAGCCTCATAATTACCTGTTATTTGAGAAATCGGATCTTATCGGCGAGCTCATGCAGAAATGCCGTGATTAAACATGTTAATTTAAATTAAAAAAAGAAATATGCCGACCTTGGTCCTTCTTCACCGATCCTGGTTGACTTCCGGGACGGCACCAGATCCAAGAAGTGACAGCTGTGACATACAGTAGCTGCTCCCTCAACAGAAAAGTACGTGATCAAATAAGGAGGAGAAATGTCGACATGCATAAACATGCCATTTCTTGGCCTATCACGTTGTTTAGAAAACTAAAATGTATCATTTGCATGAAAAGCTCCGCTACTAGCCTTGCGCTATATGACGTGCTTAACAGGAGATATGAAGTAACGCAAAAACCTCCGACAACGCAGCAGCCGATCGTATTAACATATAAAACGAGAAATCCGTCTTTATTTTATAATGTTCATTGCGATTCAAAGGGTAATTGTTTCATCATGTCCTTTTGGCACGATAAGGAGAAAACGGCCGAGGTTGCCAACGCCTCAACAGTCGCCTCAGAAGAGTCTTCAACTCCAGAGGGATATACGGCTGCTGAAGGTCTTAACTCCAGTATTGTGACATACCAGGATGCATCAGGGGCACCTGTTGAGACAAATTCGCCACTGGGCTATTCAGTTGGGTTTTTGGCGGCCTTCTGTTTGAATATTAACCAGATGGTTGGGACTGGGATTTTCTCGACGCGTACGTACCACAAGATTATGTCTCGATATTAATCTCACTTCTTGAGCTAGCTACTGACAGTTTTGAAGCTGCTACAATTCTATCTGGCGTTGGCTCGGTGGGTTTGTCGATGATATACTGGTTTATAGGTTATCTTCTTTCGGAGAGTATTCTTTCTCTTTACTTGGAGTACGCGTCGTATTTTCCCAGCCGATCGGGATCTGAAGTCGTTTACCTCGAACAAGCCTTTCCTAATCCGAAATACCTAATTCCGACCGTCTTTGCAGCGAAACATGTCATTTTCTCCTTCGCTAGTAGCAACGCCGTTGTCATGGCGCAATACATCTTCGGTATTGGCGGAATCTCTTATAGCGCTTGGCAGATGAAGGGCGTGGCCATCGCAATGTATACCCTTGCATATTTCGTTGTTGTCTCGAGCACCAAATGGTCCTTGAGGCTAGTGGTCTATTTTGGGATTATCAAGGTCCTTACACTACTTCTGTATGGTTAAGCCCTTATTCCAAAGACGAGCATTTTGCTGACTATGTGGCAGGATTTCAATTGCTGGACTTGTTGTTCTGGGTGGTCATACCAAGGTTGAGGACCCCGGAAATTGGAGTGATCCATGGCGTGGAAGTTCAGATGCAACTGCTTATGGGGCGACTAATGCTATGGTTAAATTGATTTTCTCGTATGCGGGTTATAACAATGCCTTTGGGGTTGTCAATGAGATCAAGGTTTGTCGCTCAGCTATTACTATCTCTTTCTCTGAGGCTCAGCAGATTAAACTTGAAGTTCAACACTGACTGACGTTTTCAGAATCCTATCAAAACCCTCCGTTGGAGTGCACCGGCTTCCCTTATTCTTGTTACTGTACTATACATTCTAGTCAATGTTGCATACTTCTCTGCTGTGACTCGGGAGGAGATCCTTGCATCGAAGCAAGTTGCAGCTTCGATTTTTTTCGAGAAAGTCTTTGGAAAGCATGGTGCGGCCAGTGCTCTGGATGTGCTTGTTTGCTTGAGTGCGTTCGGAAATTTGATCGCGGTCCTCGTAAATACATCCAGATTGCTTCGAGAGACTGGCAGGTATGAGCAGAATTACCTTTCCAAAAATACCATACCAAATATCATGCTGACAATTATCTCTCTGATAGACAAGGTGTTCTCCCCTGGCCTAAGTTTTGGACTTCCGTTAGGCCATTTGGAACTCCTATTGGGCCATACACAGTCATTTGGGCCTTGACTATCTTGATGATCCTGGCCCCACCCGCTGGTGACGCCTTCAATTTTGGTCAGTAGCAGACTAAACTTTATGCAGGGAAATCAAAACTAACATCTCGCAGTCGTCGATCTCTCCGTCTATCCCACGAACATTTTCAACTTCCTTTTGGTGATTGGCATTCTAATCATCCGTAGACGGCGCAGAGCACTCGGCCTTCCTGCTCCTCAATATTCAGCTTGGTGGATTGCCATTGGATTTGCAATGTTAGCCACGCTTTACATGCTTGTTGCGCCTTGGTATCCTCCCAACACTGGGGCAAATGGCGGAGATGTAAGCTTTTGGTATGGAACATACTTGGTCGTTGGTGTTGGCCTGTAAGTTGATCAAATCTATTAATATCTCTGCCACTATATCTTGTATTCGAGCTAACCATATTCAGGCTGACGGGCTGTGTGGTATACTATTACTTCTGGATCTACATAATTCCCAAATGGAAGGGGTATGAGTTTAGACAGACTGTAGTTCAGTTTGAGGATGGCTCCATCACGCACCAGCTTGTAAAGATTCCAAGGGAAGAGTTGGCTACTTGGGATAGCCAGCATGATGCAACGGGTCGTTCATTGAATGGATCAGTGAATGAACATCAATGAAGCGTCTCATAACAAGTTTTGAGTCTTGACACGGTCAGCAATGATTGCAATTTGCCATTGATCAAGATGTAAATAGTCTATTCTAGTAAATGAAGTACATAACATAATGAGGACTTTGAAATGGAAAGCATGAGAGAAGATGAAATAGCAAGCAAAAAGCACGTTGGGAAAATAAAATTCTAAAACGAAATACTCAGTGGAGTCTATGATATATAGTGTAGTATCTCGAGGCCGGTCGAGACCCGCTTATCAGCTTATCAGCTTATCGTTCATGCTATCAGATCTACTATCTTCACGTGCACCAGCGATAACACCCGAATTTCTAATCAATAACGAAACTCGATTGACTTCCCGACTGGCCGACACCTCAACATCCAACCTTGTGATCCTTAATGTTCTCCCGCACCTCCTCCCTCACTGTCCTGAGCAGAGGCTGTCGCTATCTCCTCCGTCCAATTCCTCAGCGCGCCTCCCCCTTCGCCGCATTCTCCCATTCCTCGCGATCTTTCGCCGCCATCAACGCTGCCATGGCCGATACCTCGGGTGTCACTGCGGACTCACTGAAGCTTAAGCTCACCGAGCAATTGCAAGCACAATTTGTTGAGATCGAAGATCTGTCAGGTAGGAATTGGAATCGGAATCATGGCGTGTACGATTAGGATAATTTGCTGATTGTGGGTGTAGGTGGTTGTGGTCAGGCTTTCCAGGCGGTGATTGTCTCCCCGCAATTTGAGAGCAAGAATATGCTTGCGCGTCATCGTCTTGTTAACTCTGTGCTGAAGGCTGAGATTGCGGCTATTCATGCCTGGACTCCTAAGTGTTACACTCCTGAGCAGTGGCAGGCACTTCAGCAGTAATGAGAACTTACCATTCACGAATAATCGGAATATTTGATGGAAATGCAACTTCTAGAACTGATGTCTAGTTGATTGTATTTTTTAATTATAGCTTGGGTCCGAATTTCTTTGTCTTTGGACCATTAGGCTTTTTGTGACGATTCTTCGGGCATACCTTTTGACGATACCCGAGATAGTAGCTGGATAGTCTACTTTGCGCAGCATCGGGATTTGTGTGTACAATAGAGCTCTATATCTATTAATATCTTTTAAGTTTAATGACAAGCTGAAGTCTTACCTGTGAAAGACTGCCTAAACTGCCTAATACGCAAGTGGTCCTGGAAGCAAGAAAAGATGCAAACATGGATGATAACAACGTTCAAGAAGGAAGAGGAGATGCGAAGTAAGGCACTGGACAAATAGAATCAGAATTCAGTTAAACATGGCAAGCAACCTGAACCACAACAACGTACACCTCCATGTCACAAGCTTCACTAAAAATTCCGCTGTCATTAGATTATACTAAGCTTATATATATCGCTGATGTGCCAGAATCATGATGTTCTCTTTGCCAATATCCATTTTTTCCGTCTCTTCATCGGTAAAACATCAATGAGGCTCCTTCACCTTGAAGCAACAGCTATATATCCAGGCTCAGGCTCCCAGAGTAGATACAGCATCAGCACGAGCTCAGAGTCAGTGATGAGCTCAGAACAGTCACGTGCATGATGACTGATATTATGTTGATGCTCATTGGATGCTCACTGATTACTCAGTGACACTCTGTGTCCAATCAGTGAGCAACTCTGATCACTCAGACCACCGCAGACTATACCTTTAATGGAACAGCCCCACAGGATCGTTTAAACTGTGATTCTTAGTTCGTAGATAGCATCGCACCAGCCCTCATTTTCTGAACCCTGCCAATGTCACCAAGAAGGAGATACGTCATGCTCATGGGGCATAGGAGAAAGTGGAGGCCCTTCCCCTGTTTGATGATGCTGCCGTCAAGAGTTCTTTCTGAATTCTCATTGTGGCTCGAGCTCGAAATCTTAAATATAAAAGCAAACCATGTCCCAGCCCTAGCATGTTAATCATTCACACGCCTACGCTTTCGGCGTCTATTTTTAATACGTTAAACCAACACCGGGCTCATCTGCCCTGAATGCCTGCCCCCTTGTGGCATCGCACTTGATTATGGGCAGAAAAGACTTTTTTGCTGAGCGCGATGAGATCGCAAAGGAAAGACGTCGTCTACAACGGGAAAGAAACGGTTATGTTCCTGGAGTTCGCAGACAGGAGGATTCAATTCGGGAGAAAGACAAAAGGCTTGCCGAGACCAACAACTTACATCGACAAAACGTGGATCTTTGGCTGAAGTAAGTTTAAGACGCATCTGAAGTGGCAATCCTTCTCATTCATGAGCAACGCTGACTCCTCCTTAGTCTTACTGCAGACCTAGAGAATGGATTTGAATACTACAGGACCTCGTTTGGTTGCCCAGCCCCAAGTCACGAGATGATCAAGGAATTTATCCGCTGGTACATTGGTTCTATTCAAGGCCGACTAAACGAGATTGGACGACCAACGGTAAGAACCGTCGAGGCCTGTGTTGAGCAGTTCTTTGGTGGATTTGAAGAAATTACAAAGACTAAAATCATCCCAGATAATCGAAAAGAAATAAAACCGGTGTATCTATCGTCACTTCCCGCTAAGACCTTATCCTTACAGCCATACTAATTTCAAGATAGTAGATCAAAAAAACCCTAACGGCGGAAGGCATAATAGTAAACCAAAAGAAAGAGAAGCTGAACTTCACAAAACATAGTTTCCTGAGAACGGTCTCGTCTTTGTGGTAGACAGATCATCAAACGTTTATCCCTGGGTAGCTCAAAGTGTGCATCTTGTTCGCTCTTCAACTGTATCTCTTTACTGGAGCAAGAGTCGGATATTTCATTCCTTCCAGCAAGGACAAACATGAAAGAGGTCTTCGATACAAAGTAAGGTTTCTTTACTCCAGCGACGTCGTCTACTACTAACCTCTATTCCAGCACATTGACTTTGTACTATTTCCTTCAACCACGGCCCCTTGGGCGGTGGGATGGCGGGTCAAACAGGTCTGGCTCAAGAATTTAACCGATGTCCACAATACACTGTGTGAGTGGGAAGAGCCCAGTGGCGTACTGTTTTGGTATACTGGGACATTTCCTTTGCTAATCAATACTCTAGATTCGGGATTGGTATCCGGGACAGCAACAGACCGCAATTTGCTCTAGGCTACCTTCCTCTCTCCCTCGCACTAGCACACGGTGCTCTCTGTCGGGTCAACACTGCGGACGATCCAGCACAATTCGATCTCTCAAATGGAGGATTTCCATTGCGATGGAAAGATGAGTACTTGGAAAGCCAGTCCTCAGACATGCCATGGCAGATGGACCCCAAGAGACTCCTTTGACGAAGCAAAAGTTTTGTTCCTGCTTACGCCAAATCTTCGCCCCTGCGAGATACTTTGGTGAAATGGCAACGATCCACTGCATTCGACGAAATCTAGGGACGAAAGTCGAAAGTCAGTCCCTGAAACCACGAAAGAGGCCACAGTACTAAAGTTTGTTATAGGAAGGCATGGTTCTGCACCTGTGTCTCAAATCATGGCGCACCAGGGACCATACACTTTTCCAGAGCATTATAAAGCCCACTGCTCCTCTATAGATACAGTGTCAGCTGTTGTCGACGAGGCGGACCAATCTGATCACATTGAGTACTTCCAAGGCTACGTCCAATTTTATGAGCGCGGCTTGCCGAGCGAATTGCCAGCAGAAGTCAAGAAAAGTATTCTTGAAAAACCAGACATGGTAAGAATGAGAGATCGGATCGACTAGTTTGAGCGAAGTCACGATGCGAACTCATTCGAGCACGAGCAGCTGGAATGCAGGAAGGCGCTAGTTCGACATCGTCTTTCTGAGCTCAAGCAATATCAAAATCGGTGGGTACGGGAGAAAAGAGACCAGAAAATCATCAACCGGGGAAAGGAAGAGCCGGCGCATTTGGAGAATGACATTTGCACACGCGCTCAAATGTTGATTATGCCCGAGGTTGCGCGAATCGCAACAGCCATGTCCTGCACCAAAGAGCTTTCTTTTGACGAAAAACTTCTTTTTGTCCAAGATCTACAGACTCAGTGTGTCCCTGATTTTGATGTGGTATACCTCCCAAATGAAAGCCCAGTTCAAGGTCTCTGTCATGTAAAAGGTTGCCCAAATCAATATCGCAAGGTGAGCGCCCCGATCTGATAATAACCTGGTCGATACTAACTCTATTAGTCTGAGAAAATGTGACAGAAGCGCTCATATTCACGGATGTATTCGGCGCGAGAAAGCTTTTAGCCTTCAAATACCAGATGCGGATGTGCGGTTTTATTACGAGTGCATGGAATGGTGTACCTCAGCTCAGTGGCGGGATCATTGTGATAACCATCTCCAGTCTTGGAAAGCCCAGCATTGCGAAGTAATCATATATCGCCATACCGTCATTCGTCCAGGATACTGCCTCTTTTGCTTATGGGACCCAAATCTCTTTGCGGAAGAACGTCTACGATACTGGCTGCGAAGTGACAACCTGAGGGAACACATTGAAGGGCAGCACTTGGCTAATATACAGCTTGGTCCGACAAAGCCGATATGCGGATGCTCCCAACCCTTCAGCGATGAGCGTGACCTTCGACATCACTTGCACAACGCACATGGGCTCAAGGAAACCATATGGCAAAATCCAAAGCTCCCCAACAAGAGAAAGCGCACTTGCAAGTTGGAAGCCAAAGGATTTCCAACAGATCCACGGGATGATCAATTAGTGACATTACGGTTATATGATCCCAGGAATCCTTAATTTCCACGCATCCACATGAAAGCGGGTTTACACTCCAGAATTCGAAGCAAAATGTACATGGATTGCTGTTGAGCTGTGAGATTAATGGCTTACTCAAGTTTGCACTCCCACCTGAGAGTTATCGCACGATCCTGCACCCATCCCTTAATCCTAGTACAGGAACTAGAGTTCCTAGGAGCCGGGTGGCTCAGACTTATCAGGCTGGGAATATAAATTATAGTACGCCTGATTACTTAAGTTCTTTAGACGTCGGTAGACTGCTACTGGATAACTCTATATTAAGGGTGGTCCGATCATCTTGCGGGGCACTCGTTTAAAGTTAATCTAGACTTCCGTGCGGCAGGTGATCCACAAAGGTTAAATCGGCTGCCGGGACGGGGGACGGCAATGTTCGTTCTTTATTTCAACACTACTTGACGGCGATAGAAGAATATTACTAGGGCAGACATCTTTCGAGACTATATGGCTCGAAAAAAATTGGTTCTATCTGCATCTTCAGAGTGCGAAACCAAAGTCCGATTGTAAGATAAAAGGTTATTGAGTTTCTAGATCAAAAATTGGGATATTTTGTGCACATTTACGGTTAAATTTCCATCCCGACTGAACGTATTCAAGGGATATCAATTGCTGTCCTGGTAGAAGTGGAAATGTCTCTGTACAGAGCTATGACGAAATTGGCCCCTCGGGCCGTCCCAAGAAGACCCGGAACGCGGAGTTTTCGGCGAGTTAGTTTATCCCTTATGTGGCTCAAACGAAATGAATCATCTTCTGTGCTATTATTGATTAAACTCCAGTGCGCAGTCGGCTTTAGCTACTAAAGGGTCTGGGAGTTTGCCGGAAAATGGGTTCTTGACAAATTCATCAATTGTGTTAAGTTGGTAAAGGAGGGGATAAAGATGTTCATCAATTTGTAACCCTTGCTTGTTTAAACTTAGTTTGAGAGAGTCCAGATGGTCCTTGAATCTAGGTTTATTATTTGCCACAATCCTTTGTTCCACTTAACTTAGGAATTTCTCTCACAAAAGAAGGGGACATAGGCTGAGCGAACCACAGGTCTTAGGGTCCCAACGGAACATGTCTACCGGTACAAACCCTCACTACTTTTGTGGTAGCTACCTAGAAGTCTAGATCAACGGTCCAGAATATACTATGAAGAAAATATAACCAAGTTCACAGTTGTTCAATTAGTCAGTCGTAAGAATTTGATGATTCAAGTCTTCATTCGAGCTATCTAGCTAGCTGCAAGAGAAATACGATGGAGAGAGAAAAATAAGAGTGTGTGCGCGAACAACCGATGTATCATATCAGTGACATGAGGTCACATGTTCACAAGCCCACTTAGGTCTTGACAACAACTGACTGTCCCTTGCGTAGACTACTTGAGAAGGACTCAAAAAACCTAACCTACTAAAGCTGTACAATTTCCAGGAAAGTTAAGACAATTTTAGCAGCTACCATCTGCACACCATATATTGGGTTGTGGCCGAGGGTAATGTAGGACCGGAATTCTGAAAACGGAGTTTTAAATTGAAATTTAAGTGTTGTAGAAAACCGCTTCCGTTTGCGTCACTCGTCATATTCTCTAGAATCATAGGATATTAACAAGATGACGGATATCCATGGGAGCTGTTACCACCAAGCACAAAGCCTAAAAAGAGAATATATTATATAGCTATTATAATAACATTATTTCAGACCTAGTCTAGATCTTAAATCGTAGTCTCTAAAACCATAAGATATTAGACAAGATGACGGATATCCATGGAAGCTGTTACCATCAAGCACAAAGCCTTAAAAGAGAATATATTATAGCTATGATAATAATCTAATTCCAGACCTAGTCTAGATCTTAATTCGTAGTCTCTAAAACCATGAGATATTAGAGAAGATGACGGATATCCATAAGAGCTGTTACCACCAAGCACAAAGTCTAAAAAGAGAATATATTATAGCTGTCATAATAACCTCATTTAAGACCTGGTCTAGATGTTAATTCGTAGTACGGTAACCTAAGAGGTGCATAGGACTAGGGGGAGATTATATCTGCAAACGGATATTTCAGCTAATAGCATGATTAGAAGGAGAGGAAGGGAAAATAGTATAAAATAGTATTGGCAATAAATTATAAATATGTCTTTTTGCATCCATATCCATTTCGATTCTAAGTTATATTTCTCCCCTTGAGCATATCACAATAGGTAAGACTTCTACACTCGGTTTTAGCAGATACACCCTTGACATGAATTTAAACAGGTACATTCTACGGATAAACATCGAAAACATCTCTGAAATTCATACTGAACACACATAGCCATCCACAATGAAACTGATCTCTCTGGTTTTTCTGTCTGGCTTTGCGGTATCAGTGTTGGCAAATACAACTGTTCAAATGTCACCGGCACAAGAGCAGCAATGCCGTAAAGGAGGGGGTGTAAAACCTGCCGATTGTTGCGACTATAATGACTGTCCTGGTTGTGGATTTTATCAACGATGCTGCTTCAAGAGCGGTCAGAACCCAGACCCAACTTCAAGAGGATCGTGCGAATGTGGGGTTGACGACTACCCACAAGGATCCTGTTTCTAAGCCGTGCTTTATTTTGTAGGCTAGTAAGTATCGGAGTTGATATTGTTATTATTATTCCATGCACGTTATACTGACAGGAATGTCTGCAATTAGAGGTCATTTAAGCTGGGTATGCCATTCAACATACGCTACCCAAAACAGCCTTTACTGTTGCCTATTTCATGTGTCTTACCTGCGTCCTTGGCTCTTTCAATTTGCAGTTTTTTGGGGGTATATTCTCGGGTTCTATGAGGCTTAAGTGACTGAAGTATGGCAGGGATAGATTATATTTTCATCCGCAGAACTAGGATGGTGCCCAGAACCCAAAGAGGGAAAATTGGAGGAGTGCAGATACAGTTAAGTAGGTAGTTAACTAACTGTTAATGAATTTCTGTTGACAGACCAATAACTTGTTAACTAATAAGGAACATTGTCAAGGACTATGAAGTTATGGTGACAATCAAGTGTGTGGTTGTGAGCGTATTAGATGGTGCCTACGACCGGGCGGAAGGGGGGTTTCGATAAGAATGGCCAGATCAGCCCTAGGAGAGCCAAGATACAAGCACATGTGTATAGTAGCATTTTGTCGCCCAGAAGAGGGGTTAGGCAGCGATCAATTTATAGTGAAAGCCTGGTTTTAATTTGACGGGGTAATACAATCTGTCTCAAAAGACCAATGCCAGCGGGCATATACTAATATCTCGAGGACCAACGTGAATCGAACCTGTAACCCCACCAAACTGGGGACAACCTTTTTATTAGACCCAGAATCCGTATCCAGCTGTCCTAGTTATACGTTCACAACTCTGTATCGATCACGTCTCTCAACTCAGTTGAGGTCTGTTATTATCCTATGCTGTCAGTGCTTCCCTGAAGTAATACAGGTTTCATGCAAAGGTATCAATGCCTAGGACCGCCTATAAGACTAAGAACACCAACGCGCCGTTCTTCAAAGAAGAGGATGACCTGATGGCCTCTAAAACGACTAAAAAAGATGATCTACGTGGGATGATTGGATACCCATGTGGGGTAGTGATTGTATTACGAATACAAATAATCAAATGCACTGAGTCGTGAAACATACCATACCACTAGACCTCCGCAGAGCCCACAAAGCCCAAAGCCCAGCCTGGGCCCCCAAACAGTACAAACATGCCAATTCTTGGCATTTGCATAAGTAATGCAGATTTTCCCAGTATTTTTGAGTATTCCAATTACAGGCTAAGTTCGAATTGGCCGAGTTCTCTTAAGAATTGACTGAATTGACTGATTGATGAGATCGATTGATAAGATATCAAGTGAGATTAAACTATCTACATACTAATATCGCTCATAAAGTTCATCATCAACATGCCTCCTCTTCCTCCCCGATGTACGAACCTAAGACGGTGCAGCTATAGCTATAGCAGTGATGGTAGCATCGTCATCGTTGGAACTATCGTCAATATCAGTCAGATCCTCAGAGCTATCACCCTGCTCTTTAGTATCACTGATCTCTTCAATTTCGAGGTCATCTGCGCCTGACTGCTCATACTTCTCTTCCATCAATACCTGGATGTCATCAGATATCAAGAACTGTTCAAATTCCTTCGCTTCCTGCACCTCAAGGTTAAATCTTGATGTACATAGGTACAGCATCAGCTCTTCGACAGTATGCGGCTTTAAAGAGCCGCGGGGATAGTGGCAGATATCGCGTGCAGTTTTAAACAGACTTTCTACCCCAGCGCCCGTTGCCGGGATTGCGAGTACATCCCTTGCAAGTGCAGTAATAGCCGGGAAACGGAATTCATCCTCTCTCCAGAAGGAGAGAGGCTCAAAATCAGTCACATCTAATTAAAATTAGTAATAAGTCAATTGATGAATATAGTGATGAACTTACTGCCGTCGAGATACTACGTCAACTCATCCACAACTACACTTGCTGTTGCTTTGGAGAGAGATTTTTGGCTTCGAACTAGGTCATAAAGGAATGATTTGGTGTCGATCCGGAAGAAGACTCGTGCGGGCCTTGAGCATTGGCATTGGTAAAACGTTGCTGGATAGGAGTGAGGGCACCACGGAATGCGACACGGTACTGATCGCGTAATCCTTTGGCTTCGGACCAATCATCAGAAAGGAAGAACTGGAATCTACTATCTGGCGATATCATTGTACACAGTGCATAGATATGCCCCCGCATATGGTCCGTCTCTTTGAAGTGGTCGCGCAATTTTGCATGGCTAGCCTCGAGAGAGATGAGCATCTGTTTCTTCCAAACGACACGCTTTCGCTGTAACTGTATCTTTGATCGTTCAATGTGTTCAAAGAGCAAGTTATAGATCTGTAATACAAGATGCGATGTCACATCGCGCGTCTTTGAAAGGGAAAGGGTATAATCAAAGAACGGCTTTGTGAGGCAAAGAAGGTAGTCGATCTGGCGCCACTGATCATCATCAAGTGCGAGCTCTAGATAGTTGTAGTCTTCACAGAATGTGACAATAAAAGAACGGATCCTCTTTGCTCGGCGAAGCATAAGAAACGTTGAATTGCATTGAACCTTAACATCCTGGACTAGTATTAGCCCTAGGGCTGGAAGTTGAAGCTTTAGGAATGGCTCCCGGCGCTGAGGACTAGCCCAGATGAAGACTGTAAGATCTCGTATTCTTTGTAAGGTATACGGTATCTCCCGGTTGTTAGATTGTGCGTTCGCCTTGGCTAGGGTCATCTGACGCTCTGACCATTGAGTCTCGGCATGTTGGTTTTTGGGACTGCTTTTAAACGATCAAGCAGTCGGTCCAAACTCAATTGGATCACATGGGCAAGGCAGGGGATACGGATAACGTTGAAACCACTAGCTAAAGACTGTTGTAGTGAATCAACTAGGGTCTTGTTATTCGATGCGTTATCGGTCGTTACTCCAAAGATTCGGTCCTGAATTCCATGCTCAGTGAGAGACTTTATAAGAACGGCACTTAGGTTTGCACCTGTATGCGGTCCCATAAAGGGGCTTAAAGCCGAGTAGCACCTCGCGGTACACCCAGTCGGCGTCGATAAAATAGCCAGTGATAGCCATAAACGCCTGCCCAAATGGAGATGTCCAACAGTCTAGTGCAACCGAGACCTTCGCATGCTCTGGTAGCATCTTGAGCGTATCCTGCTGACGCTCTTTGACAAGAGTAGACAACCGATGTCGAATTGTATCAGCGGAGGGTACGGTTGGAGGGCTTAAAGCTGGAGCGGACGCCGATTGTGTGATCAGGCGGCGAAAGGCTGGATTTTCGATAAATTGGAACGGCAGCCGGTTAGTAGTGATGAACTGTAGGAGTTGATCGTTCCAGGCCTCTTGCGAGAAGGGTTGACCGTCGGTATCGGCGTCGCACTAGGTAAAGCTCACTTATTAGTATTGCTCTAATATAATACACCTTAACATACCGCTGTTCGAAGAAACCTTGTTATATGCCTTTGCCGGCGTCCACTTGAGGCCTTTTGGCAGGCTGAAGTCTGAAGATGACGGGTAATAGTCGTCGTGCCATGACGACCAACCCTACCATTCGCATCCTCCCTGTAGCATAAGGGTGCTCACGAATCGTATCGCAACGCTTACACATAACCTTTGGGCTCCCGTTGCCCACATGCGCTACTTGCTCAAACTGTTTCCAGGTCTCCAAAGTGGACCCATGTTGGGATTCCTAAGCGATATTACTGTTGTTAGATCCATAGTCAGTCTCCAACCACCAGTCGGCCCAATCTCTATGATTAATCGCGCCGTAAAGAAAGAATTGGCCTTTCCTACCAGGACTGACACGTTGGAAGCGTTCGAGAGGATCCGGAGCGATCGACGAAGGAATAGACGGCTGAACAAACGAGAAGCCATCTACCTGCTGAGAGATAGACGGGGTAGCTGGGTAATTGGAAGGTATAATAAACGAGAAGTCGTCGGCCCAGAAATTGAATCGAATGTATTTCACTGCGAAGGTTCAACCTCGGTTTGCTGGCTTTGCGACATGGTTAGTGATAGTTAATTGGTAGTGAATTCAAAGTAGTATAGTAGGAAGGGCTTTAAGGAATCAATAAGAAAGAAGGGAGATACAACTGCCAGTGCTGTGAAGGGCTACAGTCGAATTGATTCAATTGGACGGTGTCTGCATGCTGTTTACATAGATCTTAGGGAACTGTAAACAAAGGGGCGGTCAACTATAGTATATAGTGTCAGAACAGGATGCAACTGGCCAATCAGGAAAATTGGAGAACTCTGTCTTGTTATTATGTAGCTAAACTATCAATTTATAACTACGTGTAGAATACATGACTAATGGGCAAGCTGACTTATCCATAATAGTGGAGACTTCTCAGGAATTCATCCTGACACACCCCCTCATCGGGAGGAGTCTCTGGTCTTGATGACCCAAAATTGCCTGAGAACCACCCGATTCCTCCATTTCTGCTGTTTCTACAAAACAGCCTCTGTTTTCTGCGAATGAAAAAGGCGATATTTAGCAAGCTGCAATACAAAAAACTGGGGTCCACCTATAGGTAGGCATATATTTACGATATACTATAGAGCAGCTTGATCTACATAGTAACGTCCAGAAGAGATATTTGTCGGGTTTAATCGAGCACAAATCACTAGGCAGGATTCTAAGATAACAAATGTTCCATGTTATACGATGTTGGAGCTGCAAATTCGAAGTTTTTGTTTCGCTTTTCATCTAATGCTGATCTGCAGAGTCGTCAACTATCACAAAATCACGCAAGTTTCATTACGAAAAGGGTGAGACTCTGTCGAAAAAGACACATTTCAAGAATACAGAAGTTGCTACGGGGGAAAGTAAAAGGATTACGACGTTATTTTCCCTAGCTTGTCTCGGTTTAATCAAAAGATACCTTGAAATGAGTCCAGAATTAGATTGGGGTGGATCCTGAATTAGCCTTCATCATGATGATCATTCACATTATATCAAGATCGACTCCAATAGTCAAGCTTACGATTAAAGAATAGAGTGGACCGGAATGACCATCCGAGAAATACTAATCCTCTGAAAAGTTCTGAACATTTGAAACAAAATCTGGTTATAACATGCATATCCAGTGATATCTCCGTTCTCGAAGTGCGTACGAAGTACATAGTCCGTGAAGTAAAAACAACTGGCTCTATTTTTGGATAACCTACTGTATGCAATCTGCATAGCCCCCAGACTTTTTTTGAATGGTCATCCATGGTTGGATAGAGCACCCGGAAGTGGGTTCATCAGAGACATGCGGGCAAACCTGTTATGCAGGGTCCATTTACCCGCATCGCACTGCGTACGGATAATAGGCGAGACACGGGTAGCGACGATCCTATCAGTTAATATTCATTTCGCCGAAGTTGCACCGCCATGCTGTTTAGTTGCCACCGGCCGCGCAAAAGCCCAACGCAAAATATGACCATTTTGAGTGAATGGGGCTACTAATCATGCGGGGAAGTAACAAAAGAAAAGATACAGAGCCAAATCCCAGGAGTGTAAGTGAAATGGGCCAGTTGAGTGTGTCTTCACGATGATTGCAACCAAATACTGTATGTACAAAGAGGTCGAGGATAGACCCGCCTAAACCTCGGCATGATTTCAAGTGGGACCGCTGAGGATAGTTGTCTGAGACAATTGTAGCCTGATGCAATATTGAGACATTCGCCATGCCAAGTTCAAGTATCCCCACCCCTCGTGCAGATAATCAATAGGCAAGTGCCAGTGGGCATGACTAGCCTGCAGACGCGGAGATGCCGCTTCCAGTTTTAGGGCATCTTCCAGGTTTAGGGCATCTTCCAGCTGCTTCCAAAAAACAGGACTACCTGTAGAAAACAAGGCAAGAAACATATAAAAAGAACCCAAGTCCCCAGCCACAGAGGAGCAATTATCAACCAAATCTTCTGTTCTTCTCACATCCAGACTTTCGCTTCACCGTTCTCCATATAACTATTTTCATAATGCAGATCGGAAACATTCTGTTTGCTGCCTCCGTTGCAGCGACCGCTTCTGCTCTTCCCAGCACCCAATCCGAGACTTTCAACGTCGTATCTATCCACTCAGGCTCTGATGTGCAATATGACGGCTTCAATGCCGCCAAGAGCAGCATTCTAGCTGGCCTCAAGTCTCAAGGTGCCAGCTGCGCACGCCCCAAGGATCAGGATGCCACCTTCTACATCAAAGATGGAGCTCTTTATCTTTATGCTGCATCCGCCACACCTCAAGAGATCTACGTCGATCGCTCTGGCATGGGTAAGTTCTGAGGCAATCTCCAAGGCAATTTCTATGGGGATATTATGCTAATGCTATTGTGACAAACAGGCCAGGGTAAGATTGGATACACCACCGGTGCTCAACCTGCGCCCAAGAACTCCGAGCGTAAAGGCTGGGCGATCAAGAATGATCATTTGCAATTCGCCGGCAATGACCTGATTGCCTGCCCCAATAGCATTGATGGTGCTTGGTCTATTTGGGCATCAGCTGGAGTCGCGAACCCTGGTGGCAACAAGGACTGTGTTGGCATTGCCGCTCGCATCGAGAAAACTTCCAAGCCTAACAGCTGCCTCTACACTGAGTAGTTCCAGCGACTACCATAAAATGATCGGTGGATGTAATGCCAAGTTAAATTGCATCCATTGTGTCGGCTTAGAAATCCCCAGAGCTTATATGTTGGCGAAAGCTTCAATACATGTAATAATATCAATTTTCATTAGAAATATCTAATGTTCCAATGTAATGCAGTCATTTAAATATTCATGATCAAACTTTCAATGTATTACCGAGTATATCCAGCATTTCAGTTCTTTGGAGTTATCCCAGATACCACTCAGCTTCCAACACTATTCAAGAATATCACCAGCTCCCAGCCCCTGATCCCCCATCCTGCTGACCAGATCATACCACAGTCGGATCTGTATATGAAAAGCGTCAGAAAGAGGGTCAGACAGCCATCATCAAGCTATGCAGCACTCTCATCCGAGCGATCAAAACAAATCCCAAATGGGAATGACCTTCCACTGAAAATTTCCCAAACCTCGCACTCTGAATTGCGACAGGGGAGGCGTGGGGCCTTGGCTTTTACGTTGGCACTAGAGGATATGTGTGTATTATCCATCAACAGGTGTACAATCCCATCGGTGGCTGGCCGTCAAACTATCTAAATTACTGGATAAAAGATAGCGCTGGCATCTACACATGTACATCATGATCCAGGAAGAATATAGCACTATAAGCGTGAGAGTCGCAAGCACTTGTTTAAAAAGAGTTTTATCACGCAATTTGTGACCTTGGTACTGGGATAGTTGCTTCGCAGGATGGCATCGGATCTTTTAGGAAAGATGACCAGAATAAAGATGTTCGAAATGGCTATTTCAAGCTCTTTGCTAATAAAAAGTTTCTGGTGCTATCAAAAATTAAATCAAACTCCGCTAGACACAATCCCGGTGCCATGAAGATATCAAATCATCAATCTAACTCCACCGATGTTTCTTTGCATTGTCTGGGCTTCCTGGGTTTCATCCAGATGCCCTATGAGCCGTACCATGCAAATAATCGTCCGTATCATCAACACCAAAGCCTTGACCCTTACAAGAAATGATAGGCTTAGCCACCTTTGCCTGTTCACCCGCTTAGCTGCCGCCTTTGCTGCACTCTGTTTTCTGCTTGTTCCGAAGCTTAGTACCGTCACTTCTTAGCATCGTCGTCTAGCGCCTTATTTAATTCTTTCTGGTAGTCCTCCTGGGCCTTTCTCAGATCTTTCTGCAAGTCTTCCATGTCTTTCCGCAGATCCTTCATCTTATGGTTTGAGGGACCCTGCTGCATGCGCTGGGAAACACGGTTAATCTTGTCCTGAAGCTCTTCAACATCGTCCTGTTTTTCCCGCACAGACTTTTTATTGTGACGCAACTGGTTCAGTGGATAGAATTGACTCGGCGGATATGCACCTTGCGGGGGATATTGTTGATATGGGCCCTGAGGAGGATATTGTTGATATGGACCCGCTTGCGGGTATGGCTGCTGAGGGTATTGCTGCGGGTAGGCACCGCCCTGGGGAGGAAGGTTCTGTTCACTCTGCTGCTGGTGCTTCTTGTAGGCGTCTTGAGCAATGGAACCAGCAATCGCACCACCGATGGTTCCGAGGAAGCCGTGGTTGGCCTTGTGGCCAGCGAAACCACCGACAGCACCACCGGCGAGGGCACCGCCAAGACCGCGTTCATCGGCCTGGGCTTGACCAGGGGCGGTCTGTTGCTGCTGCCCGTTGTAAGGCTGGGGGTACTGAGGCTGAGGTTGAGGGTACTGATTCTGAGACTCCGGGTACTGTTGCGGATATGATTGCTGATACCCTTGGGGTTGGCCTTGGGGAGGCGGAGACCCAGGGTAGCCAGACCCATTTTGAGGGGCAGTTCCGTAGTATTCTGAATTCATGATTACTAGTAGGGATCGAGAAGGTTCAAGGTAGAATGTTGAAAAGTAACGGATGCTGAGTCGTCCATCACAGTCCTTAGCAGGGGAGCAACTTCCTTTAAATATTTAAATGTAAGAGCCCACACTAGGAAGAAAACGTCAGCTGGGATTGCTTAGTTCTTCTTTTCTTTCCTCATTGGGCCACGTTCGTTTTAGCCCCCATGTATTGATCAACTCCGCCCTCAATTTGGCCCCTGCGTCTGCCTTGTGGCGTCGCGTCTCATCCATGGCTGTGTCTGTACTTTTTTTATTATTCGGGAATTTCGTCTATATTAATGTAGTGCATCGGAGAAAGGTCTAACTTGAAGTCAATGGATTATCTCTATGAGGTATCTACTCTATAAATAGAAACCCCAGCCACAAACGTATGTAGTAGAATCACATGATGTCGATCTCTGACAACGCCCCACATCACCACGCTGTAGTCAACTTGAAACCTACCACGAGAATTACATTTTAATTAGTGAATAGCATCGATCAACTGAGATCAGAGATTATGTTTGAGACGCACAGTATGGATGTTAAAATGAAGAAGCTGGTGGGTTGTTGATATCGTAAGATTACTTATTGATTGGCAATTTTGGCAATTTCAATTGTTCTTTATTATTTCTTTCGTATCTACTAGTTCTACGGTGCCTGCATTATCATTGCAAAAAGGCAAAATAATATCAGGTAAATAGAGTATCATCATCATTATCACACCAAAAAATGAGAAGAGAGAAAACATGATATCACAAAACACAACCTCTATTTCTCTGCCTTTTTGTTCTCCATGTCAGCCACAAACATAGATTCGACAGCTTTGAGACCGGCCTCCTCGCCCTTCTTCGAAGCTTCAGCATCATCACCCGCGACAGCCTGGTCGAGAGCCAACTTCGTCTGCCCAAGAGCATATATCTGTTCCTCAATAGTACCACTAGTAACGAATCGGAAGATCTCCACGTCACGAGTCTGACCAACACGATGGGCACGATTCTCAGCTTGAACATCCTCTTGAGGATTGAAGGACGAGTCAAAGATAATGACCTTGTTGGCGCATGCAAGGTTGATACCAGCACCACCCGCTTTGGTGGAAAGGAGGAAGACAGGGATTTCTTCACGCTCGTAAAAGGCGTCCAGGATTGATTGACGGTCTTCGACGTTTGTGCGACCATCTAGTCGGACGAATTCAATGCGCAGAGTCTCAAGGACGTGTTCCAGGATGTCCATGACCAAGGTGAATTGGGAGAAAATGAGGGTTCGGTCTCCGTTTGCAATGAACTTGAGGAGAAGCTCACGGAGCTGGTCGATTTTACCTGAGTCCATCCATTCGTCATTCTTCAGCTTGAACTTTCCGAGCGAACTGGGATTTGCGGAACATAAGGAATGACATTCAAAGTCATTGTAATTCTCTAGTTCGGTGTATATGGTGTCTGGGTCAGAGAGTGACCATTGTGGTTCCTTTAAGCATGCCTTGGACATTTTGCGGAGTGTCTCCTGGTCATAATGGCGACGAGCGAGAAGAGGATGAATTGCGGCTTGTCGGAGCTTCATAAGGATATTGGCGGACTTGGACCCGGTCTTCTTACCAGCAGCACGGTCTGCTAATAGCTGACGAACTTGCTCCTGTTCATGTTCGTAAATCTCAATTTGAGAACTTTTCATTGCACAGTATTTGACATATGAGTGTTTAGCAGGTAGGTCAATGACTTGGTGCTTCTTGCGACGAAGCACAAATGGCTTCAGCATCGATTTGGCTCGTTCGATACGTTGAACGGATAGCAGTGCTGCATGGGAGTCATCGGAAGTCTTGGCTTTATTTGAGAAAACAGCTTGCAAATCTTCTTTGTGCTCATTGAAGACCCCGGGTAAAATAAATCCAAGTAAAGAGGCCAGTTCTTGCAGGTTATTTTGAAGAGGTGTACCTGTTAGGAGTAGACGGAATTTGGCACGAATCCGAACAAGTTTATCGTATAGTTGCGATTGATGATTTTTCAACATATGTCCTTCATCATACACACAGGCTGTGAAATCTTGATCTCTCAGGAATTTCGCATCGAGCTTGCCACGAGCAATTGTGTAAGTGGTGATTACTACATTGATGTTATCGCGATTATCCTCGATCTGTTCTCTGAGCTCGGCACGCTCATTCTGTCCAGCATAATAGGGTATCACTGAAAGAGCCGGGCAGAACTTCTGGAATTCTCGCAGCCAGTTCTCGATGGTTGAGGACGGTACGACAATAAGATGAGGCCCCTTGATACCAATCTCATACAGATGTGCAAGGAAAGCAATAACCTGACAGGTCTTACCAAGACCCATATCATCTGCCAGGATACAGCTTAATTTCTTCTGGAATAGCAGGGCCAGCCAGTTGATTCCCACAACCTGATAATCCTTCATCACTAAGTCATCTGCCATTATGGACGGTTGTGAAATGAAGCCTGAGTTCGTCTTGGACTTGCGGGAAGTGGTCACTGGGCCTTCGTCGTCTGAATCATTTCCGGACGGGTGGTTCGATGAAGGAGTAGCAATTCCAGAATCATGAGCATTGGCTTTATTCATCGAAACCAGATCAAAATCACCATCAGCTTTTCCAAACATATCAACACCCCATTTCTTCATCTCTGTAGCAACTGGCTTTCCAAGTGCTTCACACTCCGCCACAAGAGAATCAATCGCCAAATATCCGTTCCACATTTCTGTACACTTTTCAACAATTCTTTGGCCGATTGGGACAGGGGCTTTTCGTGGCTTGCCCTTAGGCTTAGGCTTGGACGGATCAACTGGAGTGGGAACAGCCCGAACATCGTCGAGCGAATGAAAGGGACGAAATGAAATTATATGGCTGGCTGTGTCCTCTGGAACAGACACGATATCGGCAAGATCACGAGCGTTGCAAGTGTTAAAGAATTTCAGGACCTTGGAACTCAAAGCATCAAGAGTATGGTCTTGTACTCGTACGTCTGAATCGTCTGAATCCGACATGGCTGCTTCAATGGACTCAGAGCGAGAGAGTGAACGATCTCGACGGCCCTTTTGAAGACGGCCCGCCTTTTTCTTGGGCTGGCTGTCGTTATCGGAATCGATAGTAATTGGGGCTATAGATGAATTTTCACGGCTTCTCGGGCCACGCATTAGTCGACGGCCGGGCTTAACATCTTCAGCTGGGCCTTGATTCCGGGAAGTTTGCAAGTTTCGTGCCGTCCATTTATCGTGGATCGTACCGCGGGCTTTGATCTGTTGCTTGGCCATCGGGGCTGCTGGGGCAGGTGTGGATGCAGCACTCAGCTCATCGTCAGATGAATTAATGAGAATTGGGGAACCGTTTTTTGTTAAGGCTTGATGATCAGAAAGGTGATCCAAAGCGTTGTCGTAATTTCCGTTCATGAGTATGAGGGCTGACACGCATTCGTCGACAGACTTGTTGGGCATAACGCTCAGCATGCGCTCAACTTTGACACGAACCCGGTAATCGTCAATGGCCTGCACATCCAATACCTTGTCGGTCACAGGTAAGGCGCGGGAGGGCGCAACCTGTCTAAATTTTTTAATTGCAACGCCCTTTTGTCCATTGGGGCTCATTTGATCTGCTGAGCGCTTGACTCCATTGATGGATGGGTCGTAGATTGCTGATGCTGTGATTTCTTTAAACCTATCCATTGCGCCATTGGCACGTACCGGCGACTCAGAAACCTTCTCAGGGCTCCGGGTCTTCTCGAACATGGAGGGTTTTATGTCGGTGGATCTAATAGTGTAATTGGATTCTTCGTCTGATGAACCTCCTCGGTAGGTAGGAGCATCGTCGAGATCAATGACGGGTCGTTTAGCCGGACGGGCGGCGTTCGCAGGGGGACGGAATTGAGTACCAGACGGCGCCATAAGTGAGGATAATAAACCACCGCGGCGTGGAGGTGAAGTTGCAGGGGCAGTGGGTGAGGACTGGGCGACTTGAATGATGGAGCCCCGTGAATTTGAATGTGGATTCGGCATTTCGACAAGCTGTGTGGGTTGCGTGAACCTTTGGGAGGGGGTAAGTGAAGGATGCGCGAGCGGGACTGTGGCAATGGTGTCGTAGTCGCCGTCGTCTTCTGGAGTATCTGGGGCTACGGGCTCTGTAGCCTTTTTGGCCCGAATGGGAGTGTCTGGCACAGTATCATACATGGCAACCCTTTTCTCTCTTTGTGTTGTTTATCTGAATCAAGGCCCACCTCCCTGGAATCTGCAGATCAGGAATCTAGGATCCGATCGACGTCCTGCGGCCGGCCAAGATACAGGAGAAATTCCAGCGGAGCTTCTGGACGAGTAAACCACCACGGTTAGAAGGGAGTGACGCGTATTAAACAAAATGAAGAAGGAGATGTAAATAAGGAAGCACCAAAGCAAAGAAAAATGCAAGCAGAGTCTCGTGTAATGTGCTCTGCGCAGCCAAATTTGCCTTCATGTAAAAAAAGGAAAATGTGATAACTCCGGCGCGGCAAAACCAGCTTCCGGTCCCGCATCTCCAAGAGCCACCAGATCACAGTCTCCAACAACAATAGAAAACATCGCTCCGAACCCGCCAACTATATGTACAATTATGTACAACTTGGAAACCTAGATTACTGCATGGATTATCCCTGGTGGATGCCCACGAGAAATCGTAAAAGGAGTTGATAACCAGGAATGAGTGCATTAGTTGAATGAATTTGAATTCTTGAAAGCATGTTATATAGCACACGCGCCTATAAACAGATACACAGATACATCGCTTTTTTGTTAAATTAACCCCCAAGTAGATACCACAAGACCGCACACAAGTGGGATTACTCAACAGAGTCAGTGATACAACCGTGGCTAGCGTCCTTCACAGTTCGGGCATACTTGCCCAGAGTACCACGCATAGTAAGACCGGTCTCGGGCAGCTTACCAGCAGCCTTGCGGTCCTCCCAGTCCTTTCTACGCTCGACCAGAGTCTCTTGAGAGACATCCAGGTCAAGGAGAAGGTTATCAGCATCAATAGTAATGACATCGCCATCCTCAACAAGACCAATGGGTCCACCGACAGCGGCCTCGGGAACAATATGTCCAATTAGGAAGCCGTGGGAACCACCGGAGAAACGACCATCAGTAATAAGAGCGCAGGACGAGCCAAGGCCGTAACCCATCAGGGCGGAGGAAGGCTTGAGCATTTCTAGTAGGAGAAGGTGTTAGTTGAGACATAAAAGAAAGTGACACATAAGTGAGTACGATTCACGACTTACCAGGCATGCCAGGTCCACCCTTCGGGCCACAGTAGCGGATGACAACGACAGTCTTCTCATCCTTCTTGATCTCGCTGCGTTCCAGCGCAGCAATGAAGGAATCTTCATCGTCAAAGACACGGGCCTTACCAGTGAAGTTGGTACCTTCTTTACCGGTAATCTTGCCAACACTACCACCCGGCGCGAGGGAGCCACGCAGAATCTGAATGTGACCAGTGCTCTTGATGGGTTCGGAGAAGGGACGGATAATCTTCTGGCTAGGATCCAGGTCGGGCACTCTCTCTAAGTTCTTAGCAAGAGTCTCACCTGTGACGGTCATGCCAGAACCATCAATAAGACCTTCCTTAAGTAGAAGTTTTAATAATCCAGGGGTACCACCGATCTCGTGAACATCCGCCATGACATACTTGCCAGAGGGCTTCAGGTCAGCCAAGAAGGGAATACGGTCGGAGACAGATTGGAAGTCGTCAATAGTGAGCTTGACACCAACGGAGTCGGCAATAGCAATCAGATGAAGAACAGCGTTTGTAGAGCCACCAGTAATGTTAACGACCACCATAGCATTCTCAAAGGCCTGGCGAGTCATGATATCACGTGGGCGAATGTCTTCCTTCAACAGTTTCTTAATAGCACCACCAGCAGCGAGACACTCAAGGTACTTAGCCTGCGAGTTGGCTGGGTTGGAGGAAGACCCGGGAAGAGTCATACCCATAGTTTCAATAGCAGTAGCCATGGTGTTGGCGGTATACATACCACCACAGGCACCCTCACCAGGACAAGCGTGACGGATAACGTCGAACCGCTGAGGCTCAGTAATCTCCTTGGCGATGAATTGTCCATAGGCCTGGAAAGCGGAGACAATATCAATATCAGCACCACCCTGGGACGCAGCACAGCCAGGCTTGATGGATCCACCGTAGACCATCAGACTGGGACGGTTGATACGACCCATAGCCATCATAACACCGGGCATATTCTTATCGCAACCAGGGATACTGATATTTGCATCGTACCACTGACCCCCCATCACGGTCTCGATCGAATCGGCGATAAGGTCACGACTCTGTAGGGAGTAGCGCATACCCTTGGTACCCATACTGATAGCATCACTAACACCAACGGTGTTGAATTGGAAACCAATCAGATTTTGATCCTGCACACCCTCGCGGACCTTATTGTTGAGATCCAACAGGTGCATATTACAAGGGTTACCATTGAACCACACCGAGGAAATTCCGACTTGAGCCTTGTTCATATCCTCCTCCGTGAGGCCCACGGCGTAGAGCATGGCCTGAGAAGCACCTTGGGACTTGGGCTGGGTAATGTTCCGAGAGACCCTGTTGAGGCCTTCATCATATTGAAATCGGGGGAGGGTGGTTGAGAGAGCGCGACTGAACCAGAAGTCAATTGAAGGTCAGCCAGCAATACAGTCAATTGGGATTCATTCACGCATACTTACGTCGGCACAGTCGAACGGGACAGACTGCGAAGAGCCGCCGGCACACGTGCCCGGGTTTGGGGCAACATTGTGATGAAGATTGGTAGAATAGGGCGGGTATTTACCGTCCACAACTCTCGATGTTCTTACAAGGTAAAGACAAGGAAAGATGGTCAGTGGGGAGGGGGAGGCTTTCGGGGGGGGGGATGAGAAAGAGGAAAAGACGGAAGCTTAGCAAAGCTCCGGAGTTGGAGTGCCGCTCCCCGGCTGAGTCCAATCTGTGATCCGGAATTGTCATCGCGATCCACTTTGTGACATCTACTTTGGCCTATATAGTAGACACCTTAGGCATAAAATTCCTCATGCGAGTCAAGCATAACATCGTAATGTACAAGGCCCACTTTTCCCTCCCCTACCGAACACTTACTGGCCCATTGCTAATCCTACTACTTAGGTATACCGACAATACTGGGATATGAGATGATACATTGGAAAAGTAGGAGATGCCAGGGATTGGGCCTATTGTACACTTTTGTTTCCGGGTCTGTCTGTCTCTGTGCCGAAATAATAAAATATGTACCTTCAAATAAGATACCGCTGCGCTGCAATAGAATCTGATGTCGCTTCATGATCTAAGAGAACGCCTTCACTTGTCCAAGAAAGTCAGTCGCCCCCATTTGAAAGTCCCCATTCGGGATTTCTTCTTCAACATTCTCTTCTTCTGCCTCCTCACCATCCTGCGAAACAACAATCAACCCAGAGTGGATCGTGTAAGCCACCAGTGCAACGATAGCACCAGCAACAGTCGCAATAGACACATACATGTCCTTCTTGCGGGAATCGGCATACGTAGAAACAGCCCGCCGTTCTAGAGAGCTAAACTCCGAGTCTGCAGACTGAGCTTCCTTCTTAAGGCGGTTATTCTGACGAATCTCGCTCAAGAACGGCGTGGAATCCGCTAATGTGGCGAGGAGTGTACTCCCAACAGCCGTAATGGAGATACGGCCAGGAGCTCGCCAAGGCAATGCCGACGGAGAAGTGAGACCAGACGAGAAAGCTTGCTCGACTTCAACGGGGACATCGCCGAAGCAACGCCGACGCCGACGCTCAGTGTAAGCGGAGAGCCGCGGGGCCTTGGTGCGGAAGGCGTCATGAAGCCAAGTATTCGTGAGATCGGGAATCAACGCGAGGGAAAGGTATCCGAGCGCCACGCAGTCTAGGCTTGAAGGGGCGGGTTCATTCGAGGCGAGCAGAAAGTCCTTCTCGCCTAGCATTGCCTCCAGGGGTTCGAAGAACTCACTTGTTAAAGCGTCGATACGGAAATGGTTTGATTGGGCTGTTCGGCCTAGGAGCCCGGAGACGGTTTGACGGGGCCGTTGGATGAAGTTTCTTGGGATGTGACCGGCTGCTACGGCGGCAGAGTGTTCGCGTTGCCGTTGGTCTTCCATTGCTTGGAGGTCAAGGGATGAGAGGCCTAGGTGCGCGGTGCGGGTCTTGGCGGCGCTGTGTAGCTTTGGTGGGAGGATCCATTGATTGGGCCATTGAAGGAGACTGCCGTAGGCAGGGGATGTGTTTTGGTAGTAGTTTTGGCTGCTAACATAGAGGGAGAGGTCGATAAGGGCTTGGCCGCGAGATTCAATGAAGGAGGAGAAGCTGTTCGTGTCAGGTTTGTTAGCTGGGCGCCTTCTTTCGCGTATTCTTACGCATCTGTCTTCTGGCGCAGAGGATTTTCTTAATCTTCCGGTACACATACGCGATGCTATCGGCTCGGTCTGACTCATCCACGTCCCGATCCAGATCCAATTCCTTATTTGAGTATTTCCGGAGATAATCGACGATGTTGCGGAACCGGCTCACCCATACCGACCTATTCTGGAGCGCGGGCAGCTCACCTGCCATTGAGAACATAAGATTAGCTTATCTCGTGTTGCATTCTGGTAACTGAGGGACGTTCTTGTTGCGCTTGGGATTCTGTAGCTGGATATAACGTCACGTACCTGTAGGGGACACGGATGGATCGCTGCTTGCAACCAGTTCCCAAGAGTCCTTGGGGAGGGCCGTGGAGCAATATGCAATTGTTGCTAGGCATTGCGCATCGATTGAGGGCAACCCAAAGGCTGGCCCCCACACATGTAGTTGCAGCTTCATTGTTGGGTTGGAGGTGAAGAGAGAAACGCGCGATCTCGAATTCGGCCCGCGAATCACGTGTATTGCCAGACGTCTCGGACGTAGCCGTGGAGGGAGATGGCCATGGGAGATTGATAACCCCCAGAGAGGAGCCAATACCGCGAAAGAGCTAGGGTGGTCTCAATTTAAATCTCAGCCGAGTCCAACAAACGGAAGACCAGCCCGAACATACCATTGATCTTCACTGATCTCTCAGCACGTTTCGCCGGGTACGTCCAAACAGTCAACAACAAACAGTCCACGCCAGCATTCCACGCGCCTAAACAAGCAAGAGATCGCCCTCCGCATCATCCTTTACTCCTCTCGGCAGGCCAACAACTGAATGACTTCGTTTGCTCGATTTTATCTACGGGTGACTTAACGTTTGAAGGTTGCCGCGAGGGCGGAGGGAGGATGCCGGGCCAGAGCGAGTCTCGGAGCCGGGATCGCCATGGACAGTCCCGCGATCGGGCACGCGACCGTGAGCGCGAACGCCGTCGGGAAAGAGAACAGGACCGAGAACGCGATGTTCATGAAAGATACGATGAGGACGAAGGTAGAACATCGAGTCCTGAAAATAGGCGGAAAGAGAAGTACACATTCCAGGGTGAAGAGGGTTACGAATCTTATGAGCGTGCACGAGATGGAGATATAAGGGATAGGGCGGACAACGAGGAGCAGGAAAGACGGCGTAGGGAACGAAGACGCAGACGAAGGGAAGAAGAGAAGTCCAAGGCGAAGGAGTCTCCTGCCACAGCGCCTGTCAGAAAGCGAGAAAGAGATAGAGACCGCGAGGGGTATCGGAGGCGGACGGATCTTACAGAAGATGAGAGGACTCCTACGAAGAGAACTAGAGAGCGACGAAATCGGGATAGAGAGGGAGAGAGTGAAGCCGAGGCCGAGGCTGAGACGAGAAGACGCAGACGACGTGAGAGACAGCAACAGAAAGACCTGGACCGAGAACGTGAAATCGAAGCTGCTGCCGCTGTTAATGTTGCGAGGAAGCATAAGAGTAAAGAGTCGACTAGCAGTGCTTCTCACCTACTTAGTGCGGATGCACTAACACGAATGGCGTCTGGGTACGACGAGGAAGATTTGACCGGGCAATGGGAGCGACGAGACCGAGAACGAGACCAGGAACGTTCCAGAAATCAAGACGAAAGTCGCAGGGAACGTCGGTCGCGCAAACGAGCCGCCTTAGCTGGTGCGGGCGCTGGTGCTCTTGGAGCTGAGATTGCCGAAGGAAGGCCCAGACACAAGTCCGGCGCTCGTGTTGTTTCCGGTGCATATCTGGAAGAAGGGAGAAGTTCGGATATGAACGTCCGTCGCCGTGGCGGTGGAGGCTCCGGGATAGAAGAGGCATACAAGTATGAGGAGAGCCGGGGGGGAAGTTATGATAGTGCTGGGGGACCACCAGCCTGGAAGGTCTGGAGCTCTTGGTCTAAGAAGAAGCGGATTTACATCGGAGCTGTCGCGGGAATCCTGATATTGCTGGCCATTATCATCCCGGTTGCAGTTTTTGAGTCCAAGAAAAAAGCATCAGACTCAGGATCTAGTTCTTCATCGTCTTCAAGCTCGGATGGCTTAACCGGTAATTTGGATAGTATCACTCGTGATAGCATCCCTGTGGGTCTTTCCCCTCCCTTCTTTCTAGTTCATTTCCTATCCAAAGCGAAACACTAATTCCAACTTTCTAGTCCTATGCACAAGGGACATACCTAGATCCATTCACTTGGTACGAAACCGAAGGCTTCAATCTTACATTTACCAACGAGACTGTGGGTGGCTTATATCTCATGGGTCTCAACTCGTCATGGGAGGATACAGCTAGACCGAATGACAATGTACCACCACTGAATGAGGCTTTCCCCTACGGCTCACAACCCATCCGAGGAGTCAACATTGGCGGATGGCTTTCCATTGAACCATGGATTACCCCATCGCTGTTCGATACCTACTCATCTAGCGATGGTATTATCGACGAGTGGACTTTGACCACGAAACTTGGTTCTGGCGCTTCAACGACGATTGAAAAACACTACGCGACATTCTACACCGAGCAAGACTTTGCCGATATCAAAGAAGCCGGCTTGGATCACGTTCGCATTCAATACTCTTATTGGGCGGTAAAAATATATGACGGCGATCCTTACGTGGCTAAAATAGCATGGCGATATCTCTTACGTGCAATAGAGTATTGCCGTAAATATGGCCTTCGGGTCAACCTCGACCTCCATGGTATTCCTGGCAGTCAAAACGGTTGGGAACACAGTGGTCATCAAGGGAATATTGGCTGGCTGAATGGCACAAATGGTGAGCTCAACTCGAACCGGTCTCTGGAGATCCATGACCAATTGTCAACCTTCTTCGCACAAGACCGGTACAAAAACGTCGTGACTATGTACGGCGTTGTCAACGAGCCTTTGATGCTCTCACTTTCCGTGGAGAAAGTCCTTGATTGGACGAACCAAACAGCAAAGCTTGTTCGGAAAAATGGCGTCAATGCGACGATCGTCTTCCATGACGGATTCCTCAATCTTGACAAGTGGGACTCGATGCTCAAGGATCACCCAGATGGCATGTATCTTGACACGCATCAATATACTACCTTCAATACCGGTGAAATCGTGTTGAATCATACAGCCAAGATAAACCTTATTTGCAATAGCTGGTATCCCATGATAGAAGCTATCAACAGCACCAGTGACGGGTGAGTTTTTTGTTTCCCCCATTAATTTCGTATACATAATCTAATTTGACTACTAGATGGGGACCTACAATATGTGGGGAATGGTCACAAGCTGACACTGACTGCGCCAAATACCTCAACAACGTTGGTCGGGGTACTCGTTGGGAAGGGACATACGATACCAGTTCTTCTACGCAGTACTGCCCAACCGCTGATGATGAGGGCGGTTGCTCCTGTGATAGTGCCAATGCCGCTGTATCTGAGTATTCGGACGCGTACAAAAAGTGGCTACTTTATTATGCGGAGGCACAAATGTCTGTTTTCGAGACCGCAATGGGCTGGTTCTATTGGACTTGGCGAACAGAATCAGCATCGCAATGGAGTTATCTCACAGCATGGAAGAATGGATTCTTGCCGACTAAGGCTTATTCACCTACTTTCAAATGTGGAGATGATGTACCTGATTTTTCCAGTTTGGGCTTACCTGAAGACTATTAATATCTTAGGATTATATCAACCAATCAATATTTCAATTCTCCTCATCTGGCTGTCAAAATTCACGATACAATCTTCAGATGTTTGATCTAATCATGACCATTGGTTTGCCCAATGATTTTCTATTGTTATGGCATCAGCTACGAAGGTCGTATCGGCGCAGGAGTGGAGCTTCACCCACTGGGTGGACACAAAAAAGTCAAATTGGAACGGAAGTCAACGCCACCGTGCATTCCACATAGTTCTGAGGAATCGAGGAAGCCATACACAAACACAAGAACGGTGGTTTGGAAGGGGAGCTCTGTGATGGTTATCTACATGTAAACACTAATCTTTCTTTGCTTTTACACTTCTTGGCAGCGTAATTTCCCATCATTTGTTGTAGTTAATCGCATCTCTATTCTACTCGTGGAATCTACGCGGAAAAAGGTACTTGAATGGCCCTTGGAGACGGATTTTCTATGGGCGCAGAGCATTATTGATTGGGTATATTGAAACGTTTTTTAAAACATATAGCGCTTGCACACGATCATTTCTCTTGCTTGGGCTGCCCAAATGCCAATAAATCATTCGGAAGGCCATTCAGAAGTCGTTGGGTCATCCTCTTCTCTCGCAACTGCGCAAGCTCTCTTCGCCGCTGATTAGTCGTTTCCTCCCATTCTACCCTCCTCTTTGCTCGAACTTGCCTCTGAACTTCAGTCTCCTGACGCGCCCGAGTCAATCCCTCCATCTGCTTCCTCCGCTCCACCTCATCCGTCGAGAAGGAGTAAAATCCGGTTCCACGATTCCGCACCTCCCCCTCAGCATTATAATGAACTTCCTCCGGGGGCGTAGCTGACCGGTCTCTTCGCGCTGCAAGACCAGCCATCTTCGCCGCTGTATTTTCCTCTGGATTAAACGCCTCTGACTGAACAGTAGCACCGTAAATCAAGTTCTCCGGGCGCGCTGGCTTCCACCGTTCGTCCGGTAAATGGCCAGAAGCCTCTTCCTCTTTTGTTTGCGCAGAAAGAGCAGCCTCTTTCCTCGTTCCACGACGAGATCGCCCAAACTCATCCTCGTAGGAAACAATAGAAGCATTATCATCAGCTTCAGATTCAGACTCGCTCTCTGTCAGCGATCCACGCTTCCGTTCCTCATCAGCCCATTTGCGATCAAAATCGACTAGTCCCTCCTTTTCCTTCCGCCGCAAGCGAGAAAGATACTTATCAGAATGTGGCTTTTCTTCATCATCACTGCTATCCCCAGTAAGATACAATCCCTTCTTCATATCATTATACTGGCGCACTTTCTGCTCCATCTTGCGTTTGGATCGGCTAATCGTTGCATCATCAATTGACCCGATATCCTTACTACTTTGATAAGGTTGTGTGTGTCTACCATCGCGAAGATCTGCGGCAGCACGCTTCTCAGTGCCTTTGTTTGCTTTGGAAAAGAGGTCGGACTTGGGGCCCTTAGATGGGCGTGCTCGACCGCGAAGTGGGCCGGAATCTTGGGCTATGAGGGAGGAAAGTTGTGTGCTGAAGGCCAGGTTGGAGGAGTTGGAGATTTCTTCGTGTTTTGTGTTTTTGGCTCGGCGTTTACCGTAGAGAGAGGAGTTTTCGGATGCCATGGTTTTAGGCTGGTAGCTTAGACGAGCTAGCTAGAAAGTAAATGATGAGGTGGATGAAGAGTGAAAGCGATAGAGCCGATAAAGCCGATAAAGTACCGATAAGAGAATATATGTAGCCTTATACTGGAGGCATCAATTTTACCAAAATTAACTTAGGACAGAACCCGGGTCAGTGGGGGTCCACTGAGATCTTAGTGGACCCCCATTGATACGAGTTCACAACTTAGGACATCTTTGCGGAAACTTTAATCGATCTATATACATGTACTTGGGCATGCTTTCGTGCCAACCAGGAAATTCAAAGGGCAGAAGTGAAAGATTAGTATTAGTATGATTAAATTATCCCGATCTGGCTAATTTTTGTATACGAGTTGTCATACAGGAGATGCAATTCAGCCAGTACACAGATTGAATGACGTCCAAGTTCAAGTTCGCCCGGGTCACGGTAAAATATATGCACAATGTATATGGAGAAGCTCCAACTTGAAGATTCTCGCGGGACCCCTGGACGATTACATACTAAATTCAAACTGTACGGGCTTCAAAACATCGTCTAAAATGGAGATGGAAACGTAGTGTGTGGGATGAATGATCACAGAGATAAATGGATGAGAGATGCTAAATAGGCTGATATGAGGGGTCCACAATTCAAACTAAAATACTAGATCCATCATTTTTCTGACACCCACAATCACTATTTCCAGATAAAATCTGTGATGGGGATCGTGCATAGCTAGGTGGAACGTCAAGAACGGGATTTCGATCAAAGAAATTGCGAGGGCGAAGAAGAAGTGTCATAGGCTCTGCGGGCATAATCGGATAATCCTCTGGCGAGGGGAAATGTGTCAACCCAAAAGTATGCCATAAGACAATATCCGTATTTTCAATGGAACAATTAGGCCCGGCAGCTTCTATCCAAGCTGGTAATCCATTCGATGGTTCACCAGAGGTCTGAGGGACGTGCCGCCCGGCCGGATGAATTTCGTCATCAGAATCTAAAGATAAGCGTTAGAATATGAAGTCATAGACAGGAGTCAAGGGCCAATAGTAAAAGTAATACTTACATTTAGTAACGTGCACTGCGTGGCGGGCAAATCCAGCACGCTTGTAGACCAGACTGCCCTTCTTTGGTAGCAGAGGAGGAACTTCGCGGCTGACAAGCTTATAGCAGACTGGCTTCTTACTGTAAGGGTTGATTTTGTTCGTGTTTGCCATTTCCCAGGTACGAGTTGTGGATGCATTGTAGTCAGACATAGCCTCCAATGGCGTAGTATATTTTGTCTTCTTGGCATAGAAGGCATTGCCGTAAGGGTTCTCTTCGCTCCCGGGTTCACCAGGCCCTTGTACAGCATCAACCTGGAAAATGGTGTTCTGAGGTCCATCGATATTGGGATCAACGCGCAAACAGAATAGGTGCTGGTGGTTGTGGGCATTGACACCGGGATACACTTCAGTACCCCACCCATGGGTGTCCTCCCCGGGGTTCAGAGAATAAGTATTCAAGATGCCAGTGAGTTTGATCTCGAGCTGAACAGTACCATCTTGGTGGAAAATCCAGTAGACACAGTACTCGTAATTAGCAGCAGTGAAGATATGTGAAATGATCAACTTTCGGCCGCGAGTCACAACCGTAGACTCATCACGGAAATCAGTGTGCTTGAATAAAATACCAGCATCTTCCTCATGAATACAGATAGCATTCTTGATGATAGTAGATGCGCCAGCACGATTAACAAAGGCAGCATCCATATAATGAATCGAACCCTTGCAATCACAACCAAGGGACAAACTGTTCGTCATATATCCACCACCATACTCACCTAGATCGAAGGCATGCTTCCGCTGGTGTGGGTGCTCCGGGTTACCGTATGGAACAACCATCTCTGCCAGCGAAAGACGGTAGAAGACTGGACGTACATTGCCTCTGTCATTGAATGTAATGTTGTTCAGCACAATACCCTCCTTGTAGTTGAAACCGACATGGATATTCCAATTTTGCCAATCAATAGTACGATTGCTGACTTCGAATGAGACGCCCTCGGGCTGAGTGATGTGAATTGGTTTGATATCCTTGCGAAATCCACCTTCCTTTTCTATAGCCTCGGGAAGGTAATTATTTGGTGGCGCTTTGTTGAGGGGTCTTCGTACCGAAGGAACGTCGATGTGGATAATTTGCTTCGTCTCTGCATTGAAGATGGGACAGAAATCCAATGGATATGTGTATTGGGAATCGTCAACGTGAGGACGATAATACATAAGCGCTTGTTGTAATCGGACCTCGGTACCAAATCGCTCATCATAACCAATTGTCCAAGCTGTTGGCCATGATTAAAACCTGAATCTGAAGGCTTGCCAGGAGGAAGGAAAGATGGGCTCAAGTTCACTTACGGTCACAGTACACTTTGTGCATGTCCTCTGGGGGAATACCAATAATACCACATTGCTCGATAACTTTGGCGTCTTTGCGTACAATAAATTCGACCTCCTGCAGGTCCTCCATAGTGATCAGAGGTTGAACATTCGGAGTGTGTTCCCATTGCACGATCCGTTTCTCGTCCAAATTCACAATTCCGTCATAGACCTTGCCGCCGGGTGCGATCGCAACGACATCGGCCGCACGAGCAGGACGAGGAGCAGTTTCTGGGTTTGATAGCCAAGCCATCATCTGAGCCTTACGAGGCTCATATAGTGTGACGGCATTGAAGTTGACCGAGCCATGTTCCATACGAATGAGAGCCACCGCGGCGTCGATCTCTCTGGCTGTGAGGGGGTCGAAGGGATGAGGAGGAGGAGCAGTCGCGTTGACTTGGTGAGTCAACTGTTGGAGTCGGTCAAGAACCATGTTGATAGCAGTATATGCTCTGAAGGGTTAAGATCAGGATCCCAAGGTTATCCGACTATGGTGGGGTGGAATTCCGAATGTAGTATAGGATGTTGTAGATCTTAACAGTAAGGTAGCTGTAGGTCCTCTTTCAATATTCTGTGCGTTCAATGGACTGAAAACTAGTTTCAATTGAACAATTCGTGCAGGATACTATCTAGGTATTTATGTAGATACAACTTTGTACCACCACGCCTTAGCTCTATAGTAACTAGCATCAACGTGATTAGATAAAAAACCGGGGATTGTGTTGAGGGGACCGGATCCATTGCCTTGATTCGGTTTAGCGTTGCAGATCTCCTACCAAACAGGAAATGCGATGCTTCCGAACTGATAAGCTCTGCTTGTTGCCGTTGCTTAGTCTTGGGTATTGAAAACGCGGGGCTATGGGAGAATCGCATGTCAATTCTGCATGTGGGAACAGCTTGCTGATGGGGGATTACGCATGTAACATGTCATTGGAAGACGATTTATTCGCCCAGGATGTCGAAGTGTATTCCGAGAACCAATCTGCGCTACATATTGTATTACGCAACCCCCTTCAAAATCAGGTCAATATCCCATCCCCAAGGTTGTCCAGTTGATCAATTTCCAAGTAAAAAAGGTCTGCAGAACTCGGTTATATTAAATACCAGTCCACAATTTACATTAGTACGCGGTACAACCCGTCTTACGTCCAACACTCAATCACAGTCGTACTATACAAGACCGGTCTATAAGATAGTTTTGGTTATGACACTTCTGATCACAAACTTAGTATTGTTAAAGACTGTGAAATTGAGTATTAACACAACCCTCTGTGGCTAACAAGTATTTAAGGCTATCACTATTTGGTAATGCGGATTCACCCGTAAGATTCTAATAATTCTCAAAGATTGTTGTAGACGGACAAGATGGAAATTGAGATAGCCTTAGGGTAAGGACTCTACATGAGTAGTGCCGGATTCTTTCTCGATCTCTTTCTGTGTGACCGCAAGATCGGTAGCATTTGTAGTATAACTATATGGAGGAAGACTCGGGACGGGTATATTTACACTATTTGCACGTTTATACAGTTTGACCCACTCTCGGATATAGGCCAATCAGATAATTAACCTAGAGAGTGGCATCCGCCTACATATATATAGTATAGCTCTCTCTCTTCTTTTCCTTTTCTCAATATTGTTATTTGTTATTCTTCACACTCTTCTCTATTCTAGTAGATTATAGGTACCTTATCATATAATAATAATATTCTATCACGGGATTCCTGAATCCCTTCGGGTACGATTCAGGTACGATTCATAGCTACTCTATGGGCGAATCTACTACGATATACCCGCTAATATATAACTACCCTAAGCCCTAGTAAGCTCTAGCAATATTAAAATATACAAACAATAGCTACGATTCTTGTCCTGTAAGAATTAGTTCTATATATTAACTATTCTATTTAATCTCTACTATCTAATATCCTTATCTAGTTATAAGTCTCTAGCCTAATAACTTAGTAACTATTATAATTCTAATTCTTCTCTCTTAATTACTTAAGGATTAATAATAATATCCTCTATATACCAAAACCCTATATTCTCTTATAATAGTACTTAATCTAAGCCTACTATATTTTTTCCTCTTATTATTAGATAACCTAAGATTAAATTAGTCCTAGATTAATATATAAACCTAACTAAATCTAGTCTAGACTAGATTAGGGAAATTACTAGTAACCTTATAACTAAAAGTATTAGTAAATCTAGGAGTATTACTATAGATACCCTAAAAAAAAAGAGATATAAACTAAAACACCTAGAAGAGTTCTTTATAATTAAAGCTAGGACTTTCCTAGATAATCTATCTATAGCTTATAGAGGAATTAAGATTAAAATATATAAGAAAGTAAAGGGTTTTAAGATTAATAAGTTTAAGAAATTATTTAGTCTTTAAGAATAAATAAATTAGCTTTTATAGTTTAAATATATCTTTTAAGGTAATCCTAAGATATATAAGAATAAAGAGATAAAGATTCTTATAGAAGTTAAATATCTTAACTTTAACTATAAAAATAACTAGACTATAGAGAAAAGATATCTTAAAGATAATAATAATAATTATTTTAATAATTAGGAATACTTTAAGAAATAGACTTTTATTTTAATATATAAAATACCTTTATCTTATACTTAAAAGATTAAAAAAACACAACTATTTATAAAAGTCTCTAAATATTAATTCTATAAAAAATAAGTTAAATTCCTTAGCTTTATTATTAGTTAAAATAATATCTCTATAAACCTAGAATAGATTTAAGCTATCTAAGAATAGAAGTAATCTATATTCTATAAAAAGATTTAAATCTTCCTAGGATTCTATAACTTCTATTAAAGGTTTATTAAAAATTACTCTTTAATTATATTATTACTTATAAAACTTCTTAAAGAAAGTAAAAATAAGAAAAAACTAAGGAATATTAAGCTAAACAACTATAAATTAAAAGTATTTTAGGATCTTATTAATACTTTTTTAATTATATCTCTTTTATAATACTTTAATCTAGAGAGATCTATTTAGCTTAAAACTAATACTTTAGATTTTAGAATAAATAGAATCCTTTTATAACTAGATAATTAAAGAATATAGTATTCTATTATCTTCTGGTTAAAGAAATTTTTACTTATAGAAAGGAATTATATAATATTAGATTAAGAGCTATTTATAATTATTTATTTATTTAAATACTAGTATTAATATCTTAAAAAAAGCTATTATTAAATTAAGGTTCTAATAGATTACTATAATCTAAAGCTATTTATAGATTAATCTAAGATTAATAGAAGATAAATATATTAATATCTTTTTCTTACTCTATTTAACTTTATAATATATTATTACTCTAAGAAAACTAACCCTATAGATAGGTTATTCTATATCCTAAAAGAAGAGAAGCCTTTACTTATAAAAGAGATATTAAGGCTAATTTATAAAAGAATTATAACTAAATTATTTATAAAAATATAGTAGTTTACTACTAATATAATACTATTTAGAAAAGAAAGTAAAAAAGAGTAAGAATTAATAATTATAATTATATTAATCTATAGAAGTCTATTACTATCTTTTTTTTCTAATTATAAATAGTTTAGTTAATAACCTAGAGTTAGAGCTAAACTAGATTTAAAATAATATTACTATCCCTATAGATTAGAAGAATCTAAAAAAGACTATAAATAAGTCTAATAAAGCTAATTATTTAGATCTAAAGAATAATAAAGAAGTTTTCCTAAGTTAAAACTATAATATAACTAAGTTTTTCCTAAGTTAAGACTATAATATAATATATTATAAGATTTTAAATTACTTCTAATTTATATTTCTTTAAATAGTAGTTATTATAACTATAAATAAAGATCTATTTATAAATAAATCCTTAAGAAAACTAAAATTATTAATTAAAAAACTCTAAGATAAGAATAAGATAGTCTAGAAAAGAATTAATATAACTTAAGAAGATATTCTATAAAGAAAGTATTAAAGTATTAACTCTAAGAAACTTTTATATTATAAAGAATATCTTTATATTCTTATTACTAAGAATCTAAAATAAAAACTAATTAAACTCTATTATAATAAATAACTTATAAAATATTTTAAAAGAATATATATAGAAAAATTTATAAAAAGGAAATTTTATTAGGAATATCTATTAAAAGATATATAAGAATATATTAAAATATATCTAATTTATTAAGAAGTTAAAATATTTAAATATTATTTCTATAAAGAATTCTAATCCTTTTTTATATCTTATAGATTATTTATAAAGCTAAGTATAGATTTTATTATAAGACTTCTAATTATAATCTTTAAAAGAAAGAAATATAATATAATCCTAATAATTATTTACTAACTTATAAAATTCTTTTAATTCCTTTCTATATTAATAATAATATCTATAAAAGATTTTACTAAACTCTTTTTTAATTAAATTAAACTTAAATATAGAAACTTAAAAAGAATTATCTTTAATTAAAAGCTTATTTTTATAAATAGATTTTAGTTATAACTTTATTATTATTTTAAGATTAAACTATAGTTCTTTATTATTTTCTATCCCTAAACTAATAGATAAATAAAAAGACTTAACTAGATTTTAGAAGATTATTTTGTTAGGGTATAGTAGGTAGTTATATATTAGGAGCTAGTAGGCTGGTTTATATAGTAAGTAGGGGATCAGAAGTAGTTATATTATAGATAGGCTATAGGATAGAAGGTTAACTAAGATATAGCTTAAAGAGCTATATTAAATAGGAATAGGAAGTTCTAATAGTCTTAGAGGTTATATAATAATAGGAATAGGGATCTTTTTATATAAGGATCTATACTATAATATTATTCCTCTTTTTAAAGCTAAGCTTTATAAGATTAAGATAGTACTTAGGTTAGACTAGGTTTTAATAGATATCTTTAATAGAAGTTATTTATAATCTCTCTAGTATTCTCTAAGTATTTAGTAGGCTTTTCTATAGGATTATTATAATCTAACTATTTTATAATATATTTTAAATAGGGTTTTATATAACCTTATTATTCCTATCTAAAGTCTAGGATATCTTTAATAATCTATTTCTTAAGATCTTTAACTTTAATTAGGGGTAGAGAAGACTATCTTTATATTAGAAGAGGATTATCTAAGATAGGATAGAGTAAGTTTATATTAAAAATAAGATAGATCTTTATTCTAGGTAGAAGTTTTAGATAGTAGGTATATAAACTTATAGTCTTAAGAATCTTAAATAGACTAAGATTCTTTTAATTAAGTTTCTTTTATAGATAGAGAGTTTTAATATTTTAGATATTAAGCTAGACTAGTTATTTAACTTAGTAGTTCTAGATAGACTAGTAGTATTAGTTTATAGATTCTTTATAATAAGTTTAGATAAATATTATCTTATTCTATACAAACTTAGTAATATCTCTTATTT